AGCCTTTGGCGTTGCACCTGCACTTGGGTTGCTTGAGAGCATTGAGAGGTTTTTGGGGTCAAAGAACTTCTGGTGCAGTGTGCCGGCCTCCGCTTTTGGCTAAAGGAAGGAACCTTACATTTGTCAATCTTGCATGCAAATGCAAACACAGGCGAGACCAGAGATCCGAGCCGTCTGTACTCCGTCATGGCATGCCTCAGTTGTGCAGCTTCTTCGAGGCTGTCTGGGTAAGTTGATGCAGCTGAGAAACTCCTTTTGAACGAAGGGCTGCGACTCGGGCAGCTCGCCCAAATACCTGCAGAGCTTTGCTGTGCCCGACGCCGTGATCAGTGGCGCTTCTCTCAAGCCGACACGAAGACTGACGGAGCCTGCCCGGAATGCCTCCAAAGACCGTGAGAGGAGGCACGATGGTGTCCGGTGGAAGAATCTCAGCTTCCGCAGAAAGGCAGCCTTGTTTGGGGTCTCCATCCCAACTGGGGCTCACACTGTGCCAGGCAGAATCATGGAGTTATCCTGCGTTGCATTGCAGTAGCGTTGACTGCTGACAGCACACCCCGGTAGGCAGGCCTTCAGTATGCACCGCTTCGAGATGACACAGTTCTCGCCGATGTCCACACAGGAACCTGGCCCCGCATAGCATGGGAAAGAGATTGGAATTGCCAACTGCCAAACTGAGCATGTTGCCAATCTGGGCAGCGCAAACGATGCTCTTTGGCCCAATTGTCACGTAGTCCCCGATGCTCATTGGGAAGAAAGCAATGTTTCCCTCACAGAAAAAACGAGCATCCTGTCTAGTTAATGGTGGCTCAGCATGGTTCACATTTGTTGTATTCAGCACGCCAAGGCTCCTTGTACTTCTTGTAGGAGGGTCGCAGCACACAGCCATCTCCCACAATCACGAACTTGCCTCGAAGCACATTGCTATGTGCCGTTAGCACTCTGCAGCTCCAGCTCAGCTTGTGCTTGAATTCCCCTTTGTTCCAGAAGCACCTGCCTATCTTGAGAAGCTGTAGATCACCTCTTAGCACGACACCGGGCCTGATGCGATGCTGATATGCTTGCCGTGATTCCACTGCACACCCGAGGCTATGGCTTCACAACGGAATTGCCCACGAGAGAAATATTCTGCGAGCCACAGAGGACCGAATTGCGACTGACCTTCACGAGACACAGCGGAAAGGGCGGTGTTAGCTGCTAGCAGAACAAGATGCAGCAGCTGTCACCTTGTTTCCGGAGGCAGTTTGTATGTAGTCTGCCTTCAACTCGGAGGTCAACGAGAAGCCCCCTGGAAAAGCACACAGTTTGCGATTCACGCCTTGTTGTAGTAGATCGGAGGAGCTTCCAAGTCCAATGCCAAGCCTCGGAACTGCGGATGTGATCCTGCTTCCACAACAACACTCCTGCATCTAGCTGAGATGCTGAGTTCATCAGGAGTTTCTTGTGACATTGCTCCCAGTGCCGTGGCTGGGAGCCGTCTGCAAGGAACATGGAACTTGCGTGGAGGGATTGTTATCTTAGTGGGCGCTGAGTCGGCTCAAGCAGGGAATTCAAGTTATGTCTGTAAACTTGTCGCGACCGGCTGGACACTCGCTGCTAATATCAGGAGCATGAAAGATTTGTAAGGTGTGCGACCTAGAAGTATTGACGCTACAGCTCCGAGATGCCAGAGCCATCATCGAGCACGGTTTCGCTTTGCACATGCAGCAACGAATCTTAGCAAAGAAACTCAACGATGACAGCTGAATCGGTGGATCCTTTCCAACTGAGTTCGTTAACAAGGGCAGGTTTGCCCACAGCCCCTATTCATTTGCCTCACCAAGGAGCTGCTTTGCGGCTTCCTTCATGTCTGGCAGAGTGCACATCGTTAACATCCCAAGGGCTGTGTAAAGCATTTACGGAGTTGCCCACTCACAGGCCCATTTCAGCACAAATGTCAATGTAGTCTGAAGACCTTCGCGGAACTTACGAATTAACAGCGGAAACATGTTGTGTCTTAAAGCGGCGATGCAAGAAGGCCGATGCCATGTGCCATCTTCCTCTTGCACATTCAGGCTGTCGACTGCCTAATCTTCGGAGCTGTTCTGCAGCATTGCTAATTAGTTTGGCGAGCTGCACCGGAAAGCTTGAGGAGGCGACAAGTCTGGTACATCCGGGCTCAAGAGAGCAAACCACTGCCACCTGACAGAAGAAGCCATCTCCGGCTAGCGCGCAATCGCTCCACAGAGTTTGAGCTCAGCGCGCTCTTTAGATTCCCACGGAAAAGGACGTCTACTCTTCGCTGCACGGCGAAGCTGTACCTAAGTATTGTAGCACCGTGGTCGACACGAGTTTTGCATTTGAGATGCATGCCTGAGACCTGATATGGGGAAACTCCGTACCCCGGAAGCGCTTCGTTGCCATTGATTGGGTTCCCAAGCCTGCGTTATGCTGCGTTGTCAATTTGGTATCACCGAGGCTTTGCTGAAGCTTTAGTTGACCGTGGATGCCTGCGCACAACCAAGGCAGGGGCATGTAGTATTGCTGCAGCGAGCTCTCTTCAGTCTTGCTTCTAAACGTATCTACGGGATATTGCAAGGGCGACTGCTCTGTGGGTGCCAAGCGTTGCCTAGCTTGCAAGCATGCCCGCTCGCTTCTGCGACATCATGCTGCTCCACGTCGCTACATGTCGCTACTGACCAGCTTAGCACCTCTCCAGCATGTTGGCGTCTCAGAGTCAGACTGCTGCAACGCTTGCAGGACATCTGGAAGTCTGGGAGCTGCATGTATCTCAGCGCATAGTCTTGAATGCCGAATCTTTGTGCAGCACGACCCGAATGGATGGCGGACATCACATTGCAAGAACTTGCACTTACACTAAGCCGTTTCAAACGATGGTCACCGATGCTTAATTCTGACAGGACCGTTGCCAGAATCCGCGCATCTGTCGCGAAGACTTCTATGCAATGATAAATCTAGACGGCCACACCATACGAATTTGATGTTCAGCGCCACTGTTAACAGTGCAGACTCTCGGCCCCCTGCCATGCAAAACACAGCTCCAGGCGCCATTGCATCTTTGGCAACCTCATTCTCTCGCCATCTCTCGCCAAACTATCGGACAGCACTGCGGCTCACCAGATATTGCATGCTGAGCAGGCAGCTGCGCAGAACCTGAGTTGACAACATGAGAATGCAGGTGTCGAGTTGTGTCTTGCTCTTGCCTCTCACTCTGGCTCTCATTCTTCAGGGGCTACAGTATGCCGAGCTGTTCGATGCCGTCCGGATGGAATGAATGATGCGTCCAACTGGAGAGTGCCGGCCAAAAAAACACCGACGCCCATGCGCCAGGAGGACGCAGGCTCTTCTTTCAGGCAACCTACATGCCCCTGCCTGTACCAGAACTGCCGCAAACTCCCCGAAACTGTCACGATCCTTCTGCTTCCAGGCGGCTCTGCAACTCCACCTCGCAATTCATGTCGGCAGTATGCCTAGCAGAGAAAGAACTTGGTGCTCCATCACGAATACTTATTTTACTTCCCAACCTTCTGGGAGTTATCTGGCAGATTTCCAGAATCTCGGCTGAGGTACCTCGGCAAAAAGTTGGGAAGAGTTCTGAGAATTCGAATCTCTGCGGATACTGGGCGTGAGTCATGGCTGTGGCCGAGAGCGTTGCGGCGGGTTGGCCGTGACCACATCGAACTTTCCCAAGGACTCGGCTGTTCGCTGCGAAAACAAACGAAGGCTGAGCTCCTCTCTCAGCTTCGTCACTGAGGAATCTTGGTCTCGAAGGTCTACATGCCTGCAAATGCACCACGGGTGGCTTGAACGAGAATATCAGCTTCTCAGTCCTGCCTTAGCTCCACCTCATCCTGAACCTGCAACATCTCAAGCACTTACTCGCGGGAAGGCAGCACCCCGCCGGTCAGTGTGCCTGACACATTCGGAGCGTCCGGCGACAAAGAGACACGCTGACATCTTGAGCCTGCATCGAAGAGAGGAAATGGTGGAGTCTTGAAGGGACCGCTCGCTTTGTGGCCTCCAGCATGGTGACCTTGGCAGTTCCGCGCGGCTGCTGGGCCAGCCAGGCGAGACCTTGGAGGGCGATGCAAAACGCGAGCTAAGTCTGACGTAAAGAAGTTTCTGCTAGTCCCCATTAGGAGGACATGGAAGACTGACAGAACTTAGTCTGTAAGCCTTCGCTCCAAATCCTCTTGCAGCCACCAGCTTGCATTGTCAATGTATGCTGCAAGTAACAAACAAAACAGAGTGCACAGCCGTGGCTTCTGGGCGAATGGCCTATTGTCCCAATACCAGAGCCCAAATCTAACCTCAGCTCATCATAGCTTGGCATCGGACGTGGCGCCCTCCAACTTTAGCGAATTTCGGTCGAGGACAGTTGGGGCTGGCTCGTGTTATAAAGTACTTGTGCCAATTGTGTCGTAAAGGAGGCATGTGTCTCTTACCATCTAGTGCTGTTATCAGCATCCCTCATTCCACAAGATGCAGGCATTTGGCATGCTGACTCATCTGTATGTGGATCCGGAAATTCACTCCAGCAAACTTCTCAGACTTTTCATGTTTTTCAGCTTGGCCATGAGCCGGTGGTTATGCTCGATGATCACACAACAAAGCAGGCTGCCAAGCTTCGGGCAAGCTGTGGGCATTCGGCGCGGCTTTGAGTGCATAGTGCGCGCAGAGAATGTCATCAGCGCAGTAGCGGTAGCCCTGAGGCTGGTCAAGACCCAGACACTGTTGACACGAAGCCAGATGGGCCCTTCTAGCCGCTCCGGCCTTCGGAGCTTGCTTCCGAATCCCGCTTGAACCAGCAACAACTTCGCCTTTTTCTCTGTCGCTGCACACCATCGTACAAGCGTTAAAACATAATCGATCACAGTTGCCACACCATGCGGCTCGCGAAAACTGGCCCGAAAGTGCAAGCTGGAAGGCGCTCAAAGCCATTTGGACATTATCATTCTCCTTCGCATCGACCCAAGCCCTTCTTGAGCTTAGGCTGCGCGTTTTTATCGGCTCAACTGCGACATCTCTGAGACCGTGCGCTGGCGTTGGCCCTCCTCCTCCAGTCTCCTCTTGATACCTAAGCCGGGAGAAGCACATGAGCTTGCATGGAAGCACCATGTTGGTGGGACACAAAAGCAGTGCACTCGTGTTGCAGGACACGATGGCACCATGTGTCTCCGGGGACAGCTGCTGGAGCTGGCAACTCTCCGCCCACAGCGCCAGGATGGACTGACAAAGAGTATAGCGACATGATGGCGACACCGACGAGGCTTGGAGGCTTGGATCCCGCCTTGAAACCCGTCTTGGCCACACTGAGCACCTTGCCAGAAAGGTACGTGCTGATTAGCCGCGGACTTGTCTCCGAATCCCTTGTTAAGCTTACAGGCGTTCACCTCGAAGGCTCTCCCTCTGTGGACGACGGTCGACGCATCCGCGAACGACTCTTCCCATCTGAGACCCTCTAGGAACTCGTTCATGTGCTCACTACCATTCACTACAGCCCCATAACTCAGCTGAGGCCCCGTGCGATACTGGTCATGATCGTCGCGCAGACGAAGCCGGTTGCTGGCGCCCAGTAAAGCCACGGAAACTTGCCTGTATCCGCTGGTTTTAACGTGCTCAAGCAGCAGATTCAGCGGCTGATCTGGTGACGAGCACCAGCAGGGCCTAGATAGTGTGCAACTGCACCAACGAGCAAGCCCAGCAAGCCGCCCGCTTGGGTGCCAGAACCTGCTGGGCAAGAATGACAAAGTAGGGTCTAAGCAGTGACTGTGCAGCACTTCAGCACCCCAGGGCCAATCCTGTGACATAATCCAGGACGAGGTTTCTTGTAAGGAGGGTCACGTTCGAGCATGTGCAGAAAGCAAACCTCGGATCCAAATGCATGGCTTCTGTCTGAATTGAATGGCGTCGTCAGCATGGTCATGCCTGCATCTTGTCTAGCTGGCGATGCAAAGATGCGGAATGCTTCTTGCAAGGTTTACACTGGGACTGCCTCATCAAAACCCTCAGCACTCCCGTGGTGCACACCCACTGCCTCGAGTGTTACGAGAGGCAAGCACACGTCTGAAGCAAAGCTGCGGCTAAGCGTCGTAATATATGATGACTGGAAGAAGGAACCGTTACGGATGGCACACTGCGTGAATGCCCAGGTATCGAAGAATCGAGAAACATCCTCGGTGAGTGTGAGAGCGAGAGAGCAGCGGTGACAGCCTAGAATTCTCACCGCTGTAGGCAGGCCACACGCTGCAATCCCTGCATGCAAGTCGACCATCCTCCCAGGAAATGCAGCCAAAAAGCGCCAACCAAACAGAACGTAAACTCCAGCACCCAGCCGCACGTGCATGTCCTTGCATGCCAGGCTTGCGTGCGCACTTGGGAAAGTTCGTTGCAGCTGCTCAGCACGGCAGTGATTGTGTGCTCACGCTGCGAGCCGAGCTTCATGCAAGCTCTCACGGAGTTTGCTTTGCAGTCGGGGCCCGACGGCTGGATAATCCTGCCGTGGACCGGAGGCTCTCTGTGGTTGTGGAGACGGTAAGCTGTGATTTTCATGAAGGCTCTGATTCCGCGCCTGCCCAAAAGCTCGATCATGCGAAACGTTGGTCGCAGGAACGAAGCCAAACATGCCTTGGGGGGAAAGTCTGTGCCGTCTGCAGCTGTAATTGCGGACATCTTCTGCGCTGGCTGCTTAATTTCGACGGCCCGAAAGAAGCCCCAGCTGCAGCGAAGCAACTGTTCCCAAGCCAAAGGCTACGGCACTCCTCCCGAAGAGTATGAAATACGCACTGCACAAAGCACAGATTTAGGAAGGAGACTTGCTATGCATCGATGCGTCCTCAGGCTCGCTAAGACTGGTGCTTCAGGGCGCGAGTGATACCATCGGCTGTAAACCCCGCAGAAGGCCAGGATGGAAGTATACGAGGCGACACCTTTCGGCAAAGCCGAGGCGACGGGATGATCTGGGACTTAGGCTTAGTTTGATTTCGCCATGTCTCTGCTCGACGCAGCCGTGCCTCCCCCCCAGCTGATGAGCAGAATGGTCGGGATGATGGCTGATTCCGGCCACCCGCTCGTTTCAGTATCGAGGATGGACGTGAAAGCTGAGATGCAGCCAACGATCCAGAAGTAAAGCAGCACGGCACACCCGAGCGGTACCAGGAGCATGCCAGGATTGGCGAGTACGACCATGCTCACACATTTCATCAGGCTTGCTTGAAGAGAAAGCCATGGACGCGCAAGATGCCGCACGTGCATGGAAATGCAGCAGTTGCAAAGAGAACAGATCGTCAACGACCCACCGACCAAGATGTAGAAAGCATAAGCCAGGTACCGGATAACGTCATCGTCCATTCCATGGTAGTATTCTTGGGGGGTGAAGTTGTTCCAGGGGTAACACAAACAAAAAAGGCCTGTGATCAGCCTCAGCGCCGGCAAGAGCATAGTACACTGAAAAAGGATTTGCTCTCCGCCAGATCGTAGTAATTGCAATACCACCAATGCGCAAAGGAAGCCGACAGCGGAGCTGACAGTGACTACCGAAAGAAGAACGTTCCAGCTCACCTCAAAGCTTCGTGGACAGGATTGAGGAGACAAACTGCCAGAAAGTCAGTTATCCGGCAAAATGTAGTATAGAGTTGTGACCAACGACAACGATATGGGGTGCCGAAGCTGGGCATGCCATCACTTCGCCATGTATCATGGAAGTCTCAGTCCAAGCAGCACGGTCTTCTTGACTTGTTAGCCGCCGTGCTGCATCTATGTGGAAAACAGTTGGCCAGGATTGCCTGATTGCTGGCAAGAATGTGACTCTCGATGGTGTTCGCAGTTTCTACTCAGAACCCGCCCGCCAGCCTCGTCTCAAGAAATTGTGGAGCCGGGAGCAGCGCGCTCTCCGAGCCAGGCTGTGCTTTGCACGAGATGCCCAAGGCAATAAAAAGCCTCGGCAGCAGGTAACGCACTCAAATCTCCAACAATGATGACGATTTGAATGATAATGGCGATGGCGGACATCATGGCTCACGAAATAGGGACAGGAAATCATTCGCTGCATCCAGCGCCCTTGCAACCACTAAACCACGTCAGCTAGATGCCAAGGTGCAGGAAGCTACCAACAAATGTCACCGTGCAGAGAGCCTCAAAGGACATCTTCGACAGAAACTTGGGCAACGCCAGGCAATGCGCTCACCGAACCGGAGCACATTGGGTTGACGTTGCTTTTAATTGTCTGAATCCCAATCCCGCTGCATGTGATCATCACGACACAGTCTAGTTGCGTCACGGTGGGTGCGTTGCTCGGGGAAGAGCTGAAGCTCATCTTTCAGAAGAAGTCCGCGCTTCACGAGCTCGAACTTCCTCTGCGCCAGCCCTGGGGCCGAGGCCGGGCCGCTGCGGAGTCTCAACGAGGCAGTCCCAAACTCTGTGCAGCAGCTTTTGTGCAGCAGAGATGCTCTCCGGCAGTCCTGCAGGCAGGCACGTGGCACGTGCAAATTAGCTGGAGACTTCTTACTCAAACCGCCTCGGAGGCTGGGCAGCAAGGCGATCTCCGCGCGCTCAGGTTCACATCGTATTGCTTCATCCTTTGTTTCAAGCGGAAATATGTGGAAACATATGTCGAGGCAATCTATGCAAGTGCCGAGTCATGAAAGCTCTGGTGGGCAGTTGATGCAGCATTGCTGTCTGCACCCTAGCGACGGGCATGGCGTTCCATGTGCCAGGGTACTCGGACACTCATGCCGTGGTCTCTCGAATGTATTCAGCCTCCTTACTACTGTAATGGGCCGTGTTCATGAGATTCCGATATTCAAGCTCCTGTCTACGGATCTCTTAAGCTTCCGCATCTCTTGAGAGGAATGGACGGGCTGGCTTTGGGAAGGGTCTGGCTTGCCGCCGGGTTCTGACATTGCTTCGAAGATTAAGAAAAGCCTTTGGCAGCGGCAGGAGTCATGATCAGTCGAACATTCGCAAATGCAATCCTCATGGCGTGCCTTCTGCAGCTGGGCGATTGTCCAGCCATGACCTGATTCAGCCCTGCCACTGCAACATGTGAGCGATGCACAAGGCATCCTGGGGCTATAACAGAAGCGGCTCTTGGTGATGGCCAGGTCCTGCAAAATTGCGTGGGGACTCTTGTGACAAATTTTTCAGATGAACAGCTTAGCTGCAGTCGAGGTCCTCCTGAACGGCATCAGTTACCACTGTGTCTTTGCCCTGAGCCAACAAACACTGCACTACGTCTCACTGAGGGCAGAGTATTCAAGTGAAGTTGATCCAACGAGCACCCGATGAATTGCCGTCCACACCCGTCCGCGTCCTACTGCTCTACAGTAGAGTGATGCTTGCCTTTTCATTTCCTGTAAGGAGGGCAGAGCTGACACAACGACAAGACGCGTTCATGACAGGCGGTCGAGGCAAAACATACAGAAGGTTGACTTCCAGCGACGGCATGGAAGTGCATATATCAACCAAGCTTTCAGCCGCCAGGTCCGAGAGCATGTCCGACAGAACCACTTTAGTCAAATTCGGCTACGAGTTGTGAGGCAGCACATGCGTGTACTTGAACGAAACTACATGGAAAGGCTGATTCCAGACTTGAAACGACAAACATGATGTTACGACTCCATACCAAAATTGCGCGGAACAGTTTCAGTTGCGCGCGGACTTGTCGACACTTAGAATCGCAGCACAGCGGGCCTGGCATCTGCGCCTGGCATGGGGGGACCGGGACCTCCAGCGAAAATCGGATCGCGAGCCGGAGTCGCCCCCAAACCAAACTGCTCAGGCTGTGTGCAGGCAGCGTGCAGCCTGCTGGATGACCAAGAGTGCAGCGAAGCCAGCAATCCGCCGCCGGCGCAAAGGCATCGCCGTGTTGTATCCTGACAGGATTGAACTGAGCCGGCTCCAAGAAAAGGGGCGCCAAACCAAAGCATAAGATTTTTCCCGGCCAAACCACTGCTGTGAGCTTGGCGCCTTCGAAGGTGCTCGCACAAGCACGTGCAGCAAGCTTCTGCTATGTGCAATCCTGGGCAAGGCAGGCCCGAAACTGCGTCAGTGGTCCGTGACTCTTGAGTCTTCAAGTTAAACTGTTAAACTATTGCTGCTCAAATGCTCTATGGGCTGCCAGCAACGGGGCAACGTGTGGCGGGGAGCGCAAATCAATGCCATTAGTTGCAGTAGCCTGGCTGGTGAGGCTTGAGACTGCCTTCATTTGCGCCGAATGCTGCACTCTACTATGCTCTACTGCTGATACTGCGATGTTTCGCACCTGAGAGATCACTGTGCTTGTAGGACTGTCATATTGGACAGAGCGGTGCCAGACTTCTCATGTATCCCTCTCTAGGAACCACAGATCGCTGGACATGTGCATTGCAATGTGTGGATGTACTTGACAAAGGCCTCGCCATCAGTTTGCGCCATGTCAAAGCGGCAACACGAGCAGCGCTGATTATGGGGTGCGCGCTTCTTCCTGATGCCTTTTCGGAGTTTTTGTCGAAGGCGCGCGTGAAACTCCTAGCATTGACACAGGATCAACTCTCTCCGGCTCAGCTCTGCAGAGCTCAGGCCGACCTCGAAACTAGCCTGGCAAAAGGTTGGCACTCATGCTGAAGGGGCTTCAGACGCCGAGCGACGATGCTAAGGCAGACTTCCAGCCCGTCTGCCGAGAACTAACAACTGTCGAAGAGGGCGTGAAGGTCCGTTTCAGGCGAACTCTTGCTGGACCAATGCCCCGTAAGAGGGCATCCTCTTGATGGAACGATCAAGGCTTCCTTTTCAGCCAGCGCATCCCTTGGGGAGTCTTCTTCGGTTGATAGCAGTTACAGACCAGCAGTGGGCGCATTTCAACATCCTCCTGCTTTACGTAGCAGTCGACGCCTAGAAGATTAAAACCACCGGCAGTCAACTGCGACATCTGCGAGAAACATAAGCACACGATTGTGTGTTGATCTTACAGATCGACTCTTGAAAATAACATCTGCAGCTCTTGTCCTGCAGGATGGCTTAAAGAATTGAGAACGACATATCTGTAATGTCGCTGTAGAGCCATCGGCGGGCGCCGAAGGTGTACGAGCCGGGTACGAGCCGGGAGCCTTTGCTCACGGCTCATACCGCACGTAGGTGCCACTGGATCTGTACATCATGTCGATCTGCTTTTCGAAAGCCTTCTCGACAACAGGCCTCTTCAGTTTCTTTGTTGGGGTTAGGAAGCCCTGCTCTTCGGAAAAGTTTGTCGGCAGAATCATAAACTTCTGAACTTTGAAGGCATTGTTCGGGCATATCTTACCATTGCAGTTCGCAGAATTGATGGCCAGAGTTATCTGCTCGATCCAGAATCGATCATCCATGGCTTGCATGATCGTTGTCACTTGTGGATTCACCCGAGCAGCCCCGGCATCCAATTGATCTGTGCCTGGACTCTCGCCGTTGGCACCAACGGCCTTCAATGTCACTAAAGCCACGTTGTACTTGCGCTTGTCACCAATCAGCATGACTTCGTTAATGCCATCACACCAGCCCTTGATGTGGTCTTCAATCGGCACCGGTGCTATGTTTTCACCACCTTCGCCAATGATAAGCTCCTTGTATCGTCCGGTGATCTTGACCATCCCTGTTTGTGTGACCATTCCCTTGTCACCCGAATGCAGCCATCCTTCCGCATCGATCGTTTCCGCAGTCTTGCGCTCGACCTGTCTACGCTTTTGTACACTCACTCTGACACCCCATGATACTGCGGGCCAGCACCTTCTAGACTTTTGGACGTAGCGGATCAAACGACTACAATCTGAAGCACACCTGATGGCAGTCGGAGCTACTCGGGGCACGCTTGAAATGGCTGCCGTCTGCTCGACAGTAAAATGACCTTCCCTTCCGGCCGGCTCCGATTTAGGACAGGGCTGTCTTGGTTTCCTATGCAAGTAGCCTGATCACCAAACATGGACAAGGGCTGCAACTCGAACATGTAATTAATTAGAGTGTAAGTCTTTGAGAAATCAGCCTGCCTCCTTTACGTGATCTGCACCCAGGCTGGGCTGCGCCAAATAGCCCATCATGATACTGCGGCCTCGGAAACATAGCTCTCCCTGGAACTTTTCGTCAATGGAGTCGAGAGAGACCGACCGTGGACATTCCTCCTTCCTGTTCATGTCCGTTGAATCTACCTTGAACGCCTTCACCTCCACTCCTGGCAGCTGATAGCCGCAGGATCCCCACAAATGGGCCCTATCCGTGGAAATTGTGCAGGCGGCACAGCTTTCCGACATGCCATAAACTTCATTGATGTTGATGCCAAGGGAGCCGAAGTACTCCAGGGTGTCCACCCGGATTGGTGCAGCACCGGTGACTGCGAACTTGAGTTCATCGAGACCCAGAATGCCCTTCACCTTCTTGAGGACAAGCTTGCTGGCAGCGCCGTATGCGAAAGGCTCCAAGCCATCGCCTTCTATGCTGACACACCCTCTCAAAATCTACGGAACATCCTGTATTGCCTGTCCTGCAAGCAACCCTTCAATGCAAAATCAAATCGTCAAGTCGATTCGGATGGCATTAACCCACAAACGTGCGTCCAAAGTGAGTGTCCCTTGCCCGTGCTTCAACTGTGGAGACTTTCAGCAAACGATCGCTAGTGACGCCAGCGCATTGCTCCGTCTCGCCTCCCATCTGGCAAGCCCTTGCGTGCTGGAGGCCCTTGGCCTTGGCTCAGCGCAACACCGGTGCTACAAGTACGAGCACAGCAAAGCTGCTTTAGGCTCCTGGGTGCTTGGCCTTGGCCCAAGTCGAGAGCTTCTTCTTGATGCCTGTGGTAGAAGCGCCCACCGCACGCAGCCTGCGCAAAGACATTGCATGAAACTGCACTGCCCTACGCTTCATTTAAAAGGCAATGCGGATCTCTGCAGGCCTGTCTGCGATCTTCTCCCACACCAGCGGAACGCCAAGGAAGACAGTGGGTCTCGCAACCTTGAGTCTGTCCTTCAAACTTCCGGCTTTCAGGTCGTACGGCCTCGCGAAGTATGCTGTGACCCAGGCAGATGACGAGGCAGTCGCCACGAAGGGGAAGCACACGTCCACCATCTTTCCAGCTACATGTGAAAGCGGAAGGTACGAGAGGATGCGCTCCTGCTGCGCTGAAGCGCAAAGGCCCACGTGAGATCGAGCAACGTTGAGGAATGTCAGTGCCTCGAAAACCATGCAGTCATGTGACAGCATGACAGCCTTAGGCTCTCCAGTCGTACCAGATGTATACACAAGCACGGCACAATGTCCTGGCTGGACAGCTTTGCTACGTGCGTCAATGATTGCATCATCTTCCTTTGAACCAAAGTCCATGAGGTTGGACCAGCTCATAACCGGTACCACGAGGTTGCTCCCAGGAATCTGAATGGATTCACCTGGCGCCGGCTCAAAGCCGTAGCCAACGAAGGCCTTTATCTTGCAAGCAGACGGATCCTGACGCGCTGCTAAGGCCGCAGTGAGTCGAGTAAGCTTCCCTGGGTCCTCAACCACGACGATGCTGGCACCGCTGTGCACCACTTTGAAAGCAGCAGTTTGGGGCGTGTCTGTGGGGTAGAGGCCTCCCACTTTACCGCCTGCGAAGCCTGCAGCAAGAGCGCTGAGCATCCACTCCGGGGAGTTGAAGCCCCAAATGGCCACAGTATCAAAGGGCTCAAATCCGAGCCTCACGAAGGCTTTGGCAGCTTTGCGAGCGTCTTCATAGTACTCTCGATAGGTCCAGGTCGCCCAGTCCGCATCCGGGAGCGCCGGGGGGACGCCGGAATCAACTTGCAGAGCAGGGCACGGCTTCTCAGCTTTCAGAGCCGGCCGATCGCCCTTTTCATCGGCAGCTTTCTTCAAGAGCGACTGCAAAGTGTGCGGGGGGCACTCTGTGGCACCAGCTGCACCGCTTTTTGCTAATCGCGGCAGCACAAGGCCGTCGGGCTTGCAGGTATACCATGGGCCTGTGCCCTCATAGGGGAAGTAGTCGTCGGCATTAGTCGACACCGGAGCGACGGCCAAGACCTTTTGGGCACTTGCGCCACACCCCATGCTTCTACTTGCCCTGGCTGCTCCTATCTCGGACCGCCTGAGGCTGCCAGGAAAGGAGTCGCAGCCAGCGACACAGCACTCTTTTGCGGCGGCATGACGAACGTTTGCTGTGCCTAGAAGGAGTCGATGATGGCTGGCTCGGAGATGGGCATCTGTACTATCGCCTGCCGGAAAAATTCAGAGCTGCATCAGGTACCCCAAATCCAGGGCACTCATTCCATTGCAGGTCTGCCCTGCCCTCAGCGTGGGGGTCGGGTAGTGAGTTACACATATATTCGATGAATGTCGGAACGGATATCGATCCTTTGAAATCTCGGCCCCATCACGCCGTCGGGCAGTTGGGGCCTTGTCCTACAAAGACTTCAAGCATTGCGATTTGGGGCTTTGCATTCAGGATACGAGGTCTAGGGCACGAGGTTGCGGCCGCAAAGGCGTCGATGCCCTGTTTTGAACTACCTCTCCAATGCATGTACAATCATTCTAGAGCGGGTCTCCAAAATTGATTTAGGGCCTCGGGAATACACTAGTTGATCCTAGCGGTTGCGCATCCTTTGCAACCGGCTCTATATCTTAAATGGTGTCGACTGCACGCGAGCAAGCGGCTGAAATCAATGGCATCGTCCCTTGAGAATTCGCCAGAAAGATGCGGACCTCGTCAAGATGTACGAGCTCCTTGCAAACGATGTGCTAATGCGGTCAACTGAGGATTCTGCTGCCGCAGTTCCGCCGTTCTCGTTGATGCACGTGAGTGGGATCTCAACCAGGTACACCTCCGCGAAGGTGTGCTTACGTACTCGTGAACCTGCCTATTCGACCAAGGCCTGCTGAGGAACCAATACGGGCAGGAAGAAGCTGGGCCTGCAAAAACAGGACGTGTTGAAGTGAGCCGGGGGTCGATCAGTGCATGCCCTGGACCTGGGTATACGATACAGATTCTGATTGGTCGTGCAATGAACCGGCACATCGTAGAGTGCAGTGGCACCTGCCAGGAAATCAGACTTGGACAACAATCTGGAGCTGTGCAGCACGGAACAGAACCAAATCACCAGTAAAGGCCTGCTGTGCACATGACACCAATCTACTGAACCTCATCCCTCAAGCTTGGGGCAAATGCAATGCTGATTGCACAGGCCAGGACGACCAGCATTCTGTATCCGGACCAGAATCTTGAACTGTGGGCCCATGCCTGCAAAAGCAAGCATGAACAACGAATCGAAGCACTGCTGCAGCATGGCAACTTGTTGTGAGCAGCGAGGTACATGGAGCTGCTGTTTTGCGAGCAAGATACAGCATCGTAGTGACTCGGAGGGACTGTGATTACAAAGGCTGTCACAACAAGCGAGTATGGGTCTCAACAAATCATGACAGCCACCCGCTTTTTGCAACCCGGCGCGCCTAGGACCTGCGCATTGATGCGAACCTGGGCACCTGCAGCTGTGGACCTCAAACGCGTTCTTCTGAGTCTTGTCTAGCCGTGCTTGAAGATTTTGCCATCCGCATCCAGCAGGCCGTGCTGTAAGGCGTAAGGTCTGTGCATGGGTCCATGGCCACTTCCCAACAGATTCACGTACCTACGCTCGGCTCGTGCAACAGTGAATATGACACATCATGGCATCCTCTCGAAATCCTCTAAAAGCTCCAGTCTTCAGAAGTAGCCGGCATCTGTCATGTCGCACGCGCGGGCGGTGGACAGCCGTAGCCTGGGTTCAGCTTGACCAAAGTTCGAAGAGCTGAAGTATATCGGCGCCTGCACCGTTAAGCACTTCAGCCTTCAGCCTTCACTCAGAGCGGCACTTGCACAAGTCCCGCTGAAAGGTCCTGCAGCTTTCAGGGTAAACCATCTTGTTTGTGGTTGTGGTGTCATGGCATGACTACATGTCAACATCTGCGCTGGCATCCCAGTAAAAGGTTGGTCCTGTGCATGTCAATGGCTTGCTCTCTTTCCCTGCTGGTCTGCTCCACGTACCTTTGTTCGAGCGAGGTAGATGCAGAGGCAATCATCAACAAAAAGAAGAGGCTTACAACATTCGGATCTAGTTCCTGCAATGCCCAACAGGCTTCTGGCAGCTTTGTCTTCTTGGGCACATCCAAGGGTATGTCCTGCAAGCAGGTGCAGCTCATCACCGTAAAAGCTTCCAGCACAGAAGAGCTGACGATCCCACCTGCTCTGGCGGTGGGCCAACGGTCACAGATGTACCGTCCAAGTTGGCATTTCGCTGCAAGATTTTGACCTTGCCGTGCAAGCCCCTAAAGTTCAGATTGGTAAGTTTTCGAGTGATCTGAGGCTGGATCCATGAGTGCTCCTGATTTGAAGCTGAGGACCTTGTAACTTCAAGGCACTGTAGTTCTGTGCTTGCCCTTGCCTGCCGACTCTTCTGTGCTGACACGGTCAGGCTCGCACCATAGAGCCCTCCTCCCGGCCAAAGGTACCCAGCTTCACACCGGTTACCACATCATTCCTGGCATCACATAAGTCTGCTGCGACCTTAATCTAAGGAACAGCAAAGGACTGAAAGTGTTGCAGGGATTCGCAGGGGCTCTTGCGTTTCCACAGTAGCGATGAGGTGCTTGCCGTTGTACAGCCTCACCTCGTGAAGTGGAGAGAATTTGCAACACGCTGCAGCATTCTGACCGAAGTAGCATCACAACGCCTCTCCGTTCTGCAGTGCTACCACGAGAGCCTGTGCATGTGCATGAAAGTGCAATGCTGCAAACATATTTTATTCCACACAAGTGCTGGCCTTTGCAACGCGTGATTTTGTGATTTGAAGGAGCGACATGCAAGATATCGGACAAGGCCTCGAAGCGGAGTCTTCAATGCAATACAAGAGATGAATCAAGGTGACGTCATTGGCGCCGTGCAAATATATCGAATGGTTTTTCTTGCCCTTGAAGTGAAAACAGTGGATTACCTCAATGTCGCTACACACAAGATGCTGAACATAGGATCTCACGAAAGGCAGCCGAACTCTCAGAAGATGACATTGTCCATGCAGCCAACATAGACGTTTTTGTCCTAAGCAGCCACAGCTAGCCATAGTTGCGCAAGGTACATCCAAAACACATCCTTGCAAAGTTCGAGTGCGGGACAAATCGGACTAGTCCGACCGGCTGCGTCTCCAGTTCAATTACATTGCTCAGCACCTCTGGCCGGGTTGCGTGGCTAGCGAGATGGCTTCCGCAGAGTCTGTAATAAGTAAGTAGCAAATAGCAGCAGCGTCTCTGTGTCGCCATGTGCCTGTCCATTCTTGACGGTGTAGATGTTGCCATCCCGACATGCCACAGTTATCCTGCGACTTGAAACTGACTGCACGCATATGACTTCCAGCAGCACACGCTCGAACGTAGCGCCTGTACTCCACATCGAAGAGTCCCAGGACGGAAATGAATGTAGGCACTGCTTCGAGCTTCACCTGCCCGCCGCACAAAAATCACAGGCAAACCCCCTCCCATCACTCGAAGCATAACGGGTTCAAAACGGCAGTGCACGATATCTGTTACTGGCCTTGGCTGCAATCTCCAGAGCGGAGCTGTTCAGGATGTAAATCATCCTCGCATGCTTCGTCTCAAGCCGACTGCCCACGCAGTGCTGAAAAGCATTGCGCCATCGGAAAGGTCTCGGTCCTGTTCTCAGTACCAATCACCAACATGCTGACCTCAAATGAGCCAGTCTCGTGTGTTCTTCCGGAGGGTTCTGCTGTGGTCCTTTTCGGGAAGCCCTCAAACCTGGCTTCCACAGACTGTCAAGCTCTCTTAAGCTGTTTCTTGCGTGCAGCAGTCTCTGTAGGCAGGAAGGTTTAGTCCCGCTGCCTCCATGACACATACTCCTCAGTGCCCAACTTCAGTGCAGAACCCTCCGCAGCTCAGGAAAGCAAACCTTACCCTCACAATGCCCTGGGCTTAAGCCTCGACGGGACGGTGCATCGTACGATGATGCGGGGAAAATGCAGAGGCTGGGATACAAAGTCTCGGGTTGTGAGGTGCTTCTCTGTCGGCAACATGTAAAGCGTTTGGAATTTCAGACCCTTCTTGGACTCCCACAGCAGTCGGCTCATCCATGTTCTGCTTCAGGACCTGGAGGGATTCTTATTTCGTCTCATCCGATCCTCATGACAAGTTCACCTCCAAAGTCCAAGGAAGCTTATGTGAAAAAGAAGGTTGAAATCACGCTGTGGGTGGCCTCCATGCATGTTATCGCAGTCTGTTGCTGCAGCAGATGGTCCTCGATGCACGGCTGGTGCAAGCGAGGCAGACACTGGCAGATCTGGCATAGCAATGCATAGCATATATCATATATCTGCACAAGAGAAGTCCTCGTTTGGCCTGCACGCGCGGACGTACTCCGTCTGTGACTCCAGGTCCTGACAAGAAGCTGATTGGCCGAGTTTCCAGCATCAAAGCTGACTGGAGTTGCCTCCACGGCAAGAAAGTCAATCGACTGGTTGGACAAGGCTGTTCCGTTTTCACCTGGCAATTCCGACGTGGCTCCGGCCATCGGGGGGGAAAATTGACAGCCTGAGCTCCAGGCGAGCCGCGTTCAATTTGTCGAAGCCCGCTTGGACATCAGCTCCGTCCTGGGTCAGGTCCTGCAGGCGGTTCGCAGCGTCACGCAGCCACGGAGCTTCTCAGCCAAAAGCCTGCCAAATGTCTCTCTCGACTGGATCGATCTCCAAAGCTGGCAGCCTGTACCTTGAGAACGCAACGCATGCTGCAGCATGCCGCGGCGCTCTCTTCACATCTGCATCCCTGACAGCAGATGTCCTGAGCCTCATGCTGCATCGAAGGCCGCATGTTCCGAAAGATCAAGACCTCGTCGCTCCATGTCGCTGTCCAAGTCCAAATCACAGGAGCACCAACAGATGCGACTTCCACCCGTAGACGAAACTCTCTGTTCAGAGGCACCCGGTGTCCGCTTGCGACAGCCAGGGTGGGAATCGGTGGATGTCCAGCCTGCCGCCATGTGCCACAAAGCTTGGGAGGTATTTTGCGGAGCCTCAGCTGGGGGCCTCGTGGTAGAAGGACTGTACAGCACAGGGCACATCTGGCAGCTTGTGCTCCCATTGGATAGTTGTCCCCTGGATTCCAAACACAACGATGAACATGGGCCACAAGAAACGGTAATTTGCGTCCACCTTGTACATGCGAATTCGCTTCTTCATGTCCACCTTACAGGAAAATGCTGCGTGCAACACAACAGTGGTCGAGTTCAGCTTCTCAGAGCAGTACCATCACAAGGCGGTGATCGCCATCAGCGGCGAGGTCGGCAAGGCACAGGAACGACCTCACGTTTGCAAATGCCATGGGCAAGGGACTTCTCAAGACAGCTTGAGCCATCTGCGAATAGCAGCTCATTCCAGCCACCGGGTCGTGCCATGCCTGAGAACCAGCGTTGCAGAAGTCTGCACTCTGATTTACCGTCAGAGCTGCACTTCCCAAGCTGCTAAGCGCAGAACATCTAACCACGGGCATTTCTTCTTCTCCGGTTCATTGGCAGCCTGCAGTCCCATCTCGCACATGCATTCTCACGGCGGCAGCCAGGCTGAAACGGTGGCCTTGGCATCTGATCCTCACGGTACCATGAGCACTCAAAGCATGGCTACCAGTAGCCGCTTAAGTTCTCTTGCCACTGCCGCAGTGCGATATAAACACTGGGAGACACTTCCAACAAGTGACACTTGACAGCACCAACTCACGGCATAGCTTGGCCGTTTCGCCGGCCATAGAAGGCACCGGGTTTATTTGGTGGGAAATCGCACAAACCGTGCTGCCCAGTCCTGCGCCGTCTGCCATGCCCACGCCGGGCCTCAGATGCGCAGCGAGGTTTGCTTGACTGAGCTACTGCTTCTTGGCGGGTTGAATCCACAGTTGTGCGCACTTGCTTTCGCCAGGTCCCGCTGGAGCTGTGAAGATCAGACCCTCTTGAGTAAGCTCATGCATTCGCTTGCAGGAAACCCTTAAAGCTGGCTTTTCTGGCGGGCTCTTCTTAGCCTAAGCTGCAAAACTCTTTGTCTTTTAACTGCAACGAACTCTACTGTAAGCAGTGCAGTGCAGAGCACTTGTTTTCCAAAAGGTGGGGTGCAGTGGCGAAGCCACCGTCTCTGTCTGAGAACACCTGCGACCTTGCTCTGTGCCGTCTGTGACTCTGCCACGTCTGAGAGCGGCTAAGCAAAGGTCTGCGGCAAACCGACTGTTCAAGAACTGGGGAAGACCGCGAACGGCACTCACGCCCCTTGGTCTGTGCAAGCCCATTGGCCGTCTATGAGCCCGTCTGCTACTGACTGGCACGTCAGACAGGCCTGAACTTGGGCAAAGTCAACTGTTTCTGTTACACGCAAGCCTGCAAAAACTGTACGTCCACAGAGGAGTCTGTCGTGGCCTACACGGCTTACGTGAACAACACCACTCCTCACATTAGTGAGGAATTGGAATTCATTACTGCCAGCGACTAAAGCAAGACTGTGGCTCACACTCTGCAGAAGCTGTACATCTTCGGCTGAAGACCCTGCTGACTCTGCCTCTGAGGAGCTTCCACTGTCTGAAGAAGACGACTGCGCAGCGGCTGCTTGTGCTGGCTGGGCTGCAAGTGACTTGGGCGCGGCTGACGAGGCTGCTGCGTCTAGGCGTTCACCGTCACGTTGCCAACGTCCTGACCTGGTAGAGTCTGGTTTGAACTTGCCGGACCTCACGTCGTGTAGAACCTGGCAAAGGTGTCTGAGGGGTCCTGCAAGAGAGTCACGGCCGTAGCTCATGGCACTTGAACTCTTGCCGCGACTGTGGTAACCTAAGAGTGTCTGGTCACCGTCTGGTATGCCTGCTTTCATGGTCCAGCTAAGGCACGTTGCCTTGAGACCTTGGCTGGACATCTTCAAGATGTCGTCTGCATTGCTACCAGGCTGCTTGGCGAGTAAGCACCTGAGCCACCTTGATGCTGTCGCTGAGTCCATATTGACTGGTAATAGACTTCCATCTGCCGCCAGTTCTGGTAGAAGAGGACTGTCACTGAGGCTACCTTCGCACCGAAGGCCGAGGTCACTCCTGAGCTCTAACCAGCGTTCAGCCCACGCCTCAACGCAGATTCCTTCGGCTGGAGCGACTATTGGCAGAAACATATTCCGCCGTCGACTGGATTTTGACTGCTTAGGGTTCAAAACTGTGCACTCTACAAAAACAACTTGCCCTGCATCATCTCTGTCGATGATCAGCTTCTGGCTGCGTTTCACATCGCTGTGTCTGGCTCTAGCGTACACCATAAAGAGGAAGGTGGCCGCCAAGTAGCACTCGTGCTGAGACTCGTCTGAGACTGAAAAAGACTGAAGCCACCTGACCTGGTCTGTGCTCAACGCGGGCGCCTGCTTGCTTGGCTTCTGCTTCCTGAGGCTTTGGTGTGCGAGTCCTTGCACTTTCGGACTGACTAGTCTCGCTGCTGGCACCTGAAGACCCAGGCTGCCCTCACTGAAGTTGAGGGCCTGACACAGCTGGTCTGGGGCGCTGCTGCTGGGCTGCTGACTAGTCACGTGCTGACAGTACAAGAACACCAGAGGCTCGCTCAGAGGCTCGTGAGGGAAAGCCTTCAGCGTCCAGGCTGCCAACCTCTGGAGACTGCTGACCCTGTTAAGAAGTGTGTTTGTACTTTTCTTGGCGAACCTGAGGTCCAGGTTCCCAAGCTCCACGCAGCTGTCTTCGTTGGCTATTTCACTGACTGTTTCAGGCTGGAAAAAGTGAGGCACTGCTCGAAGAAGCGGACTCCACTTTGACAAGGCTGCTTGTCTCTCTGCCTGACTGTCCTGAGGCTTCCACTGACTGAGGGCCCTGAGTTTTGGCCGAGGGGCCGCCGGAACAGCCACCGCGGGACTGCTACTGGACTGCTTAGGCCAAGGCAGAGGTACTGGAGAAGGCTGTTCCAGTAGAGTGGCCTGTAAGTCGTCTAGGAACGTTCTCTCCTCAGAAACGAAGCCGAAGGTGCCCCCTTCCCAAGGCAGCTGCAGTTCTGACCTGGCTCTTTTGACGGTGCCAAAACCTAGGCCACACTCCCAACTGGGGTCAAGAGCCCTTCTCATTAGGGATGCGGAGGGAGGGCTGAAAAATTCTCGGCTCTTGAGCCAAAATGGACGTTCAGTCGGCAGTTAAAGTCTGATACAAGTATGCAAGTCTTAACTGCAACGAACTCTACTGTAAGCAGTGCAGTGCAGAGCGCTTGTTTTCCAAAAGGTGGGGTGCAGTGGCGAAGCCACCGTCTCTGTCTGAGAACACCTGCGACCTTGCTCTGTGCCGTCTGTGACTCTGCCACGTCTGAGAGCGGCTAAGCAAAGGTCCGAACGGCACTCACGCCCCAACTTCTTTCAAGAGGCCGGTCTGCGGTGTCCTCCTAGTCTGACGGCTTCAGGAACTGTTGTGGGACTGCACCTCTGGCTAAGCAACGTAACCACCCCACCTTCACTTCCTTTTCTATGGCTGTTTCAAGGAAAGCGGCTTTCTCGCCCCGACTGGGCGCGTCTGCAGGGTTGCTAGCACTTGGAACTCTAGCAAACCAAGACTGGAGTAATCATTGACCCTTTGCACCGAACCAGAACCACAGGGTTTAGATCCACAGGGCTTGTTCGACAGAGTTGGCTTTTAAAAACTTTTACAGACTTTTAAAAACTTTAAAATGCAAGAAAAAACATTCTAAACACTTTTAAAAACTTTAAAAGACTTTTAGAAACTTTAGAAGACTTTAACAAACTTCAAAAGACTTTTCAAAAAAATAAAAGGCTTTTAAAATATTTAAAAGACTTTTAAAAACTTTCAAAGACATTTAAAAGCTTTAAAAGACTTTAAAAGACTTTTAAAAGCTTTTAAAAACTTTTACAAACTTTAAAAGACTTTGAAAGACTTTAAAAAACTTTTAAAATTGTTAAAAAACTTTAAAACACAAAAAACTATTTTTTCTACATTTTTACGGTTTTTTCCAAGAAGACGAGGATGAAGAAGATCTGGCACAGGGTTTAAAGTTTCAGGGTCTTTAGGGTTTGGGGTTAGAAGGCAGAGTGCCATAGTATTAGGGGTTTGAGGGTATTGAAAGGGTTAGGGTTACAGCTTCAGGGTTTTAGGGTGTAGGGGTAGAAGGCAGAGTGCCATGGTATATGGTTGAAGGCTAATGGCTGAAAGGCAAAGTCCCAAAGTCTTCAACATGAATGGGCTTCAGTTTTGGTAGTTATCTTGGAATGATCGTGGCTTGGCTTCGGGCTTTTGGTCGTGCCCAAACCCCCGCTCAACAGCTCCAGGTACTCCCGCACCCTCGTACTGTACCACTACTGTACAACTACTTTAATACTACTGTACTACCACTTTACTACTACCCTCTTACAAGTATACTTCTGTACTGCTATCGCACCGCTACTGTACTACGACGGTACTACTTTTGTACTACTGTACTACTACTGTGCTAGTACTTGTACTACTACTGCACGACACACCACTGCACCGCACCAGGCCTCAGACGTGGTCGATTGTGGAGGGGAGTGTAGGTTGGAGGCAAAAGTCTTCAGAGTGAAAGGTTTGCAGTTTTGGTAGTTCTCGTTGAGTGACCGTGTCTTGGCTTCGACTTTTGGTCGTCCCCAAACCTCGCTAGACAGCTCCAAGTACCCCTAAACACTGCACTGTATCTACTACTGTACGACTGTCGTACTACAGTACTACTATTGTACTACTCTACCCTGTTGTACTACTACTGTACCGTACCAGGCCTCAGACATAGTCGATTGTGAAAGGGAGTGTAGGTTGGAGGCACAAGTCTTCAAAATGAAAGGTTTTCAGTGTTGGTAGTATCTTGGAGTGATCGGGGCTTTTGGTTTCCAGCCTTTGGTGATCCCCCCAAACCGTTAAACAGCTCCAAGTACACTTAAAAACCTCGTACCGTGTTACTACTGTACTACTACTGCATTACTACTGTACCATTACATGCATTACTACTGGACGATTACATGTACTCACCTGTGCATCATCGAGCTTCTTCTTGTATCTCTGCTACCTGTGATGTGGCGGCCGTTTAATAGCCACCCCCCCTCGACCAAAGGTTCTTGGTTTGAATAGTCTGGTGTCCGTGACCCCCTGGACCGGGGTTCGGCTGGCTGAGGGTCTGAATGGCTTTGGATAAGTTAGAAGGGAAATGGGGGGTCGCATGGTCGGTTTGAAACCTGCGCGAACGCCGCAATCGGGGGGATTGGGGATCACCAAAAACTTGAAAACAAGCCCCGATAACACTGCAAACCTTTCATGTTGAAGACTTTTGCCTCCAACCTAACCACCCTCACGATCGACCAAGTTTGAGGCCTGGTACGGTACAGTGGCGTGTAGTACAGAGTACAGTAGTACAGTAGCATAGTAGTACATTGGTGCAATGGTAGTACAGTAGTAGCACAGTACAAGCACAGTAGTGTGTTTCATCGACTCAAGCAGGGAGCGCCCCTGTAAACTTTGCTTTGTGTGGGTGCTTTGACTTTGCTCTTTAAAGGTTTTGCTGTTTGCTGTCATATCTGGTATCTATATGTGCTTATAGGGTCATGGCTTTGAGTTTGGCGCGGGGGCGAGGCTGGCCTGGGAGGTGGGCTGATAAGGCGCAAGGGCGAGGGCTGGGGACCGGGCTCGGGACTTCATAATTTTTGAAGACGAATTCCTGGCCGTTGTTTTAACGCGGTATTTACAGGCTTTCTGCTCGGTGGCGGCTCACTTCCGCCAGATTTTGCCAACAGATGCGGTGGTGGGCTGGGGTTGGGGGCTGGGGCCCGCAAGGGGTGTCCGATTAGGTTTTGAAGAATCGCGGATCCCAAAATCACGGATCGCAAAGAGTGTCTCCCTGCAGGTTGTATTAAAAATAGGTTCCCAAATCATGAACCGCAAGGGCTCCCCCTACGGCTGTCCAAAAACTCGCAGCTCGCAAGGGGTGTCCGGTGCCTGTCCCCAAACCAAAATCATCAAATCGCAATGGGTGTCCCCCGAAAGTAGGGGGTGGGTCGGGTGGGGGGGGGTCGGCTGGGGTGGGGGTGGGCTGGCTGGGCTGACGATGCGGCATCTTGGAATTGGGCTGGGCTGGGGGCGGATGGCCGGTCCCCGGCTCAATCACCCCAGTGTGGATTGCTTTTCCCTTTTCCTAAATTTGGGCTCTCCTTTTTTGAAAAAAACATTACCGAAACAAACTTGACCAGACTGAGCCAGGTTTTCTATATCTTGTTTTGCTTCCAAGCAGGAGGCGACGTTGTGATTCGCTTTTTTGTGAAGAAGTTTTGAGCCAAGACACACAACAACAGACTTGCACAAAACAGTCACCAAGCAAACACAAACAAGTAGCAACATGCCAAACGCATGCGAATACTGAAATTGACTAATAGCATCACACCACTAATACAGGTTAATGTGGGGGTCCTTCTGGTCCGGTGTGCCTAGTTGATGCGTGTTTCCCGTGCTTATTCGGGCTGTATCAAAAAAATGGTGGCCTAATTAATGATTAGTGCGTTCTTTGTTGGGCCGACTGATTTTATGTATTTCTCTTCTACGACTGTCCTACTACTGTACTATTGCAATACTAATGCACTGCTGTACAGGAGTGTAGGCCGGACGAAAAAGTTCTCAACATAAAAGGTTTTAGTGTTGGTATCTTGGAGTGATCGTGGTTTGGACTTTGGTCGTGCCCACACCCTGCTAAACAGCTCCAGGTACTCCCACACCCTTGTAATGTACCCCTACTGTACTACCACTTTACTACTACCCTCTTACTACTGTACTTCTGTATTGCTATTGCACTGCTACTGTACTACTAAATATGGTACTACTCTTGTACTACTGCATTACTACTGTGCTATTACTTGTACTACTACTGTACGACACACCACTGCACCGCTCGAATCCATGTGGGGAAGGTCGGCATTTCAAGGAAACCCTAAACCCTTAGACTCGATCACAACCCCCAACTTAAATTGATAAACTACTTTAAAAACAAATACAAACAAATTTGTAGACGTAGAACAGCAGGAAGCCAGGTTGAACAGCAGGATGCCATTTATCATTTGACTCAATCACAACCAAAAATATTTATATTGATGAAATAAGCACTTCAAAAACAAATAAAAAAATTGTAGACGTACAGCTGCAGGAAACCAGGTAGAACAACAGGAAGCCATTTGACTCAATCAGAAACAAAAACTCATAATTCACAAACATGTATTTTTTTACACCAAAAATAAAATTAAAAAAATTTAACAACTGTAAAACACAAAAAACATATTTAAAAAACTTTTAAATACAAAACACCACTTTTAAATGCAAGAAAACACTTTTAAACACAAATAAAGCCAACCACATACAAAAATAAGATTTTGGGTTCCTTTCATATAAGCCTTGTTGATCTAAACCCTGTGGTTCTGGTTCGGCGCAAAGGGTTAAGGAAGTAAGAACTCCTCTTCGCAACAAAGGACCGTCTGAAGAAGTCTGTAATTGGAGTCTGGGAAACCCCTGGCACTGATCAGGCAGTGTCTGGCTGCATCATTGTCTATCCACCAAGTCACTGGCCACTCTGCCATGGCTGAGCCCCAGAGTGCGGCTGCAACACAGACTGCCAACATTTCGCACTGCAAGATGGGGTGGCTGGTGCCTTCATCCAGCCATGACTGCACTATGTCTTGTGGCACTGTTGCCTGGAACCACTCTGTGAGCTGACCTGTCGGGCTGCAGAGAACTCCACCTATGCGCCCCAGCCCTGCTTCAAAACTGCCGTCAGTAAAGACGTTGTATGCCTTGGTCGGTGGCCTTTTGAAGGCTCTGGGCTTGGCTGTGGGCACGTGCTGCTGCACCCAGACTAAAGCGTCACGCAGCTGAGGAGAGAGCTGCAGCTGTCTGTTTCTGCCTGGCCTGGTTCCGTGCTCCAGGATGGTGCGGAAAGCCCATCTGCCTTTCCGACCGAAAATCTGAGCGTCTAGCCACCTCAGCCTGCCTGCAAATGCCAGGCACTCTGCTGGTGAGAAGGTTCCAGAGGCTAGTGCCCGCTGGCAGGTCGCTGTGACTTCCTGCTTTCTGCCTTCTGTGTTGCTGACTCTGACAAAGCCCGAAGGCGTTCTGGGCAAAATATAGGCTATGCCTAGACTGACAAAGGCCTCTGCGAAAGACTGAGCTTTACTGCCTTCCAGGGCCGCGCGCCACCCTATAGCTTCAGGAGTAGCAAGAAGCAGGTCTCGACACTCTGACTATCCTCTGCAACTGTGACTGAGGTGTAGTCATCAAAGAATACCGTCAGGGGCAGCAGCAACAGGCTGACTGCAATCTGCCAGATTGCAAGACTGCAGCGGCTAAAGCCGTGAACGCTTCCTGTGGCTCCGAAGGGCAAGGCTTTGAGCGCTAGGACCGCAGGAGCGGCTGCGTCTGGATTCCACACCGAAACCTTTGCAAACGGAAGGTCCTCAGTGGCTATGCCGAGCTGCTTGAAAGCTGTCTTTAGATCGAATGTTCTCCCTTTCATCCCTGCTGGCTGAGACGCCCTCCTTCTGCTGGAGAGGCATCGAGACTGTATATGCAACGCCAGCGATATGGTGCTAGAAGATGGCTGCACGACTATCTTTTCGTCTGAACCCAGACTGGAGTTGACTGAACTGATTGAGAGATCATCGATTGGCCTCGTTTTGTCGCCTTGAACGACAGGGAAGCGGCGGCCTAAAACGCAGTTCTCTGGAGCTTGGGTGTGGCCAGTTTCCAAGGTGGCCCAGCCTTGGGCACACTCTTTGAGGCTTTGTTCCCAAAGCTCCCTGTCAAGCTTGGGGTCTGCGCTTGGCTTGCACTGGCTCCAGATCTGTTGGTTGTGCTTTTGCCTGTTTTCCCAGACCTCATCTCTGTGCATGACTGGCGGCACAACCTTGCTGGGTCGAGTGTCTGTGTCCGGCAGCCAGCCTGTGATCCGAAAGCCTGAGCGCATGTCTCTGACCAGCTGCTTGTCTGGAAAGCCTATTCCCTGCAGTATTGTGTCGAACAGCCTGAGACGCTTTCCTTTTAGGATGTCCCGCATGTGAGGCTGCAGCTGACTATGGTCTGCATCCTCTTGCTCTTGCAACTCCTTAGCCATGTCGCACAACGAGCGCAGCCGCTGACAGCGCAACTTGTGGATCTCGGACAAACTGCGGCTGCTCAGGCTATTCACTGTCCTCTCCAGGGCTTCAGGCAGTGGCGGCAACGAGCAAGCTGGGTGCTGACTGGTCACTGCTGCCTTGAGGAAGTCCGGTGGCTCGACTGGCTGCCCGACTAAGGCCCACCAGACTCCCTGCTGGACTACTACTCTGACTGTAGTGGAGCCTTTGGGCGTCCTGAAGGCGTACGCCTGGCACAAACTTGGTCCTGTCAGAGTCGCTGTCGAGCTTCGCCCACTGCTGACCCTGAAAGGGGTCCACGGTCACTGGCGCGTGCGTAGCTTTGGGAAACAGACCCAAAGAGGCCCTTTCGGCTGCTGCAAAACGCTGAGTGCCATGCCACAGACCCGGTGCCTCGAGTCTGTTCTGGTCTACGAGCTCCTGTGTCAGCAGGGCTGCCCAGTGCCTGCAGAGGGCCTGTGGGTACGCAGCCTCTTCTGCTGTGGACCAGACTGATCCAGACTTGCCCCAAGGCAGACGTACATGCTTCAGTCCCGGGTGACATCTCAGTGTCAGGGCTGTTACTGACTGGGCGCTCGACCAAAACGTGGTCGCTTTTCGCCTGGCTCCCCCGTAAACGCAGCTATCGAACGTCCCGAAATGGATCTTGTCCTTTTCGTCTCTCCAGAGGCTCTGCATGGGGGTACACAACCAAAACAAGCTTGACTGCGGATTTTCTAAGGACCAGCTTATGTCCGCCTCAATGCAAGCCCTGATGACCAGCACCGTGAACTGGTAAAGTCTGTTTGCTGCCCTGACACGTTGTCTCTGCATGAAACCTAGCGATGGCAGCCCATCGGGGTGCAGCGGACTGCGGAGTGGCTGGGGTGAGCCTGCACCTGCATGGATACTTCTTGCGGCACTACTGGTGCCGCAAGGTGGGGCTAGGTGCACTGCTAAGATCCTTTTGGAGCGAAGAAGATCAAGAATTAACTTCTGGCTCTGAGGCAGTGCCAGATCTAGACTGAGCCCTGCAACTCCACTGGGCTTGACTGAGTCGACTGCCAAAACTTGCAATCCCAGCCTGGCGAATGCCTTAGACATTCGAGCTGTTCCTGCGAAGAGTTCTAGGAAAAGCGCGCCCCCGCTGCCCTGCCCTGCCGAAGCTGGCTGAGTCTGCTGTGCGGACTGTTGCTCTGCAGAAGGGGGCTTTGAGGTCTGTACCCTCTCCTGTTGAGGTTCAACAACGACTGGAGAGTCTGACTGAGCTGGCACTTCAGTTTCAGTGTGCGCCAGGTCTGAGGCGACAGCGGAGGCTGCCTTGGCTAGTTTTGGCTGAGGCGGCTGTTGCACAACAACTGGGCTGCAAGGTGCACCGCCTGACTGATTTTCAACTGCTGTGGCGAAAGCCGAACTTGCGGTGACCTGTGGAACCACTGGCTCGTGTCTCACCACTGTGCTGGGACTTCACTTGTCGCAGGCTGAGTACGAGTGCTCACCATGACACTTCATGCAGATGTGCAAGCCTCGGCGGCAGGACATGCCAAGGTCGGTCTGCCAGGTCTCTTCGCTGCAGCCGTGCGGCAGACTGTGGTTGAAGCAAATGGGCTGACCCTTGAAGTTGGGGTCTAGGCCCTTGAGCGCGGCTGGCAACGACGTCTGAGTCTTGTCTTTGCCTTTCCCGCTCTTGCCTTTTCCACTCTTTCCTGCCTGCCACGCTTGCTGCATGAACTTACCTTTGCCTTTGCCTTTTCCGCCTTTATCACCTGCGAAAGACTGGTCCCAGGTTCTTTTGAAAGGCTGCTTCTCAGGCTTCTCTGGCTTGGGCACCGGCACAAGAAAGTATGCCACCTGCATGCTATGCTGCCAGTTCTTGATGGCATTGTCTATTGCGGCTGCTTTGGCCCTGTGAATTCGCTACCAACTTCTTCAGCGACTCTCACCCACAACTCTCTGTCTGCCCTGAGAAGCGAGTCTATGCCTGGTGCATCAAACTTCGGTGGCGGAGGCCTATGCAGGTGCTCAAGCAGGGATCTGGCCTAGGCCTCGTGGACTTCGAAAGTCCCAATGCCTGCCATTTCCATGGCTAGGCCACGCCTGCTGAGTGCCTGTGCCACCCTGAGCTCTGTCGAGAGGTCGACCTTGAGCGGCTGAGGTTTACTGGCTAGGCGCAGGGCCGAGTTCTCGAGCCTAAGGAGGTGCTCGTCCTTCTTGACGTTTGAAACCTCCTGCTCTCTGCAACTGCAGCGGTTCAGTGGCACGTGGCGGACTGATTGGTCTGAGATCATGCTGCTGAAGGCATCGACTAACTGATGACTTGGCTCGTACTGGCCGGAGATGCGAAAGCTCCCGAGCTTCGACTGTAAAACCTGGAGGCGACTGCTTCGCTCTTGTGTGGAGAGTCTGCGGGTCGGCTCCGAGCTTGGCTGCTCCAGACTGCTTCTCAACTCAGCGACGACAAAAGTGCCTGCCTCGAAAAGAAGTCTGTTGACCGCTGAGGCGACTGAGTCTGTGGCTGGGGGCTTCATGCCCTTAAGCAGACTATCCAACTTGCCACTGTCGATGGCATTTGGTGCGCTCGCAACGCGAAAGAGAAGCTGCGAGTAAGTCTGTATTCCGTCTGTCACCCAGGCTGTTAGGCTTTCCTCAGGGACGCCGTGCTGAAGGGCCTTTGCCTTGAAGGTGACTGTGGAGTCACTGACTGAAGCCATTGTCCTGCACACAACTAAGAATGTTCTGGTCTAAGTGTCATAGGACTGTCCTTGGCTGCCCTTGGACTTCCAGAACTTCTGCCTGCGCGAGTCAGGCACAAGCCAGAACTGCGACAGCAAAGGCTCCCGGCCTGTCTTTGCTTGCCTGGCACACAAGTGCGGCAAGCTAAAACGCTGACACCTCAAGGTGCAGCTGGCCTGGGAGCCAAAGTGTGGCCTGGCTCAAGCCGGCTGAAAGCACAAGCTTTGTTGAGTGGGAGCCGTGCCTGCAGAGGTCCCCAAGGACGACTGCCCAAACCCACGGACTCGAGCCAAGCACGGGCGAGCGAGGCTGGCACGGCTAACATGACTGCACAAGCAGACTGCACTCAAGTGCTGAAGGTCTCTTATGGCTGCTGGGCGGCAGTCACCAGGTAAGGTCTGAAGAGACTGCAAAAGACAGCGGCCGAGACTGTGAAAGCAAGGGCACACAAGTGCCTATTGTAAAGGCCCAGCCCACTGGGCTGAAGAAAGCAAAACCTGCCGTGGCTACCTAAGCTGCTGCGTCATATATGATTGCCCAGGGCTGAAGCAGGCTGCAGGGCTGAAGACCACGAGACTGCAGCGACTAAGACAGACTAGGACAGGCTAACACGACTGAGAAAAGGCTGCACTCACTCTCACCAAGGATGGGGGGGGAGGCGGCCTGTCACGTGGAGACTTGAAGAAAAAGTAGCACTGCCTGAGACCATACAGGAGGTACCTCGGCTGTCAGCGTCTGCGGTGGCTGCGGCTGGACCCTGACAGCATGTTGTTGGCTAAGCGCTTCGTGACTGAACCCCCCGCCTGGAGCATGGCATCGCGGACAATCGTGATGGGTGTGCCACGCGCCCCCATCCTTGGTGATCGTGAGGGGCCTGCTGCAGGCAAAAGCCTGGCATTGTGGACACACCGACAGGCACAAGCCGTCGGTGGTGTGTCCGTGGTCCCTCAGTGCCCTGGGCAGGCGGCTCACTCTGACTGTGCTGAGGCTGGGAAAGGCTAACGAGTAGGGCGGCACCTGCGGCAGCAGGCCTTGAGCGCCTACGGCTGCCCATTTGGCACAGCCGGCATTATAGCCGACCAGGTCGTTTGGGAACGCCTGGAGTGCGACTGGGTTGGCTACAAACGGCTGTGCCGGCCGAGGCTGCAACGGCTGTTGGGCTGGCTGTCGCAGTGGGCCCGCTACAGGGCCGACCCCTCGCGTTCCTGGCTGCAAGGCTGGCTGAGGCTGTTGCAGAGGTGGGTCTGCAACCGGAGCCGGTGACTGAGCCTTGGCTGTGGCTGTCTGTGCTGCCTGAGGCTGTGGCTGCGCCGGGTCTGCCTGAGTCGCTGTGGCCTGCAAGACTAGTGCCGACAACGAAGGAGGCGGCGAGACTGTGGGAGCCTTAGCTGGTGGCTGGCCACACGGCACCTGAGTGAGAGCCATTGTCTGTGGCTGGGCTGGCGCAGGCTGTGGCATCGCCTTGACTGGAGGCGACTGCTTGCCCTTTCCAGTGCCTTTCTTGCTGAGAGGCTGCAAGGTTGGCATGGCGGCCTGAGCTTGGGCTAAGCCCGGCTGTGTAGTCTGAGGTGCTGGCGCCTGCTGTACCAAAGCCTGCTGTGTCTGAGGGGCCTCAGTCTGGTCGGCCCAAGACCGACTAGGTGCGGGCTGAGGCACGTCTTCTTCCTCGGTGGAGGTCGAGTCACCATGCAACCGCCAAGTTGCAGTGCCTAAGTTGGTGTCTACGATCACCTGGAGGCCACGGTCTTGGGCGTCTCGGACCTGGCTGCTGTGCTCCACGACTTGCTCTAGCCTGCCCTGCAGATCGACTGGCAAGTTGGAAAGGCTCTCCACAAGAAGATCACCATCCAGACTCATCAGTGCCACCCACTGTTCTTCCGCCTGGTGGACACGATCCATCCAAGACTGCTCAGTGGGCTGCTGCATGGCTGCAAGGTCTTACGGCTAGCTAGGTCTACTCTGAAAAATTCTCGGCTCTTGAGCCAAAATGGACGTTCAGTCGGCAGTTAAAGTCTGATACAAGTATGCAAGTCTTATGCTTGTCGCCATGCTCGTCACCGGCATCGGCGTGACTTTGCTCAAGGTCCATGCAACATCTGCCGAGTTGGGCTTGCAGTTTGGAATTTTCGCTCCCCTCGCAGCCTCGCATAGGCAGTCAGACGGGCAGCCGGACAGACAGACAGACTCGTGCACGCAGCAAGAATTTCCAAGCAGGGCCCCCTGGACATGCAGTACACGCCCTCGCCTCTCGCGGTATCGCAGGTCTCAAGGCATGCTTCAGGGTCGCGGAAGTTCGGGAACTGGGTATGTTGGTTGACATGCAAACCTCGTGCTTCAAGATCTCATCAAGGGATGCATGGAGCATCATGGAGCATTCTGGATGGCATGCAACAGTGCCGTTGCTTGGAAGCAGTCGCAGGCTGTGCCAGACTGCTTCTGCAGAGTGCTGTGCATCGATGTACAATGTACGGAAGTCTGGACTCTGACACTGAGGGCCACCGCGTATTGACAAATCAGCAAGCACTGGCAGCAGCCGATTGACCTGTGCGTCAAAACGACATGCAAGAGAGCCGCGAACAGAAGACCCAAGCTCTGTCCCTGGTTTCGGTGCAGAGCAAGTACGGGTTGACAAAAGCAGGCCTTGTGGTGTCTGGAACGGCACAACGGGACCCCTGGCGCTTTTAGCCATGAAAGAGCCCGATGATATGTTTTTTGTGGCTGGGCTGAAGGCTTAGGGCCAGTCTTTTTGTATGTGTGAGGTAAACGGTCTGCATGCCCATCAAGTATGGCAAGCTCATGATGTGTCTGCCTGGCGAGTTAGCACAAGATGGGAAACTCCGTATCGACGGCCTCATCATGCTCCCAGTCTGCCATGTACTGGTGTGTTGGTCTACGTTCGTGGGTTGGCTCGATCTGCGCACAGCGGCAATCAAGCCTGACTACAGACGGCGCTTTCTGGATTCGCCTTTGAAAAGCTTCACAGGCCTGACTCCATTTCTCGACCGCTCGCCATCTTCGTCTCGACTCGTTCCTGTCTTCCTGCTCTGTACAAGGCTCCTGTACATGCCTGAGCAAGCCAGCAAGAAAACAGAGCACCAACTGCCATCCGTTTAAAGTGTGAATTCGGGCTCGCTACCGACTGCTGAAACAAGTCCGAATGTCGATGCAACGTCCATGGGATTAGCTCGAAGAACAAGACAGACTTCTGAAGCAAGCCTTCCAGCAATCTCGTTTGCAAGTCGGACTGGGCTTCTATAGTGCTGGAGCGGTGAAACGAGGTTCACTGTTGTCGGTTGTCGGTATTCACAAGCTCACAACCTGTACTGCTCTGTCCAGCTTCGTTTCTCGGGAAGCGGATGTCAAACACATGGTTCGGCGTGACGCACAGTAGTTACACTTCCAGCTGACCAGCACAGTTCCAGAGCAACCCACACCCGCAGGTTACCATGACGGCATCATGTTATTTCTCGGAATCAGAAGCAGCTTGGTGCCATGCGCTGTGGCGTAGTGAAGACTCATGCAAAATTTCTGAAGCCTGGAGTGGGATGGCGAAAGAAATGGCTCTCACGGGCTGAGAAACAAGCAAGCTTTGCGCCTCTTCACTTGTCGCGAAGATAGGCAGCGGACTCCTCACAGGGCTTCTAATTCTTGCCGGCTGTCGGAAACCGAGAGAACAAACTGTGCGGTGACTACTGTACTGCTACATGGGTTGGAACATCGCAGAGCTCATGTTCAATCCTGCCAGCCCTGTCCCCCTGTCGCTCGCCTGTCATCACTGGGTAGTGGCCCTTCCGACCCCTCCTGCGACGATGCACGCGACGTCCAAGCTGCAAAGCAAGATCGAATTACTGCAGCATAGGCCGACGTTTGAAAAGAGACATCAGAAGCGACTCCTCTGACACGCTCTCTCTGGATTCTTGGGAACTATTTTCAGTGGAGTGAGGCGATGAAGTCGCCGACGACGACGTTGTTTCCCTCAGCTGGCTTCTACATCGATCGATTTCGAAGTTTGCCTCTGCGGGCAGGTAAGAAGCTGAGGCTGCCGGCATTATGTGGAGGAAAGGGTCGAAGATGTGCAGGACCTACAGTGTCATCACATGTTGATGGCTTGCTTGGTCCTTGCCAAGCAAAAAGCACAAGAGATCCTTCCCATTGATGGCACACTGATCTTCGATGCATCTAAAGCCTCTTAAACCATGGAGCATGCCAACGCTTGTGTAGGTCTTGTGCTCCGTCAAACCATAGCGCTGAATTGATAGTCGCAGCTTGTTTTAGAAGGGATGTCGACATCACCTCCAGGTCCTAGGTCAGCCTCTGCACTGCACGCCTCTCAACACAGGCTGTCATTCAACACCCAAGGTTCGCAAGACTCCACCGTACTACAGCCCAGACTCGTTTCGACGGACTGTCAATGAGCCACCGTTTTGGAGGAACCACACTGGGATCCTAGCTAGAGGTGAAGCCTCGAACATGCCGGGAGGTGCTACCGTCTCGGACCTTGGCGGTGATTCACGGCCGTAAATCAAGTCCAAATCACAAAGCTCTCTGAATTCTATTGCACCGACGTTGCTTTTGAGGCTGCAGCGGCACCTCCAAATCAGGCGGCGGCCCGTCCCCGGCTGAGCCGGTTGCCCTCAGTCCGGTGAAGCTGATGCTTGCTGATGCTGGCTGGCAGCTGGCAGTTCTTCCGAGCTCATCGCGCAAAGGCTGTGGGGCCTGGAAGTGGCCGGGTCAGATGTCCAGCAGAGCCTGTGCAGGTCAGCATGTCGCCCCACGAAAGACTATGTTGCAAAGCTTTCCGCACCTGGGCGACCATCCCACGGCGCAGGGCGCCAACCTCGCAGGAAGCTCTCATCCTGAAGGTGCCCTTCTGTCAAGCCATCAACTTACGTCGATTTGGGTCGATCGATTTGGTCGTTGAGCTTTGGAAGTGGGCCATGCAGCAAATGTCTCGATGCAGCAGCTAGAAATTTGTTGGCCGTAGCAACTCTGTGGTGTTGAAAATATTATGAGAATAGGCACAGCCGTAGTGCAAACATGCTGTGCAGGCCTCGAGGACTTGGTACTCCATGAGGCTGCCGCCGCTGACCAGCATGTCGACGCGAGACACTGGAAGCCTCTTTCTGTGCGAGGCATGGATGTGGCAGCCTGTACTTGTAACAGCTCTTGCACCGTATGCTCATCGCGGGACCGATGACTTCAATGCAGCGATTGGGGGCGAGAGTGTGAGAAGTTGAGTCCTTGGGTCTGGAGGTGAGGCGGAAGGGATTGAAGTCTTTGTTTGAGCTCGAAGGGCAGACAGTTCCGGAAGTTCGGGGCTCGTCTTGAGACCAGCAGTGCTCGAGGAGATCAACATCTGCGATCTTAAGAAGATGCCTCAAGTAGTTCAACAGATCGCGAACGCAGGAGCAGTAGAGCTCGCCAGGCCAAGGGAACTGCATGGAAAAGCAGGCCTGACGGCATTAAGTGATATGGTATGACATATATGGATACTCACGGTACAGCAAGAGCACAATGAGACAGTTAAATACACATGCGGCTTCTTGACAATCCATATCTGGTCAGCTGTGGGTCGGGCACCGTTCTCCCTGCTCCCTCCCCTTCCCTGCCAGAATCATCGGGGGGCGCGGCGTGCCGAGTGATGGGCGAGGATGAGAACAACAAGAAAAAACGGCTGGTGACTGGCCATCCCGTTAAAGAGTCACCTTTCTTCGCTCGACCGTTCGTTCGGGAGTGTTCCGTGATTCAAGCTTCCAACCCCCCGGTGCCCCCGCACAGAGCGAGATTAGCAGAAGGCAGGCATCGGCAGAAAATTGGGTGCAAAGCTGTGCCTCCACAGGTGGTGCTGGATGCAGATCATGCCCTAGCGCGAGTCTTCGTGAGACTGAAAGAGAGACCGCTGCCTTCACAACCAGCCTCCAGGATCCAAGCCGAACATCTCGTTCAACAAATCGCCAAAGCCACCGTCTCTCGCGAACTGCCAGACACTGGCTTGGTCATCTGTTCAACCGAGAATCAGCTTTCCGGCAGCCTCCTCGCAGGATACAAAGTTGGGATCAGCGTGTCCTTGCCTCAGGCAGGGGGCATCTCACGTTCATGCTGTCCAAGCCTAAGCAGTATCATCCCTGCAAACCGCTGTACCCTACACATGCCGTGGGCTAAAGAAAGGTCCCAGCACGGCCAGGCGGTTCGAATGCCTCAGCGACATCGGGCAGGAGCAATGCCCTCTGCAAGGAGTCTGAGCTGAGGCGCCAGAGATCCCAAACCTTGTCGACTCTTGCTCGCCTCGGGCCCAAGTACACATGCTTCGTCCTCTCACCCTCTCTCTATGATGGGTCACGGACAGTTCCTGCAACTTCTGCCTGCAACGGAACACAGGCTGTAGAGAGAGTGGGAATGCCACGTTCGCAAACTTGCCTGTCCGTCGAGCTCACCCGAAAAGAGCGGAGGATTGCTCGCAGCACCTTGACCGACAACAAAAGGGCCTAGAGACGGTGGGGCAAGGTTCGTCCTGTTCTCTTTCTAGCCCCAAAAACATAAACAGGTTAACCGTTAACCGGATCTTGTTTAGTGCAGGGATCGGCTCCTGGCCTCGGCTCGCGAAAGCCTGCCGCTCTCTGACAAATTCCAATACCTCGCTCCAGGCGAGGTTTTCGAGACTTCGCCAGAGCTCAAAGATCTCAGAGCCACGCTTGAACCATGCCTCAGATCGCTCCAAAGCTTGAACTCGCAGACGGAGATGAGCATGTGAGGTCCCAGACCCTTCGCTCTTCAAGGTCCGGGGGCGGTCCAAGCTTCATGCATCGGAGGTGCTCCTGGCACGAGCACACTCAGCGACTTGCACACATCACAAACAGCGGACAGCATTGAATTGTGCCTGCACGTTCCGCCAAACCCATACCTTAGCCAGGTGCCCCACTCTGTGGCATCTGGGCCTGATGCAAGCTCCTTGTCTTTACACGTCTCAACCAAGGCAGCGGCAAAAAGCTCATGGGTAAGGAAGTCAGATGCACTTACCTTGCATGCTTTGTCATCGCAGGTTACAGAGTTGCACCATGTTGCGCATCTTGCAATACAGTCAGCAGTGACTGAGCTGGAGACCTCCTGGCTCAACTCTGTTCCCACTCTGCCCGCCTGGACAGCTCACACGGTACGCTACAGTACAGCTTCGTTTCTGTCGACACAGAGCACCGCACCTCTATGGCATCTGCCTCGACGGGGAGAATGGAAGAAATCCTGGTGGGATGGCATGCGCACTGCAGACATTGAACCGCTTGACTCGGAGTGGCATTTGAGTTCAAAACGTCCGAAGCAACATCGATTTGGCCTGGGCCCAGCGGGAGTCTGCCGCGATGCAAGCATACCTCAGACCTATGAGTACGACTTCGCAAAAGCCTCAGGAGAAGACAACCTTGCCGTTGACACTGACTGTGTCCGAAGCCAAAAACTCGAACCAGTGCAGCGGGTCCTGCATGCGAGGAGAAGGGGCACGTGTGGAGAAGCGTTAGAGGACTTGCCAAGCGGGCGGACCACTCCTCGCTAAGCGAAGGAAGCTGCCTCATGGTGATGGCATGTCGCCGGCATTCAGGGCACCTGGAACTAGTCTCGCACGGAGACTTCCGTTAACTCATCTCATGTATTGGCCATCAACATCAAGCAACACGCTAATCGCTGATCTGATGCCCGCTGCTGAGGCAGCTGCCTCAAGGCTTCCCCCTGCGTGTTGGTGGATGATGTGTAGCCTCGCCTGGCCAGATGGCCAGACCGGAGAGAGCAAAAGCGCCCCCGGCTTCGCAGCCAAACATGACAGGATGGCGCACACTTGCTGCAAAGCAGGTGTAGGCAAACAGCAGCATCAGCTGCGTCCACAAAAGCTACTGGGGTAGACCTGTCAGAAGTTGCAAAAGCAGGGATGTTGAAGCTAGGATCCTCCGAACAACCACTACAGGACGAACGAGGGCCTGCAAAGTGGCTCCAAGCAAATTGGGCATTCTGCACCTGAGCAATGGCACTTATGCTTGAAAGCGGGTGGAAAAGCTTAGCCAGGCATTTTCGCGAACCCACATCTCCAGTTATCTCCCGCCAACCAGAGATCAAGGACCTCCGCGATCACGCGGAAGAGCACAAGGGTCTTTCAGGAACTCCTTCGACACGAAGCAACTGAAGCACGAAAACAAAGAAACACCGCTCCGCCGGTCCTCTTCTTCAGATGCTCTGAGATACTGCAGGAAGGAATCCAACAGAAGCCTGACATGAATCCAAGATGGCCGCAGAACTGACGCCCATTAGGATCACGGCACCTGTACTGATTGCAGCCAGATTGGATCTGCAGGACTGCGTACCTGCGAAGAGACTGTGTGCATGCTGAGTTGCGGAGACGCGGTCCGCACGATTCGAGAGTTTGCTTGCCAGCAGTTCCTAGAAGTATCTGCCAGGGGGGGCACCTCAGGGACTCTGAGCTAAGCCAGTACGGCTTGAGCCCAGGCCGCGCCTGCTGCACAATCCTGCCACAGAGCCCGGCAGGAGCACGAATCTGGAGTCTGGGTCAGAGAGCCAGATTTCTGGATCGTACGTGGGAAGAGAGATTCTTAAGCTTGTCCAATCTGGAGGCCTGCATGACGACCTAGACTAAGTCCATGCAGGCAACCTAATCGTTTGGCTGCGGCCCCGCACTCGCAGGACTAAGCAGCTGCTCGCAGAACGCAAGCAGCAAGTCTTCTGAGCAAAGCAACCAGGCAAACATGCGCAGCAATGTTTAGATAACATTGCTGATGCTCTCCGCATGTATGTCCTTCATACCCCTTGATGGACTCAGGAACTATTTGTTTATTTCAGTACTGTCCCATGCATTGCCGATGCATCCGGTCCTCTCGGCGACTCGACGCCAAGCCAAAGAACGGGCCTTATCATAGAGTCAGCACTCTGACTGTGACAAGCTGCATGCTGCCGCCGGTAGTCTCAGCCTCCCGCTCTTTGAAGCGCCGGCATGAGGAAGCGCTTGCCGTCGATTCGCGCCAGGACTTGCAAGTTTCAGAATAGTTGCTCGGCCTTTTGTGAGCGGCACCTCGCCTCGAAGCGTGAGTAGAGGAAGCTCTGCTTGGAAGCAATAGCCCAGAAGCTCCTGGCAACGTCGAACATTAACAAGCACATTCATGGTGTCCAGCGCATGATCGCAGCCGGCTCACGGAGACCTTTTAGACGTGGACTTAGAGGTCCCAGGTCGCACCAACTTGAAGTCTTCCCGTCGGCCGGATCTCCGACACTCTCCAAACGGGTCAGGGCTGGCAACTCTGTGTTGACTGGCATTAGCCCATATGCCCTGGTTCACCCATAGCAGATGCCCGCTTATCTGGAGATTTTAAGACTCTCGGCACTTCAGAAGGAAATTGACACAAACCCACAGCAATGAGCTTGTGCATCTTCCGGAGCTGGGACATTCGTCAGAGCTGCAAGAGACAGCAGCTTAAGTCGCTGCAGCCGCCTCGGCCATGCTGTCCGGTATTGGAAGCCCTGTCCCGCGTGCAAAACGAATGAATACAAACCAAGCGTGATACATCGCCAGCGAATGAACTAGTGCGCCTCTCGAGAGTGCTCCAGCAGCAATGTCTGGAAGACCTTTACCTGCCATGCCAAGCACATCCGTGACGATGCCGCGTTTCGCTTCTGCCTTTGGCTTGGGGCCTTCTGCAGAGCGTGCAACCTCGGCCCAAGCCGCCCTGTCGCCCCTCAAGATCCTGGCTGCAAGTTCATTTGGCTGTAAGCTGTGAAACAATGGAAACCGAAGAAGGCCTCAGACGCAAGCCGCTGTCGAGACCACTCAGCATTCCGCAAGGATCCTGCCCAGCACACGCAGAGGACCGCGGACGCATTGCGCCACGAACAGCTGCTCGCCGATGCAGTGACTTTGGACATATCAGCGCTTGCCCAGAAATCAGCATAGAGGCCTCTTTGAGGATTGCTGCCGTGTAAGGCGAGAGCCCGTCGTCAGCCAAGGCACGTGGGTCCGCCTGAGCTGCGGTGAGCGACGCGTTTTCTCAAGAATTAATTAGACAGATGTCCCGAACCGTCGAAAATCCAAACTCGTGCCATCATCCTCATCTTCATGTCCATCCTCCTGATGATCCTCATCATCTTCATCCTCATCTCATCCCTTTTTAGATGCATGAAATGAGAGTCATCGCGAGAATGGCGCTCCCATGCGCTCCCCACAGGGCACTGCGAACTCCAAGTCTTGAGGGTCGAACGCCCAGATCCAGCGTCAGCTGCGCTGCGATCCTGGGGCCACTCTCCTGCAGAGAAGTCTTCAAAAGCAGGAAGAGGAAGGGCCTCCCAAAAAACGGCCGGCGCAGCCTCCATCTCTGCAGCAATGCGAGCACAGGCGGCAGGATCCTGGCTCTGGATTTAGCGGGGGCTTCTGCCGTGAGTTTGTGGCAAAACTGGTCGGGAAGACACATGCACCGGAGGCAACTTTTCCCGCAATGACGCCCGCAGCCACAATCAAAGCAAACCTTGCAAGTCACGCAACAAAAATGGAACCTTAGGTGCGGTGCTTTGCATTCTGTGGAGTCTCCGAGCACCTTGCGGCAATGGGTTGCGGATCTGGCCATGCCCAAAGGCTGCAACCTGCCAAAGGTTCACGGCTTCCGTGAACCGCTACCGTCAAAGAGACAGGTGGGGCGGGCAGAGTGCTGCTTTGCCGATTGCCCTATACTAAGTCTTGCCAGAAGCTTGATATCTCACTGCCTACCCGAAAACCGAAGAAAACTGTAAGTGACCGGCCCTCCCCATGTGGATGGTTGTCCAAATTATGGTCCCTTTTGGGTCCCTAATATAGTACGGCACCTATTATTTGGGGAACCCAGAGGGACCCTAATTTTGACAATGACCCATGTGTTTTTCTAGTAATAGGCACGAATGCCATCACTGTCCGTCTATTCTTGCAGCATCTGGCCGAGTATAATTACACTTCTTTGCTTCGCAACGGTTGCATTGTGAGCCGATCGATCGATTCTGAAGGCAGCCACCCGACAACTGATACATGTAGCCACCCAGGAAACATCGGACAGCTTCCCGTCGTCACTTTGGCTATGGACCGCGACCAGTACTGATCGGAGACACCTCATTTTGTCACCGAGGTTCATGCTCGCTTCTGAGATAGTCCTCTCAAATCCTTCTCAAACTTGCATGCTTCCAGATTTCAGTCACCAGGAAACTCGGAACTGGCTCATTCCCTCAGGCCTCCCCAGATGCGACAAAGCGCAACTTCAGCGCGACATCGTGGCCACCGTCCACCAGCAGCCGAACCTTGCTTGCTGAGCAACGCAGCGAAAAAAGGACCCCTGACGAAGCGTTGCTTGAGGCCTTTTTTCAGGTCTCAAAAATGCCTCTAAGTTTATGCTGTACATGCCTCAAAGAACCGAGCTGCCTCGGTGTCTGGAAAAGTTGAAGGCGAGTCCACTTCGAGCTTTCCGTCGCACTCCTGCAGGCAATGCATCTCAAGTTGGGCCAACTCAACTGCCCCATACATATCGAGCCTGTGGTTTGCTCCAAATGCACGTGGCCCACGGCGGATCTGTCCACGAAGCAAGCGGTGTCCTATGTGCAAAACTTAACAAGTTGAAGACTCGTGCACATGACAGCTCTGCAGGGAGTCCTGGATAACACGTCGTTTGGAGCTTGAAATCCTCTAGACCTGTTTCCAAAGTCACAATACTCGCCTTTGCTGCGTTTGGATAGACTGACTGTTGGTGACGACAACAACGCACAGCCTGGGTACTCCAATCGATATGCGGCCGTTGAACCAGAAGGTGTTGATGCAAACCTGGCCGCCCGGATAGCGAATCGGAGCAAACCATACCAGTACCTCGTGTTGTGGAGATGTCTAGACACATGCAACACATTGCCGGGCCGACCGTCCTGATGTGCAAGCACCACCAGTACTGCCTCTCTTGACATGACGTCGACCATATCTTCGCAGCACTTGCAGGCTTGAATGCCCCGCACCTGGTCTTGCCCAGAATGACCCTCAGCGTGCAGCCTTCCAGCGCCTGCATTAGCGAAACCGGTCGGACAAGCAGTCTTTCAAGCAAGCAGGTCCGGCAATGCTTATTCAGCTGTCCGAGTACAGTGCAACAGTGCCGGCTGGCACACTTACAGAGCAGTGCCATCGCTCCAGCTCTCTTGCATTTTGCTCATCGCGAAGTTGCGTCTAGAATGGATCGAAACTCGCTGAGGCCTGGGTCGCACATCTTCACAGCGGGAGAGAGGTGGGTAGGTGGGTGGGTGCTTTCAAACTTCAGGCAGGCATGACTCAAGACACGCGATGACGAATGGTAGGGCTTCAGAGTCACTTAGATGCAGACTCGTTGTCGCTCCGCTGTCCGCATGCATCCTGGCTGGAGCAGCGATGCCGTGCAACTTGTCGATTGTAGAATGCATCTTGGTGCAACTATTGTACACCCGGATTTGCATTGCACCTAGCCTCCCTGCGCGATCAAATCGCCAATGTGTAAATATGAGGTGGAATCTTGTAGCCCTCACTCGCCCGCCCGCCAGATTAAGCTATTGCAAGTGGATGTTTGAACATTATACTGCTGTGGCAGACCAAACAGCATCTCCAGATCACCTAGTTCCTTTTCTCCTCGGCCCTTGTGTCGACACAGGCACGCTTGGAATCGGGCTCGGCATCGAAGGAGGTCAAATCAACTCCCAAGCTCAACGACTTGCAAAGCTCAAAACGTTCCTCGGGCTCCTTGGCCTCCCGAGCGGCTTGATTCCAGAATTTCTCCACTTCTTGCATGGTCAAGCCTTGCTGGCCAGATCCAGTCCGCAGATTGTGCTTGTTCGTAGCCCAAGCAGCATGAATCCCAATCTTCCGGAGCACCTGCTCCTTGTACTCGTCAGTGGTCCTTTCACCTTGCTGTGCCAGCTTGAGGCTGTCTTCAAAGGCAAGGAGCTGTTGGACAAAACCTGCATTTGGCCACAACCGCCACCGACTGGCAGCAAGCTGGTTGAACGCCTCAAGCACGGATACCTTCAGTTCATGCACTAGGCAAGCAATTGCCACAGTGGCGCTGCGAGAAGCCCCTTGTCGGCAGGCGATTAAGGTCGCTCTTCCAGGAACAGCCATCACGAAATCGATGGCAGATGCCAGTAGCGAGCCCAAGTCTTCGCTTGCGCTGTCCCTCACTGGTACGATGTGCAGGTCGGCGGTGGAAATACCTGCGATAGACAGTGCATCCTTCACCGCAGATACGTGGGCATCACGATCAGGTTCACCACAAACAACAACTCGTTTCACGCAGTGTTTCTGCAACATGCTTGCGATAGCACTTGCTGACAGCCCGCCAAGCCCACAGATCTTTAGGTCATCAGAAATGCCGGCTATGTTATCGACCTGGGCATGAGGTGGCTGCCCCCATGCAATTCGAGGTTGGTCGGCAAACAGCTCCAGCTCTGCCGTACTCTTCCCGAGCAAAGCTTGCTTACACTTTGCAAAAGCCTCTTCCAGGGGAAGCCCTTTGCACTGATCCCAGGAATCCTCAGCTTCCGCTAGGCTTGCCTGGATCCCGTTGTGCCATGCCGTTGCCCAGGCTGCATGAGCACCAATGCGACGCAGAATCGGCAGGCCGCTTTTCGGCGCGGGCAGCGCTTCTTTCTTCGAGCATGCGCCTGCGCATGATGCATGCGCACGTGCTTCCAGCGTCATGAGAGAGTCGACTAGCAAAGCGCTTGGCCAAATCCGCCATCTTGCGCTGGCAACGAGATCAAATGCACTCGCCAAATCCGCTCCCCCGCTCATTAAATATGCGAGCACAACAGCAACGCTTCGAGATGCGCCCTTGCTGCATGCGACGAGAACAGCATTTAGCTCGTCGTCCAAGGCGTCCTGGATAAAGGCCACAGCGCTGTCCAGAATTCTGCAGATATCAGACTTATCGTCCGGAACAAGAGGGGCAATATGAAGTTCTGTGCCGCCATCAACCACCGCTTCCCTGGCAGCCGCAACGTGCACGTCTTGATCAACACGCCCACAAACAACCAGATGGGTAACCGCATGTGTCTGCAAGATCAGACCAATGGCTCCCGGGCTTCCGCCTCCCACTCCGCCGATCAGAAGCCGGTCCTCACGCGGGCTGCGCACAAGGGCTCGACAAACAAAGTCAGGTAAAAGTGCCTGGACTTCCGAGACTTGTGGACAAGGTCCGGGGTTCGTGGCCATGGCCGATGATCAACGGCAGCTCCAGCTCTGTTGGCATGGCAGCTGGATCTAGATCATACTAGATCCACCCAGTGGCTCTCCAGGCCGGGTGTCTCAGGGAGTCTTCGGGGGTCCAGGGTTTTTGGGGTTTGGTTGGGGTTTAAGGTTTACGGAATAGTGTTGAGGCTTTAGGGCTTAGGGCTTCGGAGTCCTATTATAGGGTTTGGTCAGGGTTTAGGGTTTTTGGACCTGTCAGCAAATTTCACGGATGTCTCTGAACCAACCGGGGCTTCGTGGCACGCAATGCTCAAATCTGAGAAGCGAATCAAGAGCACCGATTCGCCGGGACTCCGTTCTCCGTTCAAGTTTATTCAGCAGCACGGACCCTATGTGAGCATTTTTTTGCAGCAAAACACATGAGCGTGGTATGTCAGACGCGAGGCTGTACATGAGACTCAGGAGGATCCAAAGCTGGGCCAGAATGCCTCTGAGAAGGCTACAAGTGGAAGACTCATTTTCAAAGCGCAGCTTTCGAAAGGTACATTGCATCCCAGCATTCAGGCAGCGTCAGTAGGACACATTCAAGGAGACGGCAGATTTGCTCGTCGTAGTGCAGACAACTGCTTGGACTCTTGCTGGCCAAGACGATTCAAACAGACCGAAGACTACTTGCGGTGGAGCTGGCGCAAAGCGAAGGTGCAGCCCTTTGTGCCTGGACGTCTGCCAGGCCAATGAGCAAGACTGCACGAGATATCAGGCTGCCAGGCTGCTCCACGGAAGAGTACATGTAGACACGCTACTACGTGCTATTCGTCTACATTCGTCTAAAGACCACGCGTTCTCTTGCACGAGCCTCCAACTCGCTGGAGCAGGTAGCGCTCCAGAATTCAGCAACCGGAAAGTTGCGACATCGAAACGTGCCAGAAAAGCTTCCTTGTGGAATCTTTCCTGTCTAAATCTGCGTTGGCAGAATGAATACGCAGTGCAAAGTGGGATCGTGTGTTCTGTGTTCAGTGACAAATTGCTCTGGATCGTTGTCCTGGCCGCCCTGATCTGGATTTCGCACCGGTAAGACATGCTCAAGGGAGTGCTCGGCCTCAACGGCTCAGTCATCATCCTCAGGTTCTCACGCTGCCTACGCTGCCACATGAAGCTGCCGCCACTCGACTGTCTGTGAATGGAGCATGGCTCCGGCGGAGCCAAAACACAAAGCAGGCAAGCGATCTCTCAGACAAAGCCTAGTTCGGCAGATTTCGGTTGCCAGGGCTCGGAGTCCCAGTCGTTGGCTTGTTCCCCCTCGGGAAACTCCACACGCACCTGGGTCACAACGGGCGAGCGCCCTTACATGAACGTGTACATCGCTGCAAAGCTGAGCTTGGGCACATCGTAAACAAAGTCTTCGTCCGATGGCTTTGTCTGGTGAGCCCGGAAACTGATGTCCATGCGTGCCTGGTCTGAATTTGCCATCACAGGCCCAGCCATAGAATAACAAAACAACGCGGCACCTTGTGTTGCGCAAGTTCGTCATCGTCAAGCTTGTTTAGATTGACCTGCGAATCACGAAGATGGCAATGGCTTGACAACGAGCAGAACAATGGCTATTCCTGCCTGATGATAGTCGACCTCTCTGTTCGTCGGCCTGGGTTCCGCGAGGTCAGGCATGAAAGATTTTCAAAGGCGCATCCCCAACGGCAAAGCAGTTGGAGCTAGCAGTCCTCAAGGGCTTTTCCGCAGCTGCACTTCGAGGTCAGCTGTACAGAGACCATAACACCAGGTACAGACAGACATGCCATCCACCCACAAGCATCAACCTGTCCTCTCCTCTTGCTACTTGTCGTTGCTGCCGCAGGCGCTATCACAGACCCAGCTCTCGCCAGCATCATTGTCGTCCGATGATCCTCGGGAGCCTCTCTTGCATCCAGCTGCTTCCAACTTTTCCTGCTGGGCGCCTAGAATCCAGCTCCCCACCGACTACAGCAGCGGAGAGATATCAACTTTCGCTGGAAGGACAAGCGGGAGAATGAACGTAAGTCAAACTTTTGACCCTTGTGGCCATAGCCGGAAGATCTCCGGACCCCGATCTGTGATCTGGTCATTCTAGAAGACGGCAAACATGGCCCTGCTTTGAGACTCACTCTTCGGATACTTCTTGCGTCCTTTGCCTTCCACCATCTCTTCCCATGGCAGAGCCCAAAAATGAGCTTCAGCTTGGGCTTGGACTGCAAGCTTCCTTGGGGCGGTCACCCTTGACCTTCAGCACCATTTTGAACCACTTGTCTCACTGGAGGCTCAGCTGCTCTGCTGCTTCAACCAGCCTGAAATCAGGCTTCCACATCAAGCACTGCGAAGAAGAGACTTGACTTGAACAACAGCTAAAACGCTTTGCGTCTGAATCTAGGCACAGTTGCAGTTGCCACATTGGGCTTTGCCCCCGAGCTGATAGATCACCCGGCCGCCGGAGTCCTCCAAACCTGAGCTTGGTCTTAGTGCGCTGTAAACTTGAAGTATCTTGAAGTCCTCCAGAGGTGGCCAAGCTGCTGCAGGGTCCACCAAACTGGATCAAGCTGCTAACATCACGGCCAAAGGTCATCGCGGCGGCTTCATCGCAGGACGGGCAGGTCGGCCAGACGGCAAAGACGGCCAGATTCTGAGCATCGACCTCTTGCGTAGCACGCAGTCGCCAGTCGCCCACATGCAGGCAGACATCAAACAACAAAGGCCAGAATTTGTCGAATGCTTCCCGAGCTGAGTCATGCTATGAACAGCCAAGTAGCGCCTGCATAGCCAGAGTCATGCATCATCGTCTGAACCTGAATTGACGTTCTCACAGCATCCATCTCACAGCAATGCCACGACAGGAGCTCTGCTTTGTGTGTCGAGCTTAGGACTTGGCGACCTCTCTCAGCTTGGAGCCCTTCGCCAGCATCTCAGGTAGCCTTTGGCGACAGCACGCAGCACAAGCTGAGACACCCTCCTGGTGCCTTGCGCCCTGGCGCGCCGAGCGGCGGCCGGCTGCGCCTGCCGAAGCTCTGCTTCCAGCAGCTGCCACGCACGGCGAAAGGCGCGGCCAACTCCTGGAGCCGCAAGAGCTCAGCGGCTCAGAGATATGAAAGAGACGAAGACGGGGGAAGAGAGAGAGCGAGCGAGCGCGAGCGAGCGGGAGACAGAGCCGAGACTAAGAAAGCCAAGGCACAAAGCAATCGCATCGAGAGCCGAATCCTGCCCACATGGCCAGGATCTGCCTCGACTCTGCATGCGCTTCGCGCTGCTTCGCAGCGAGCTGAGATGTACTGGCTGTACGCATCAGACCTCAGCAGCGGACTTGAGCTCCCCAAGCTCCACGGTGTCCGGTATGAGCCGATCGAAGCTGCTGCAGGGCTCATTTTCCCCACGCTCGAAGCCATCTCCGAAGGTCACCCGAATGAGAGCCATTGGCAGTGCCCCATCATCTTGAGCATTCTGCGGGACTTGGCGTTGCAGCAAAGCCCTCGAATGTTCGTCTACGCAGCTGAGCATGCCGCGTTGCCGCGTCATCAGATGCCTTCACGCCATCATGCGACCTTGACAGCAACCGAGAAATGAAAAGGTATGATGCAGCAATGCAGCCGTTACTGCCTCAGACTACAAAGATGGCAATTGCTTCCATGTTTCTAGGCTCGGGAATGAATGCGGCTCGACCGGTTGGACGCGCCGCCCCTACGCTGTCCCTACTCCAAGTGCACGGCATGGCGTCTTGAAGCTTCTTGACCTCTGCAGATTCTGCAGGCATGCAAGCGATGTCAGATTCAGCACAAGCGCCTAGCACAGCAGGATTCTCTCGGGCAGCGGCGAGGGAAACGATCTGATCAAAGCAGACACCGCTGTCCTGTTGGAGTTGACCAGAGCACAGACAATTGCTATGTCACACGTGCGGCTTGAAAGTGCTAGAGCTGACATACGGCTGCGTCTTGCCTCAGTAAGCAGCGGCCGGTTCTTCTGGCGCAACCTGCAGCCACATATTCCGAAATCACACCAAGTGGCTTAGTCCATTCACTGAAGTCGAGTTCTGGGGGTGCCACTTTTCTGCCACTCTTGCTGGGTCCGCCGAGGCCCGTAGCCTTTTGAGCGCGACCTACAGAACAGTTGCAACTTGCTCTGTCTTGCCGTAATCGTTACAGGAAATGGACCGTGGCATGGCTTGCATGCATGTTGCTTTAGGGCACTCCTCATGAATTCTAGACACCATTCGATGAACGTCGGCTCACACCTTGCGGTGGAATAGCTTGCCGGTTTTGACCTGGTGCGAGAGAAAAGCAAGAAGATGTATTTCCAGGTGTCTGCACGAGGTCCGTCTTAAGACACGACCCATGGCAGCACACCTCCAGGTACTCCAGAATGATCGCTGGCGGGTCATAGTTGAGCCCGAAGCGTCTTGGACAGACCTGCTGCGGTTCGGCACACAACATACTCGTCGTATGAGCCAGAGCAGCAAAAGCACATATTAATGCAATAAGAGCCCTGCGTCCCCCACTCCCGCTGCACATTGTAAACCATTTTAACTAATCATACACACACACACACACACTTCTTCCACACAGCCAAGGGAAGCAGCTGCAGCCACCCCCCCGCGCGCATGCGCGCACTGGGTTGAGGGTTGGAAAAGGAGAGGCCAGTGGGCTTCGGGCTGTGCTGTAACAAGAAACCACTTAACTAAGACAATCTCTCTCTCTCTCTCTTGCTTGCCGGGCGTGGGGTTGCAGGGGCGAGCCCTACCCCCGCTGCGCGCGAGCGCTACGCCTCTTCTTCCGCCGGGCATGAGGGGCTGTCAAGACCCCTCGGCCACTAGGGCCCCCCCATATTTTGTGGGGACTTTGGAGGAGTGTAAGAAAGTTTTCGTGGTTGTTTGTCCCCCTGGTAGATCTTTATGCGACACAAGAGCCAGATTAATGAACAACTTGGATCTTCCAGGTATCTGGACTACATACCTTCGACAGTTCTGCTTGTTCGGCCTGGGGTTGTGTCAGAAACACAGAAAGAACAGCGCGGAATAAAGTGAGATAGCAGGTTCCCCATTCGACCGGCAACCAAGCATGAGATTGACTACGGCTACTGGCAATCCCCCAGTTTGTCTGGCAAACACGACGGACTGAGCACGAGCCACAAGTTGGGGGTATTGTCCTTGGCGTGTTTCGCTACTAACCTCGGGTTGGAATGTAAAGCAACAGCAGAGTATGAAAAAGATAAAAGCGTCTCTCTCTCTCTCTCTCTCTCTTTATCTCGCTGCTGCTGAGGTGTTTAGGGACAGGGGCTCGCACAGCTAACGCCTGCCCACTAGCACTCGCGCTCTCTCTCTCGTGCAAGCCGACTCAGAAACGGCACACTCCTGCCTCACCGGCCAGTTCTGGAGAGGACATGGATCATGGAAGACGAGGATAACGCTTGTCAACAAATCCTCGTGCGATAATAACCTATGGTATGTCAGTGAAAGTTAGCATGCTTTCATCAGGGAGTCTCATGTACTCTTTTGTTCATTTTGTTCCAGCTTTGCCAAGCTTGAGATATACTCTGACGTGCTGAGCTCCGCTTGCTGCTCCTAAGTCCTGAGTTGGCAGAGACCTATGTGCCATACACCAGGTTGCAAAGCCTGCTCTGAGCTAGACTGCTACAAGTATTCACGTGGGTTTGAAGGCTCGGGCATGGTGTCGCAGCAGCGTTCTCAACGCAAGCAAGATCACAAAGCCAAAACACACTGTTCGCCGTGTCGTGGGCACTGCTAGCCTCGAGGACACGCATTGCGAGGATGATTTTCGACGTTGTGGCTCACGATGCCCACATGAGACAGCGGAAAGCGCTAGACAACGAAGCGCAGTGTGGCTGTCCATCCCTTCGCAACTCGCTGCTCTGGGGATAAGAAGGCTCGACCGTTCACGTGCCGAATTACCTAGGTAGTCCAGGCAGGAACACAAGCATGCCATCAGCAACAGCCCGTGATCGTGGACAACGCATGCGTGGATGCAGCATAATCGACAAGAGCGAGTCTCAGACTACTTCCGTGCACACTTCGTAAAGGGTTCTGTTGGAGGGAGATGGGAATGCTTCCACACGTTTCTGCCCTCGTGGAGCTCAGCAACACTTCGCGACTGAGGTCGAGGCAGCCAATTGGCGGTCGGAGCGATCTCCTCAGGTACTCTCTCTCTTGAGATCTGCTTTTGCACTCATGGTGGTTCGGACTGGTTCGGATAGATGCAGGGCCGAGATGCTGTAGTCCAGCTGGAACGTCCCGTATTTCGCATGAGCTTCCTCGGCAGGGATCCCGGATTCTGTGACTGGGTCGCGAAACGAGTGCCGCCGAACTCGCTTGTGCGGTCGAGCATCCATTCCTGGGCTGTGGTGCACTGCTAAACACACAGTCAATGAACCCGTGATCCCACTCGTCACAAGGCTGCCATCCAGGCACCATTTTGCAGGATGTCCTCACGCTCGGCCACACCCAGAGTCTCCTCTATGAAATCGCCCTTTTGCACCGGGGAACCTGAATGGATTTCCACATCATGAATGCACAAATGCGTTGGCTGTATGTTGCGACCTGATGCCTTAGAGAAGCCAACTTCTTTTGTCAAGAAGCCTGGCCCAAAGATGGTGTTGCGATAGTGTGTTGTGCTGCAGACGTGTGGCTTGTCATAGAAGAAGATCAGTGGCCTGCACACTTCAGTGCAAGGCTCGCAAAGCATGGGCAATGGAAGGTACACCATAAGTTTACCGTCCACCCGAGTGCAGCACAGCGCTGGTGCGGCCATGGTGCGTGAGTGGTACGCCAAATTCCGAAGAGCAATGTAGAGCAAGGCCGTATTTCGATCGCATCGCATGGTCATAGTTCAAGGTTGAGACACCTGGTGGAACTCAGAGGGAGGCATGCAGCAGTGGCATCGACATGATCTATCGAGGATCAAACTCCTGAGGCTGACGTTCTGACAGGACACTTGGCAAGCCGACGTACTTGACAACTCCAGGATGCAGAGACATCGTCTCGAGCAGGGCTTGCAAATCAAAACCGGCGATGAACTCTTGGTCATGTTGAACGACCAGCACGTAGTCTGCCGTGATGTGATCCAGAGCAGCTTTCACGGCAAAGCCGAATCCATGATGATCGCTAAGGGACAGGACTTGGCTGCCAAAGAAGGCGTCCTCGCAGCTGCATTCTGAGGATTTTTCGCGCAGTCGGTCGATGAACTGATGGTAGCGCTGCGCTTCTTCGATCCTAGGTTGCACGTGCCGTGCTCTCCACGACCCAAACAAAGCATCCATGGGTCGCTAATTGCGCCTTGTTAGGGTTCTGTTGTGCTCAAAGCACCATGCCTCCCACGCCGATCGCACTTTTGCACTCAAGATTACAAAAACATGGGAACATCGGGGGGCTTTGGCCGATCAAGTCGCACCTGTCATGGATCTTGGTTCCACGAATTCCGAGCCACAGATCTTCAGAGTTCGCGTTCTCTGTGCTTACAGCCACTACACAACAGCCAGTTTTCCAGGCACGCCCAGGGCTTCGGAATGTTGTTGTTTGTTGGTCCTTCCATGCCATGCGAGGTCTGCGCACAACGTGTTCATGGAAGGGCCCGCTTTTGTGCCACTTCTTGTTGATCGTTGTGGTAATTGCTTGCTGGCATGTGGCTGCTGTTGGCTTGGATGTCTTGTTGTGCCTCCGGCTTCCTGCGTGCGTTCCTCATGCCTTCCACGGCATCGCCGGAGCTGCTGCTGGCTTACGACCGCTACTCCTACTACTCCTACTATGCCTACCACGTCTCCTCCTCCTGCTCCTCCTAGTCCTCCTACTCGCTACTACCACGACTCCTACAACTTCTCATACTCCTATTCCCACTCCCACTACCCCGACGACTCACAGTACCACTACCAGTACCACTCTGACCACCACCACTACCACTACCAATATCACTACCACCACCATCACCACCACGACTGCTACTACTACTACTACTACTACTACTACTACTACTACTACTTCTGCTGCCACTAGTACTTCTACTGCAACTAGACTATATACTATTTGCTATTGACTACGGTCGTACACGTTGTTATCGGTATCGATCTCGCACCGACCTCCCGAACAATGGACATTGTAAACAAAAATGCACAGGCAACAGCCCATATGCACAATAAGAGCGCAAAACGAACTGAAAACGTTGCAGAATCATGCCTGGGGTTCGTTACCTTTCCGGCTTTGTGATTTGTTTTGTACCCTGGTGGCACGCACTTGCAGCCGTCACAGACGATGATCTTCGGTGCTGAACCCAGTCCTGGCACCAGCTGCATGCCTCACCAACCAGCCGATCAGCCAAAAAAACGCAAGTGCTGTACTACTAGCACGGAAAAGCCAGATGACCGCTCTGTTGAGAAAAGGTCTTCTCCCGTGCCAAGAGGCTGGCCAGGACACGGTCAAGCATCTCAGTGCTAGGGTTGGAGGGAACTGGGCTTGTGGTGACAATGACGGAGAGGGTGGCGGCTTTGCTCACATTCAATTGCAAACTTCTGGCTCGCATCTGCATCTGCATCCCATGCTCGGTGAGAAGCCTCTTGGCATTCTCCCGCCAGAAAAGGTGCGGCGAGGGGAGCTCCGTTCCCGTTGACGCGGCTCGGAGAACGGAGTACAGACAAAGCACGCTGGGTGGATTGCAGAATGTGAGATTAACTGTGGTTGAGGTTTCCAGCTCCTGCTGCATTCGCTTGATGTCCCCGCAAATGCCGTTCACAGAGAGAATTGCACTCGCGACGTGAATCCGCCGCCATGGCTCTTCACATGCATGGCACCTGTCGTTCCAAGCCTGCACCTGTCCCCCTTCCAGGATTCTCATCACGACGAAACAGCTGGAAGCATAGGCTGCTGCTAGATTGGCGCATGCCACGCCGAAGCGCTGGCTGCCCTGGCCCCGCTGCCTTGCTGGATGAAACGGAGCGCAGCACCCAGTAAAGGTCTCTCTAGCACTGTCAGGACTAAGCATCGCACAAACAAATCCTGCATTCTATGGCCGTAGACGTCGCCGGATCGACGGATCCCTCTGTCGAACACTCCATCTCATCTGCACCTCCAGGCTTGGGGCGCTGGTGTGAATCCATGAACAGCGAACAACAAGCTGAACCCTTCTTGTCCACTGCGGTTGGTGCAGCCATGCAGCCGCAAGCAGACTCGTAGACTTTCTCAGCGAGGGCTGCTAGCGCTCCGCTAGCCATGCACTTCTGTGAGGTTGTACTCTGCGAGATGACCAGCTCCTGTTGCAGAATGGCGAGATCCTGGGCCAAGAAAGACCTGGAGGGAAAGGCTGTCCCTCCAGGCCAGGAAGCAACTGAAGCACACTCTCAGGTCTTGCTAAGACGTTCATTTCAACTGCGGTAAGGCGGGCCCCACATGGATCCGGTGCTTTATCGTCGGTTGTGCGACCGGCCAGCTTTTTGGGGCAACATGTGTGTGAGGCAAAGGCCTTTTCCTACCACCACCAGCAACACCACCACGACGAGTGCTACTAGGGTCGTGCGAGTGCTTCTAGCTAACGGGGTTTTCGGGGGACCTGGGCTACACTAATCAGGTGCCGTACTCGATTCAGCTCCCAGTTCAGGTCCCAGCGACAGCTGGCTCAGGCACTGCAGGCATAGCAGCCTTCGGAGCCGGTTCTGACATGTCGCTCGGCGCAGCGCCGCGACAGACTACAGCTGATCGTCTACACTCGCCTGGAGCCGAAAGGGCTTGCAATGCTTGGACTCGGCAGGAGGGCGGTTAGGGTGACCCGAACTATGACAGACACATATCTGCAACATGTCCGGGCGGCTCATCGCTGCCGCTGGCCGCTGGCCGGGCAGCGCCTTCGCAAGGAATGCAGCGTGCCAAGCTGCCGCAGACAGAGTCAGACGGCCGGGGCTGTTCTGAGGCTGTTTTCCACGGCCATGATGGCGTGCGCTATGCGCACTGCCACCTTCGTTCAAACATGTACAAAGCATGTTGCTCTGCAAATTTTCTCCCACTATTTTGCGCATTTCTGCTGCAAGTACTTCTATCTGATTCTACCTTCTACAGCTGCGAAACGGCTATCCCAGGCAAGTAGCCATTTCTGCAGGCATCCATCTCTGCCGACTCTTCCTTACCAAGCCTTCTGACAGAGCCCGGTCATTCTAGCGGCCACAAGCTGCAGCTGCAGTTCTGCAGCGACCGTATGGCAGAAGCCAACTCGATGTATTCCGGAGATGCCCCGAGCTGATAGCTGCATGGTGTTGCATAGATCTTCGAACTGATGTGGTTCCGCAACGGCTGCCAGATCATGTCGGGTGGTGCACATCGGCAAAAGTGCCCATGTCGTGTCTTGTTGCATGCGATGCCCTTGCATGCGGAAGGGCATGCTCCGCAACATGCTCGTTCACATGCTGTTGGGAAAGCTCATGGAATTTCGAGCTTCTCGCAAGGAGGGAAGTCTTGCTTCATGTAGCAATCCTGGCATCTGGACTGCCGGCACTGCATAGTATGCTACCTTGTCCGAGATGCCAGCTAGGGCCACATCAGTATTGTGGCATTGCTGGCTCCAAACCTCTTCGTAGAGCATCTTCCAGATATTTTCGAGTGAGTTGACACGGTACAGCATTGCAAACAAACCGAAGTTGACACCACTGCATCTGCCAGAATTCCCATCTGGTCGAACTTGTGACAGATGCGTAGACACACACATCCCGAACGGGCAGCGCGACTTGAGAGAAAGAATCTGCCAGTTGCATGGAGCTTCATCGTGGACAAGCTGTCTCAACTTCGCTGCAAAATCGTCTGACAGCCAAACATCATCTTCAAGAACCAGAGCCAGGGCTTTGGGACCTCTTGCGGCAGTCCTTCCACGTGAGGGCTTTCATTGCATCATTGCATGTCATTATCGGGACATCCCAAATGAGTTTAGCCAACACGCCGGCGAGTCTGTTTTAAATCGGACGAAGTTTCCTCATTGCTCTGAAGTGTGCTGCGGCGCAGCCCAGGGTGCCCAGGCTTCCGTTTGCCACCTTCGGGAGAAGTCCTTCCTGCAACGCTCGCTGGTAGTCATCCAGGCGAGTCAAGTCCACCTCGGGACGCCAAACGAGGAGCCGTCGATCAACGCGCGCTGAAACGACCCACTCAAGCCGGGGTTAGTTCGAGCCAAGGCACACCCTCGACAGTTTGGAAGTCGATCCCGAGCTCTTTCAGCCTGCTGCCTGGATGGCCGCGCAAATCAAGCTCGAGAACAGACTAGACTCTAGAAGACATCTCTAGCCCCTCTAACCGGAAAAGCGACCGAAATCAAACATGGGAGAGGGGATCTGCGAATCGAAGATAATGCTGTTGAGGCTCTGACTAGTCGCCATCTGTCAGTGGCTGATCGCAGGTGTACGACGTACACGGACACAGTGGCGCGCATCCAACTCAAGCTGGCGCTGCTTTCGAAAGGAGTGCGCCAGTCTTTCCCGAAAAGCGGATTTTCACAGAGGTGCGGGTGCACGAGCGCCTCCATCGCTAGTTCGGCAGGCGGCGGGGCTTGGCCGAGCTGGGCAACCTGCCGTCTGGATCAGTTTTGTTTATTAAGACAATTCGCTTGGGGTCGGCTCTTTCCAGCCGTCAACAAGCTGCGTGCCTTGCTCTGATCCTCGTACCAAGTGGTCGAACCGTGGGATGCATAGCAGCCGTTGTGCTTCATGTACTCCCAGCACCAATTCCCAGCAGCACTCGACGGATGCGGCAGGGACGAGCACTTTCTCTTCCATTCGGCCGTAAGTTTGAACCTGTTGAAGCGCCGAGGCACCACCCGTGGAATGGGAACTCCCGGGTTGCAAAGCTGCAGATCCCTTGGCTGGCGTGGCAGCAACATGCCATTTCGCTGCGACGCGCGCCGACGGCTGGCTTCTTGTCGTACTAAACTCCAAGGCCCGTGCACAGCGCTCGCAGCCCCGATGCCCGCGCCCAGGTGCCCCTTCAGCAGTGCTGCACTGCTGGACGCCCTTGCGTGGATCCCTGGCTGCACATGCAAGCATGTGCAGAATCTGTCGATATGTAGCGGCTAACGGCTAACAGCTTCGGGAAACCGGTGGATACAATTCGTGATATCCCACGACCAGCACACTTGAGCAAGCATTGCTCGACTGTCTGAAAACACAGTCTAAGCAGTAAATCTGCCGATCTCATCTAGGCCTGGAAGATCATGCACTAGCTTGTCAGGCATGTTATGTAAAACTTGCATGACTCTTGCCTGCAGTTGCCACGGCAAGGCCAACCACTAACCAGAGAGAGATCCATACAGCTGCACGCTCGTAGCTGGAAAGACAGCTTTCCCATCGGGAGGGTGGTCTGTCCGCTTCAATGGCTGCGAGCTGCAAGGGAACAGCTTCGTAGCTGCCGCCCGGCATGCCGCTCATCACGCAGGCAGTTGAATATCAAGTCTTGCAGTGGCAGATGCGGCTGTCGTTTGGGCGAACTGATTAAATGGAGATCAGGTCAAAGTCGTAAGGCGGCTTCCCTCCATGGTTGTCAGATGCTTACTTGGGCCACATGCTGCAAAGACTCGTCGAAAGGCGACTGAAGCTCACACAATGGTCATGGTAGCTTCGAGATGGGTGCTAGTTGAATCGTGAGCTCTGCGAGCTAGCAAGATGTCACTGCCTTCAGATTGCGCCATGTGGCGCCAACATGCCAGGAGCTGCGGCTTGCAGAGATGGCGATGCAGCAGCTCGGACGGAGCTCTAAGGCACAGTCTGGAGGTCCGCATGTTCCAGCTCACTTCATGTCGATTTGCTTCTTGGGGCGGTCTTCTTCCAGGTGGGTAGCTTGCTGGCATGTGTGCGCACATGAACAAGTCCAGGAGCTGGATTCTCTGTGGCTCATGTGACAGTGAGGCACCTCTTCTCTCGTTGCTGGCGAGGTGGCTTAGGGGCTTGGCATGAGTCTGCAGACTCTTCGCGTGATTATGACTTGGAGCCTTCATGGACACTGCTAGTGGCCGTAGTTGCTATGCAGAGTCTAGAAGTCATCGATGTCCGCAGAAACGATCTTCGTCGACATTGACACGGAGACACCATCTCCTGTGCGCTGCAAGAGCGCCTGAAGCAAAGGCGGCTTGCTCTTGGATAGTGCATCCTCGGTATGCGCATCAAAGCTGCTTTTAAACGAACGGATGGAGCACTGGAACAGGTGAGTCTCTGACAACACACATTCGAAGAGCCGTCTTGCAAGTGGCATCCGCCTTTCTATCAGCAGCAGTCTTGTTATTGTTTCATTCCTGATGAATTCTGATTGCACTTATAAGCCCATCCAACAATCTACCAACACAATGCAAAACATCCGCGCCTTCGCGAGAGCTCGCCTTGCATCAGAGCATGAGGCAGACATAGGCAGACATCGTTGACAAGAGCGGTAAGCCCTGAAAGCGAAAAGAAAGTGTGGATCGAGCCCCTTGCTGAATTAACACTGATGCTGCATTGCTAGTCACTGCTAGCTAGTCGTATTTGCACTGCACTCTACACCCACCTTAGCATTCCTCGCAAGGCGTGCGAAACGTGCAATTTCAGCATCGCTGGTCGGCCACGGTTTAGGATTTAAGGTTTAGGTCTGCATGAACACCAAGCTCGTGGCCTCCGCAACACCTGGACACGGCAGTTCATGTACATGTAAAGCATTGGCAGGGCACCCCCCCGGATCCCACGGATCTTACTCAGCGTTCCCGGACAACGAAGTCCGTCACGAATTGACGAGTGTTGGGGGCTCTCGACTCGTGCAAGTAGTGATCGACTCCAAACAGCGGCCTCAGGGGATCTCTGCAGCTCCTGCAACAAAACCTGACAGTGTGGGCAGGCTTCCATATTATGTGGCTGACATCCTGCCTTTACAGGCTTCTCATTCAACGTGGAAACAATGGTCATAGCCTTGGCAACACCCCAGCGGCGGGCTGCTACAGCCTCAAGCACGGCTGAACCCAAAGCCTGGACAAGCTCAAGAAATCGGGTGTGAGTGATGCGCACAGCGAAGAAGCAAAACGCTCCACGCCTCTGCATAGCATGCAGCAAGTTTGGTTGCTTCTTGCTGACGACTGATTTCGTCAGTCACCTACGAAGGCGCTCCAAGTGTCATGGTAGGGTTAGGTACTTCTGGGCAGTGAGATGCAGCATCCTCGCATCTCTGCGGGTCCCAGACTGGCTCGTCTGTGATGAAGTCGGGCACAGCAACGATCTGCAGAATCGGAAAGTCATCAGTTCGACATCATCGAGTAGCGGCAGTTCAAGACAGACCTCGAAGATCCTGCCTGCATCTGCCTGCATCTGCCTGCATCTGCCTGCCTGCCTGCCTGCCTGCCTGCCGGCGTCGGTCGTGCATTTTCGGCCCGCCGTGCGGGCGCGCATCCGTTCTTGCGTTCTTGCTCGATTAATGCTATTCAGCAAGTCTGGTGCACTACACGCTGCACGACGGGGACATGTCAGTCGGGCAGGGACTGACCATTGTATAGCGTGAAATGCACGGCAATGCAAGAGCAATTGTTTTCTTCGCGAATGAGAAAACCACGTAGCAACGTGCAGCATATCATATGCTCTACCAGGTGCACACATTGCCATACACTTATGCCAGAATCTCAACCCACACAACATGAAAGGGCGAACGCTAACACACCCACGCAGAGCGTGGCGTGGAGGGGTGCTTGGTGGGACACGTGATGATACAAGCGCTCCCCGTACGACCACGCGGTCCACTCCATGCCTTCAGCGGAGAGCAGAAATCCTTCGTGTCCGGAGGTGTCAGGCCTTTCCATGCCGTCAGTGACACTTGCAACCTTGATCTGCCATCGCTAAGGGCTCGGCCATCACGTACATCCAGGACCTCCGATCACATTCCGGCGGGCTTTAACGCTGCTCCAGTACGTTTGACTCGAAAGATCCGCTGAGGCAAATGCGACACCGGCACAGCCGGCTCCCACCACAGCCTGCAGAGCTCTCAAAAGGAACGGGATCTCAGCACGCTGTCTCCTTTCGCCCTGCCTCAGCTGCTGGTCCACGGCGAACTTCGCCTCTAAGACGCAAGCGGCCCACTTGCACCACCTCACAGGGCAAAGGCGGCAGTCAGAGAACCGACGGGAGAAATGCAAAGAAGACCCCTACGAATTCCTGCAGCTGGTGAGGCTGTCTCTGATCCCGTCAGTCTCGTGACCAGTTTCAGGGCAAGAAAGACCGTGTCGCAAGATGACTCTACTGTACCCCAGATCCGCCTGTGCTGGTGAGGGAACTGCCACCGGATGGCTTCGGCCAAGCCACCGCCGGCTCACCCAGCCCTGCGCCTGCATACAACTACCATCGGACTGCGAATGTCTGCGAGCATGTGATGCTCCGTCCTTCTACAAATGCGGCCAGCACTGCACACAGCATATCGTACTCACTATTGTCAGTAGCACATAGCACAAGGCGGTCGCACCCAGATCTTGAAGCGACAGGCCACGAGCCCTGCGCAAGCTGTGCGATGAGGTCACGACAACGAACGACGTTCAGGCCCACTGGACAGCGCCTTTTTCTCTCCACTTGCTCGGATGTTGCTTCTAAGACCGGAAATGACCGGAAGCAACCACGCTACAATATAATGAACTGATAGCCTCAAGCCCAGCAAATAGGGGCGAGTCCGTGCATTAATTTGTGTATATGTGGGATGTGCTCGGCTTTCAGGGCTTGCATGACCGGAACCAACAGCTTGTTGTCAAGAATATCAGGCTAGCCTGTACTGCAACGTGCCCTTGCCGCTTAGACGACCCTGAAGATGCATACCGTGACGTGGATCCTCTACTCTCATTGCCCATTGCCTCTCAATGGAATAAATCACTCTCTTCCGTGCAGAGACAAGCAGCTCAATCAGCTTTCAAGTCCCCGTGCGCATCCCCATGCAGTGGAGGTCATTAGCTCGCCGCTTTTTTGCGGCCTTTCTTTACCACATCGCCGCCTCTGCCTTGCAGTGAATACAGTCTGCAGATCAGCTCCAGGCGCAGCAAGCACAGAAGCAAGCTGTGGCACCAGCGGGCAGGAATCATCGTCTGAAAGTCGTGGTAGGTGGGGCAGATGGAACGGGGGGCGTGCGAGCAGTGCGCAAGCCACCCCAAAAAGATCCTCGCTGGAAAGCGGCACAAAGAAGATTTGAGGCGTGCCGGAGGGTACAGACAGTTACTCGACTCATAATCGGAGTGATTTAAAGATGTCGTGTCACAAGCAGCATTTGTACTGAACATCAAAGAAGGATCGGCTTTCACCTGTACAAGAACATTGGCCTGACGATACTATCTACACCTCGCAGATCACAGCACCCAGACATCCGGTCCCAGTGCTCTGCTCCCTGTTCGGCTGGCTCTCCTTCAGTACGCACTGAACATGCGCTTTAGCTCGAACGACATGGATGCCGCAGGTCCTGCCGCTAGCCAATCCGTCCTGCACAGCCGAACAGGCAACCGGGCCAAGTTTCGTGGAGCTTCGCCTTACTTGTAGCTTGTAGAGGCCGTTGCAAAGCTTGACAAGCACAGCAAGCAGCAAGCCGGGCGAGCAATCCTCCCTGTCCTCCACCGAGTCCGTCTCCTCGGCTGAGTAGTGGAGAGCGAAGGCCTGGGCAGAGAGAACGAAAATCATGTCAGGGAGAGAGACTGGGAGAGGCTCTGCATGCAGGTGCTAAGACGGCGCCTGCTTGGCCAGATGTCCAGGGTCGCGGTACACCAAGAGGTTGTGCAGGCTGCACCTCAGAGCAGTCCGTCAAGCGCACGAAAACATTCCACTCAAAAAATGTCTCAAAAGCGAGGGCCCGGCTCGTCACACATCATTGCATTGATGGTGTCCAGCAGCACAAAAGGAGACAAGGTCACAAGGATGAAACCTGGATCGTGGTTTAGTTTTGTCAAGTTCGCACGGGCAGTGGTAACAGCTATCAGCATTCTCTGCGCTTAGAGCCGAGCCGGAGACAAACATATCCTTGGTCAAGCAGTTCTCAGCTCTGAATCTCCGACTTGCCTAATCGCACGCAATTGGAATAGCACGCTTGACCGCCCACAGATATATGGCGCACTACGATAGTTGCGCTTCGCTGGCAAATGTCAAGCAATGAGTGTCACTGAACCCAACCACCCCTGCGTCAACACCTCCCAGGTACACGAACAGCTTGTGGTACCATAAATCCCTTTTTGCTACCAAGGTGCTCGAAACATCCGGTTCGCATGCACCCACACACTCAGGAACTGCAATGCGCCTGAGTTCTGGACTTCAAAGGCATTGCAAAAACAGATAAAACATGCATTTGTCCAGCATCTCGTTACGCACCTCAAGCCTTCAGGCTTGCTTACGACCCGGGGGCCATGCTGCCAACTCGGTTGAAACATCTGGAGCGAAGGACCTTGCTGCTTACAAGCAGCAGCAGCAGCAGCAGCAGCAGCAACCCAATACGAAGATCAAACAGACGAGAGTCATGCCAGTGCTCAAGAAAAAACATATAACCCCGGGCAAAACTCAGGCTGGTGCGCCCTCGGATATGAACAGAACCATCTCGTAGAGAAGGTATTTCCTCAGCTGGGAACCAGGCGGGAGTAGAACTGGGAAGATACCCCAGGCCTCGATTAGACACTGCCTCGATTTCGGCCGAGAAGCAGCACCAAGCCGGAGATGAAGGTCTTGCCCCACCTGGGTCAGGGGCCAGCAACTGCACATTGCAGACGCTGTCCGTGCTGATCAGCACGGGCTGCAGCCATGGTCAAAGGGGAGCCGTTGCTCTTTTCCTTTCAGGCTGTGACCCTGCGCCGCTTCCCTTCATGGGGTCGAAGGCGATCTGACAGGGAAGCAGATGGCAGCTGATACTCCAAGTGGTGCCGTCCGCTGCGTCACTGAAACATCAGATTCATCAGATCAGCTGATGGTGTCGAAAGCAGCGGCAGAGCCCCCCGGCATATAGTGGAAGCGCGGATTCTATAATCTCCAACCTCGACTTGAATAGCACACTCGCAATCAACAGCTACGGTGCGGACAGTTGCAGAGGCGTCCGCGCAGTCACGACCAAGGCAGAAAAGGCAAGTGGAACTGCCTGCAGCAGCTACAAATAGATGAACGGCAAACAGGATGTGTTTCTTCAGCACTCGTAGCATGTACTCGACGTACTCGCATGCCGGCGTTTACATTTAAATTCAGAACGAACCTCCGGCAGCTTGCAGCCTTTCTCTTCCTGTGCGCTCGGTAAAAGACAGGGCGAGGGAGGAGAGCTACACAAAGTTGGAAAGGGCGACGAGGAAGCTAAACAGCGAAACAGGAAAAGGTGAGACTGGTCTGGCAGACTGGCCTCGTCATCACTTTCAGGGCGTCGTGGCACCACCGTGTCCTGCAAACACTATGGCGACAACATCCTGTGATGCGCGAATGCAAGTGCTGCCACTGTAGTCCTGCATCGCTGCATGCACAGGAACTCCAGCTTCTGCCCTAGTACACGGCAGTGACAATTGCGGCAGGCACGGCAGGCACTTCGTGCAAGATGCGAACCGGAACTTAGCTGAAACAGTCTCAGAGCTGGACAAGGTTGCACGGCCCATGGCACCTGCCTGAATAACGTTGCACTTTCGGCTGCTTCACAAGCCATTTTGGGGCGTCCTTTACATTGCATTTTGGATTTGGCCGGATGTTTTCTTTCTCGGCAGGAGTCTCCTGTCTGCTGATTATCATTTTCAGTTAAGAAGGGAGTTCTTGGAGACTTGAGACATCTCTTTTAGGAAGGCCTCAGGCTTGCTGTGCATGGACTTTGGAGAGGACCCAGAAGAATTTCTCAGGCTGAGGAGGCTACCAGGCTACCAGTGCTAGTTGCTAGATGTTGCTAGCACTGGCAACCAATGCTGTTACGCCGTACTGGCTCGTCGACATGTCGACCCACGCAAGGTCCACATTCTTGATCATGCTGCCTTCAGGCCATGATGCGACTGCACCCTGCCCGTGGGTGTACCTCCTCGCTCTCCGACTCCGACTCCGAGCTGCTGGTTGCGCCCTGCCAGTTCATGCTGGCAACTCTGGGCTCGGACGGAACTTCGCCGTTCCTCCAGGTCCGTCGCGCGCGTCCTGAGACGCTCTTTGCATGAAAGACTGTTCAACAGCTGAGCCTTTCAGAGCTTCTGAGGCAGCGGCCGTCGAGGTGCGTCCGGGGGAACCACGGCCCTTCAAGACGGAAGCTCTGTTGTAGCTTTCGTTCCGAACCGTTCCGTTGGCAAGGAAAGATTTCGCCGTCCGCACGCGCACCGGTCAGTCAGTCCCACTGAAGCCCAGGGGCCCAGCCTAAGCCCAACATACCGTTTCGGTTCCACAGCAGCAAACCAACAGGAAAGGTTCTAACCCTGATTTGTCAGGGAACCTTTTGCCTCCCTTGGGTTGGGCCCTTTGCAGCTACGCCGGCGACGTGCTTTTATTCCCTTGGTTTGTCGGTTTCATCCAACACAGGCACACGACGCCACAGCGGGAGGGCAGGCAAAATCCTCATCCCTGAGACTGTTGAAACAAGTGCGATCTGCACCACATCCGAAGCTTCGAGAGTAGCCTCATCCGTATGAGTGTCGTCACATGCGCATAATTGCAAAAGCAAAAAATCCAAACACTTGCAAAGTCAGCGATTCGAAGTCAGCCTCATACCTGCGACGCAGTTTCTGTCTTGTCGATCAGCCGGCACACAGAATTATGCCAGTGCAGAGCTCCAAGAGCGAAAGAGCCCTTATGTAGCAAGAGCGCGTGTAGACTGATCCCCAGAAAGTGAAATTGAACCCACTGTGTACACCCAGAAGATACCAGGACGACACCAGCGCCACGACCACCATGACGATCAAGACGATGCGGACCACCAAAGGACAACAACGCAAGGCGAGCCCTGAAGGAGGCAGGACGGACGGGACTAGGACTGGAACTGATTGATTCTGGACCAGGAAACTCCCAGGCGCTTCCAGCGTCCAGCTTGCCTCACCTCCAAAGTCGCTCTCCGCCACAGGACCAGACGGAGGAACCCGGAGAGAGGCCAAATGGCAGGCACGTGGGGCGCTTTAGGTTGCCGCCCTCAAAACCCTCCCCCGCCAGCACGCAGAATAGCTTGGCCCTTCCAGGAGTTTCAAGGCGAAGATGGGGCCAATGCGTTGTAATTTACAATGACGATAATGACTCGCGAGTCCCCGTAGGACACGTCCGCAGCGGACTATGAATAATGGGACATAATAGGACATCATGGCGGGTGAACCTGTATCCACATCATCGCGACAACCGCCTCTCTGCACGCGCCTCTGCGGGGACACTGACCAATACCTCTTCACTCTGAAGGTAAGAGTCACAATGCGTTACTACACTGTTTGGGGAACCAACGTAAAACATAGCACCTCCATACTCTAAGGATCACGGGACGTGGTGCGTAAGTTATTGGCATATCATGCGATGACCTCAAGCATATGCCTTGCTTCAGGCATGCCGAACAAGCCTTCTGTGCATGAGCTTGCTCCAGGCTCGACACCATTGCATTCATTCAGCATGCCGAGGTCTTGACAAAGAAACCGTCTCACTGGAATTCCGGCTCACGGAATCTCTCGGAGAGAGTTTCCATCATGCATTCATGCAGAGGCACCACTCGCTCTCTGAAACCCCCTTCATGCAATTCTCACGGGGCACCACCTCCTTTCTGCAAAGTTCCCGCGAGTTTAGTGTTAAGGCTGTAAGCGGGGGGGGGGGGGGCTGGCTCAGCTGCGGATCTGAGGAAGATGAACGACTGGTGTCTGGTGTCACTCCAATGCTTGACCCCTGTGTGCGGCCTTGGGCATGCGAAGATGCTCTCCATTACGCTCACCACCAAGCAGTACAAAAGCGACAAGCCTGCAGTGAGCAGGGATATTGCAAATTTCAGTCTAGCAGCGTCTGAGCCAGATTCACAGATGCACGTGCTCGAGGGTCGACCTATTGGCGGAAGTAGCGTCAGCACGGACAGGGTGACCACTCTCGTGTACCTCGATACTTCCCATCAACACATCCTACAGTAGAGACCTCATTTTCGAAACAGCCGGATATTGGCATGAGGCTGAGAGGCTGTACATGTGCATGACATGTGGACCCCGGAGACAGCTCGAGAGGAGCACGCGGAGTAGATTACCTCGAGGAGCTGCAGCTTGTGCGTCAAGATGGCGAACCTGAATACGGGGCGCGACTCCTCAAGCTGTGAGTTGGTGGACCATATCATCGTGGTCATGTCCCTGAGGGATTTTCACCTGTGGCATGGTAGGCCCAATGCCAAATAGCTAAGCAAAAGATCGATACCAGGAAGTTCACGCCGATAACCTCCGCACTGCCGGCTTGGCGCTACAAGCTGCTGAGCTGACCGGTCCGACTGACTTCCCCGGTCAAGTAGGTGTCTGGCAGACTCTCTGAAGCCCTTCAGAGGCTTTAGCTGCGTCCTTGGGTCGTCATTGTGCCGATTGTAAGCACCCACAGACAAGTCATCCTCCTGGGCTATGGACTTCTGGTAGTTCTCAACCCACAGCTTGCCTGAGAACTTCCCAACATGCACAGTGTCATGGGTCTAGAGCGACGATTGGCACCTTGGTCTCCAAGGAAGAACAAGAACCAGGCCCTGAGATTCAGCGCAGCACCATGACTTTTTGAGGTCTCCGGGAAAGTCCCCACCTCACGTCGTCCTTCACCTCATCCAAGTCGAACTGGTACCTGCATGCATCATCGACCTACATCCAAGAGTCTTCAAGATTAGCCGGCTTCGAGAAAACTCCGGGGATGGCACGGGTTGAAAACGAACGGCCCGTAGAGCCACGACACGATCGTGATCCTGCATGGTTTGCATGCAGCATGACAATTGACATCCGATTCAGATGACCGGTCCCGATGGCAAGCCATGTAAAGCCCAGGCTGGAAGCTTGACCGCCAGCATCCGAGACGCCACCCAGGAGCAATCTGGCAGCTCAGAGGCGGCAGAGACATTATAGGCACCAGCATACAGGAAGCCGAGGCAACCACACTGCAATGCAGCACAGAAGAAGGCGCATCCCATCGTAATAGGTATACCTCGCTTGCGGGAAACTCCAAGACGGCTCATAGGGACCTTGCAAGGCCCCTGCATGGCATAATCGAGATACAGCCCGCCAACCTGGCATCCAATTCCGCCCTCTCACACCGCAGAAGAGCAGAAGTGCTTTCTGAATGTTCACGAGGATGAGGACCGGTGACCTTCGTCAATTTCTTGGGGCCGTCCGGCTCATGGGCATCCTCAGACATCACGATGCTAAACAGCGATGGGACATGATGGGACTACCCTCGCAGTGTATTCTGCCTGCATTGCAAATTGCAAGCACATGCGGGTAGGTCGCGAACTACTGGCCGAATCTCGCCGATGAAAGGCCGGCGGTAGGTCGGCAGCCCACGGCCAGTCGCGACATACTGGGCACCTGCGAGAACGAAGTGCTCCGTAATTTTGAGTGCACGCATCCCAGTTGAGCACATCTTGCGCTCTCAGGCCTCCGTAGCGCAACTCGTTTACCACCTTAAGACAATGTACAGGTAGCAGCATGTAGCAGCTGCAGTTGACACAACAGCACCTCTTTTGACTATCGAAGTCTTACCAAGTTCACGACATAGTATCCGATGATTTTGGCCTGGAACACGAACATCAAGAAGGACAAAGTCAGGTACCTCAGGCAGAGCTCATTCCCTGCAAGAGTGCTCTTCGATTTGTGACGGCTTGGAGGGCACTGCTTGCCCAATCTCCACACTGCATGGCAAAAGCTCCTGTCAAGACTGCATTGGGCTCACTGCATACGAGAACTTTCAGTTGAACAGGAAGACCTGGTTTGAAAGAACGAGCATGATTCCGCCCGTTTCACGCCCAAACATGACCATTTTCATTCGCCTGCATCTGGCGCTCCCGGCATGCACACAGGAGGAGTGAGACCTAATGGAGAGAACCACATGCAGCGACTGACGGCCCGGTCCTCTCCATCCAAGACTCTGCAAAGAGGGGCATGGAGGTTGCGACCAAGAATAGGAAAATCACCTCAAAGGCCACGTGCCCTCTGACAGGGTCCTTCTCACTGCGACTGGGCTCACGCAGAAGGAAAAGTAAGATCCTTCATGACCCCGGAGGCAGGTATACCACTGACACCTCTAAGGACGCTGCCCACGAGTACCAGACCGACAACAGGTTGGCCATTGCCTGCCGCCAGCCCGTTGATAGAAAGGGTTCGAACTGCGCTACCAGAAGCTGTCTAAGGTCGCATTTGCTGCTGCAAGGCTAGATTCCTAGATGACTGCTCAGATGGAATTGCGCGGCTGACCTAAACTACTCGTGGTAGCATTTCGTCTTTCAGAATTTCAGCTTGTGGCTCTTCTGAGGAGGATGCGATGTTGCCATGGAAGCCTGCTTGTCCGTGGCCCTGTTCTGCTCCCCTGTCTTTGCGGCGGGCTGTTCTCACCCGACCATAACTAAACTGCATTCGCGGCATGCCCTGCAGATCTGGATTTCTGTGATGAGAACTTGAGACGGCTTGACGGCTGTAAGGTTGGGTCGCTTGTGCCGGTTTCAGGCTCAGCACATTTGTCCAATTCTGTCTCCGGCTTGAGGGCCCGGAGTCCGCTGACAGTGATTGATAGGGTTACAGGCAGCGTATTGTGGAGAATCTTCGATTCAATCCTGTCCCGCGTTGATTTAGTCGATTCTCTGCAATGCAAGAGCCTGAGGCCTCTTGCGCGAGACACGGGCCGTTTACCGAATTGTCATAGCATCCCGGACAGGCTGAAGCAGTATCTTCAGTGTTGCTTTGTGAAGGCGAGCAGGAAAAGTAGGTGCCTGGCCTGCGCTGCAGGGACCGTCGGACCTGCAGACAAAGAACTAGCGCAAGCGCGTGGCTTTGTGTATGGATGGTATAGGCATTGGTGCATGTGCAAGAAATACTTTGGCCGAGACAAGCAAGGGCACCCTAGAGAGTCTTGCTGCCGAGATACAGTAGTTCTCGAAGACTCGAAATGTTTGCTCGCCTCTTCTAAGAGCGAGCCACATCCAGCAACAAAATCACCGGGCACAAGCTGAGACAGCAACAATCGCCGGCAAGAACAACCTCTGTGCGAGGGCAAGATAAGATTTCCACCCACTGTGAAGGAATGAGGCTCCCGCCATCCAGGCGAAGACCTGAGCTGAACAGCCGACGGTCTGCCAGAATCTCAAGCTTAGGAAAGCGTCGCTTTCAGTATGCGGAGCATCCTCGGGCACAGATCCCTCAAGGGTCCGGGCAAGAATCGGCATCGATGCCGACACCAAGCCTTGCGTGATGTAGTAGCCAACGTGGGCATAGTAGAAGGTCAGTGCTTCCGGCAAATGCAGAATCTGCCCAAGTCGGAACATCTGCCTCAGAGCCCGGAGAGCACAATTCCGTCGCGGCGGCAGCGAATCAGTCTCGGCGCTCTCTCAGCACACAGCACGAACGTGACTTCTTTTCGCGAGGAGTGGTTTAAACGGTGTAACTCTCGCCTATGCTGCCGGACTCTTTTTAAGTTTGTCGTCTTGGATCTATATAGGTCCCAGGGAAAGCCCACTGCTGTAGCAACGCGCTCTGACAGCCGTCGGCCACATAGCTTTGTAATGCCGATTGCGTTGCAAGCTGTTGTAACTACTAGCCGTAGCTAACGCGATCGTTCTAAACCGTGCATTCTGTTTGACCCCCAGGTGCCCCGAATAACGCAATTTCTGGTGCGTAACAGGTATGACGTAATGGAGGCGGTCTGCAAATGCGGGCAACGTCACATCATCTAAAACAGAACAGCGCATACGGCCGATGGGGCACTATGCCGCACTAACGAGGACATGCCCACCCAGCCAAGCCGACTGCCTTTCAATTCAAGAAGGGTCAAGCATCCTGGCATTTCGACAATGTCTTTCAAAGTGGTTACAGTCCCCTCGCGGGGCCTGGTGAGGATCTGCTCGCCGGCCCCGGAGGAGAGCTTCGAGAAGAAGCCGAGGACGGTGTTGAAGCCGAGGTCCCGGCCCTTGGCCACGTGAAAATACTCGCAGTGCTTGATGGAGCGGCCTTGTCCTCGCAGCGTAAAATCCATGCCGGCGAAGATGTCCTCGGACAAATTGATGGTCTTCGTGGCCTTGGAGACACCGCCCTGCTGGATCATGAACTGCTTGTTCATGATGTCGGGGTGGCCGTAGTGCATTCTGGCACCCAGCACTGCATAGGTCCGCTGCAGGATCGTGCCAAAGGCAACTTCCGAGCCTGCTGCGAAGTCGCCCACGGATCCGATATCGCTGGTGATGTGCTCCGGAAGACCAATGATTTGCTTGGCCGCTTCATCTCCACGCTCTGCAGTGCGAAATTCTCCGAGCACGCAGGGAAGCATCAGCATCTGCTCGAAGTAGCCCCCTTGGTTCGCATCAATGCATTGGCTGAAGATGCCTCGTAAGAAGATAATGGCGTGATTCTGGTTGTCACTCTTCCCATCGCCCAAGATCGGGTATCCTGGCAACTCAACCGTGAATTTGGCCGCTCTTCGACCTCCACCAACGTCAGCGCACGATCCATCGATTAAGCAGCTGAAGTAGCGCCGATGTTGTCTTGGATGGACGTTGTCGACCTCTGCATGGACGTTCCTGTCCTTCTGATCGATGTAAGCCACCTTCAAGCTGCTCGGAAACTTGGCGAACATCTGGTTGGTGTGCTTGTATCTAACCGGCTCGAAGTTGGCGTACTGCTGCATGGACACAATGCAACTGAAACAGTCATTCGGAGTCCACACCTGGGCCATCGCAGGCTTCCTTTCACCAACAATCCGGCCCACGCCCTGCACCTCATAGTGGCACTGCAGAGCAGGATGGTACAACATCATGCCTGCGACCGTGCGCCACAATGTCTGCAATCGCATGGACGACCAGCCGCAGATTTTCTCCCACTGCTCGTCTGTGTATTCCTTTCGCGAAGCAGGACAGGACCCAGGGCAGGAGTGTGGCGTGATCCAGAAAACTTGTCCAACAAAGGCAAGACGCATCCCAGTTCGCGCCATGAGGCAGCTGGATGTCGGACTTGGCCTGCCGAGGAGATTGGAACGATTCATGGTTTCCTGACAAATGCTTCCGCCCAAAGCCTGCATCCTTGCATCGAAGTTCAACCATTCGTCCTGGGCAACCATGTTCAACCATGCTACAGCAGACACTTACCAGTTTGCGGAACCACCGGGCCTCATAGCGAGCTTTCAGCCAGTCCATGAGCGGAACCTGGCATGACCAAAATTCTCGGACTTCCAGCTTTCAGCCAGGACTGAGAGGAGGCCCTGGCAGTGTCATCAGCGCGACCACCATACAGCGAGTCCTGACAACATCATGCTACCAAAGTCAGGCTTGGCTTTGGCAAGTCTGAGCTCGTTGTGGCATCTCTAGTTGGTGGGATGGCACTGTGCGGGCACACTCCACGCTTGTGAATGCAGTGGCACGATGCCCGTGGATGCCTTTTGTTCCAAGATGGTCTCGCCATAGTGCGGAATCAGGACCTGCGAAGCGCGGCACTCTCTGCGAGGCTCTGCTTGCCACGTTTCACTGGAGATCCCACCGTGATGCCAGGGATGAATGGTGCCCGGAAAGGCTTCGGGATGGGCAGCCCGAGCCCACGGGACAAAGCCAGGAGCCGCCTCGGACGACGAAAGACGAAAGGCCAGGCAAAAAGTCGGCGGCCAAGTCCAGCATCTAAGCCCAGAAACCACTGCACTTCGGCGTTCGCTGGCCAATGCGAGTTCGCAACCTCAAAGCTTCTTTTGGCCAAACTCCTGAGAGACTCTGCAAGCCTCGCTGAGGCTGTGGCGAAAGCTTGGCAGGCTCTTTGCACGACGGATTGCTCTTTGAAGAGATTCGGCACCTTGGTTTAAACGGTTCTTGGGTTCTTGCTGCAAGCAGCTTGCCTGCTTTCAGACATTGAGAACGGAACAACAATCCGAAGCTGGGCGGAGCCATCTTCTGCGCCAGCACCGGGCCTTACAAAGGCATCTGCGAGACAAGCACAGCACAGCTCAGCTGGGTTGTGCTGCCATTTTGCCGAGCCCCGCGCAGAGCTGGTTGGATGGCCTTGCTGAGGCTGCTCCACTCGATGCCCCGGGTGCTTTTGGTCATGAAGGACTGCCAAAAGCGCACGGCAATGCGATGCGTCGCGATAGCTCATGAAGCTTGCTTCTGGCGACTCGGACGCCCTTCGAAGGCCTGATCTGCCATGAACTGGTTCCCGATTTTATCTTCGTACCGCATGTACCTCAGGTGGTGAGTCGTCAGACATGGCATCCGTAGCGGAAAGTTAAAAAGTGAGCCCAGCGCTCTACGATGCGGTCCCAGACCAAGGGGAACTCGCGAGCCATCTCCCTGCCCTGCCCAAAGTCAGAGAGTCGAAGTTTCAGGATCCAGTTCAATCATCTCGCTGCACCTCCACATGCTTCTTGACGAAACAGAACACCTGGACCAATCTCATGGGAACCAAATACTGTAATTGAGTCATGCGCTGCAGCATGTTGCACTCCTAGATTGACGCGTGATTCGACGTGGAGTTGTGCCTTTGTGCAGTCCTAGCCGCTTCTGCCGTTCTTTCGCGGAGTATGTTCACACCTTTGTTTCATTTTAGTGGACAAAAATGCTGAGTGTGGGAACCTTTTCTGTCATCCTTTCGGGGATCTTGGCCACTGCATCCTGCAGACAGCGAAAAGGGCACAACTTGAAACGGATGCGGCCGTTGCTCAGCACAAACATCTCCTCAAAGCAGAAAGTGCCAATTTCACACCTGGGAGCATCGAAACTGCAGACATCTGTAGACTGTACAAAGTTTCAAGTTCACGTACGACAGCAACCACTCAGAACACAGATCTGCACAAGCCTTTGCAAGGGTGAGCCCCAAGCGAGCGCTGAACGAAGTAGGTGCCAACTCCAAGGAAGGTGCAACCAAGAGTGAACCACATCCTGGACGGGGCGACATCAAGCCAGTGTCCATGATAGACTTCCAGGCGGCTCAGATCTGCATACTTCACAAGCCACCCTGTGTCAGCACAGAAGAGGAAGAAGGTCGTGAACCACCTCGGCTGACAAAAGATAGCTGCTTCACTGATCCATCGAAGCCACTGTGCAGCGAGGGCACAGCAAGGCCCACTCCAGCACATCTTTTCCCCAGTCCACGCCTGAATCTGATACGATGTTGACAAGAAGATCGGTTGTAGTTGATCTCTTGCAGTTCATCTAGGACTGAGTGGGAGGCTGCTCCACGAGAACTTCATCTCCGTGACGCTCTGCTGTCCCAACATGATGATGCGCAAGTCTCGGTGCCTTGACAGAAGCCGCGGCCGCAAAAGAAGCGCTACCCACCTTCTGCAATGCTTGGCAGGCGACATCAGATGGTATACGGATGCAAAGATCGTGAAGCCTCACAGAGACATTGATGATACAAAGTCCACCATGTTACCGGTCCTATTCTAAGGCAGCAGCTCACGAGAAACTTGATTGCAAAGACCTGCACATCCGCGCGGCGCTCCGTGCAATGTACAGAGCGCCGAATTTCCCCCTTCAGCTTTCTGCACATACTCAACAGCGTAAGGTGCTGGCGAAGAACCAGAAGCTGTAGCGAACAACAAGCAGGCCTAATCCGCAAGGACTTGCTCTGACTTGCAGCACGGCTCCAAGGTGCAGTTGGGATTTGCTTTCGACCATGTCAGCTGAGGCATCCACAGACGTGTACCGGCGTTCTGGGGAACAAGATGTCGTACGTCCTTAGGCAGGACAGTCTTTGACTGCGGTAGATTCTGCGGAGCACTGCGGTCAGAATATTTGAAGCATGGGCAGGTCGCATAACATTCACAGAAAGGCGCGGTCTTTCCAGAGCATTGTGGGCAGCGGCGCGCTACCTCGATTCGTCCTTCGTCCTTCGGCTCACAGGAAACCAGCCGTTCTTGGCTGTGACCGGGCATACGGAGACCCGGATGTACTTCCTGTAAGAAGGGTTGTGAAGATCGCAATTGCAGGGATAGTTTGCTGAAGCTGAAGGTTGGACGTTGGAACCAAGCCTTTCTCGATGCTGTCAGCCTTCTGGAGGAGCTGATTCACTTCATCCAGAGGCGTACCCACATCCGGAGTCGTCGTTGAAGGATTGCCCAGGAAAACATGGACCGTGCTGGCATCACGAGATGCGTCGGATGCTGGAAACGGAACCACCAAGTTCTGCAGGCGATCGCCAAGGAGCCTTTCCTCCACCATGTCGATCTTTGAGTTCACTTGGTCGGCTATGCGATTTAGCTGGGGATCAACTTTCGAGTCGTATCTTATGTCTGCCCGCTGCAGGTCCTGATCCAGCAAAGGCACCCCTTCCGGCTCTTCCTCGTATTCGCCTTCCTGGTAATCAGGATAAGGCGCTTCCCCCTCATATCCGTAAGCGTCCGGTGGACCAGGAGGAAGCGGCGGACCGGGCGGACCGGGGGGACCGGGTGGACCCGGCGGGCCTGGCTGGCGCTCGGGTGCCACCCTTACCTCCTCCTCCTTTTCCTTCGCCTCCGGTTGCGGGATGCTCTTCTTTGGCAACCTCGGTACGACGAACTCATGGCGATCCGGATCCTGAGGCTCCTGCTGCTTGAGCTCGAGCTCCTTCAGTTCCTTCAGATTCAACTCCTTCAAATCCGCCTTCTGTGTTTCTTCTGCAGTTTTGTCTACATCCTTCAGGTCGATCCCTTCGTTTTTCAACTCCTTCTCGATGCCACCCAGCGCAGTCTCATCAGGCTTGAGCACCACGGAAAAGGAGCACCGGTGAGGTCTTGGCTTGTGCCAAGCTCCCAGATGAAAACCGGTTAGCTGCGCAACACTGTTCAGTTCTATTTGGTCCCGCAGGTGCATGGCTTTCAACTTTCAGACCATTGTCACACCGCGGCCATACCCTTTCTAGCGGTCCTAGTCCACTTGAACCCAGAAGAAATTCGCTGCGGACGGTTGGAATCTCGTCATGTGACTCCAAACGCTTGGGCTGCTCGCAACTGGCTGCTGGATGCGGCTGTGGCAGTGGCCGATCTGGAAAAAAGAGGTGCGCGATCAAGCCCAGCACCTGGAGCACCAGCAACTGCACCCAAAGCTTCCGAGATTCTTCGTACGAAGGCAGAGCGTCAGACAGAAAGCACTGCGTGCGCAGCCAGCACCTCAGGGAGGTAGGAAACGCTCAGGGCGTCTTCATTCAGTCGTCACATCTGATACTCTCCGAAACAGCTGCAAACACAAGAATCACAGCTTGTCAGCCCATTCGACTCCTTAGCTCGGCCCAACACCATTCCCAGCTGCAGGTCTTTGCTTTCCGAGAATTTCTCGCCCTGCAGATCCACGCAACAAAACGGAGCTCCCGCAATCTTCCGTAGAGCCAGAGCAGTCCTTCAGCTCCACATATCGGATGGCACCGTAAGTGGCCAAGGGCCTGGGCTCGAGACTCACTCGGCGCAGAAGGCCGACATGTCCAACTGGGGGCAAAGGCGAAGCCCACAGCAACGCGCGGCCGAGGCCTGCCAGGTACAAGTAGCAATCGCGGAAGCTGCAGACGAAAGGCAAGATATTGAGGCCGGGTGCCGGCAAACCAGCAGGCCGGTCCACTGATCCTTCCGGTTGTCACGATGTGGATTGACTCAACTGCGCTCACGGTTCGTTCACCAGCTCCTCCGACAGACGGTTGTTCCAGTCGTCTCGTAGCGTGCGAAGCCCCAAAGAGCAGCGTGGAGGGGCCTCAAAAAGCAAAGATGCGGTACAAGTACGACCAGATGGGGAGTCCTGTGATGCCCCGTGAACCCGAGAGTCGCACACCACAAGCCCGACAGCTGCAAGTCTCACCGGGAACTGATTCCCCAGGAGCGCGACCTGGCCCGCACACGGAGGCTCGGCTGGCAAGCAGGAACGCCATGGGATCACGCAATCTCACGGCACATCAGCCGGAAGCACGTGGCCGAACTGGATGTGAGCCGGGTCCGCGATCCTTTCGTGGCTTACATATCACCGGCGGTGAGGAACATGTGCACCCCTATCATGCAAGTGCTGAAACACTGGCTCTCAGATGCAGGCGTGAGAGTCAAGCCGGTTGCGAACAAAAGCATATGCCTGGCGAGCGCAGGGCGCAGGTATTTCCCTCGCCCTGGACGGAATCTCGAGCCTGAAAGCTAACAAACGCCGGTTATGACACCATAAGCGAGCCGGACACTCACAAGCCACACTCTGTGTGTGGAGGCCAGGAAACCCCAAAGCGAGTGCACCTCCATCCAAGACAACACGTGGAGCATCAGCAGGTGCTCTCAGGTTGCGCAGAGCTGGCTGCATTGGCTCTCTTCTTCGTGGTGATTTGCATTGTTTTTCGAGATGCATTGACTTGCGGCTTCCATCTTTTGGCGAGCTGTACCCAGCCACAGAAATCTCCCACCCACAAATCTTTAAGTAAAACACGACCGAGTTTGTACGGTGCTCCGGGTAATGGTGAAGACATACTAGGGCTTAGACACCTTGGAGCCGTACGGCCTTCTATAGTTCTCTTCGGGATGAACACCAAAGGTTCCCATCGTCAAAGCTCAACTAATCCGGGAGGTCATGATGCCAGCCTCGCGGTGGGTTTTCGTCTCGAAGCGATCCAGAGTCCACTCCCAAGCCTTGCCAGAGTTTCTCTTCTCTGAAAGCATTCGCGCCCCGAGCTGAAGGGTTTTGCAGGCTGAACCTTTGAGATGCTGGCGACTCTGTGCAAATTGGCAAAACGGCGTGCATGCTCGATCTCGCAGAATTTCTCCCCGTCCTTTCAATGGACTGCAAGAAGCTCTGCACAGAAATGCTGCGGCCGGAAGTGGCACTCATTACTATAGTGGCATCACGAGAACTCGACTCGGCATCTGCTGCACGTGATGTCCTGACAGACCATAGTCGAGTAGAGCCTTTTGGGGTCGCAAAAGAGCTCGTTCCAATCCTCAGCAAGGCTCAGAGCTGGGTGCGTGTGTGGGTGTGTGTGTGTGTGCACACTCTGAAGGTTGAGTTGGGAGGAGTGCTGATGCAATACTCCAAGGGCAGTCAGATGTCAACAGTGTTGGTTCAAAGCACTGCTTGCGCTGGGATCCATAGGGCGCTGGCATCATAGTTGGCAACATCTGGCGGCAGGAAGGCTTCGTATCCCTGAGCACGGGGCTCCATTGACCGATCATTGAAAGGCTGCAAAGTAGGAAACCATGCGCTCCGGCCAATACGGGGCTGTCGGGGTTTATCCCGCTGGCGGAGCACCTTGTGGAGGATCTTCCTGTCCTTTTGGCCATTTTTGTCAACCTTCTCGTACCTGCAGGATTGAAAGGTGGCCAGCGACGCCCAGAATTTGTTCAACAACGGTCACCACTCGTCGAAGACCACGTTGTAGATCGGCCGGATGACCTGCAGAGATGCGGCATTTGCGAGCCGAAGCGGCGTTCTACGGCGAGGAACGCCTCGCCTTTGCCAGGAAGTTGCGGCTCCGAAATGACGATCCATCAGAACGACTGGCAAGACCCACGGAAGGGCATGGCCAAGCATGGAGGGACAACACGTGCAGCGTGAAATTCAGGAGAGTCGCCCTCCGGCTCCTCCATACAGTCCAGCTGCCCCCGGGGCTTCCTCAAGTTTGCACAGAGCTCTAAAGAAGGTGAGTCGAATCGAAGGCCCAAGGTTGCAGACCGCAGCGAGGGCCATCTCTGTCAGGAAATATACAACCTTCCAGCACGAAAAGGAGTTGGACTGAACTCTCCTTGCTAAGGTGCCCTGTGCTGGCCTCTGGCATGAAACGGACATTTCCGCCCTCACCCCAAACTAGCCTCAGCAGCGAACGATGGGCTATGATGTCGGATCAGAGATGAACCAGAACTTGCACATGTCTGAAAGCAGAAGTTTGAGATGCTGAGTTATTGACAAGTATGCTGTGATCTCCGCCAGCTGCCTATGCAAAGCTGTGGGCAGTCTCCACTCCTGCAAGAGACCTTCGGAGCCTTGAGGCTTCGAGAGCATCGTCGGATCGACCCCCGTAGAGGGACGCCGGCCTCAAGTGCTTGAAGATGTTCCTAATCGGAGCAATCTCGTGACGAGACCAGGTCTCCAGCAGGGGGTTCCAGCGAGCTCCTGCCAGTGGCGGCAACGTGCCCTCGGTCGACCGAAGCAAGCAGCAAGCAAGACACGAGAGCCGAGCAAACGGGGTGCAGAGCAAGCGTCGAATGGGGCATGCAAGTCTTGAAAAACTGGAAACAGAAGATGAGTGCATTGCCTCGCGTCTCTCAGGCATGTCGAAGTCATCGGAATCGCAGCAGGTGCTGCGCCAGCGACGGAATCCCTCACTTCGCAGAGCTGACAGACTGCCTAGGGCCTGGGACATGGGATCTATACTCAGGGATACCCAGAAAAGCCCCCCTCTGTCCGCTTGGCTCCTGCAGCAGCTCTGTGTAAAGCTCCCCCAGCGCTGAGGTGAGCAGATGGTCTTCCCGAACCTGTTTGTCGCATGCCGCAAGTTCTTGCGTCGTCATCCTCTACCCCACCACGGCACTGCCTCGCCCCACTGTAACCACGAAAGAGAGCATCCAGTATGGGATTCTTGAAGCTGCGCTGTCGCCGATCAGAGCTAAGTAGGGTCGGAAAAAGATTCTTTCAACTTTTCCCCCAAGATTCCTTCAACTTGCCCCAGCGGATTCCCTAAACCCCAATCCCTAAAACCCTAAACCCTAAACAGTAGTAGATAGTAGTAGAAGACACCGGAGTTGAAAGAATATCGGTGGAGAGAAACGCCAGAAGTTGACGAATCGGGCTTAGACCAGCTAAGTAGTTCTTTCTGTGGAGCTCCAGATCTGATCGTCTTACTTACTGACTTGCGCTTGAAGGTCTGGCTTCCTGACTCACACATCATGGCTGGGCGATGGTTCTTGTATGGCTATATCCGGCTGTGTTGATTCTGCACTCGGCAACACCATACTCTCCTGTTTCCTCTGCTCTCAGGTCCACCTCCTCCTCATCCTGCACATCCCGGTCGGCCACCTGCAAAGACCGCAGACATGCAGGTGATTACAGAGAACTGCATCGCAAGCTTCAGGCTCTGACTAAGGCACTGTGCGACTGCAGGAGCGAGAGCAGGTGCTCGAACTGGTTTCTGACGCTGTCATCCTGCACACATCGGAGTTCAGGGAAGCTCGTGAAAGCTCGGAGATTTTGGCGAGTGCCCCAGCCTGGAAGTCAAAAGCTTCCTGCAACGCCCCGAAGAGGCTCGAAGCAGACGCAGCAAACCTGAAAAGATCGGAAAAATCTGTCAGTCCAGTTCTCGCGGTCACTCAGGGCCAGCACTCGCGGGCACCAGGGAGAACCTTTGTCGGCGGTCGAATTCTGGAAACCGAGATGAATCCTGCCCTGGAGAGGCAAGTGTAGATCTTCGTCACTATGCTTGGTTCGCACACACGTACTGCCAAGATGGTCCCAAGACTGCAGAACGCCCTTTGTCGAGGCTTGTGTGGAGCCCAGCCCTCGCCGAGACTTCTCCGTCGTTTTGCTTGCAAGGCGGTTCTTTCAGCTGGAGGTGAGTGGCAAGGAATTAATGTCGGGTCAGATGGCAGTCACTGAGTCCCCAGCCATCCTTTTGTCAACAAACCAGAATGCTTACAACCAAATGCTTCCAAGGTCTCATCATGCGGCAAGTATGTGCATTGGGTTTCCGAACAGCACAGCGTATGAAATCTGTCCACTCCGAGGTGTGTGCCCGCAGCGAGTGTGATCGCAAGAAGAAGTCCTGCGTGTATCCATCTGATGCAGCTCTACGTCAGCGGCTTTCGAAGTGTTCCTATGGCCATGGGTGACTGGAGGCTAAGCTGGGGCCTGCAGCTCGCGAGCCAAGTTTGCGCCAGATGGCGCGGGTGACATGACCTCTGCGGCAGAAAAGCCACTTTGCTGCGCGACTCAGACACGAGATACCGGGAGCAGCATGGACATGCACCAAGACTAGCTTAGCTCGGCGCTGTCCCATATGGCATAGAGTGATCCGTAGCAGCGTCGGCTGCCTGCGCTGGGGACGAAGTCTTAAATTCACGCCGTCTGGCTGAGGACTTTCTGTCATCTTGGGCTGGCATGTGGGAAGCAAGCACAGGGCTCTTTTCTTGCTGGTCGGCCAGATCACTGGCATCCGGCGAGGCGAGCCCGGCCTGTCCCCGCCCGACTCCTTTCTCAGGCCTTCACCTGCTCCGGCCAGACCAGATTCTATGAGACCCTTAGCCTTGGTCAAAGACCTCGGAGATCTGCGCGGCTTCTCACGTCGTCAACTTGCGGTGCCGGCGCCGCGGTCGTTGCGGCGCTGAAATTGCTCCGAGTCCTTGCCGGCTGCCCGGGACCTCGAGGACAAGAACTTCGTGTGCTCGGGCTTTTGCATGTTTCAAGGACTGTGCAACAAGGCAACAAGCTTCCACGGCGGGTCACTGGTACACGGCGCGGTTCTCGCGCAGCCAGTCTTAGCTCCGCCCGTTCTGCGTCAGCTGGTGCCTCTGCTGTCTGCTCAAACAAAGATGACATGAAAAGTGAGACTAACTCGCTCTGCCAGTTGCCCGTGTTTGTGCACGTGCTGACAAGCCAACCCAGACGGACCGCTTGATAACCTACTTTCCACGCAACACGTCAACGGAGCCTTAGCTGTAGTTGCGGCTCAGCTGCTTGTAGTGACATTGCTCCCCGCGCGAACAGTACCCCTTCTGAAAGTCATGGCAGTTCTTGCTGGGGTACTTGATGACGCCATCTGACGGGATGATAATCGCCACAATCACTCTTGCTGCGTTTGTCTCCGAGCGGATCAGAGCACTCGGCCTGGGGCTTTTTCGTGAACATACCGACAGCGGTCTCCGTTCTTGCAGCGGTCCTGGGAGAATAGGCGCCACTAGAAGGCATGTCAGTCCTCTTATGCCATGTGGCTACACTACACTTCATCAGGATTATGAGTCCCCATGTCCGATTACTGTGGTTGCAAAGGGAGTCCTCCTGGAAAGCGAAGCAGTACTTCTTACCTGGTACTGGTCGCATCTCCATTTTCTCAAAAGCTTATGCAGTCGACAAAATAGCATCCCGTGCCTCTCCCAAGATCGCCGGGCGCTCTGGGAAAGGGCCTGCGCCGAGGACTCCAGTTCTCCGAAAACTACACGGGTGATGGGTTGTCATGGCTTACTTACGGCTCGGTCCCTGGCGCAAGCGCAGGAGCGTCCTCGATGCTGCAAGGCAGCTGTTCCAAGAAGCTGAGTCGAAGCTCGTCTTCTCTTAGCGGCCGGGTCAGAATCAAGCGTTCCTTATCTGGTGGCATTCGCGGATTCAGTAAAGTATGGTTGGCACCACAGCCATGACGCACACGCGATTTCGGTTGTCCCTCTGTAAGCGCAAGCTGGTCGCGTTGTAGCGATGCTCGTCGCTTGCTTTGCATACCATGAGCTTCCCTCCTGCATCAGAGATCCAATGGCTGTGGAAAAAAACTGTCGCATCTCCGGGCCTGACAGAATCTGAAGCGCTCGCGCAGCTGCCTCTCAAGTGAATTGGAGGCCCCCAGAGTTCGAAGGCATGGTCATGTGATGTCATGTGCGCAATACTCTTCTTGCTTCCAGCTGTGTGCCTCCCAGCCATCCAAGAATCGGATGACTGCCCTTCCAGTAGCGCGGCCATCAGTTCCGATGACCTCAAGAAGTTCCCTATAATTTTAATATCTCCGGCAGTGTGAGTCTTGCTTCGATCGGGATCGCGCGATGTAGAGCAAGCTCTTCCTGACTGCCGCCTCGTGTCCAAGATGTTGAAAGGTCTTCTTGCATCTTCTCTCACGTGCCTCTCCGAGATATGTCTCCATCCATGCTGACACATCCTGAGTTGAAGAAACAACCGCTGACCTGCACTCTCCTTTCTCGCTTGCAGGCGCTGTCAGGCGATGCGATGAGACGTCTCTTCAAGACCAAGCTTCAGCAGAAAGTGCATGGAAGGGAAGGCCATCCAGGCAAAGTCGCGAGTCCTGTGCAGCAGAAAGCCCCGTTTCCTCTCATACTGGAGGCAACCGAACGGTTGGATGAACATGTGCAGTCGGGCCGTCCTGTCTTTGTCCAGCAAGAAAAGATTCAGTCTCCTTGGCCGGCACGCGAGCCGAAAGATCTATCATGCAGCGCCTTTCACGATGCGAGGCGGTTCATACGCAACAGCCGCAACTACACGGCCACTGAAAGCGAGTCACCACGAAGAAGTTGACAGGCTGCAAGGGCGTTCCCAGCTTCAGAAGCTGCTGAAGGGCTAACCTCAGCTTGGCAACTTGTAGATATTTGTAAATCCTTTTGGACTCTTCTGCACCATCCCGCCACAGATTAACTTCCACGGTTACAGCCAAGTGGCAGGACCATCCACGAGTCATCCAATCCACAGTGCTCCGTCCCCACCATCTCAACATGCAGCGAATCGCAGATCTCCCGCAAGCTCGAGGCACGTACACCTTCAGAAGTCTCCCTCTTCCTCTCCACTGCTCTTTTTCGGTAACGACTCCACTGCTCTGCTCTCTACTCGGCTCATCCGCGCTCTCTTCGGCCGCTCCCGCCTCGCTGTCCACTTGCCAGAACTTGTCTCTGCGCTGCAAGTCGCAAGTCTGCATAGGACCTGCGATTTGCATCGTTTGAGAGTTCATGAAAGTCAACCCTGGAGCCTGGAGATATGATCTCTAGTGACTCGTGTGCTGAATTGCAGCCGCGGCTCCTCAGTACTTCGGGCACTTCCAGTCCCAATGCCTGTTGCTGGGCCGCATGGGCTGCGTGTGAGCTTTTGTATTGTCATGTAAGTGTATCTCTGCCTTGCAGTGCATTGGCAGGATCAGCTCCAGGTCTGCGCTGCCATGGGTCACGGCGCAGCAGGGCCTGCAAATTGCAAAGGGCCGCCCTTGGCCGGGATGCGAGCAACGGATGTCTGAGTGTACTGGAGCTCTTTTGCCCACGCTCATCTCCTAAGGTCCTAGGTCCTAAACACCATCCTGACTGCAGCCTTTGGCAATCAGAAAGGCAAGTGGAAGCATCAGGTGTCCGATGCCGACGTCGAAAACACTGTTCCCGGCATCCGAAACACGCTGCTATCTGCTGGTCGGAAAAGTTCACGATGCTAGCGGCTAGCGCAGTGCAGGAGCCCACCCTCTGTGAATCATGAACTCCTCAGTGCAGGCAGGACGGACGAAGGTCCATGCAGAGAAAATGTCAACAAACACTGGCCTTGCCGTTAAGTGTGTAGAAAGTCTGACTGTCTAGCTCAACATGCAAGATAAGACAAGTTCGAGACTCGAGACTTCAGGCAGCAGCAATAACAAGACTCTCGGGTCACGTGGTGTCCTCCACCCAATCTGCCTAAATACTGTTTATCGAAGGTTCATAGGCCAGCAGCGGTAAGCCCATCAAAGGAGCCGCTATCAGCTTCTTCCTGCTCAGGGTGCTACACATGCAACTGAGTATCATATTCAGATTTGGCAATACGTAGCTTCCACAAAGGGGCACCAAAGGGCACGCATGCTCCCAAGCTCCTGATTCCGCTCAGCAGCACCAGGCGGGCAGGGTGCGGCTTGCAAATGCTGAACTCAACGAAGTGCGCAAAAACACCTCACGAAAGATCGCCGTCTTGCGCGCTTGGAAAAGTACAGGCAGGCTGCGAGGCTACGATTACTGCCATTACTGTAAGATCTAGGCCAACGGACAACTTGCAACCTTTCAACAAAGCATAGTTCATATTCCATCGCACATGTGTAACTACTGGGTACGATTCTGCCAACACCAGGCCGCTGTTTGGCGTGCTTGGCCCTCTTCTGGAGACGTGCCATGTCAGCACATTCTCAAACGGTGTGCCGACCGCGACCATGACCACGCCAGAGAGGCTGGCAGCCCAGGCCCACGCGAAAATATCCTTCTCACCAGAAGCATCTACATGCTGGTGAAGAAGTATTGTCGCATTCGTCTTGAACCATTCGTAGCTTGTAAAAAAAGTCACCAGCGAGCAAGTCTCCTGCACCAAAACAAAAGGGTAGTTCCGGAAGCATCCCGGCAACCCGCCTTTCCCGTACAACTCACGGAAAGATTGACTCAGCCCCTTGTGCTCCACCCGCTGCACTGCAGCAATGTTTTCTTCACGTCCCAATCGCATGTTGTACAAAGGCGTGTGCATTGTGGCTTGCACAACACCAGCTGCAGAAGCGGCGGCCGCTTCGCATCTGAGAGGGCTCTCTGCGATCATCGGATGCTCCACAGCCAGCATGTGCAATGAGAGTCGTGCATAAGTGTAGGTATGGAACATGGACATAGCAACCACGGCGTTGGCTAGATACGGACCTGTAGTCTTAAGTCCAATGCCTCGGACTCCGTGTTTCTCGTGCTCCTCGCGCAATGCACCCCAGATTCCAGAGATTCCCTGAGATGGATGAACTCGAAATGCATCCAATGGACTGAAGACTTGTCGGCGAAAGAGACGCCACGGGTTCCTTACGGCTGCCTCAGCCGAGACGAAAGCCTTTGCCTTGGCAAACATCATGCACTTCTTCGCCACAACCGTGGCAGACTTCGCAAGCCAGAGAAGTTTGAACTTCATTGCGATGAGGGCTTGAATCAATGCCACGCCACTCAACGGCCGAATCAGGCCTGTCACGGCCCGAACTAACCCTGCCGAAAATGCTGATTCCTCCTCCCGAGTTAAGAGCCTCAAGGCAATGGCATCGGCTGAAGGGCTTTTTTCGATCCACACACAGAGTTCTTCAAACGAGACAGTGGTTTCGCTTGCACGACTGCTTGTGGCCACCTCTGCAAAAACACTTCTCTGCTCCTCCTCGCTCTGCCTCGCCAGCGGAAGCTGCAACGAGGTCGCCAAGGCCACGAACTCATGAAAGTTCAGCTCGGATGTCCCATCGTCCCCCAGGCGACCATGACGGCTGTACTCAGCATGGAGAGCCGCTAGCTGCGCCGGAAGCAAATTTGATACAGAAGGCTCGGCCATTCATCTGTGCGGCGTCACCAGCAAGTCATAATAGTACTTCGGAGTCTAGTTACACCAGGGTCGTATTTGATGATACACTACGCGGGAGAACCGAATCTAATGAACATCGAGAAGCGTCCGTTGCTGGTTGTGAAGGTTTTAGGCTCAAGATGGCTCAAGATGAGCCTGCGAAGCCATCTCGTGACATGAGTGAAAGCTGTCTAGTAGGAGGGCCATGCCCCAAGCTGAAGCCAAAGGAGCTGCGAAGCCCAGCTTGACCCCCGAAACCATGGGCTTCTCATGGCCAGGGCTTGCCTTCCGCGCAGCGGCTCCTCGTCCAGCGCACTGCAAAGGGCTTGGAGGGCATCAGCCAGGGATCCTGCCGATGCAGCTCTCGGGTCGTGCCGACCGATGCGACTGAGACAACTTTCTCAGCACAATCTTCATATGAAAACTTAAGTCCCGGCGAAAGCCCTGCACTCCTGCATCTGCGAGAGTTGCATCACTGATGCCGGTCAGCTCGGTGCAGAAACTTGTTATAGGAGTCCTTCCGTACTGACAAGTTCTCTAACAAGCCTCTCAATTGCAGCGTACGAGAACAGCTCGGGATGGGTATCAGTGTGTCTTCCGAAGTCAAGCCACTTCGAGTTCCAAAGACAGGCTGCAAGCTGAAATCTTGATATGTTGGGGCCTATCGCGCATCGTGGCTCCTGGTGTTCTTGCAGTAGTGCTGCCCTTCGAGAACCATCCTCTGTGCCTCAATGTTGAGATATTTGCAAGAGATCGGTTGTCGACACAGGCTGCAAACGGCTTCCTTGGCATCGTAAATGACGAATGAAAACTCGATGATCTCAACGTCATCGCTGTGAACCTTACTCTCATTCACAGAATCAGCGAAAAGAAGCGAGGCAACCGTGAAATTGACACATCTCTGCACACGGAAGACATTGAACATCGTGAAGCGGTTCTGTTGAGCCGTGCCTGACGGTCTTCACCGTCATCACATGTCCATTCGAAGTCCTGACATGCAGCCGCCCAATGTTAGTGCGACCGATTGCACGGTGTCCCCAGTTAAGCAGAAGAAGGCCCGGTCCATGCAGATGTAAATCTCCGCTTGGGGAGGACTGCACCAGCGAGCTCGTGGCACGGGCCGCCTGAGGGCACAGGAGGATTGTGTAATTGTGTAAGTGCCTTTCTCGAAGTCTGGGCTCGTGGCGAAGGCTTCGCTGGCCTGAGAAGCAGGTGTCACAGCACAGGCGCGTCAATGCATTCTGAATGATGCTACGACTCTCATAGCGATCGGTTTCTCAAGCTCCGGCAAGGAAGGAGAAGCCGATTGCTTCTTGACCTTTCGGGCGTCTCTGACAGAGCTGTTCAAGTGGCATACTTGAATCGCGATCCTCCGCGAACGCTGCGAAGTTACTGGTCAATCAGTTCACCGTAAAGAGTGCTCAGCGACGCAGTAGTTTGTAAATCTGGTGCCATACACAGATTCACATATCAGCCGCCTCCTTATCATCGCACGAACTGCTCGAACTCTGTGAGGATTCCCCTGTTGGTTTGCGACCTGCAGGGCTCGGGAGGGAAACTTCAGCACGCAGTCGTCGTGGCCCGTTCATTTCAAGAAACTGTCAGCCTGGTTCCTGTGCATGGGAGAGAGCATCGCGCCTGCGAAGCAAAGCAAGGACAAGCACAATGGCAACCTGCTTGTCGTTGTCTGCCATTCTGAACCCATTGCTTTCTCAAAACACAGTGCCTGGAGCTTCTGCGCTGCCAGAAGATTGCTCCAAGGAGCACCAGTGCAGCACTGAGGGGTCGAGTGAGTGACAGCCTCGAGACCGTGAGGCCCATGGCGCAATGCGCAGCAAACTCCCTGTTGCTACAGGTAGCTGCAAGTCTGACCTGTGCCATCTTGTCTACATGCATGTCGCTGCTTTTCAGGTGTGACGCATGCCCTGGCTTTTCTACCTCGTTGGAAAGGAGTTGCTCGTTCCTCGTGAGCGCAAGCTGCTTTATGCAGCAAGGAAGGACAGAACGTGGGCCTGGATCAAGAAACAGGGGATCCCGGCTCTGGTTCCGGAAACAGCTGCGGGAGGCAGATTTCACAACATCTCAGCAAAACTCGGCAAGGGCACGGCATGCAATCTGCAGAAGCCAGCAACGATGTACCTTGTCCTCCTCTTTGGGAGGCCGCAAGAATATCGACCTGCGCAGCGACTTGATGACTGCAGCCTGTGGCTCTGGTCTGCCAGCTGCGCTGACTGCGGAACGCTTGAGGTCTGCACGCAAAGAGCGAGCCCAGAAACATCACGACCATCCAGCCGAAAAGTATATAGACCTGTGCGGGCTGTGCTCACAAAACAAGCATCGATTCCAACAATTCACCCTAGCCGCCATACTCAACCCGGCCAGGCTGTGAAATTTTCAGAGGCCGTGGCTATGAAGGACGTGGCCGATGCACGAGTGTCCAGGCAGAAAGGTGCGTGGGGCAGTGGGCAACCTCTGCTGCGAGCACAGTCCGGTTGCCGGACGATGGCAGCCGCTTCAATCGCTATATACTGTACACTGCAGGGGCTGCAGGGAAACTCGGAGGGAGCTAGGCAGAGCGGTTGTCCGAAAGCAGAAGAATCATGAATCCGCAGAGGCCGGAGGCCCTTAGACTCAGCTTCCTGGGGACCATGTAGAAAGTGTCTCTTCCTCCCCGCCCTTTCTACCCCTCTCCTTCCCTTCTGGCCATCCTTCTTTGGGCGTGGTTTTTGTTCCTTATTTGTTCCGTTTTTTTCTTATGTTTTTTCCGTTTCCCTTGTTTGGCTAGGGGTAGGGGTAGGTAGGGGTAGAGAGCGAGGGGGTAGGGGTAGGGGTAGGGGTGGGGGTAGGGATAGGTCATAGTAGCAGTAGAAGTACTAGGGGTAGTAGTAGTAGTAGTAGTAGTAGTAGTAGTAGTAGTAGTAGTAGTAGTAGTAGTAGTAGTAGTAGTAGTAGTAGTAGTAATACTGGTAGTAGTGGTAGTGGTAGTAGTGGCAGTAGTAGTAGTAGTAGTAGTAGTAGTAGTAGTAGTAGTAGTAGTAGGTGGTAGTAGGTAGTAGGTAGTAGGTAGTAGGTGGTAGGTGGTAGGTGGTAGGTGGTAGGTGGTAGGTGGTAGTAGTAGTAGTCGTCGTAGTCGCAGTAGTAGTAGTAGTAGTAGTAGTAGTAGTAGTAGTAGCAGTACTAGTAGTACTAGTAGTACTAGTAGTACTAGTAGTACTAGTAGTACTAGTAGTACTAGTAGTAGTAGTAGTAGTAGTAGTAGTAGTAGTAGTAGTAGTAGTAAAAGTCGTCGTCGTCGTGGTAATAGTAATAGTAGTAGTAGCAGTGGTAGTAGGTACTAGGTAGTAGCTAGTAGGTAGTAGGTAGTACGTGGTAGGTGGTAGGTGGTAGGTGGTAGGTGGTAGGTGGTAGGTAGTAGGTAGTAGGTGGTAGTAGTAGTAGTAGTAGTAGTAGTAGTAGTAGTAGTAGTAGTAGTAGTAGTAGTAGTAGTAGTAGTAGTAGTAGTAGTAGTAGTCGTAGTTGTAGTAGTAGTAGTAGTAGTAGTAGTAGTAGTAGTAGTAGTAATAGTGGTAGTAGTGGTAGTCGTAGTAGTGGTAGTAGTAGTAGTACTACTACTACTACTAGTAGTACTAGTAGTAGTAGTAGTAGGAGTAGTAGGAGTCGTAGGAGTAGTAGGAGTAGTAGGAGTAGCAGCAGCAGTAGCAGTAGGTAGCAGCAGGTAGTAGTAGGTAGTAGTAGGTAGTAGTAGGTAGTAGTAGGAGTAGTAGGAGTCGTAGGAGTAGTAGGAGTCGCAGGAGTAGTAGGAGTAGTAGGAGTAGCAGCAGCAGTAGCAGTAGGTAGCAGTAGGTAGTAGTAGGTAGTAGTAACTTAGTAGTAGGTAGTAGTAGGCAGTAGTAGGTAGTAGTAGGTAGTAGTAGGTAGTAGTAGGTAGTAGTAGGTAGTAGGTAGTAGGCAGTAGGTGGTAGGTGGTAGGTGGTAGGTGGTAGGTGGTAGGTAGTAGGTAGTAGGTAGTAGGTAGTAATAACAGGAGGCTGCAACGATTCCATCCTTGCTTCCTTTATTGCTTGCTTACTTCTTTGCTTGCTTGCTTGCTCGCTGGCTTGCTTGCTTGCTGGTTTGCTTGCTTGCTTGCTGACTTGCACGCTTGCTTGCTTGCTCCGAGGCGGCTCTCGCGCTTGCGGTTGAAATGATCAAGCTGAGCGGGATCCTATCGAAGTCTAGGTGTGACCGGCTTTGGTGATTTCTGGCTTTGCAATGATCTGCGACAAGACCACATGCCAACAATGCAGACGAGTCAGACAAGTCTCGACCGTCTACAACAAATACGAAAGAACCTTCGCAGATTGACCCTGCTGCAACGTTGCGAATTGGGAGGCACGAAAAGGGATGTAGCCCACATTACTTGTTTCTGGGCGCGTTGCAGACTGTGCCATTCATGATGTGCTGCCTCACGATGCAGAAGGTATGCACCACCACACTGCCAAGCGAACCTGCGTTGCCAGCATCGGCAGTTTGCTTGAGGTCGGGACCCCCATGCTTGCACGGCCAGCTCAGCCGCCGTTTTGACATCGTTCTTCTCGAGGTTTGCCCTGAGACAAACTTGGCAAGCTAATGAGTACTGCGTGACTTTGAGTGGTCACTTGAGTCTTGCGGCCGAACTCCTACTCCGTGCCTGGCTGCCCTGCATAACATCAGGGCCGTTTGACCTCGGCAGCACGACGGCCGAAGAGCCGCAGCAGAATGGTATACTTCTCGGGGACAGCGCTGCGTCCCTTCCAGATCGTATTCTGCTTATCGCTGACTTTCCACCTGGGAGGCTGTCAGGGTCAGTCGCAACAAATCCACAAGCACGTACCTTGTTGTCTCCGAAGTTCCGCTGCAAGTGTGTCATCTGCTGCTCCCTCCAACGCTGAGAGCCAAGCTGGAATTCGTTGAAGTCAAGAGTGGCATTTGTTACCTGCAGACACTTGCACTGGTGGCACAAGAACTCTGCACCGGTGAACAGCACCGGCCGCTTGACAGATCGACACGAATGATGCACATTCCTAACAGCAAGCACATCCAGCCTTTCCGCAATTTAACTTGTAAACATCTTCCAACTCGTGCGTATTCATCCATGACCTGGGCATTATCGTATTACCCGTCGTGCTTGATATTATTGGTCATCCTGTCCCGCTCCTCCTAAGTCATGTTCGTGTCCATTCACAAATTCGGCCGCACACGGGGGGTGACAGCGATCAATGTACGCCACATCACCTGCCACGATCTTGGGGCCGGAGAGATACAGTACAGGCAAGTGCACACTAGCCGCTAGCCACGGCCTGCAGCGAAGGCTAACGCGGGCCTAAGCTGCGTTTCTTACGCCGTCGCTGGCCTTGTGGGGAGCTAAGGCTCAGGGCCCAGCAAAAGGCTATGTATCGGCCATCTGAGGACCATTTCTCCGAGGAGCCCAGGGCTCGGCGATACCGCTTGCACAGGTGCAGGGTGTGTCGCATACTCATGAAGTTGCTTCCGGGGTGCTTCGTGCCCATGCAGCTCTTCCGTGCTTCTATGTTCTTCCTATCACACAAAGGTTGTCAAGAGTCGCGGCAACTGCTATCGATGTTAAGTCACAGAAGGATGGACAAGCTTCATTGAAAGCTAGATTCATGTGGGTGGCAGTGTGCGTTGCTTTGACATATTCAAATGAACTTCGCAGGCCAGCAGAAGACGTACATCAGAACGTGCAAAGACAGCCGCTCCCAGGCAGATTGAACATGTTAGAATCTCGGCTTCTGCTGATGACCTGAAAGCCCACAAAGCCCACACGAGCCCACACGATCCAAGGGCTGACCCAATGGACTCTTTGCCGCAATCTTGGCCAGCGGAAGCCCCCGGAGTACCTGGGTTAACAGAAGCTCTCACGGCGAGCTGGTCTCGCAACAGTGTGCTGCAACATGGCCTGGCTTCTGCTTGGGGGAACTCGAAGCATTAACATGGTTGTCTCTACCCTGGATCAAAACGATGGACTGAGCACACAAGCATGATCCTCTGCCCAAACTCCTTCCCTACACCGGTTTACGGATCAACCCACCTCTGGAAGCAGGTCTATGTCTGCCCGAAGAAAACGGTTTAACTGCCTCTGTGCGTGTGTGGGTTTTTCTGCTTTTGTTTGCGTACGCGGTATACTGCTTAGACGTTCTGCTATGCATGTACCCATGCACTGCAGCATTTGCTGCTTTACTTGCGTATGTTTCTGTATCTGCACAGGTATAATGATTGGTATATGCATTAGTGTGTGTGTAATATATATATATATATATATATGTTCGCGTATGTATGTTGTGCATGTTCTGCAAACTTGCATGTGCACCTACCTCCATCAGGTACTTGCGCAGGGTGGTGGTGGTGGTTCCAAACATTTCTGGTCTGCTGACCAAAACTGAATCCTGCCACAAAAAGCGCTGTCCTTTTTTTGGTTTGGAAAAGACCCAGAACGGTCGAAATTGTCCGAATCAGGTTTCTGCAAATGTAACGTGGAGTGAAGCGCAGACTGGTGTCGCAGAGACGGAATGGGTTTGGGACCAGTTTGGAGTTTAAGTTGATCGTGGGCTCCACCGGTGCGGTGGTCCTTCCGGACGGATAGGGAAGCAGGAAGCTGCGATGGACTACATCTCCGCTGGTTCAAGCTCTCTGTGAGGGGGACAGGGGTGTGTGGACTGTGCCGACGTGCGCGGACGTGTGCGGGTGTGTGCGGCTGTGCGCGAGGTGTGTGCGGAAGTGTGCGGGTGTGTGCCTGTGGTGTTTTCTTTGGGTCCAATCTCGACAAATTCAAGGATTTCCGAATAAAAGCTGTGGCAGGAGGATTTTCGGTATTTTGTCCAGTGAAAGAACGCTGTAAAGCCCCAGAGGGCTCTGGGCCCCTGATTCAGGCCGCAGTCAGGCTCGTAACGTGGCCTCTCAACCGGCCCGGTGGCCGATTGACACATGCGGTAATACGGCACTGATTCTATTCTGTAATTTAATATCTGTCGTGATACGGAGATATTGCTGTTTTCGGCAGCATTGGAATAGTTTTGGAAGAGTGGATTCATTCTATTGTTTGGAGTGGGTCAATTTAGCTTCATCGGATTCCTCGACATAGAAAACGCTGCGTCTTAATCGAGTTGCAGGGTTGTCTTGAGGAATATGGTTTCACACGAATTTTCTTTGTGAGCACGCTTTTCCGGAGTAAAATGGTGTTGTTGGGTTGAATCACGGTCAAAAACCCTGGCCGCCACCCCCTCCTGTGCAAGTTACTAACCCTCATGCACGGAGAGTAGCAAGGCTTCAGTTGCGCTTCCAAAGGTTGGCCTCCCAGCTTCTTTCGGCGATCATGTCAATGTATCCATCTCTCTGAGATCTGCACCCATTCCAAGTCCGATCCAGTTGGCCACTTGCCAGCGAGCTGCAAGAGGAAAGAACCGGATCTCTGCTACATACTGGAACTGGAAGATCTGGTTAGACTATCCCGAGAGTAACATGAGGTTAGGTATGTCACGGAATCCCGGACAAAAAGTGGCATCGCCTGATGCCACGATCTGGCCATGTTTGGTGCATTTTGGCGCAGTGATCTCTTCCCTTCTGCCTTGATGGACTCGCTGCGCACCACAAGTCCGTCTGCCCCGACAGGGCCTATGCGAAAAGTCCTGGGTGAATCGGAACAAAGGCCTCTTCAAAACCCCCACAGAAAGACTGAGCCCTGGCTCCAATGAGGAGAGGGCACGAAGCAAGCAACTCGAGCCAGGACCTGGCGTCGCGGCGTCAAAAGGGCTGCGGACTGGCGAGAAACCCTGGAAGCGCCCGTCTGCCTCTGGCCACCGAAGGATGAAAAGGCAGGTCTCCCTTTCCTGCGGCTCCACCCACACATTGGGTCACGGGGGTTGGACCGTTCACCCGAGAGTCGCCTTCGATCGGTTCTGAGGAGATGTCACAAAGGTCAGGATGCGTTTTCAATTTTTGCGCGGTTTTGCAGGGTTGTCGCTCAGCAGTGATAGATGGGAAAACTGCATAAGCCGCTCCACTCAACAGACAATAACCGCACATAACCGCACAGCCTTGGATGCCTTTGAAGGTACCTTCTGCATCTCCCTACCGGCCCACGCTCATACCAGTGTACCAGTGTGGGACCCGGGCTCAAGTTGAACCATGCTCTTGAAGATGCTCGAACCCCGTCAGTTGTGCAGTGATCCGAAGGCGGCATGCAGGTCCTCGTACGGCACCAGCAAAGCGCCGGCTAAAGATGTCTCCGTGGCCTTGACCAGATCAAGGCTAAAGCAAGCAATCTTTGACAGGCAAAGCAGGAGACACTGCACAGCCCACACCTCCTTGTCTGTAAGTCTCGATGATGGGTTCCTGGCGGCCGTCTGTGCCATGAGGAGCTTTACATATCGTTATACAAACCTTCGCAGCGCTGCCTTGTTGCAGGTTGCTCGGCTGTTTTTGGACTGGCATTGCCTTCTCGCACAGCGGTTGTGGCCTTGGTGCTCCGTAGCTGAGCATAATCAGTTACGTCACATTCATCCCTTCTGCCACGAATTCACGCACCTGCGAAGTTCAGCGCGAATTCTGTCAGCTCAGCCTCCGGCATCTATAACCTCGTCCTGTCCAACATCGGGCAGTATGTCCACCTGCAGTACCACCAGTCAACTTTTGAATCGCGCGGACGAAAATCTTTGCCCATGAAGAAAGGCAGCGCACCTCCTTCCGGGCAGCTTCATCTGGCTGCGGCCACACCAGCACCTCAGTATCTCTAACATGCAGACGTCTGCATACCATTTTCGCTAGCAGTCACTAGGAGCACAAAAGCTTCCCCTGATTGCCTTGACGGGGCGGGCTTGACGGTAACCAGGCCTTCGAAGCAGCGCATCGCATACGTCCAGACAGAGTTTGGCAACTTTGCATAAGCTCCGGGCACATGTGAGGAGCCCGGCCGGGTCATCAAAAGCCGTGTAATTAATCTATGTTGCTTGTTGAAGAGTTGGTTCGAGATGATCCGTTCTTCCGCAAGGTGTGTAGCTGGGGCCAGCTTGTGCCAGTCTCATGTGGAAACTCGCAGGCCTTTGCACACTGCATCTGATGTTTGCATTTGATCTCTTGCCCCATCGGGGGCTCGAGTTCGAGTCGGTGACAAAGCACAGAGACGGCCAGCCTTCAGCAGCCATGGAGTTAAGAAGAAGAAGAAAGTGAAGCGTTTGAGGGCTTGGGCTTTGCGCTGCGCGTCTTACGATCCATTTTCACTCAGCCGAAGTGCAGCTCACAGACTTGTCCGATTTTCGGTGCTGTCGAGGACCCCACCCCAGGCCAGATTCAGCTACAGCTCTCCTGTGTATTTGGGGAGTGCTGTCGGTGTGCCTTCTGCTCGCAGCAAGATGCAAGACTATGTACAGTTATTGCGAAACTGGTACAAACGGCACCAGCCACTAACACTGATCGAGATCCTTTGTCCCCAGGCACAGCCCAGATTCATTGCCCTCGCATGCCTTCACAAAGCGCGACACCGCCCTGGGCACTTGTCGGGAAGTGGTCCTGTGGCGTACATCCGCCAGCCAGGCCGGGGCAGCCTGCGGTGGAGTCATCCGGCGCCGTGCTGTCCAGCGGCAAAGCCCCGCGGACTGTGCTCCGCATTACTGCCATCTGACGGAAGCCCGTGAAGCACTTCCAGGCACTTCCTCTCTGGAAAAGCACGCCTAGCCGAGCAAAGAAGCTGTCGAGATCACGTCCGCAATCCTCATGATGTCGTCTTCACGATTGTCAGCTTCGTGTTTCAGCGCTTCTCACTGGACCTTAAGCAGTATTGCCGGTATCATGCAGCATTGCAGCACCTACTACCAAGGTCCGCGCTCAGTGTCGCTGGATGACGTAGATGACTTGGACGACTCGTCATTCGACGAGGAAGCGCTGGCGCTTGAGGCCTCGTCCTCTTCACCCTTCTCTTTCTCTGGGCCAGACGCTGGATCGGAGTCTTGAGCTGGTGATTTCGGAGTCGGAGCCTCCTAGCACGACTCGACCCACTGCACTCTCACCGCCCGAGTCGAGTGTCGTTGCAGCATGCCTCCTGCTGCGTTTCGCTGGGTCCCTCTAAAGCGTCTCCTCAGCGGGTGGGAACTCATGCCAACTCAAAGAAATTCGACCGTCTGCAGCTGGAGAGTCGAGTCGATGTTTGGGCTCTAGACGTTATACAAGTTTCGGCGAGATTCCAGCAACTTCAACAGGCTTCTTCCTTCGCCTTCGCAATCTCCTCTTCTTCCGCTTACGATGACGACTCCTGCAGTTCCAGCATGGGGCTTGACAGTGACTGCACAAAAGTTTGGCAGAGGACGCGGTCCGTCCATCCAAATGTGTGGTCTTGTCCACACCACTCCCATCCTCCTCCTCATCTGAGTCCTCTCTTGCCTGCGAGCTATGCGCATCTAGCCTGGACACAGCATCAAAATGCTTCGGCGGCAAAGCCAGCAAGTCGGCGAGCCTCCAGTTTGACAGTGGCAGCACGTCCCATGATCCTGCCAACACGTGTGATACCAGAAGGTGAGCCTCAGTGAGTACCGAAGCCACTGCATCGTGACGTTTTGGTGCCTGCTCCGATCGCCCTTTTCACTTCGGGTCGATTTCACGAGCATCACGCTGTTGGCACCTCTACCCGACCTCGGAGACAGCTTGGCACTGCAATTGTCCACTTCCAAAGAACTTTTCAGCTACTTCCGAGCAGCTTACTTCAGTCTTTCCAAAGCACTTGTGGCTGATTTCTTCGCTGCCTCCTGTCAAGTCCAAAGATGTCCAAAGCTTCTGCGAGCTTAGCCTAAGACTCTCTTCCGCTGCTCCTTCTCCATGTGTTCTCGGTAGAGAGCCAACGCATCATCATCCATCTCCTGCTGAGCCGATTGCCCCAGCTGAGCCACTAAGACTCAGAGGTCCATGGTAGCTGTTGGGCCTCCGGAAGCAAGCCCCCATGTCAGCGTACTTGAACAGCAAGTCAACCACCAGATTTGTCAGCAAAATGGCAGAGGAAGTCATTGCAAAACCGCGACTGTCCTGTTGGATCAACCCTTCTGCCCCATCAAGGTCCTTGATGCCGGCCATTCTCTGCAATAATCGTCTGGTGTTGGCAACCTAAGAACCGTTGCATGTGGAACTGCATCCTCGGTACCATCCCATCACCCCGACTGGTCTGCAGGTTGCTGCACCAAGAAATTTCGTCTGCAGCATGAACCTTGACACGGCAATGAAGTGGCAAAGAAAACAAGGCGCCGGCAAAGAGTTCCAGCTGCTCCCGCCTAGGGCTGTCACTCTGCATGGCTTCGCTCTACTGTTCAGATGCTTCAACATTCCTGAGACTACCTGTCCTGTCTTCTGCACACGGAAATCACAAGCGACAAGGATCCACATCCAAGCCCTTATGTCCATGTATGACTTTGGATTAGTGTAAGCATCTGGCAAGCCCGGCTTTGGTGCCTGCACGTTGTCTTTGCATCGGCTTGACATGCCTGTTTGGGACTTGGACACTTCGGCCTTGGCTTTGCCGTCTTCCTGGCAGCTCACGCTCGATGCAAAGCCAGACGTGACTGTGGGATGATGCTCGGTGGAAGCTGATGCAAGACTTGCACGGCTCAGGTACGGCAATGTGCAACTCTTCATGAACAAGATCACTTTGCGACTGACTGCTTGGTCACTTAACGGCGGCAGTCCGAGGTTTCCTCCCTAAAGAGGCGAAGCCGAGGCGAAGAACATGTCAGCACCACCGCTTCAGCCATTTCTGCCTCAGCGAGCTTCACAGGGCTTGCATCATGGCATCACTCTTGAGCGCGGTCTGATCTACTCAGCACCGAACTTCAAGCTCCTTTCGCCTCGCACAAGGAGCCAATGGGTGGAACCAAACTCCACAAGAGTCCGAACATGGGTATGGCGTTTGATGATAAGATGAGCATGTTGGACAAACATATTGGCGATCAACATGGTCAACCCGCGGCACCTGCACTACAGCGCAGTTCCACACTCGTTGCTAGGCGGAGATTACAGGTGCCGTTGTGCTCGCACTTCTTGTCACTACAGTAATTACTGTGTCTCTAGAACCAACTCCTGCAAGCATTCTGCTTGCTAAACTGCTACTGTAGTGTCTTTCACCGGCCTTAGATCCTTCACTGCGACGAAGTGCTCCTGCGCAGGAACAACAACACCAACCCTGCCATCACTGGCATCTGTGCTGTTGCGGCGACAACCTTCGGAGTGCACGAAATTAAAGCTGCAATCTCTCACTCTCTATTGCTGTTCTCGTACATCGGTTGTGCGCTCTTCTGTCGGAGCTTCAGTTACAAGTCTCCTTCGTCCACGTCTTGATCTTTTCTGCTTTAGCTTTGTCCACCTGCCCGTAGAAAGGCCCTGTAAATCTGAAACACGATTCGTAGCTCGCGACAGATGCAATTCGAGGGCAAAGAGCCTCGCGTTTCCTTCGGTTAGTGCGGCCCCCTTCCTGCCAGGTGAAAGCACTAGCATCCAGAAGTACGACCTGCAGCCAACCTTCATGCGGGTCTGCTGGACTAAACGAGACGACAAATCTCCCATAATCCACATGCCACTTCTGGTGATGTCTGCACGAGCCTCTGCTTGATCCTGCCAGAAGATGTGAGCACTGGAATTTAGTTGCCAATGTTCATCGCAACCTTCGTACACTCTCCTCGTCCTTCGCCTCTTCGTCCCAGTATTGCGGCGTGTCCTTGCCTCCTTGAACAGCGTAGCTGTACATTGCTGCGCTGCTTCCCAGTTTCCCAAAGCTTCGAGTGCCTCCACAGAGCCGTCCAAGGCAACTTCTCCTCGCGCGCCTGGCGACGCGACGGCGAAGTCTCTACGGCTTGCTGCGGCTCCGCCTTCCAACGGCGCCGACTCTGGGGCTTCGGCCGAGCTTCTTCGGCAGCGCGCTGCTCGGCCTCGGCCTGGCGCCGAGCCGCGCGCTAGCGGCAAAAGACGGACCTGGATCAAACGTGGCCACCTGCTTCGCCAAGTTTTCCCGGCGAAGCTGAGCTTGATGGTGCAGGTTTCGAAGAGCTTCCCTGTGCATGAAGGGCTGCTGCAAAGATTTTGAAACGCCCAGCATCTGCATTAAGCCTGTCAATCTGCATAGCAATGCCACGAGCGTTGGCGTGGCTCGAGACGGCCACATGGCCTGCAAACTAGTGATGAGCACTATTGACAATACAAACCGCCAGTCAAGGAACATGAGGACAGGAACACTCCATTGCACGGCCAAATCTGAAAAGGCAAACTCTGCAGCAGAGCTAAAAACCACTGAGTCCGCTGAGGTTCCGACCGGGAGCCAACACCGCCACGCAGTAATTCCCAACCTCCGCGAGCTTGTGGCCTGCCCACTCCTAGCACCGACAACCCCCTAATGTAAAGGCTAATATGCTCGGCCCTCCCGAAGCCACCGCCCCCACAATCCTGAATCAAACTTGGTCAAAGCTGGTCTTCCCTGCCCTCGGCAAGAAAGACAACCCGCTGATGCTTCTTCCACACTTCATCAAGGTGCTGGGCAACAAGATCGAGAAGTAGCCTCTTTGCCTATGCACATCTATGGCGTGTCAACATCCTGCTTCTGTGTATGCGCCTGTGCGACTTGTAGCATGTATCGTGCACGTGGTGTCTCAGGCCCCCAGCGAAAAACCTTAAACCCTAAACCTAAATCTGCCGCTCCGAATCCGTACTGTAGGAGAAGATGCAAAGTGGTGGCTGTGGCACAGCACATGGTTAGGGTACAAATGTGTGCTTTTGCAAATCCCTCAGCCCGCTGGTACTGAGCCCAGGCTCGCCTCCGAGATGCAGATTGAAATTTGCTCTTGTCAGCCAGTGTACTAACTACACACTGCAAAGTCAACAGGCATGCACATCTGCAAAAATGTTGGCATACCCCCGCATGCGTCAGGTCCCAGCCTGACATCGTCGTGCCACCGGGCCTCCAAACACTCAACAAAGCAACCTCTGTGAAATCATCTGGCTCATGCACGGCCTCGGAATGCCAAACAGTGCCTGGTTCAACGCCTAGTCGGAGGACGAAAGCAAATGAGTTCTGCACTGGCTCCCGTGCACGGTCGGCCTGTCTAGAGGCGAACCTTCCTGGCTCACGCACCAGAAGCTCCGGATCATTTCTCCTTCCGTGGTTGCAGCAACTCGCTCCGAACATTGATTTAGTAAGCTGTTATGAAACATGACCAACGGCCAACAAGTATGGCATGCATAAGCATGCATGAACGTACGTATATGCATGTGTCATGTGTATATCTGCACATATATGTAGACATATATATATATATATGTATATATACATATGTGCGTGTGTACATACATGCTTGCAGCTTGCACGCGTAACACACATAAGGGCCCCCCCCCCCGCAAGGGACCCCGAACAGCCTTTCTGATCATGTTGTTGCCCAAATTATTCATGGGGTCTGGGAAGCGGCCCAACCCTCACTTGCGACGCAAGATATTCCATCATCTGTGGGGATCCCATCAACCTGAGACCTCCTTTACGGCCTATGGCCTATGGTTTAGCGTTCAGTGGTTAGGGCTCAGGGTTAGGGCCTACGGGTTTTGGTTTCAGCTTAGAGTTCAGGGTTTAAGCTTTAGGGTTTCAGCTTAGGGTTGAGGGTTTAGGCTTCGGATTTCGGGTTTAGGGTGCTTAGGCTTTGGGGCTTAGCCTTTAGGGGGCTTCGGCTTAGGGTTTAGGGTTTTAGGGTTTTGGGTTTTAGGGTTAAGGGTTTTAGGGTTTAAGGGTTAGGGTCTACGGTTTCGGCACGGGGCAGGCATGTGCTGGAGTAGAAGCAACGATGCTGCCCGTAGACTTTCCCATCGCCAAACTGCCCATTCTGCGTCCTGGATGGCTTTACTGGCTTGCCACAGCCGCATGCGCATGGGACGGAGGCAGCAGGAGCAGCTGCAAGCTTCCGCCCGACCATGCCCGCATTGAAAGGCTATGCGGGATAAGCGGACGGAGGCACCAGGAGCACGTGAGGTGCATACATGTCTGGGTCACGGTCCCAGGGTCATGAACCCGACAAAACGGATGAGAAGGCACAAGTGCCGGGAGAACAAGCTTTTGCGTAGAAGCGTCGTCCGCTCTGTACAGAGATTCAAACCCCGAAAACCTGGAGCTGGCAGCCAGGCCGCGGCCCCAGGTGTCGTGACGTGCGTGTGGCTACTGCCGTTTACAAGTCTTCACCTCCACCCACAAAAGAGGTCTGGCACTGCTGACCTCGTCCTCCGTGTCACCCCAAGCGACAATGCCACCATCTGCTCCTCAGCATCATTGATCATGCAATGCTCGTGCGACCTATGCAGTTACTTTGAAAGGCTCAGATTGGAATGAGGCAACGATGACAGGTGGAAAGGCCACGGCCGCGGGCGTTCAAGTAAGACGACCCCAAGTCACCAACCAAAACCAATGCAGGCGTCAATGCTCTGTGACCTCTACTATAAACACTCACGTTTGCCCACGGACCATCCCTGGACATCCTCCCTCTGCCACATTTGATGCCCGGCAGACCTCCACTCTCAGAAACCTACATCTGCCTATGGTCCATCCCTGGGCATCCCCGAAGTATTGCGGAGGGACCACGCACAGACTAGTGCAACTGCCAGTGGCGCTTCGCAACAAGACACAAGCCATCGGTCTTGTTGTGAAGTTGCCCGTGAACACCAAAGGAATCGCTACAGTCACGACCGTATCAATGGAAATAATCAAACAGTGGGCTGACCAGCGCCTCATGCTCCATGCCGTGTTTATACTTCCACCACCCTATCTGCTTGCTTCATCCGTGTTGGCCTGGAATTTGGTTTCAGCTCGGGAGCTCTTCACGAAGGCCCTGCAACGCTGCAGGACGCCTGTTTGGAAGGCTTCATGCACACCAGGTGTCGGAGTGCCACGAAAGCACGGCGAAGGGCCACATACTTGTGACGTGCCAAAGATGGCATGTCACATTATTGCTGCAGCCTCCGCAGTTGGCATCGCCTTAAATCAGCAAGACGTGAGCGAGAAATCTGACTTGAATCTAGGCTGTTTCGGTCAGGGCGTTTGGAGTTGGCGTAGGCGGCACGGGTGGCACGTCGTTTACAGTGTTAAGTTCTAATAGAATGTATATACGTACATATACATATATATAGAGATATATTTCTAAATTCACACCTTCACTAACACTAGAACCTTCGGGATGGCAAACCCACACATGGCGCCTTTGCCCATCGACTTCAAATAAACAAGCGCAAATTACACAAACACATAGAAATCGGAAAAACTGGCTACAGTAACATGCTCTTCAGGGTGACCCCATGTCTCCACCGTTCCATCAGCAAAGATGGCAGCACCGGCTGCTTCACTGCCTTGGCTGGCTAACCGACTGTGGGGTCCATACTTCACCCTGTAGGCGCAGTACAACACCCGTTCAACCCACGGTGCAAACTGTCCGCCGAATCCGTCGCTGACGGCGCTGCAGGTGGCCTCGCCGCTGGCATGAAACTCCCCATAATGACATACCCTTTCCCTTAATGACATACCCGTCCCCGGATCGCAGAAAGGACGAGTTTCGGCTAAAATGAGCGTCTGAATGGCTGGCCTACGTGGATGATCATACGATCCGGAGCGGGCATATGATCAACGGCGTTGCCTATCGTGATTCGGAAGTAGCAGACCGAGTCAGGAATGCGCTGCAAGACAAAGCGCCTTCGGAGACCTGCCAGGACGTGGCCGAGGCTCTCGAAGCTGCTGGCTTCAGCGCTCGAGGGCTCGGCGTGGAAAGGGCAAAGGGATCCGAAGCGGCAAAGGAAAAGACCGAGTCTGGTCCTACTGGCGCTAAGTGAAGAAGTTTACTACCGAGGCAGACCGCAACCACCCTTTTGCGCACTGCGGGTGTGGTGTTTGGTGGTTGGGCGGGTGGCTTTGGTGGGCCCTTTGGGTGGCGTGCGTGCGGTGCCGTGCATTGGTGGCGCGGGTGGCGCCATGGCGCGCGCCGCGGCGTGGAGCGCTGGGCCCTTCCCTTGTTGGTGTGTTTTTTCCCGCGGGTTGTTTGGTGGCTTGGGCGAATCTCGTGGGGTAGGCTGTGGCACCAGGGCGGGTGCCGGCCGGCCCGCGAGGCTGTTGAGAGAACAAAAAAGGGGTTAGGGTTCCCTAGGAGGTTTGTGTGGTTGTGTTTAGGTTTGTTCCTAAGTTTGCGGCCGCCGCAGCTGCTAGTGGCTCAAGGGACCGACCCTTGTACGGGGAACGGGTTCCTAGGGCTGACTGGTAGTGAGGTAGCCGGGTTTTCTGCTGAAAGCAAAGCCGGGTTTTCTGCTGAAAGCAAAGAAGAGAGCCCAGCCGGAAGAGCTCAAGGAGAGAGCTCGAGGGCTTCGGAGAGCTTCTGCACTGGGGTGCGGCTGCGTGAAGGGTTTCCCTTCCGCGGCGCCCCCAGGATGCCGAAGAGAGGAGGCTCGAAGAAAGGTCGTGACAGAGATCACGACGAGTCGAGACTCTTGTCGGGAGTCTTGCGCCATGCGCATGGCTACGACCGAACAAGGCCGTGCTGGGACGCGGCCGGGTGGTTCAGCTTTGAGGCCTTGCTGTCAGGAGAGCGGATGAAATCCGTAGAGATGACAGCGGAGAGGCTTGAGAGCCTCTTGAAGCTCGACTCGGAGCGAGGCTCGAACCGCTTTAAGTCCCGAACAGGGAAGGACGGCACCCGCTATGTCGCGGCGACTAGTGGGTGGTCGCTCGAGGTTGACACTTCCTTAGCGTTGGCAGAGGTCCCGACAGTTGGAGTTGACGACTGGAGAAAGTTCTCTTCGACGCGTGCACATTTGAAGTGTGCGAAGCAAGCTGCGACATGATGTCCTGAATCGGCGGCACTCCGGAGGAAGTGTTCTGTGAAGGCGACGTTGCGGAAGAAGCAGAAGCAGCTGTTGTAGCGAGGTTAACGCTGGTGAGCTGGAGCTTCCACACACCGTTCTCGAACTCAGCGCAACCCGCCACATCCGACGACCGCTTCATGTTTCTCTACCGCTAAACCGCGAGACCTCCCTAAACACGTCTTAATACGAAATTATTGATGCATCAACAGCATGTGTCAAGCTGGCTGTATGAGCCTCACAGACGCAACATGAGCATTCAAGCAAGCAAGATCTAAAAGTCCAAGCAACATGAGCATAAATCTAGTGCAACCCAAGTGCAGCCGAAGTGCATGATAAGATATAAACCTCTACATGTTTATAGAGAGAGAGAGAGAGAGAGAGAGAGAGAGAGAGAGAGAGAGAGAGAGAGAGAGCGCTTGTTCATGAACAACTAAGGTCTTGTTTTGAGTTATAGAAGCAGTCCGCCGAAGCCACAGGCCTTGGAGTATTGGTGGTTAGGTCAGGCACCCTCATCCTCGAACACCCGTTTCTTGCGGTCGTTTTGATTTCCACGGTCCCCCTATATTTTACCTGATTTGTTTGCCCTCCCCGCCCCCCTCGTTTTCCTGCTGTTGTTCGGCCTTTTTGCCGCTCCTGCTGCTTTGTTCTGCCCTGTGTTCATTCTGCCCATCTCCCTCCCACCTGCCCCACGCCCACCGCCCTTGCCCTCCCCCTGTGCCCCCTCCTCTGCTCCTTACCCCCACTCTCTTTCCACCCTTCCGCTGTCCCCCTCCGCCTCTCTTTCACATTACAGAAGCAAGTCGATAAGTTCTGTCACAGTGCTGGTCTCCGGCAAGCCGAGGCGGGCGGCGTAGCGTTAAAAGTATAAATTAACATGAATTCATGTAATTATTGAAGATCACGCAACTCCGGCCGGCTGGAGAGGGGAACAGGGCTCTTCGTGGTTTACAAGATTTTAAGGGTTGCCCACCCCGGTCCTGACTATCTTCCGAACCTGGTCCACGGCCCCTGTGTCGCCCCTGCAACCCGAGACCCCGAACTGGCCAGTCGTCGCGAAAATCCTCCTGGCATTGGTTGCGCGCTACGATCCCCAGACCCGCAGGCTCCCCTTGGCTGCGCAATTCAATACCCACACTGCGCCATCTTTCTCCTTCAGCTCCCGTTACCTTACAAGGTAATGAATGCTTCGGCGATTCGGGTTCAGGGATGTAGGGTTTAGGACTTGGGATCTGAATTTAGGGCTTAGGGTTGAGGAGTTTCGGGTTTGGGAGTTTTGGGTTTGGGGTTGGTTTAGGAACAAATCTACGGTGGGACAAGTCCAGGCAATGCCTGCATTCAGGGTTTAGGGTGGGGTACTGTGCATTTGCAACCAGTTGTTCTTGCAATAGTCGGGCCTGTCATATAAATCAACAAATATGTGAGTGCAATGTTTGGTTATTACTACAGTCGGGCCTTTCCTACAAATATCTACAAATCAAGAAGCATATATACATATATATATATACACATGTGTATGTACATATGTGTGTATATATATATATACGTGCGTATATATATATATATATACATGCGTATATGTATATATTAATACAGATATGTCCATGTTGTACTACACTGTACTACTGTAACACGATAGTATGCTGTACTGTGCTGTACGGTACTATACTGTTGGGCGGGAGTACGTACTTATGTTAGTGCGTTAGTACGTGAGTACGTCTTAATGAGTCGGTATGTGTAGGCAGGTGTAGTTAGGTAGGTAGGTAGGTCGGTGGGTGGGTAGGTAGCTAGGTAGGTAGGTGCGTAAGTAACCTTGGGGGGGGTACGTATGTACGTACGTAGCTTAGTACGCCAGTATACAAAGTAGTACATAATAGATCGTAACAGTACATGTTAGTACGTTAGTACGTTAGGACGTGGGCAGGTAGATCAGGTAGGTACGTACGTACATATGTACGTACGTCCCCGCATGAGAAAAATTGTCGGGGGAAGGGGGGGGGGTTGTATACACGTACAATCGTACCTTGGGGTCCTTATGCTGTGGCTAGCTGGGTATGGCTTCACGCATGCCTTCGGCCCTTCCTGAAGTTACATGAAGTTACATGGCCCTGATGGTATATATCGAACCACCTACTGTGTCCTGTTGTTCCCTTGTGCAGCATGGCGGTCGTCCCAATCAGCCTGCCGTGCTGCTCACTTCACCAAACTCCATGCTGGTGACAAAGAGCGTGGAAACCGAAAGGAGGGTGCTGGCGTGTTTCCTTCTCCGTCGCACATCAAACAGATCGGGAGTCGCCTGGATTTGGTCAATGATCCGCGTGTAAGCCTTGGCAAACAAGAAGATATGCTGGCGTCACTTTCATGTGATGCATATTCGAGTGTGACAAAACAAAACTGGGCCACATGCTGTCTCGTGATTCCCTTCCTCCTGAGACTCTGCAAAGTCTTTGGCCCTCGACGTCGTTTTTGCCGAATCGCTTTGACGCTTTCTGAGGCGACGACTCTCTCTGGACTGACCTCGTCCTGGCATTTGACGCCAGAGTTCGCAACCTTCACTCTCTCCTGACGTTGGCAAGGGTCCTCAGAGTTCTCCTCGCCGGAAGCGAAGATCCTGCGACTTGCAAATCCACACCGAGCTGCTCATGTCCCAGCCCAAAATCCAGCACAGGTCAATGCAGAAGGCTGGAATATGTATGTCCTGACGATTCTGTCGAAGGACGCCTTGTGCGTGTAGTGGAAAAGTAGTTTCCTGGCACGGTCGAAGAGCAGTCGGGTAGAAGATAACATGAGTCGAGCACACATCGGGTCCATGGTGCCTCACAGTTTCTCTGCAACTAAAATGCCTTGCCCATGCAGTTGCAACGAATCGGGCCACCGAGAGTGGCTTTTTTTGCTTCGGCACGTCTAGCAGTTTAGCACCTGTTGGCATCGGACGCAGGCTCCGTCTTCGACGCTTTCGACGCCAAGCCTGCGCTCACACATGCTCGGTCTGGTGCGTCAATGCGTGAGACTGTTCGCAACCGAGTCACGTCGTGCCACTGCCAGAGAATGGGTGCGGCTCTGCACAAATGCCGCTACATCCGCAGACTTCATGTAGCAGGCATGGCTCGGAAGTGCCTGCACCCTCAGTTGCAAGCTCTCGCATCATATCAGCAATTATATATATATGTATATATATATATATAGATATATATATATATATATAAATTCCATCTCAACCCCTGTCTGCCAAAGATTGCCAAAGTTGAACCAAGCCACAGCTCACCTGCAACACCGGCAACGGTCATAATGCTGAGATCCTCTTGCAAGGACCAGTCAATGCGGTCTCCGGCATTGAGCTGGACAGACTGACAGAGGTCGCTGAATTCGGCCTGTTTCTTGTCCTGACTGGCCGCAACTTCAAGCATGACAAAAGCATGCATTGGCCCTCTCTTGAAAGTGCACCCTTCAAAAACCCGCTTGCACTGCCTCGCCCCTGGCCCAGTTCATCATCTTCTGCACACCGTAGTGCACCTTCATGCCACCAATGCCACCCTCCACTGCAACTTTGGCAGGCTCCAGTTTTTCGAGGTCCTCCTTGATGAGGGGCTCGATGCGGTAAGCAACAGGATCGAGAGGGTGAAAGATATTAAAAAAGCGGGTGCCCCCAGGAAGAGCGAAACTCTCTTCTGGAGCTGAATCTGCAACGTGCAAGAACAGGCCCGTCGGGCTTCCCATGGTGAATAAGGCTCCAGGTGTGAAGCTCAATTTGGGAGTCTGGCTGCGTAGAAGCTCGAAAAGGATAGCCCCTCCAAGGGAATGTCCCGCCAGGACGATACTACCAGAATGATGGGGATGGTGCTTCAGAAATCGTGCCAGAGCTGCCTCGACTGAGCGCGCAACTGCGGCCACAATGGCCTCCTTCCGTCCAACCTGCATGTAGTACAACGCGTCGACCACCGCAAAGTTCGCAATTTGCCGCACCTGCTTCAGCACAAGTTTTCGTCATACCCACGAAGATTCCAAGAGCACCCCTGAAACTCCTCGTTGCGGGGACCTGACTCCAAGAAGTGCGCAGAACTGTGGCGGCAGCAGGGATCTTACGGACTTACGGCGAGTCGCAGCCAAACTACGCATTGCACTGTGGAGACGGACACCAGCGAAACTGCCATGTGCACTCAGGAAGTACACGCGCGGCACTGCTAAGAGGAGAATGGGTTTGAGCGCATAAAAAGCCGAAGTGAGCGCGGGACTGCAGCGGTAGCACGACTTCCGCGCGGCACTTGCGGCAGGGTAGCTGCTACGATTCATCAAGTTGGACAGTGTCAGGCTCTTGTATTGTGCAATGAAGTCGGGCTCCGGCCAATGCGGCCGCAGCGGGGACTTTTGAGAAGATGCAACTGCACCACGGCGGGAAACTGCCGTGCACCCTTCACGTGGGAACCCCTTCGCGAGCCTACTGATCCTACACTGTTTGGGAAAACACTGCACCTAAATCAAAGCCCAACCGGGCATGCAAGGACAAACCGTCTCATCAGGAACACAATGAAACACAAATCCGCACCTGCTTCATGGACGGCAAGCTGATCCGCGCAAGGCGTTTATCCATCTCGTCTGTATGTATCGTCTCCCACCAAGATGCCTCCAGAACCTCATCCTTTTGCAAGCTGGGCGGCGGTGCTTCCCCTGGATACCTGATGCTTCAAAAACCGGGCTGAAGCCTAGATTTGCCAAACGTTTGCATCGGAGCTACTCCCAGCCGGAGCCCTTCTGCACAAAACCTGCAGATTGCAGCTGCTTGACCTGGGACTGCAGCGACTAAACGGAATGGGTCATAGCAAAACCTTGACGCCTACTCGACTCGAGTCCTATTAACATACTACCTCAAATTCCCAGCTGCATGCGTGTGCTGGCGGAACAGGACGGAAGAAAACGCCAGCCCACAGCCTCGAAGAGTACAAGTTTGCAGCTGGTTTCAGGACAATTGCAGAGAACGCGAGCTAATTAGAAGCACTTTCGTTAACGAAAAAAGAAGCACACAGATTTGGCTTGCAAGGAACCTTCCTCACTCCACATCTTCTCGCCTACACCATGCACCAAGATGATCAAGTTTCCCACATTGTCTCCCAAAGCCTTCTCCTCCTCCTCTCCTGGCTGTAGATCGACAGGGCCGAAGCCACGCTGCAGCTGGTAGGTCTTGCCGAGCATCCCCTGTGCATACTCCATCCAGGAGGTTCCGCCCTGCGACCGCTCCTTTGCTGACAGCTTCCAGGACTTGGACTTCTGCTCGTACTTCAGCTTCAAAGTCACCTGCCTCCCCGAGTCCAGCACCAGACTTTCTGCAACTTCCAAGTCTTCCTTTGGTAACGCCTCTTTAGCACCAAGCCACACGCGCTCGTGAGCTGCTTCAATTGCTTTGGACGTCTCTTCGTCGTAGGGGATCAGAGTGGCCGCTTGCTGAAACCACAGGGCTCGACGAACCTTGCCCTGCTTGCGCGGAGGATCGCTGCCATATCTGTCGGTCACCAGTCGTTCTTTCAGGTCAACTTGCCACCGCCCACCCTCGACATTCACGAAGCTACTTGACGAAGCTTCCGCCTTCTCCAGCGGTTGCTGATCGCTCCGCCGGAAAGGAATCCAATTTGTATCCCCATCTTGCCAGAACCAGGTGAAAAGCTTGTCTGTGCGATCAACCGAAGATGCATTGGCAGGCCCATCCGCAACAGCGTGAGAAGTCGGGGAAGCGGAGGTGTCGGTCATCCATGTCAGGTGCGACGCAACATGAGGCTGGTGGTTATCAGCTATCAGTATTACATGGACTCCACATGCGAAGCTCTGCACACATGTGGCACTCAGAAGTATGACACTGCACAAGGTAGAATAAGCTTGTGTGGGAGTTGGTAAATATCACAGGAGGTAACAGCGCTTGCAAAGATGCAATTCAGTCCCCGCCCCCAGCTGCCAGCGATCCACAGCTCTGCCGCCTCACAGACCAGCCGCAGAACGGCTTTACAACGTGCCAGGTCGTCGTCTTGATGCCTTCGTCGTTGTCAGCGATCTGCAAAGGAACCGGGTACACCTGCCCAGCTACATGAGCGGCTTCGGCATGTGCTTCTCTGCAGTAAGAGTTTGGCTTGACGGCCGCTGAGATGCAGAGCTCAAGTCGAACAAGGCCTGTGTCTGCGGCCCAGGTGCGTAGACAAGCAAGCTCTCCTTCATACAGTTCTGGGATTGCATATGCAACTGACAACGGAGTACAGTACAGAGTGATCTGATGAGTTCCGTTGTTGGCATGTCACTTGCAGTCCTTATTGCATCCCTTGTATGCAGTTGGCAAGACCTGGCTTGTTTCCAGGACTGGCGATGCTGTCAGCAGCCATGCACCACAACTCTGCCTTCCCGTGAAATCGAGATCACGAGCGGTCCAAAAGGAGGATTCCACAGCGGCCGGTACAGTACTAAAGTATGAATCTGCTGCTCAGAAAACTGCAATAGTGTCAGCTCGGCTGCGAATCCCTCCAGCCACTCGTCTTCGTCGTCTTCGACATGACGTAAGCCTTTTTCCATCCATGCCTCTTGATGGGCTCAAAATGGAAATTGCATCCTAAAACCACTGAACACAGCAGTGCCAAATCGCCTGCAGCTCAGGTCAACCTTAGGATAGGAATGCCTTGTGTGCGCTGTGCAGCAACTTGAGGCAGCATAATACACCCCAACTGCCAGCATTATCGGGTGTTGGCGCGCCGAGTGGCTCTGATTCTCACCGTACGTTTCAGGTTGTCCGCGCTCGTGCCACACCAGCTGGTCGAGCATCATCAGAGTCATTTGGGATGTTGGCGCGGGGAGCCCTGAACTGCTGTTGCCGAGCAATGGGAGTCAGCATCATGGGCATCAGGGGCGATCTGCGCCAGCATCCTGAGAATCTGTCTACCGTAGGGGCTGTTAGCGCAGAGGGGCCCATGCAAGCGTGTAAGGCTTCCGCCTCTACCTAGCGGCGCCATATGCTGATCGAAACCTGGCACATCCTGGGACCGAAGATGCTCGACGCTCCGGCGCTCTCAAAGTGCGCTCGCACACGCACGCGACATCCCCTGCGAGCACGCAAGGCCGTAATGAAAGTCTATAATATATGATATATGTACACCAGGGCCTCCAAAGAACTCGCAGGGTGAATCGCCTCCCATCGGAGACGTTTCCATGGCCAAATTCTCCGCATGTTTTGCACACAAGGGCCTTGAAAAGCAGCTCGCGCTGCGGATGATCCTGACACGTCTACCCACGCAGGAACACAGCCACTGATTTCTGCAGTTTCCATATCATGGAAGCTGCTGGCTGGCAGTTGCCTTGTTTGCCATGAGCGAAGCCATCTTCGGTGGCTTCTGGCTAAGATTCTCGATATCTGTGCCTGCATCCTGGCGGGCATAGTAAGGCATAGTAAATCAAACTGAGTGTATTGTCTACGCCATCTCATTCGCATGCAAGCTATGCAGGGTCACAAACTTGACTGAATGCCGCCGATGACGGGGACCCGACTTGCGCCGGTCCGACATCCTTCTCCATGGTGTGGCCTTCATCTAGCAGGCAAATATGAATGCAGGTTGCCTGATGTTGCGGGTAGCGCAACTGGTATGGTTATTCACCCCGATGGTTTTGCGCTCCAAAACCTGCATCTACTGATCCAAGTCAGCCTGGATGCCAGGTACCGACACCGCGGCAGGGACGAGCTGTTCTTGAGAGCTCGCAAGGCAGATAGATTATAGGATGAACTTCAGCCAAAAGCACAAGAGTCCAGGATCGGCACGAACTCAGCAAGTACTTGCGGCGCTACTCTGCACATGTATGCAACAGTGACGTCACCTGAAAGCAATGACCGCTTTCGCCAGCCAGTCAACAGTAGATCCTCTACACAGGAGGGTGCCTGAGGCAGAAGGGAACAGCACGCCGCTTCTTGCAACAAGCTCGCTCAAGAGCTGCTTTCATCACGCCATGAGTCTGGAATCAGTCGCCCTGGACATGCCGTCTTTCGCAAGTGCTGTTCCCTTGTCAACAGCAGTAGTGAAGATCTGCATGAATGGTCTTGTGGGTCCGACCTTTGCCTGCACACATTGCTCTTGTTCACAATAAGCCTTAAGCCCGAAGAATGCTCAGTCAATCACACCGCCCCAACAAATTGCATCAGTTCAAAAAAGCCGATAGAATCGCTTCTTCTGCTCTTTCACCACTTCACTCGTGGAAAAAGATGTATGGACCTGGCAGGCTAAGCACAGCATGTTGTTCCGCACAAGTGGACCTCCAACTGCAGCACTGGGTAGGGACGCTCCGTAATCACCTTGATTTGCCTTAGTTGACCCCTGTCTGATCTCGCCTGTGTCTTCCGACAAGAAATGAGCGTCTTCTGATGCTGCATAGGACCAGTCACCCGTCGCATTGGCTGGACGTGCCTAAAGCAAACCTCGCTTGACCCTTCGCGCCTGCGAAGTCCTGCATGATGCCGGCGACGGTGGTCCAGCCCACGACATACAAGATCCACCCGGGCACGCCCTTGTATCCCCTCAGAGAGTGGCATGTCACAGACACGGAACATGAGTAGCCCACCAAGCGGAACAAGCGCACGACAAGTGTCTGCCACACGGTGACTGCTGCAGTGGCTTCAAGAACCGAAGCCAAAATGTGGCGAAACTGCTTGCCTAGGGTTAACGATTGCTCACGCCCTTCTCACCAACACCTCGTTTGTTATGCAAGTTATGCCACAGTCCCGATCAGTCCCGCACAGCGAGCGCCCAGCAGTCCAAGTTTCAGATACCGAATTTCGCGCAGCTCTAAGTTCCCAAATCCAGGAGAGACCACACCCAGGAAGCATGCTGTGGCCTACTGTAGAGCTTTTGCGACTTCGGGCGATTCAACGGCCAAAGTGAACAGGACTGCAGTGGGAGCACAAGATTTCCACCCAAAACACCCAAAAGTTGCTCCACACTACAAAAATTTGCTCCGCGCTGTGGCAGCGGCGACTTGTTATTGAATGCGGAGCCCCTCGCGGGACTGCAGAAAGAACTCGATGTTGGTCGAAACTGTGCACTGCGCGCCCGCCTCGGGCGCACTGCAACCTAATCCCTTCACCCGCACGCAACAACCCCAGGTGTTACCACACTTCTACTCGGGAAAACAAACTGCCCCTTCACCACCTCACATGCAAGGATATGCAGCACCCTGCGCCCTGACACAGAGCAGCTGGCGGGACTGCGTACCATGGACGGCGTCCAACACGAGGAGCAGATGCCTTGCTCCCGAAATACCAGAACGGCCAAGCAGAAACGCTCTTCTGCGGCTCCGATACGGGAGGTCCGCCGAGGGCCAGCTGTTGCGTAGATGGCGGAACCATCTGAGGCAGTCTGTAAAGCAAGCCTTCTATGCGAGACTGACATTCTGCAGGCCCCGTGGCACTCTGTGATCTGAGGCTTGGTCGGAGGTCGAGGAGTTCAGACGCATGGACGCCCTCAGACAGCTCTGCACCTCCGGACCTCGGCACGGGACGAAAAGAAGACTGGAGCGTCTCTGGGCGCCACCATTAGAGAAATCGAGGCACGGCTCGTGAAGCGCCCTGCCGTTGGCTGCATTGCCTGAACACCCAGGCTTTGCTGATGCTTCGCTTTGCTCTGTGCCGGGCTCTGCCGTGTCTCTCGCTGATGAAACGACGTGCCTTGGGCAAGATTCGTGAAGCCATCAACCTCTGGAACACCATTGCCGGGGCTTCTCCTGAACGTGTCAACTGCCAAGATCGTTCCACTTAATTCGCTCCTCAATAGTCGTGTCCTGATGATACGCCAGCGCGCACGGTGCAGAAGGGGCTCGGCTGGCTTGAGTCTCCGACTTCGTGCGAGTGCTCTGCTGGCATGAAACTCCCTTCTCGTGTGATTTTGCCCAGAGATAGTGCACCATGTCACACAACTACGAAGAGGTCTTTTGCATCACCGCAAAGTCATGCCGCAACAAGAGCAGCAACAGAAGCAGAGAGGAACAGCACGGAGCTGATAGTATGACTGTCGATTCCATCTTGACATGGGACTAATACGTGGAACGCAACATCATACCATCGTTGTGTACAACAGCCAGAGGGCCTTCTATATACAGTCCCCACTCGAAGGCCTGCGCCCAGCCAGGTGAATCCATAAGATTGTGAATCCACGACCTGTTGGTACGATTCAGGGCTGGTGGCAGCGACCTCGAACTGGAGGATTTTGCCCCGGCTTAAAGAGTTTTGGACGCCTGCAACTTTGCGGGCGGCTCAGGACTGATCCTGCGGCCTCCGCAATGCTACGGCTTAATCCCTTCCCCTGAACATTCAACCCCCCCCTAATATAAAAACTGCCGGCCCCCGGAATTTTGCGGCTTGGGGCCCCGCATTCAATTTAAAAGGGACAACATTAAGGGGGGTGGCAGATCTGTATGTGTTCTAATTGAAGGAAGACTACCGTAGTACTAAAGACAGCAGAGCTTTAGGGTTTAAGGGTTTAGGGCTCAGGGCTTTATAGAGCCAAAGATTACAGCAGTACTAAAGAGACACGAGAGCTTTAGGGTTTAAGGGTTTAGGGCTCAGGGCTAAAGCTTTAGGGCTCAGGGCTTTAGTTTGGGGCTCGAGGTTTAAGGCTTAGGGCTTTAGTAGGGCCTCAGGGCTCCAGGCTTAGGATAGCTAGCAGCTGGGAGTCCGGGTACGTGGGTGCACCGAAACCCCCCCTAATATAAAAACTAAACCTCCGAAATCCAGTTTTTATATTAAGGGGGGGGGGGAGCGTTTTAATATTAGGGGGAAGGGATTATCAGTCTCCCCATCACACTGGCAGTTGATCACTTACTTACGGACAACCGTGTGCAGCATGGGTTCGGTCGGGCTAGAGATCAACTCTCACCTGTGCTGGCCGGAAACTCAGCCCCAGAGTTTCGGCTGCCACGCTGGACGACTGCGCAAGGCGCACCTTCTTCGCACACATTCTTTCGCCGGGTCTGGCAAAGACGGCAGGGATGTACTTTCACGAGCCAGGTAAGGTGTTGAGCTTTCAATGACGTTTAAAACTGACAGAAAATGTGTGGGCTCGATTAAAAAACAGACTGGGCAGGATGCCCACAAGCACCGCAAGGACCGCACATGGTGGCACGGCTGCTTGGCACAGGGGCTGCCCGATATGTACAATTTGCGCGCTCTTTGGGCTCAGTCCGCGTGAAGGGTCAGCTCCTTAGGCTTGCAGTGGACACAGACTCACATCAAGGAATACAAGACACGACAGACCATCTGCTGTTGAGGCCAGCTGCGAGAAAGCTGCGGTGCGCTTGCCACGAGGTCAGCTGACTCGCAGCTGCCTCCCTCCGTCCACAAGCAACGTGACCCCGGTGATCCGGTCGCTGAAATACGCTGATAAGGCAATCTACTAGCTCATGCCCGAGCTGTCTCTGTCACTTGCTGTTACAATTCGAAACTTCAAGGAATCAAACAAACTCACATTCTGCGTGATGGTCGCCGCATGCGTTCAGCGACCGGGTCGCCTCTTGACGGCTCTGCGCTGTGGGAAGCTGCCTGGGATCAGGTGGGTACAAAATCAGTCGGTCGGAGAGGCTGTCAGGAGCTGATGCAAGCAAGCTGCTCTTGAGCTTCAAAGCCAGCTGCATGTGCACTTTGTGGAGTTCTTCGTCTCCCCCCTGCATCGCAGAAAAGCCACGCGCGATTCCCCTAGGTCCTACCAAAGCGAACAGGAAATTCGTTGATTTTGGGGCAGCGCTTTCCAGCTGCTGTGCCCACTTGCTGAGTCAGATTCCAGTGACAGTGTTAAACTAATTTCCACGCCTAGAATAGCAGAACCACAGAGTTATACGTACATGTTGCCACAAGTTGCCATCCCAAACTTCTGCTCAGCAAGTGGTCCCCCTCTGTTCCGTGCAACAGAACTCGGACTCCTTGTCAACCATCCCCTCCAGCACTGTTCAGTGGAGGAACACGATGCCAGGCAGCTTCTGTGACTTTTGGTGAAAACAAGCTGATATGGGCGCTTCTTCGTGCTTGCATAGCATGCTGGAGCTAAACTTGCCTCTCGGTTTGCATCTTCCATACTGCTTGGCAAAATGCGGGCCCGAGACAAGTTGCGATTGCTTGTGGCACAAGCTCAGAGCTGTGCAATGGCTAGGAAGTATTGCTGCAAGAGAATCGAACACTGAGATGTTGTCGAAAAAAGCCGAGACAGTTTCAGTAGCAACAGCTCCTGTGCGGCAAACACTTTCAGCAAGTCTCCAGAAGTACGACTCAGAAGAAAGCAAAAGTTCGAAGCCAACGAAGCAGCTCCAACTTAGCAGGGTTTGCACTAACCATGTAATGTACGGGCGGTGATATTGTGAACCGTGACAAGCTGGTACCATCTGGCACCGGATCCAGCGGCAATGTCGTTCGCACTGCTCCATGCAAATCTCGCAGCTCCAGTCTGCGAAGATCAAGATTCCCAAAAAAAGCGGGCGACAGCAGAGGAAGATGAACCACATCCCCAGGCAGCCTCAACCGCGAAATCTTCAACTACAGACGGGTGGCAGCGAACACATGCTTCAAGAATCTGCACATTCCATGTACCCTCCACAGCAGCAGTCAGCAAGACAGCAGCAATAGAATTTACTCATGGTGATGTTAGCCTCGGTGGCTCCAGAGCCTGCTTTACCCTAGAAGTAACCGAAGAAGGTAGTATGACCCACCTCGCAGCCTTTATGCAGCTGGGAAGCATCGGAAAGGGCAGTCTAGATGTCGTCTGGGCTTTGCCATGCAACCTTGCAGTTGCCAAGGACTGAATGCAAAAAACAAGAGGGAAACTGTGACAAGCGACGGTGACCACATCCTCCTTTGTGTACAGGGTCACTGCAGGCACCTGAGCGCACCGGCGGCATCACGCCTCTGCCATGTACTTCCGACATCGAAACAAAGCACCACGCCCAAGCGGTTCGAATCTTCTTGTCCTGGCTTCCGCCACGCTGCAACGGGCTGCAGAAGCTGTACCAACGGTGACAAGACAAAAGAATCCGAAATCGGCCCGGGCCTGGCTGCTCCATCGAGGGCCCCACCTCAAGAAGCAAGGCTCCCTCTGCCCGACCCCTATGAATCTTGACCGGTCTCAGGTTGAAGACCAGAAAGTACATCGGACATGCAACAGCACGGCGCTCAGAATATCGGGTTTGGGGCAGATCAAATGAATAATGGCTTCACTGGACTTGGCCAAGTCAGAGTGAAGGTTGCAAAACTCGCCCCGAGGCGGCCGGGAAGAGGTGTGTCTGGCACCTGGAGAAAACTCTGACCCCGGTAGTCAGGACCAAGACTGTGCCCGAAAGTTTTGTGCTAGCTGAAGCAAAGGCAGAATGCACAAGGCACTACCAGCCAATGGACGAATACGACACGGAGCTGCCGGCACAAAGAAAGCCTCGACACGGAGAGTGCCCAAGCTTGGTCGTCATTTTTGGAAAGCGGACAACAAAGCTGCGTCGACAAGTCGAGTTAGGTGTGTAGACGTGCAGATCAGCAGCTGGCCCAGGGGATCCTATCGCGGGACCACTGTCTGCGAGCCACGGTGCAGAAGACTCCTCTAATCGAGGGTCCATCATACCATAACATGCACCAGCGAACACAGAGTATATCACCAATGCGCACAGAACGCACCCACGAGCAAACACTTGTGCACAGACACACAAAAACACACACACAGAGAGACAGACACAGACAAACCTGAACTTGCGATGGCTTCGGCGATGGACCTCTGTGGGAGCATCCCTCCAACTACGCACGCCGGCGTCCAGGACAGGGCTGACGATGCAACGGCTCATCATTGAAAGGGAACTGCCCGCTATCATTGAATCCTGAATGCTGGACTGCCAGACTGCAAGAAGCAAGAACGAGGGTCGCCCTTTGTGCAGATCAGGGGCTCCGAAACATACAGACAGAGCACGCACTCGTCAAGAGTCAACATGCACCACGAGCAGGTACCACATTCTCTAGGCCGAACAAATCTCTGTCTAGATGCAGTTGATCAATGTTCAGGCAAGCTTTGAGGCCCTTCACTTGCATCACTGGGGATGCGACCACTGGGCCAAGGGCTCGCACCAGAGGTCAGACTCCTGGTAGACAAGCGAAAGCCCTGGAGATCTCACGACTTTTCAGTGCCGCCTTGACGGTGTGTTCGCCCCCATATTCAAAATGAATCGGTGAAGCCAGCATCCAGATCTTCACCTAGTGGCTCAGAAACATCTTTGACTCGAACCATAAGAGAGCGGACGGCACCTGCGCGATATCGCCTTGACGGTTGAGGTGGTAGTCGCATCGGAAACGGAGCCTGCTGATAAGACATTAGGTCCGGGCAGGTCATAAATGCTGGAACGACCCAAGCCAGCAAGCAAGGCATGCTGGCTTGTTGCGCGCCATTGCATTACAACTAAAGCTCCAGCATTGCCAAACAGCGGACGCTGTTTAGTATTTCTCGGCTCAAAGATCCAAAATGATGAGCTTCATTTTCTTGCCTGAGTCGTTGAGGTCCGGGCCAGGGTTTCTTTGTGAGCGCCCGGTCTGTTGTGCACTCCCCTGCGTCCCTACGTTACCTCGAAAAGCCACTACAACCACCAACAGCAACGACAGTCACTACGACGACGACTACGTGTATGACGACCGCGACCACAACCACAACTGCGACTACCACCATCACCACCATCACCACCATCACCACCATCACCACCATCACCACCATCACCACCATCACCACCACCACCAGTCATCACCACCACTACAACTACCACTACCACTACGACTCCGACTCCGACTGCTGCTGCTCGGCTAGGGCTACTGAGACTGCCGCTGCTGCTGCCACTACGACTCCTGCTGCTGCTGCTGCTGTTGCCGCTGCGGTTGCCGCTGCGGTTGCCGCTACGGTTGCTGCTGCTGCTGCTGCTGCTGCTGCTGCTGCTGCTGCTGCTGCTGCTGCTGCTGCTGCTGCTGCTGCTACTGCCACAACTACTACCACTCCTGCTGCTGCTGCTGCTGCTGCTGCTGCTGCTGCTGCTGCTGCTGCTGCTGCTGCTAACTGCTACTGCTGCTGCTTCTGCTACTGCCACTGCCACTGCCACGCCACTGCCTCTGCCACTGCCACTGCCACTGCCTCTGCTACTGCTACTGCTACTACTACCCACTACTACTGTTACTGCTGCTACTATTACTATTACCACTACGACTACTACAGTCACTACGACTACAGTACGACTACGACGACTACTACCAGCCACCCCTCCTTCTACTGCTACTAATGAGACAGGTGCTTTCCGGGACATGTCTGCGAAACTTCTCGATGTAAAGAAGAGGCTGTGGGAAATATCCTTACAGAGCTGCCTGTCATTCCCTTCTGTATCCTTAACCCCCACCCCCTTCGCGATTTGAAGATGCAATTTCAAAACTCTAGCGCTTTCATTCTCCGCCTCCCGGTATAAGGGACAGACAGCCTACTCGCTTTGTTTTTACGCTTTCATTCTCCGCCTCGTCCTGGTATAATGGCCAGAGAGCCTACTGGCATTGCTTTGGAGCTGTGACGCATTTAATTTTCATTGACTCGACTTGCTGCGCCATTACAGTTCTTCGTCTCGGTGCAGAGGTGTATGAAGAAGGAGAGAGATTCTGAAACTCGAGTCAAAGTGTCTCCATCTCTCTGCTTCGCAATTCTGAAAACGAGCCAGGTGCGCAACGACCCTGCCATGATGTTGTCCTGACGGCAAGCAAGTTGGCAGAGAGTCAGGATAGCTCGGCACCTCGCTGGCTGATTTGACCCCCCCGTTGATGCCAGACCACAGCTGCGGACACGGATATGGGCAGAACTCAACAGCTAGCGTCCTGAAACAGTGGGTACTTGGCAGCGTTGCCAAACCACTGCACGCCTTTCCTGGCCACAGGAATTTTACGATTGCTGTCACAACAGCACTTGAGAAGAGGGCGACGAAAAGGTAGGGGAAAGGAAGCGTAGCTGGGAACACGAGGTGACCAGTGAGGCGATGCGAATGACTTGCACGGGGGGGACGTTTGACATGAAGACTACAACTGAAAAAAAGGCGTGGAGCCACGAGCTGGAGGCAAGTCGCAGCGCAAGCAACAGACTTCAAACAGAAGCAAACTGAGGGACCTTGCGGGGGGGGGAGGGGTAGGGGGAGAGACTTCAGGGTTAGGGGGAGGGGCCCCCCCCTCTACCTTATGCCACGCGCCGCAACCTTCAAGGAGGGAGGGGAGGGAGGGGGGAGCGCGCTGCACCTTATCCTTCGAAGATACTTCATGAACGAGGTGAGGGGGGCGGGGGGGGCGGCACCCCACCCCCGACCTCAACTCTTGGACGTCCCACCTGATAAGGTGCAAACCCTGTTTTTTCCCTAGTGCCTTAATACAAGGTGAATTGCTAAAGGACAACTCCCGCAAGCTCAACAGAGCTAGCTTTCGTGACATGGAGTGCTGTCCAACACCAGGCGACGGAAGCAGGCCTACATCCCAGCATCATCTGCCTCGGGTTCTCGTCGACCTGAGTGTTCTCTCGCGGATCATATAATATGAATGCTACGGACTCAACATCCTTCCGGCTTCCGAGCATCGCACGTGCTGCTCAGGCAGCCAGCCGCCTGGCACCTCGTCCTGCAACACCGTAAGAGAAACATGCACCGTCCCTCCCTGGGCATTCACGACTACTCGAATCTGTGGATCGTCCTCAGTATCAGACTTCACCTGCTGCAGAGTGCCAACACAAAAACATCTAGACGAGATTGAGAAAGTGATGGTTGCATTTGGACGCGTCGTGGTTATGAATCTTCACCACCCGAGCCAGTACAGTACCGTCGGCCTTCAAGATGTCCGCTAAGCTTTGTGCAGAGGCCGCAGACGCAACGGTTTCCTTGGAAACGCTTGGACAACGGAAAAGCTTTTTGTCATCTGTGCCCTGCCTGCTGGTCGTCTTCATCTGCTTCCTCGGGGTGATTTGGGAGACTGTGGAGCTTCACAGCTCGCGACAGGTCGAGCTTTCCGTCCTTGCGAGCTGCCTTCCACTCCACAAGTCCAACATTGACGTAGCCTCTGCAGCTGGGATCAAAAACCCACTCTATGATCTCATAGCAACCGTGCGGCCAGGTCGCAATTCACGGATTTCTCCACAGCCAGCGCGAAGGAGAAGCTCAGGGTGCCACAGGGCATCGCAATCATACGCACAAGCTGACCAGTCAATCTGGAGACTGCTATAGGCTACTGGCCTCCAAGTGGAACCAAGCGGTGGCTTCCAGCGTCCTGCATGCCAAGCCTGGCGACAGTCTGTGTGTCCGATTGTGTGTTCTCAGGTCCTCACCACATAGCACTATAGCATCCTATAGCACACGCTTGCCGTGAGCGCCAGGGCCTCGCCTCCGCCGGCCGGCAGCGGACTGCACTCGGCTCCAGCCTGCGACACGGGACTCGAGATGGCCCGATCGCACGCGTCAGCAGGTCCACTCTGACTCTTGCGTGGTCTTTCCAGTCCTGATGGTGCGGTAATCCTCCGGGCCCTTCATGGTCACGCGGCAGAACCTGGGGAGTTCAAAAACCCTTCCATCGAAGAACGCTGCAGGTCATTGCACAGAACAGTACATTATTGTTAAGTCTAGCAGACGCGACTTTCGACCTAGATCGGGCTCTTTACAACTTTAGCACTCACGTGGTGCAGTCTTCTTGGGAGAATCTATACTTTTCAACTGCCGGAGGTTGAGCAAGTTTCACCCTGGACAGTGTGTTAGGGTGCCTTGGAGGAACATGTGCCAAGCTCACACACCACGGCACTCACGATAGTGCTTGCAAAACGGGAGCCCCTACGTCCAGCCAATTCGGGTTTTTGTAAGGGCGGTGGTGCGACTTGAACGACATGCTGGTTCTGCGCCCGGATAAAAATGTAGACAGACTCGAAGCATACCATCTCGAAGGTGCGCTGAGTCAAGCCGGTTCCTATAGACAAGTATGTTGAAGACTGTCTAAATAGGGTGGCCGCCCGGTTTTGGATGCAGCGAGGGGGGGACTAATCTTGCTGAGTTTGGCAGTATGCTCAATGTTGCCCGAAGCTTAGGATCTTATGGGTTCTGTTTGGGGTTTGCTGGACAGCCCAGCGTTTTCGGCTGCCCAAACCCAGATCATTAAATCTCCAGTGAACCCAGCTTGTTGATAAGATTTTCGATGGACATGAACGACACGAAGGTCTAGGACTGCTGCCTGTTGTACTCCTTATCCAGGCCAGCGTGAATGGACGCGGCCTGACCGAGACACGGAGAAGGATGACGAGGCAGCAGGAAAAAGCTTCACACACGGGACAAGGCTTTTTGACGTGGCGAGCCCGGGCCGCCGCTGAACGGAGCTGCTGGTGACTCTGGAGAGTGCATACTCTCGCGAAGTGTGCAGCGCCCTGATGTTCGTTTTTCGCAATCTTTGCCGTGTCGGCAGCGATCTGGATCAAGGGACGCTGAGTCAGAGCTGAACTAGTCGCCTTGAATGCACCGCCGAGCTCTAGCAAAGTTCTCAACCGGTCCGTTCGGCTTGTAGTCGCGTCGATAGAAACGCACGGACGTAGACTCGATTCCAGGGGAACTCATTGGCAGGGACAGATAAGCACGAACGAATCGAGCGGGCGCTGCAGTCATGCGGATCGCCGCCTGAAGGTCCTGTCTGGGTTCGCTGGCTAGTGTGACGTAATCTGTTGCACATCTTTCCGAATCTCTTCAATGCCAAACCGCTGCCCACGCAACACTCGACAATGTCCCATACTGCATCACAAATCTTGGAAGTATACCTCGGTCGCCAAAGCAGGCTGAAGGATACTACTGCGCCATGCCGGTCAATGGTAAATTATTTGAGGGGGAACAAAGTATGGGTGCTCCCTGTTTGGCTGCACGCGTCTGCTGCATGAACCAATGCGACGGACACCTTTGTTTTGCTCCGAGCTGTGGAAAACGGGCCGTCAGTCGCCATGGAGCTTACACACTTGGTCGATGACTTCCTTGCGGCTCCGGGCAAATCAGGGAAGCTGGAATGCGTACACACTGCAAGGCTCTGTGCCAAGTCTGCTAAGTCCCATCAACTGCAGCCAGGAGGCCCTGCAGATTGGGCAAGAGTCACCAGCCCGTTGCAAGCGTTTTGCACAAGTGTAGCAGGTGCTCTGATGACACCTTGAATCTCCGCTTCAAGGTATTGAACATCCATGCGACATCCCTCTGGGGCAACGACGTGTCCCCGTGCACGATCACTCCGTTGGGCCTTGCAAAAGGAGTGTTGCTTGAGGCTCCAGCGCCGACCGGGGGCTCGCAAGATGGCTCCCGAGACCGAGACTTGGCGTCCATGCAGATGACGCCTCAACACGGCTGAGATCGACAGGAACTGCTTCAGAGGAGCAGATTCGGGACAGCCAAAGGGCACTCCGTGCTGTTCGCTGGAGCTATGCCTCGGACCAGGAAGCAGAAGCCTAGAATCTGAAGCGTGACGCAGGTGCCAAGGCCGCAGCGTTGCGAGCGCTGCTTGGATGACTCAAAAGAAACGATCTCTGCCTCTTGGCAAAGTGCAGCCAGGGATTGTCGCATCTGGTCCAAGGTCACACTTCAATCCCGGAAGCTCCAAGCATGCCACAGGCCCCGTCTTTCATCGCGGAGCACATGCTAAGCTCAACATGCATGCACCCAACTTTCAATATGGGAAACATTCCTAAAAACAAAACCGTCATCGTGCTGACTTCCAGAAACATGTTCCTGAGAGCAATGACAAAGATTAATACTTTACACAACGTAACCGGCATGATGAAATTACTCACGTGACTTCCAGAATCTGTGTATGGTTGCCTTGTCTCTGGCAAACTCGTCTCTCTGACCAGACCAGCGTGTTGCCACGGCCTGCGAGCTGCGTTGATCCAGCCAAGTCTTGGACCAACAGAAATACACGCAGCCACAGGCCATCGCGTGCCTGGATCCATCCTTTGGGAATGACCTGTGGAAAGATGTGGGGTTAGCAACAATGCAGATGAAGAGCACCGGCGAGCGGACCGGAGAGCCTGAGTGATGTCGTCCTGAAACATCACGGACACCTGCCGCGAAATAACACGAAGAACGAAGCCCAAACGAATCGGAACTCCGCAGCAAGTGCCGAGCAACCTCGCCCCGCTGTAGAATCGTCAGCACGATGCCACGGTCAGTTTGCACACTTCGGCAACTGGGCGAAAGCTTTGGGCTCTCCGACTTCACTTCTTCCCTTTTACTGATAGAGATCTGTTGCTGGGTGTCTGTGCTGGTTACCCGGGCGCTTGAAATGTGCGATCACCACGTCCCCCGATGAGAGCTCCGACACCTCAGACACAAACCCGCTGGCATAGGCTGCTCGGATCTTTTCGGCACATTTGTGGCACTGATTCCGCTACACGGCCAACCTCGGCATGCCAGTCGCGCACCCGTTCGGTCACCCACGCCTGGTAGGAGCAAGTCACTCAACCCCTGCACATCCCGGCACATGAGGGATCATGGATCGCGGCTGGATGAGTTTCAGAGCCTTGGACACGTTCTGCTGGATTCCATCATCAAAGTACAGATCCACCTGAAACGAGCAACCCCAGGCCAGCCGTTCGAAACAGACCGACGGAAGCCGCCTCCAGCAAAGAAGAGCTCATGACAGTGGCAACGTCAGTATCCGTGCTCTTCTCACCGCCGCCCGTCTTAAAGTGAGCCTCCCAGGAGCTCCCGCCACAGGTCGAAAACGACCCCGGAATGAAAAGGCCAAACGCTCTTGAAGCGCACCTGGACCCGATCGCCCACGGCCCACTCGCGGAGACGCACGATCCATCCCAAAGGGACAGTCTGCTGGATTGTGTCCTGGCGAACTTAAGTGCTGAGAGTCTTTTGCACCGCTCCCAATGAAATCCTTACCAATTATGGCATATGCACACATCTGCAAGGAATACGCAGAGATCCTGGAACTGCACCTGCACACGGCCATCGATGGGGTCCGACAGCACGATTCCAATATCGGTGCTGGTGCTTCTTCGTCCGTCTTCGCCCACCTCGTCAGCTATTCCATGGATGAGAAACTCGGGTGTCTCAGAATGGCGAGCCTCAAAGTGAACGTCTGCGACGCTTCCGACTTCTACCTGGACCATCTCTGTCCACAGTGCCGAGAGGACTGCAATGACGATAAGACACGATGAGTATGCTGTGCTGCTGTACACTCCTATAGACTCCGAGTCCTAGTGAAAGCTTTTTGCAAAACTCCTCCGTCCTGCAGGTTCCAGGGCCTGGCCCGGTGGCACACCTGGCAGCGCAGAGCTCCCCACCAGTGGCGACCGGCGATCGGACTCCGAAGCCAGGGCGGCCGCACCCAAGTTTTGGGCACGTTTTGCTCCACGTTGTCGTCAAAGACTGCAGGGGCACTATCACAACGCCACGCCATCCGATTGCCCACTCTGCAGCTGCCCTGCACATCGCCCAACCTATGTACACGTCCTCCTTTGAGACGGCTAGGACGGAGCCCATGTCGGTTTTGACGCTTTTCGCGCCCCTGACGCAGTGTTCGAAAGCAGTTGCGACGGAATGCTAGGCTGCTACAGCTCCACGCAGCCTCCCATCGTTGACTTTGAAGTACGCATTCACCTGTCATGGCTTCCCGTGCCCGGATCAGATGCCAAAATAATCGTTTGAGGCTTCGGGCTGGAGCAGTTTACCTTCGACGCAGATGTTGAGGCCTCTTCTAGTGCAATCACAAGCAAAACGCAAGACAGACAAGGCAGTCAAACCAGTGGCAGGAGCACGCGATCTCCTGGCTCCAATCGCATCACCTGCTCGACCTTAGGACACGCATCGTTTTGGAATAGCTGATGTCGTTGATGAGGGCTGGGTGCCCGTCCCATCCCATGGGGATGGTCTGCATGATTTGGTCCTGAAACCTGCGAGTCATGTGTTCGCAAGCAGCGCTGCACCAGACACTGATTGCTGTTCGCATCCAGAGCCTGATCCGAACGCGGCCGCCATCGAGGACAGCCACCACTATGCCAAGATCGGTATTGACGGTGCGCCCCTGCATGCAATTATGGTTTATTACCACCGATGAATGAAGAATTATCAACTTCTGCGCATCATTGAACCATGATATTCTCAATTCATTCACTCGCCAAACTGACTATCGAGTTCGCCGCGCCTTACCGGAAGCATAGTGGGCATACACGATATCGCCTGGCCTTGAGGAAGCAACGGCACACAGTCACGAAATGTTACTGCTCTCCGCTCAGTTTCCACGCACCGGATCCGTCCAGGCCAAGTGCCCAACGCAAGATCCAGATCCCATGCGGACAGGCGCTCGGCGATCCAGGTCTGACGGCTTCTGAATGCTTCTCTGATGAACGCTGTTGGAGCTCAGACATGTGAGCTGCCACGAGCGGGGTTTACGAACCTTGGAGACGCACTGCACGGCACCATCATCAAAGTGGATCTTGCGGGCTACAGCCAGTTGAAGCTCACATATGCAGACAGGCGAATGAATCTCAACACAAGGCATATGGCATATGTAAACCGATCACAGCTGGCCACATCGGGCCTCCACCTCCGATGTAGTAAACTGGAGCAGCGTGCCCACGTCGGTAGCTGGGCAGGTCGGGCGCTCGCTGATCGATTCTGTCTAAGTCGTTGCACGAAAGCTCTTTGGAACCTGAGCTCTTCGAGCCATAGCGGTTCTGGAAATTCGCGCCTCGCAGACGGTGGCGCCATCGCAATCAAAGGGCACAACTCACAGAAGGAAAGGCAAGTGCAGCTTCTCAGCAAGAAGGCTGGGATCTCGGCGCACGCGATCGCCAGTTCGCAGGACTTGCTTCTGCGGTCCGGAGAACATCCGAGTGCCATCGCCTGCTCGGTTCACAGGCGCGCACGCGCGCACGCGCTCGGACATGAACCGACTCGCCGAAGCCTGCACCGACCGAGCAGGTCGGCTCAGAGCGGCATCCCGGAGTGGAGCAGCCGGTGTCTAGGAAGGGCCTAGAAGCCTGCTACTCTCGTACTGTTCCGACTCTGAACCCTCCGTTACTCCTCCGTTACTTGCAACCTTCTTCAGAGGGTGGGGGGATCGATGCAACAGTAACTGGAACACGTGTCTAGGTGTTGCTCTACATCATCCGGACGAGGCTCGTTCATGCAGTCAGTGCTTGGAACGGCCGAATTGCAGCTTGCAGTGTTGCAGGTAAAGCTCAATCAAATCAGGTGATGAGACGACTGATGTGGAACGTCTTACCACAAGAGCTCGCACCTGCAGCATCTGAGGCTAGCATGGACAACCAGAGTGTGTCACTGGCATCTGAGCCAAATGCCGCGCCGGGTCGCTGCACTCGGCTCTCGCACTGTCTGCTTAGTCGTGTCTGCATCAATGCAGAGGAAACGGGCGATTGTGCCACTATGGCGCAGGCACGAACCGGGACACACCGAAGCGAGTTCGAATTCCATGTCGCACCATGCCTCCTCTGCACTGAGGTCCCTGAACTCAAAGGAGTTGAGATGGCCTCACGACAACGAGTACCGAATTCACCCCACATAGTCTCATAGCGGATGTGCTTCTGTGATCGAGATTCCAAGATACTTGTTGGCTGTAGGTACCATAAGGTCGTATAGCCGTATAGCTGTTGCAACCTTGCTCGCTTGTAATGCCTTAACCCTGCCAGAAGTTACCCGCGAACCCTCAAGTATGCGACAGACACGCGAACATCAAGACTGAGCGGTGTGGCCGTAGAACGGGGAAGGGCCGCTGGGAGACCTGAGCGACTTTTGAACAACGACCAAAGCAAAGCTCAATGAAACCTGCGCCTGAGCTCCGGGCTCTGCTGGCTCCAGAGGCGGCCTTGGCAAGAAGGACAGAGGCCCGGCTTTCGCTCTTTCTCCATGCACTCCTCCTCCCGTCTCTCTTCTTGTTGCCCGACCCAGCTGCCCTAGAAGGCCTCAGCAACAAGGTTGCCTTGGAGACCGTAGTATTCGTTGTTAGTACGTCTTGATATAAGCTCTATTCTATTCAGCCTGTGTCAGTAGCTTCGTTGGCAAAGGACTCAGAGTGGCATGGGCACCCCTCCCTCCTTGTAGTGGCAACCCCAATTCTAGTGTAGAGACGCGGGCACGTTACACTGCACTGTTGGTGTGCTTTTGGCCAGCATCACTTACACGTTCAGGACCATCATATCCACGAAGATTTCCCTTTAAGGAACAAGAGTGCCTGGCCAAGTAAAGATGTTTTGTGTTTTGCTTTTTGTTTGGCCCTTGGCGAGGGGGCTGGAGGCACTGAGTGCTGCATCGGCTATGTTCATGCAGGTCTCTTGACAAGAAAGCTCCCTGAACCTATATACTCCACAGGCTCTCAACTCCTCTATACATCCCCGTGCAGATGGGGACTTTGTACATGATGCACATTAGGCTTCTGAGTACTTGAAGCGTACACGTCCACTTAGCACTTGGCGCAACTCTTTGCGGACCTTCGGGCTTCGAAGCAATATACAGAGGGAAAACCGAACGTTAGCCTACATGACAACATTCGTGAGCAAAACAAGAAACTATATAATATCATATAACACAAAGTGAACGATATCATAATGCGATATAGTACAGTATAGTATCTATGTGATACAATATCATAACTGTATGTAATATAGTATGAATTTATTCTGTAGTATAATGAATAATGCAAGGTACTCCTCGAACAAGAAGAACAGGAGAGAAAGGATAGAAGATCACATCAGAATATTGAATGGTATGGCAATCAGAGACACGAGCCTATAATCTTGAAACTTTAGCCTTTCTAGCTGCATAACATTGTGAATGATATATATATATATATGATAGATATACTTGACCCATTTTCGCCACTTGCGCCGCCTAAACTCTGAACTCGAACCCTAAAATGCGGAACCCTGAACCCCTAAAACCTAAAACCCCAAGTCCTAAAATCCTAAACCCTAAAACCTAATATTCCCAAACCCTAAACCCCCAAAACCTAAAGCCTAAAACCCCAAACGCGCAAGGCACGGTCTGCTAGCCGCGTAATATGCGCAGGAATGCACCGCCGTGACCGGCCGCGGACTAGAAATCGCCTTGCGTGAGTTTTGGGATGCGTCCGTGGACTCTATCATCCGCTCAATGCGAGAAATAACGGAATAGAATCAATCAAATACACGAAACTGTAACCTTGAAACTATAGCCTATACTAGCTGCATGACCTTGTGAATATCTATACACATATATACATATATGTATGTATGTATGTATGTATGTATGTATATACAACCATCTGTGCAACTATGTGCTTGACCCATCTTCGCCACTTGCGCCGCCTAAACTCATGACTCGAAACCCTAAAATGCCAAACCCTAAACCCCAAAACCCGTAAACCCTAAACCCAATTCCCCTAAACCCTAAAATCTAAGCCCTGACTAAACCCTGATAACACCAAACCCTAGAACCTGAAGCCTAAAACCCCGCGCATTGAGACCCAAACCCTGAAACCCTGAACCCCCGAACCCTAAAGAGCCTAAACCCCCAGACACTAAAACCCCAAACCCTAAGACCCTAAACCCTAAGAACCTAAACCCTAAAATACCACAAACCCTGAAACCCTAAACTCTAAAGCCCAAGACCAAAGCCCCAAAACCACCAACCCTGGAAACCCCAAACCCGTGCACTCTAAAGCCCCAAACCCTAGAACCCTAGACCCTAAAACCTACAACATAAACCCTCAAACCCGAAGCCCTGAAACCCTAAACCCTAAAACAGTATAGCAATCACAGACACGAGCCTATAATCTTGAAACTGTAGCCTTTCTAGCTGCATAACATTGTGAATGATATATATATATATATATATGATAGATATACTTGACCCATTTTCGCCACTTGCGCCGCCAAAACTCTGAACTCGAAACCCTGAAATGAGGAACCCTAAACCCCTAAACCCTAAAACCCTATACCCTAAACCCTAAAACCCCAAGTCCTAAAATCCTAAACCCTAAAACCTAACATTCCCAAACCCTAAACCCCCAAAACCTAAAGCCTAAAACCCCAAACGCGCAAGGCACGGTCTGCTAGCCGCGTAATATGCGCAGGAATGCACCGCCGTGACCGGCCGCGGACTAGAAATCGCCTTGCGTGAGTTTTGGGATGCGTCCGTGGACTCTATCATCCGCTCAATGCGAGAAATAACGGAATAGAATCAATCAAATACACGAAACTGTAACCTTGAAACTATAGCCTTTACTAGCTGCATGACCTTGTGAATATCTATACACACATATACATATATATATATATATATATGCTCACGCCCCCCCCCATGATCCACCCGAACCTGCTTCTTGCAAACAGTGGATCATGGGAGGTGGGCAGCCTCGGATGCGAAAACACTGCCAGGCACCAATTTCCCCAAAGTTTGCAAAGCTGGAAGTGCGAAAACATCGACAGGCACCAATTTCCCCAAAATCCCCAAACTCTGGGCAACTATGGCCCGGCACGCTTCATAGATGCAGGGATTTTGGGGATTTTGGGGAAATTGGAGCATAGCGAGGTTTTGGCACTTCCAGCGTCACAAACTTTGGGGAAATTGGTGCCTGGCGGTGTTTTGGCAACCTCGGATGCGAAAACACTGCCAGGCACCAATTTCCCCAAAGTTTGCAAAGGCGGAAGTGCGAAAACATCGACAGGCACCAATTTCCCCAAAAATCCCAAACTCTGAGCAACTATGGCCCGGCACGCCTCATAGATGCCGGGATTTTGGGGATTTTGGGGAAATTGGAGCATAGCGAGGTTTTGGCACTTCCAGCCTCACAAACTTTGGGGAAATTGGTGCCTGGCGGCGTTTTGGCAACCTCGGATGCGAAAACACCGCCAGGCACCAATTTCCCCAAAATTCATACAGCTGAACTCTGACGGCCTCCATAGATGCCAGGATTTCGGGGATTTTAGGGAAATTGGTGCCTGGCGAGGTTTTGGCACTTCCAGCCTCACAAAGTTTGGGGAAATTGGTGCCTGGCGGTGTTTTGGCAACCTCGGATGCGAAAACACTGCCAGGCTCGAATCTCCAAGATTCCTGAAACCTGAAATGCAAAAGTCATAGAAGAACAGCCGTACCATGTGCTCATACATGAGCCTTCAATTGCTTCCGTTCTCAAGTGTGCTCTTGCTTCTTTCATCGAACAAAGTCATAGCTGTTGTTAAGATCACCTTTGCTCAATGTAAGAAATAGAAGAACAGCTGTACTTTAGAATATTGAAACCTGCTTGTGTTTGTGGATGCTTTAGAACGTTTTTTTTGCGAATGCACATGTTCGTTGAACTGTACATCAGGTTTAGATGCTGTCGAGTTCTTAAACTCTTGCCCGTAGCTTGAACAAAGAAGAAGTATTCCTTGTATTCTATATTATCTCACAAACTGAAGAAGCTGATAAGCTCCGATATTTCATATCATTACATATAAGGTGCCATTCAGGCGACACTGGGGAACCTGGTAAATGAGCTTTCAATTGCTTCGATTACTGGCGGTACTAACTCTTCTCTCGTGAAGCAAAATCATAACCGAGTCAAGGTCAACCTTGCTCAAGAAGTAAGTCCAGTGTTTGACTGTTTTCCTTAAAGCATAATGAGAAAAGATGTTGTTCCACCATTTCTTGGAGGCTATGAGGAGAGGTCTGGAGCTGTTTCATGCTGTATTCAAAGATGGCAGGAGCTATATAACTCTTGTGAGTAGCGCGGTGCAACGGAGCTCGATTATGTGTGCTGAGCCAGGATCGTCGTGCATCTGTTAAAAAGAAAACAAATGTGTTCAATAACGAATGCTTTCCAGATACATGCTTGTCTTAATTCCCACGAAGTATAAAGCGTAAGAAGCTCGACATACTATGCTTGTGACCGAATGTATTTGGAGTTTGGTGGAGGGAGACCATGTCTTTCCCTAATCACTCCGATTTTGTGGTATTGGTATACTGCAAGAGCTCGTTGAGTTCCAGCCACTGAGTTCCAGCGACTGATAAGGGACTAAGGTGGCTTATTGTGTTTCTTTGTGCTGAAACAAGATTTTTATTGATAACACCACCTGAACAAGAACAACCATGCTTCCCTTGTCGGTTGAAATTTTGAAGATATGATGTTGTTCGAGGTTCCCTTGAAGCATGAAGATACACGGGGATTCCTTTCCATGTCTGATGGGCAACACCTCTGTTTAGTGTGGTTACAATGCTGCTAGTAAGCCAAACATACCACTGGCATGTTTGCTTTCACTGAAGGAGTTGTCCTTACAGCTTATGTTATGAAGAGAAGAGCAGCTGTGTCTATTCAAACTGTACATCGTAAGTAGTTCGACAAACTCCAAAATAGGAAGGCCAAGTTTTGACTTGAACAGCAAGAGCTGATACGAAGCAGTGGACAAGAGCGCGGCAGCAGAACCAGAATCCAGAACCAGAATCTGGTTTCGGTTTTGGCTTGTTTGTATATGATATAAAAAGCGAAAAGCCGCATCTGTACATGTACATGAACTGCATAAAACAGCGTAAATACCGATATATTCTGACTTTAGCAATATGCATCTTGTACCAGACGACAGTACAGGAGTAGTTGAGGAGAAGGCTGGGGTGGATCATGGGGGGGGTGTGACCATATATATATATATATATATGTATGTATGTATGTATGTATATACGACCATATGTGCAAATATGTACTTGACCCATCTTCGCCACTTGCGCCGCCTAAACTCATGACTCGAAACCCTAAAATGCCAAACCCTAAACCCCAAAACCCGTAAACCCTAAACCCAATTCCCCTAAACCCTAAAATCTAAGCCCTGACTAAACCCTGATAACACCAAACCCTAGAACCTGAAGCCTAAAACCCCGCGCATTGAGACCCAAACCCTGAAACCCTGAACCCCCGAACCCTAAAGAGCCTAAACCCCCAGACACTAAAACCCCAAACCCTAAGACCCTAAACCCTAAGAACCTAAACCCTAAAATACCACAAACCCTGAAACCCTAAACTCTAAAGCCCAAGACCAAAGCCCCAAAACCACCAACCCTGGAAACCCCAAACCCGTGCACTCTAAAGCCCCAAACCCTAGAACCCTAGACCCTAAAACCTACAACATAAACCCTCAAACCCGAAGCCCTGAAACCCTAAAATCTAAAACCCTCAAACCCTAAAACCCCGAATACTATAATCCCAAGCCCCAAACTCTTTAGCAAGAAACCAAACCTCAAATTGTCAAACCTTAAACCCTTAAACCCTAAACCCCAACAACCTAAACTCTGAACCCCAAACCCTGAAACCCTACCCGTAAACCCCAAACCCTAAATATCTGAAACCCCGAACCCAACTCCAAACCCCTAAACCTGGAAACACTAAACCCTAAAACCCTAAACCCTAAAACCTGAACCCCGAGATCCTAGCACCAGTGGCACAAGTGGCACAGGCAAATGGCGCCTATCCCTGGCAGTCCTAGCGGTATGCGCTTTCCAAGCGGGGCAATGTTTGGAATAGCTGCCAGGGTAATGTAATAGAGTACTACGTTGTAGTGTTGTAGTACACTATACAGTACCAAAAATGGTCGGCCATATAAGAACATACATATATGATTATACACTTTTCTGCAGAATAGATTAGAAGAGAATGTTACCTCTAGTATGATACGAAACAATATCATACCATATAACATCGTGTAATATGTGTGTGTGTGTGTGTGAACTGGCTGACGGTACAGTGTTCTCCTATTGCCTACGCCCCTCAGGGCTTCCTCTCCCGCCCCCCTCACCTCCTCCCCCTCCAAGATTGAAAACAAAAACAGATACCGCTCCGTTCATGACACTCCCCACGTGTCTCGGTGCTGCGCTGCGGTGCTTCTGTGCATCTGCTGTGTACCGTTCGGAGCAGGCTTTGAATCACCGCCGTGATATGGCCATCATGTGATATCATGTCAATGTCAGCTCCAAGAAGCTCCAAGAAGTCCCACTTGCATTCACGCACACTTATCGCACATTCCGGGGCTTCTGCGAGGGGGTCTCGAAGGAAGCTGCAGTCAATTCTTCGTTCACCTGGGCCACCCCTTTTGATTCCCCAGCCGTGTCAAGGAATGATACAGCGGGACATGAGTGCAGCACCACAATCCAGGGATCGTCATCCTGACAGAACTTCGCGAGTGCTTCTGCCCTTTACTGTGACAAGCGCAAGAGTGACAACGATGCGGGATCGGGTGGTTGACGGCCCATGCAGCCACTCACCATTTCCCTGGAGATTGTACATACCTGAGCCTGATCATGCATCATGCCGGTGAATCGAACGACAAATCGGAGTTTCAGCTCGTGCAAACAAGTGCCATAGTCCGTCCGAACGGACTCCTTGTTTAGCGAAATGGGCTCAATCATGGCGACGCGGGCCAGAGGAACATGGTTTTGAACATGCTTGACATGCTTGAAAACTCCCACCATCAGGCTGAGGTTCGGCAAGGGCCTTTTCTGTAGGGATGGCCGGCCACAAGGTTCCTGCCCTTTTTATGACGTGATTAACGGTGCCTGCAAGCGTTTTCGTCACTCCTGGTTTGCCACACACGAGTAGGCTAAGAGGCTTGTTAGTCCCGGACGATGCTCGTGGGGATCTTGGCCTCGAGAACAGCCGCTGTTGCTGCCGCAGCAGCGGCAGCCGCCTGACCGCAGTCGTCGCCTGCGACGGCAAGCAAGCCCTTCTCTCGGAAGGGTGTCATAAGGGATGGCCTTCGTCGCGGGCGTCTTTCACCTGGCGTGCAGCATGCTGTCAGCGTTGCTGCGAGGATTCATAGCGAGTTGGACATTCTGAAAACATGACGGGGGCTCGACAACGAATGGCAAATTCGGTAGCATCGCCGAGGAGTCACCAGCCCATCTTCAATATGATCAAAAAGCTGCAGGCAGCAGGCACAGCATGTCTCCCGCAGGCTATCAACATCATTGCAGGTACACACTGAAGTGCTGTTGCTTCGGTCGCCAGGGGGTCGTTGCCTCACGCCTACTTCCAGGAGCTCTTGGGAAGCGGATCTTCAGCTGCACAGATCGAAGCTTTTTCCTTGCAGAAGCAATGGGCAGCGACCTGAAACTGGCTCGTCACTAACATACAGTGAAACTTGGCCTACAGCCACGAGGAACTCCATGCCAGCGGACTTCGAAATCAAGGCAAAGAGACGATCAAACCAGAGTAACCTTTTGAATTCGGGAGTATGGGAGCAGGGAGATGCTAATTGTAGAGCACGTGTTGAGTGAGCGCATTCTTGCCCGAACGGGCGCTGGAAAACCGACACTGCACCTTTGGGCGAGTCTCCCAGCTGGGCAGCACCACACTGCATTGTGACGAGACTTGGCCCAAGAGCTCAGCGGAGAGCTTCCATGCCGATCGGTCATCGTAGAGGCTTTTCGCTAGTAACTTCGATGCTTGGACTCTTTGGGAGCTGCCTGGTTTCAAAGGCACGGCTCACAGCCTTCTAGTGTTGTTTTCTAGCGCGAAGCACCGATGCTGGCACCATTTTGGAAAATCGAGGTCCAAAGAGTCTTTGACGACTTCAGGTTCCACCATATGTTAACTGCCTCGGTACACACGACTTGCACAAGGAATCCAAGTGAGAAGCCTAAGTGAATTGCTGAAGACAATTCAAACGATCAAGGCAAGTCACTGAAAAACGAGCTGGTCCACGTCGAAGCAGTAGTCCCTGGCTGCAGCTCGGCGGCTCGGCTCGGGAGGCAGAGTGAAAGGAAGTTCTGGAGCTCCCGGCTTGTAGACCTGTCGACCGACCAGTGCTTCGAGGTCCCGCTTCACGCTGCCTCAGCTGTCACTACACCTTCCAGAGCTTTTTTCAGTAGCAACTCAGAATGCAGACACAACTTCGCGGTCGAACTCGTAACTCATGGTTGCCCACGGTCATCTAGCCAAGATGCGCTGATCAGCGTTCTTCATGCGGGCATTGTATAGAAAGTTGAAGGCCTGCACGGCGGGAGTGTGCTGAGCTAATCCAGCTTATGAACGAGACTTGCGGGTGCTGCCGTGCCTTCTCGAAAGTCTCCTGACCCATCTTGCAGATCAGCCTTGAACTGTCAGGGAGATGCAGAGTGGGAGGAGGCCTACCGAGGCTGTGCACTACTGACGTTTTTGTTGCCTGGTTTTGGTCACAGCGATGGTTGCCACCGGTCAGTGAGCGTGTCCGACAAAAGCTGGGCGCAAGCAAAAGAGAAGCGTGAATCTGACAAAGCGACCTGGATGGATTCGGACTGTCACCGGTAGATTGGCGTCGCTCGGAATACGTGAGCGAGGCATTCAACATGATCCAAGGGTTTCGGTCAGGTGGTGTATGGTGGTATGGCTAAGGAATTTGTGGCCTCACTCTCTCCATTGCGTCTGTGACATCGGCTGATGAGGAGGGATAGCTGTGGGCAAAAACTGTTTGCGGAACGCGAGCGAGTTTCCACACAGGGGGCACGTGTTGATGCTAGACTTCCCTCGACAAGGGAGTCGTTTTCGCAGTTGCACGGCATCATCTTCATGCGACAACACGCAGGAGACAATCACAGACTGACTTCTCCTCGTATCGCATTGGCCTATCACCCTTTTCCCGGCTTAAGCTCCACTGCTGACATGATTCGTACACCGCATGTGGGTCGAGGCAGGCGTTTAAGCGGTCTACTCTTGTATGTGTCAAAATGGCTATACAACCGAACAACCAAGCAGGCGGCCAAGCGCTCCTACAGCCAGTCAAGAAAACCCACAGGACAAGCCTCTTCCACAGAAACTCTACACTCATGCCGGCAACGCCCGTATGTCGCAAAATCCTGGAAAGATCAGATGCTTGCAGTCCTGACTTGTTTGATCCATCGTTCCATGACGTCGAACATGGCGCTGTTGAAAGCATACAGGCGACCGACGAGGCACAGTGCACAGTGTGCCAAGACACAATCATGTGCGGCGGTCTGCCATCAGACCATGTGTGCCCACAGCCCAAACTAGCTGGGCAGGAATGCTGCGAGTTCCAACCTAGCAGCTTGCCCGCACTCTTTCATCAACGTTGGAGTACTGTTTTCTTCTTGTGTTTGGGTCTTTGAGTATATTTGGCGAAACCCGCACAGCAATCTATTGGGTGTATGCATCAAGTCGGCCAGCGAGCTGCTGGCTCACTACTACTAGTATTGTTTCTTTCTGGGCAGCCGGCTCTTCCTTCAAGCGTGAGGCACGAGAGCCTCGAGGCAACAGAGAGGTGGCGGTCAAGTCACCAGCAAGGATCTACGAAGATCTCTTCCGCGCAATGTTGAGGTTCAATCGCATATCCATGATCGCGGAGCCAGGAACCGGCGGAGGAGGTACCTGAACTCCAGGCTGTCCAACCGCTGAAGCTCCTTCAACCTCCTGTCTTGGCGCACCGGGCTCCGATCGAGGCTTCCCGTCCTCCGCCTCTGCATGTTCAGCAGCCAGATCAGCCAGAAGCTGCACGCCATCAAAGCACTTCAATGCCGAGCTGCGGCTGAAGAGTCGGTGAAGGAGCAGGGGAGGCCGAGCCAGAGTTTCTGGCCAGGTCCTAACACAGAAGCAGCGCTATCTTTCGGCGGCATCAAGAACGGTTTGCCAGGCAGTCGCCTGCTCGTAGTTGTTCATCACTCTTGAGAGATCCTCCTCTTCACGGACGATGGACAGAGCACCTGACAGCATGAGTCGGCATTGCGGCTGCTGTACTTGGCTAGACAGGAGTCCGACCTGCGCCGGGGCCCATGTAGACCTTCAAGTGCGGGAGGCTGTGACGTTACGAAGAAAGCGCCGCTCTGCTTATCCTGCCTCCTCGATATCAGACATAACAGGTTCATCCTCGTCCTCAGAATACGGTGCATCCTCAAAGTCATCCTGCGCGGGATCACCAGGACTGCAACATCGACAGCACCCAAGAGCCGTGAGCGCCATTCAGCACCTCGTACTCTTCGGAGTAATCACTTTCGTCGATTTCTTCGAGAGGCTCATCCTGGAGTGCCAAGCAAAGCTGCAAATCGAATATTTCCTGATTGAGGATGCCGCCTACCCCACTTTGCGTCCAACAGCGCTAAGGCGACGTACAGTCTGGGTATTGCCAGAGCACGGATAAGGGCTCCTCATCGATTTCATCGTCGAAGTGCATCTTAGCAGCAGGAGTCCAGGAGGGCACAGTCTCAACCCTCAACCCACATCCAAAGCACTTACTCCTCGGCTGAGGGCCACGAATTGGCCGCTGTCCCAAGACCCGCACCGGGCTAGCTGTCGGGCTGGGACTGGCACTCACCCCACCTTAGGGGGGCGTGGCACTGCACCTCCAGTCTCATATCCCTGCACTCTTCGATCTCTGCTCCAAGGCACTGGTCGCCGCATGTCCTCCGGCTCCAAAGCCCCCGGGTGGAGGGGATGGCGGGCTCGGGCTGGTCGCAGCCTTGGAAAGACCGAAGGAATTTCCGAGAGCCGGCTGAGAGCCAGGAAGCCGAAGCACAGCACCGAGACCACTGGCCAGGGTAGTCCTTGGAGAAGTAGCGCGCCGACAGGCATGATTGCGTTCGCAGTGGAGGAAGGGCTCCGGTGCGGCTGATAAGGCCCGAACTGAAACTCTGCTTCCCTCATCTGCCTCGCAACCTTCGATTGCTCTGACATGCTGAGGGCTGAGGGTCACGGCATCAGAGCTAAGGGCGAAACAGTCTTGTTGTGCATCGACTGCTTCGCAGCCATTTTCATCTGCTCTGCCTTGTCTGGCTCACCGGCTCACCATTGCGGAGACTGGCGAAGATTCTGATTCCGATCCAGGCCTTGCGGTCTGCCGCCTCGCGTTTGCGTCGGGCAGCCGCCTCTTTGGGCGTCTCTGAAGCCCGCGCAGCCGCGCCTGGTGCACATGCGTGCTCCTACTAGGGCATACCTCGGATCACTCAACCCTGCCAACACAAGACTGAGGGTGCTAACAAGTTAGTCAATCGGAGTCTACAGCACAGCCCGAATGCACTGACTTCTCCAGATAAAGACATTTCAAGACGCCGTGCTCAGGAAGGCACGTGATGCAGCAGTTCTACCTCAGCTGTGAGGTGCTGCCTGTAAGACTTGAGGAAGCAGTTGGAGGACAACCAAAGGTTGCCCTCCTCTAGCTGTTTCTGAGGCTGTGTCCAGTCTGTCGCACTGGCTTTTGTCCTCAGCGAGCCAGCAGCACCGCAAAAGACGAAACAAGGACGAGAACTTAAATCTTCCGCGACTCTGAGTCTGAGCCCAAGGCCAGGCCGAATCCCACGTTGCACCTCCGCCGGTGCAAAGCTTGGCGGTCGAGGCGGCGCGCCTCCTGAGCTCAGGCGTCAACAAGCTGGATTCGTGGTTTGCACTCGAGCTGTGGCCACGGGCACCGTGAACCAGGATCGAAACAGAATCCCTGCTATCGCGAAGCTAGCCGACGAGCTGAACCCGTGTGCCAACCCTGGTAGGTGCTGAAGACACACTGGCATGCAAAACTGTAAACGCCATGACCTCGGATTCGAACTGAGTCTGTCACCTGACCGTACGCTGCCGGAGCTCCGCGGCAATGTGACACCCCCTGCCATATCTGCCATTCTGCCATTGAGCCATTCTCCAAGAGCCGCGACGTTTCAAAGTGGGCGCCCGCCGCCCGCCGCCTGGAGGAGCAGGCCCAGGCCCGCCGCCGGGCCCGCCGCCGGGCCCGCCGCCGGGCCCCGCCGGCCCTTCGGCTGTGCTTTGACCTCGAAGCGACCACAGAGCGAGACTCGAAGCTTGAGAACATCCGCGCAGAATGAAGAAAGATACGGTACTTGGCTCTTCTCGGGGCGGGAGTCGCACACAAGCACTGATGCGCCAAACGGCTTTCGATCGCTTCACACTGTTCCCATGCTTGACAAACAGAAGAGTTTGCCGCCTGGCCTGTCTTTGACGCAAAGACACGGTCGTGGGCTCACAAGTCCATGCTCCCGCTCTGGGCTGGCCACTGGTATGGCGATTCTGCACGGCCGCGTTCATGAAAGACTGTGCAGGGAGGCAGCACTACTCCGATATACAGATAATTTTTTGAACAAAACAGCATGTTGCCAGATCGAAGACGTGCCTGCACATAAGGGTCGGCAAGAAGGTCCCGTACACTCGGTCGCTGCTCTGCAGTCTTCTCCAGCATTCGCCTTGGCAGGTGCAAGGCTCTCTTAGCGATCTGCCCGAAATTTCTCGCAGTTAAGACGGCAGCTGAATAAGCGTGTTCAGCTGCGGTGTGTAGCGTTCTGGGATGGGCCTCGCGAACACTCGCACAGCAAATCTTACAGTGGCAGCAACAAAAAACGAAGGCGCAGGCTCGTACTTGTCGCTGACGATCTTGTACACAAGCCTCAGAGTCCACTGCAATCTTTTGCACAGCTTAACCCTCGTCTCTTTGAGGCTTCAGCCCTAGCAGGTTGTCGGCAGAAAAAGCGTGCTTCAGCATGCAAAGTTCGTACAGGCAGCATCCCAGAGACCAGACCTGGACATGCGTCCAAAGAGGTTCCAGGCACAAGCCCGCTGCGGTTCGGCACGCGCGTGTGATCAGAGTCTGTGCGCCAGGCATCACTCTTGAATGTGTATGGTTTGTTTTCGCACACCTCCGGAGACATGTAGTACCTCCACAAAACAGGACTGGCGCATGTCAGAGAATTATTCTACACCTACTCGTTACAAACGTAATGCAGCAGCTGGTCACGGAGTTCCAACCACAGTGATTGCAGCCTCTGCAAGGCACTAACCCGTAGCTCAGGTGCCAAGAAGACAAACAAAAATGCTTCAACCGGCACGCTGGAGGCACGTGCCTCGATCGAGCCTTCCAGGACCCTTGAAATGCCAAAGTCTCCCAGCTTCACGACCTTCGCTCACACTGATTGACCAGCTTGGCAGCACGAACTAAGTGGAGCGATGCACAGTGGCGTAGACAAGCGCACAACCGAACATTGGCATGGGGCTGATCCAGAAACGACACACATTCTAGATGATAAGCCTGAATGTCCTTGGAACCCAACAGACTTGCTCTTCATGAGGAAGAGGTTTGACGTTTTCAGGTCTCTGTGTAGGATCCGCTCGCCGTGAATGTACTGCAAGGCCTGCGCATGACAAAAGAGACTCCAACAGTTCCGCCGAGTTCCAGGGAGGCTTCCGGCCTGCAGGATCTGCACGAAGTAATGCATGATCTGATACTCATCGATTCGGGTCTTCTTTTTCAGCATGTCCTGGGGACGGGGACGTCTACAGTCTACAGTACATGCAGGAGCAGCATGCTCGAACCTTCTCTAGAAGACTCTCTGCAGCGAGTGAGAGCATTCTCGACATGACGTGCCTTGTTATCTGGCCGGGCCCGCTCTGTTACTTAAGCCCAGAAGGCGCAACAGGGGATAAGTTGCCTCGCACACGAGAGACGAGGGGTCCGTGACAGCATTCCTTCGTTCCAACGTTGCTTCCCTCGCCTGTTCCTCTCAATACATCTCCAAGAGAAAACAGAGTGCCTTCAGACGAGTCCAGCTTGGTTCCGAAATCCCGTGATGCTGAATCTAGTTTCTAGCCTCCTCTCGGCACATGTAAGCTTGTGCAATTAGTAGGAATACGGACAACGACTTGGACCAAGTGACCTTCAACAAACTGGAATCTTGAACGCTGCCTCGTCTTAAGCACATTAATTACGTGCTTTCTGCCCGCCAACGATGACCAAAGACAACACTAAGACAACGCAAGCACGATTCTGACAAATCACCTCTTTAAACTGTAATTTAGACTGTAAACACGGCTGTCTGGGGGTCCTTGATATAAGTAGCCAGATCGCCTCCTTCGCAGTACTGCATGATGATGACAAGAGTATCCTGTCGAGCCGCGCTGCTTTACAATGAGGGATACAGTGCTTTGGCGCGACGTGAAACGCCTGGTTGGCACCCATGAAGAAGTTGTCTTTGTAGGAGACAATGTTCGGGTGATTCAGACCTCGGCACACGGCCGGCACGATTATAGCACGCCCAACCTGGCGAGTCTTAGCCCTCAGCGGCTCAGAAGAGCCACCTCTTGCTTTGCGGTCTCCCGCTCCTGTCTTGAAGCCAATAGAGCCCGAGCCCAGCGTCACCTCTGACTTCCCCCGCCTTGCTCGAAAGACACGTGAGATCAATTGTCTTGGCCTCGGCTGGCCAGGTCTACCGACTACACTTCACTGACCCTCGAAAAAATCCAAGGGCAGCGCGATGTAATACTGCTCATCACCCTCGCTGCGAACCAAATGCGCCTTCAGCATCTTCACAAGAGCCGCTGGATCAGAAGGCTCTTAATGCAGAATTGCATTGCATGCCGCAGCAAACTGCTTGTCCTAGGCCCCGATGCCACCAGGCCACAGGCCCAGTGGATATTTCGCGTAATCAAGTCTCTGGCATACTGTAGTACTGGCTCTGTCACAAGCTCATAAGCTAATACATCCAGCCTTTCCATACTGGCCTCGACCAATGACCTGAACAGGCCACATGAAAGAGTCATTCGCGGAGCCACCAGACTGCTCTCAACGACAAGAAACACCATCGCAAAAGCGGAGAGGTGCACTGAAGAATCCATGCTTGCAAACACTGCAACATGTCTCAGGCCTTGAGATCTTCGTAGCCGTAATCCTTCAGCGCTGGCTGCGTGGTGGCCTCAGCTCCCACTGCGCAAGCCGATTCCACCTCGAAAAGTACTGTTGCCTAAGGTTTGACCTGGGCATACGGCCATGCAACAGTCCGGAGGCTCACCGCCTGAATATCTCGCAAACAGTCCCTGCAAACAGATCTAGTTCATCTCGTGTCCACTCAACTCATCCGCTCCACAACGCCGCCTCAAAGGCAGCCACGAGAAAGGAGCCTTCGGAAGTCCGGACCAAAGCAGGGAAATCCTTCTAAGCCCAACAACCCCCATGTAAGCATCAGGCATCGCCATCCTCCTTGATCATGGCAAGACGCAAAACACGCATGTCACGTGTTGCGAGACACTCAGCACCAAACGTGGGCACACACCGCCATCCGAAGCACATCTCGCATCAGAACACAGAAGTGGAGGATTCCGGAAAGGGGTTGCTGTACTGCTGATGCAAGTCATATGACCAAAGGTTGAGCTATGACAGCACAGTGCAGCTTGGCTGGAAGCTTGCCAAACGACCGCAGCTCGATTGCGGCTTGATATCTCTAGCACTGCGAAGGGTGTCTGCAGGCTCGACCTGATCTCCGTACTCTGTGCACGCCCTGGGGTGCTGGATGGTGCTGGGTCTAGGTCTCACTGGGCACTTTGGCGCCTGGAGCCAGCGGAGTCGCAACTGAACAGCTGAAGGATCCGCGAGCACAAGCCTGAAGTCCTGAGAGCACCACCTTGCAACGCACCTTCATTTCTACGGCCATGCCGCTTTGCTCGCGCAAGCACATCGGAATGACACCCGAAATAGCTTTGTGCTCAGGCTCTCCGGGCCGACGCATGCAGAAGCGGACATGCCCAGCGCGCCGCATAGGGCAAACAAGGCAAACACGAAGTCCAAGGCCCTGATTTGCCGGCGCATACTCAGCGGGATTCCACCCTTGCCGGCTTGACACCGGCCACGGAATTAACAAACAGACGCCCTGCGCTCATGGTTCCTTAGCGCCAGCAAGAGTTCACAACCGCACCGCAACACAACCTGACCGATGTACGGCACACCTGATATTGGAGTCAATCGGAATGGTGTGTACCTCGCGTGACTGCCAAGATTCAAGAGTCTGCGGAGTACAGCTCACCAGCGCGCTCGCCATCCTGCTGAATAGCTCTCGGCTGTTCGTATCACGAGCAGCCAGGAGATGGGCAACACATGTGCGATTGCAAGTGGCATGCTGATCTGTAGAAAACTGGATCAGCTAAGTCCCAGTGCCATGTTGCCAAAGTCTCTCTCTCAACAAGCGCGAAACAAGTCGCAAGCCTCCCAGACTCCCATGAGATCCGGGTTCTCGTCAACATAGCCAGCCCAGCAGGCCTGCGGGCAAACCGCATAACTTTGTTAGCCTCTATGAGATGCTACGTGCCTCGCAGTAGACATCCCCGGGGTCGTCCTCCTGCAGAAGATGCCTGACCTAAGGGAGCTTCGGGCTTCGAGTGGGCTTCGAGTCGCTGGCTTTTGCCCTGGATTTTGGGCTTTCCGTGCTTTCCTTGCGAGGGCCCGGCCAACTGAAGGGTGCGATTGCCGGTGCACTCTTCGGCAGAAGTGCACTCCTTAGCACTCAGGCCGTCAAACTAGATAGCAAGGCTACAAACACTGGGATCGGAACAGGGTGACCCATCTCTGCATCGTCTGCAGGCTCGCGCAATGGAACAGTGACAAAATCTCTCCCCTTCTCGAACTATTTGAAGGCATTCGCCACTCTGCGACTAATGTCGGTAATGAGTTTGGAGCACTTGGGACCACTGGCATTGGTCCCACACATTTCCGTCGCCCCAGCTCCACACAATATTGCCCAATCTCACACATGCTCATCAACGGCAAATTCTGCAGATAGACCCCTTGACCCTGGACCATAGCACGGCGAGAGGACAGGCGTTGTTTTAAGGAAGCGAGGGTCACAGATTTCGAAGAGGAGCACAAGGGGTTCCTCAAATGTGCCCACTGTCGCTTTCTTGCCGAGCCTTCGTGTACTCATTCGGATCGACACGTACAGTCAGAATCAGAAGTATCAACAGCCAGACTAGACTAAAAGGCTATCACGGAGAACCTGTCCGATGAATACTTCTTGCTAACGGATGCATTTGCCGAAACATTCAAAAACATACGGAAACGGAAACAACAGGCTTTAATTCCGGAGCAAAGCGTGCGAACAGAACAATCAGAGTTTGAACATGAATCCTCGATCGGCGGCAGTCTCCCTTCAACAAGAATCTACAACTACTATGTATTGCTACCCCTCAGGGGTCGGAAGAACACGAAACGTAGAGAAGAATGAGGGTCCCAAGCCGGAAGCGCGGATGAAACAAACGAAACGCCGGCGCCTGCATCTTCTTCAGCCTTCGGCTCCATCTCCTGCCCGGTTTAGAATCAATCTGAATCGGAGTTCGTCGGTCTGCGTCCTTGGGCTCTGAAAGCTGATCCTCCATCTCTTCCTGAACGCCGGACACATCTCGGCTCCATCGGGACCTCTTTCGCTTTCGCTGCCTCGTGTCTCGCCGAACCATTCCTCCCGTTCAGGATCGGGACCTGGCGGCTTGGCAGCTAGAAAAAAACACATGAAGGGCTTTGGAACACTCGGGCACAGAAAGTCACAGAACGGGGCTCTGGGGCTATTTGTCAGTTCGATGCGAGTTGCATCGAAGCGCCGCATATAGAAACATGAGGCCTGAATTTGTAGGACCCCTGCCGAGAACCCTGCGAAAGCCCATTCAACTCCCAAAGCAAACCCTGCCTAAAAAAGTCAATCAAGCCAGGCCGCAAGCGTGGAGGATCTGCTCTCTGACCGACCGTTTGTTTCAAGATCTTCTTTGCAGGTTTGCGCTGATCCTAGTAACTCTTCCGACAATGATTCAGTCTTTTCGTGTCGCCTCAGTCAGCTATCCAAAGCACAACGCCAAGAACCCTCTCAAAAACACGCTGCATTGTGCCTCCTGCTCAGCTTCTATCCTTTCTCCATCCTTGCAAAAAAAATCGGCATCAATGACTCTGCTTGCTGGGCACTCGTCGAGTCCTCCTAAAGTTTCTCCGGAGGCCCCAACAAGGGTCGTGGCACAGCACAGTGGGCACAGTGTGCTCGAATGTGATAAACTGCAAATCCACGACACGCCGGCTGGGCAGCTTGAGGGCCCTAACACATAATGTCGGTTGTCTAGTCTAGATTTTAGATTCAGGCATTGCTGTTGAACACCGGCGCAAAGCTGCATCACTTCATAGTACTTCGTCTCGAACACGAGTACTGCAGAAGCAGGCCACTGATGACTTCTTGAGCATCCGGCTATTGGTTTGATGTCGTTCAGAACATGTAGCTGCTGCGTTGGCTTCATGCTTACAGGAAGATGTATTGCGGTGGTGTGACAAATCTTCACAGTAACCAGATTGAGCAAGCAGTTTCTGCGGGATACACTGCCATCACAAAAACCCCCGCCTCCTCCTCCACAGGCAGCGCGTCCGCTATTGGAGCCGCTGCTTTTCTTCTTCGTTTCGCCGGCTGAGTGGCTGAGGCACCCTGCAAAAACAGTTCGGAGATGAAGCCAAGCTCTTCGCGGCCCACGTCCGAACCTCTCTCCACTCCCGGAACATGTCCTGGACCGCCCTGAGCAAACGAACATTCATTATGCACGGCAGAGATCGTGGCTGAGGCATTTCAGGGCAGGGCATCTTCAAGAATTTCCAGTTGCGTGGTGGTCTGCCGATCTGCTCGATGAGGCCGACGGGAATGCATGTGTACTCGTGCCCCTCTCCAAAAGGCGCCATCAAATTCTGGAAAAGCCGTGTGACCTGCCTCAGTGTGCAAGCCATGTTGATACTTGAGGGTCGAGGAGTCAAAGCTTTCACTTTGGATCTACTTTGGATTTAGATGTAGACACCGGCTTTCTGGGAAGGGCCACGTGATTGCATGGACGGCTTGAGTTTGGAGGTAGGATGAAGGACCTAGTATTCGTTTGAGGCTCGGGCTTGGGAGGGTAGCGTTTAGGCTTTATACTCTGAATGAGCGTTCATCGCTGAGGCCCAGTCCCTGGCGTGAGGACGGACTCCACGTCCTCGATGGCACTCCAGGCTCGCTGCATGGAAGCCTCCAGCCACTTCTTCGTGAACTTCTCCACCTTCCGAGCCTGGTCCGTGAGATCTTGAATGAACTCGAGAATTGCCGCAAGTGCACCAACTATGCAGCAGCAAGCCCGGCACATCGTCCATCGGTCTGGAATCGTCCATGAGCCTTTGCCGAAGGGACATCACGGCAATGAGAGGCCGAGGCCGAAAACACCCGTCTCAGGGGCAGGCTCCTCTAGCGCTGTCGCGTGTGTGTTGTAAACTGCTTTGTAAACCTGCATAAGCTGAATCCACACACATTGAACTTTGCGAGCGTTATGCTTCCCGTCCCTCCCATGTCGCTCCGTGGCTTCACATTCTCAAGCGTGAGCGCTACCAGTGAGGGGGGGGTTCTGGGGCAAAACCCTGAGTAGCATCTCTGCTCGACCAGCGCTGTCCCCTTTCCCTGCCCGGCACTCGATGGCTACCCCTCCCAACGATGGGGAGATCAGGGCTTCTGTAGAGGATGGGCAGAGGGGCTGGCTGTCGCTAACAGAAATGGCGATTTGTTCTGAGGCTCCACTGAAACCTCATGTGCGAACGCGTGTGATCCTTCTGCTCTGGTCGTAACTGTGCCTCCCCGAGAGCCCCCCGTCAGTCTCGCTCTCGTAGCTTCCTTGATCCGTAAGGCTCTGCAGCAGCGGCACATGCACCGCCGCCACCCCCACCACCACCACCACCACCGATTTCATACCATCTGCCCCTCCGTGGAGATGTGGCAGCGGCCGCCCGCCACGGCGCCCCCCTCTTTCTACCTCTCTCTCGCGGTGTCGGGGCCTTGGCTCGGATCGCTTCGTCGTGAAAGGTCAACGCAATGGCGTCCCACACTCCCTCCGAAGACAGGAGATGTCGATCCATGTCTCGCCATGCTGTGATGTCTATCTCTGCCTTGGTTAGCAGCGTCTTGTCCAAGTGGTTCTCGAACTCACGCACTACATAGTCCTCGAAGTGAGCCAATCGCCAGACATGTTCCGAAGCTTAAGAGCGCAAGCTTGGCCTGGACATCTTGGTAGTGGGCTGCAGGTCTGTTTCTCCTGTGCCATCCAGATCTTATGACCAGGAAGACATTGAGCCTCCCAGTCCCAGACCGAGTGCTGGGCATTTGCAAGAGCTCCCAGACCGCGGAGGTGAAGGCGTTGCCCAAGCCAAGCTGGGCAAAGCGTTTGAGACTCGTATTGGGCATTGTCCAGTATTCCTTTGTCCTAGTTTTAGCCCTTGGTCCGCGCTTGCATGGACCTTGCACGCCCTTGCGCGCGCGCATAAATATGCAAACATGCATTCTTGTGACACGAAACTACAGAACAACTGCTTACAATGGATGGTTATGTTTGAGCATGCTGTGACTCAACCTTGCATGGTGGCAGTAGCAGTAGTCGTAGTCGTAGTAGTAATAGTAGTAGTAGTAGTAGCAGCAGCAGCAACAGCAGAAGAAGAAGCCGCAGCAGTAGTGGCTGTGACAGCCACAGTAGCAGTGGCAGGAGCAGAAGCAGGAGATGGTTGTAAGGCTGACCGTCATCCAGCCACTTCTGGAAGAGTCGTGTCAAAGACATCCCCGAGAGCAGAGTGGGTCAGACCTTTAAATCGCTTTGACGCCTTGCGCCAAGTTCGGCCGGTGTATTGAAAATTTTGGAGTGGTACTACGTACTTACCATGCAGCTGTTGCGTGACAGTCTTTCCGAAATGTCCGCATGACAACCGCTTGACACCTCGAGCTTACACATCACACTAACATTTACTTACTATTTACTTGGATGAGCTCATACAATACCGCGATGAAGGATCTGCGCTGGATAATGCATCAACAGCTGGCCTGGTCTGTCTCACAAGAGTGTGCTTTCGGATCTTGGGCGCCTTTTTGGGGATTACAACTAGAACGACATGCTCCTGACAAGGGATGATAAGGGCTTTGGCTTGTTGCAGGAATCTGGAACACTACTTCTACTATACCTTCTGCATCTTCGGCGATTGTGAGCGAGCGCATGCAGAATGCATAAGCCAACGCGCTCTGAGCAGCTCCCCCCACCAAGCACAGCAGAAAGCCAGTGAGCACACTCCCCCAATGAGCAAAGCATAAAGCCAGCGAGACTCGACAAGGAATCCTCGATGATGTACTGCTTGGTCACAGCGCAAACTTACCCCCACGAGCGAAACATCGCCGAAGCAGTTATGCAGCCCGCATGCGGTCGGAATGGCAGGAATCATGGCGATTGGAATCCTGGAAGGGCTTACGATCTAAGCAAACTACACGACGACGTGTGCGAGACACAGACGAACACACTGACAAAACACTTGCGGTGGGATCATCTCAAAGCGCACTGCCAAATTAAATCACAACAAGTTTGCAACGAGTGGATGGAATGCGCAAGAATTCACCCACCCATGCCATCCATGCTATGAAAACCTCTCTCGCTTTCGGCCTAAAGTGCCGAGATCTCATCAACTACAATTACATACATACATATACATATAATTTCATATACATACATATAACTAACATATTGCATATACACACATACATATGATGCACACAACCAGACATCCTTAGCTTTAGACCTTGCGCGTCCCTTGGTCCGCGCTTGCGCACACCTTGCGCGCGCGGCCTGTTGCCTCTTTCTGATGTTAAGTAAGACTCAGCGCTTCATAAAGACAAGTCAAGGGATTTCGGACGCAGCTGAGCCTGCCAAAACCAGGTTCGCTCGCCGCAGGCTGCATGGTAACTGGACATCCCATGGCTGACCACTGTCCTGGCCACCTGTTCAGCCACACGAGAATCGGGAATAAGGGCGGGAAAAACTAAAGTCGTAGGGCACCTCCTGCCAAGGCTGGCTCAAGAGCTCGGGAGCCTGACAGAAAGAGCCATCGATCCCCTGGTGCAGATTTAGAGGAGCCTGCCTTTGCTGCTTTGAAGATATAGCCAACTATTCTTTTGACCATTTCCTGTGCAACGCAGGGGGTGAAGGGGGGGGTCTTTGGACTTCGTCGACTCGCCTGTCGGCTCCACTTCTCTTCCTCATTCTTGATCTCGTCGACGGCCTAGTGCCGAGATGCGCCACATCATTCCCTGACCCAAGATGGCCCAAGCCTCGCCAACAATCGCGTAGAGGTTGCCATGGATCTCAGTTGCAGGTCAAAGCCCAAGCCCAGTTCAGCCCCCCAGTTGGTTTCATACTTATACTGTGCTCGCAGTCTTTGAGCACCCGGCTTTCTCCAGCACCTTCTCATGGCTTACTTGGCTTACCTGCACTGCAAAAAAACTCAAGCAGTGAAGCACGACACGACGGGAAAGAGACCCACCTGTCGACGGTCGGATGCAGGCGCATGGTGCGTATGCTGCGCCTGAGATTGAGGCACCTGGCGTCGGCAGTACTCCGTGCAGCGAACATGCAAACATGGCATGGCAAGTCTCGGACCCTTCCCCGATAGTTTCGCCCAATCATGGCGATTTGTGCTCACACGCTGGTCATTGAGCCAGAACGTGATGGAAGGGGAGTGGAATCGTTGTCTTCATCCCGAGGGCCAAGAGACAATTTATCCATCTCTCTGTATGTCTCTCTCTGTTTGCTTGCTCTCTCTCTCTCTCTCTCTACCGGGCTTGGGGGTCGGGACAGTGTTCAGGTCCCTTCCAACGTGCGCACACGCACACCCGCTATTCGCGGGCTGTCCTTGGTTTTCCCCCCAGGTGTTCTGCCTGTGAGGCTCAGCTATACAGTACAAAGAGGGACATCCCCCCGGTCAACTCCCCGGGGCATGAGGGGAGTGCGAGACTCGGCCCTGTAGGCCCCCCCGATGTTCGTGGGGCTTTTTGGAGGAGTGTGAAAAAGTCAATGTGTTCCCCCTGGTTTGCTAGGTTTTCGCGTTTTAGTATGGTTAGTGGGTACGAATGCCAGGGTTCCACAATCCACGATATGACATCATCATCGCCCGGGGTAGTTTCTTGTGTGCCGATTTGTTGTGTTCCCTCAGTATGCTAGCAAAACATGGACAACTGGCATGATAACGACGGCACACTTCCCCTAGTATCACTGCACCCATGCATACAGAGGTCCTGGCTCGATTGGCAATGAAATCAAATACAATGCAACAGGATTCAAACTTTATATGACCCAAAAACACCACATGTTTCCGATCGCTATGGCCTGTCTAGTGTACAGTCTTTCAGGAGGTGTCGACCGGAGGATGGTGTCAGTATTTGCATTATACGAAGGGCGATACGGAGTTAAGGTACGATTAGGGTGGTTTGAGTATCCCCCGGTCCGGGGTTGTGTTGCCTCTTCCCTGGCCCCCTTAAAAGCACAGCGACTTGAAGGAATTAGACAACATCACGACACAAGGTAGGACCAGTTTGGTGGTCAATATCCCCCTTGCACAGTGGCCTTCTCTTTTGTGCTTCAAGGTTATGAGCATCCCTCGTTTAAAGCATCGCGTATCGCAGACAGTCTGGTCCCACGTGAAAAGCACCGTATCCGCTTCTGAGCAACGTCACAACACGAGGTGCTCTCTCTCTCTCTCTCTCTCTCTCTCTCTCTGTGAAACTCTCTTTCTCTCTGAATGCAGGGCACATGTTTGGCACGGTGAAACTTGGTGGCAAGCTAGTCTTGCATCCTCGCAGCAATGCTCAGAAGCTCCGCCAATGCCCATCATTTGCTTGGCCTTGCCGAAGAGTACTCGGAGGGAGCCGGCAGAGGGCACGGCATGATCACGGTGGCGACGTCCACAGGGCCTCGTAGTCTCATGGCCCTTGTGGATCGGACTGGACCATGAGAGGCTCCGACATGTAAGTCATCTGAACCTCAGCCATCATGCATTCCGGTTTGCAATGCTTTGCAGCTCGGCTCGCACCAGGAAGACTGGGAGCCGGGCCTGTGTCGACTGCGCAGGGACGAAAGGCACCAGATATCCCTGAGACAGCTTGCCATAGAGCTCATAGCCCCACACCGACCCCAGAGCAAAGATCACAAGCGTCGGCAGGAGACAGCAAATGCGGACAACCACCAGGTTGGTGCAAGCGTTGAAGATGTCTGGAGCCTCCCTCCTCGCCACGTCATACAAGGAATTTATCTTAGATGGCGAGCATGTGGAGATTGGGTCATCCGGCATTGGAAGCGACAGAACTTTTGCCAGAGCTTGGCTTTCGCTTGCAAGCCTCTGAAGATTGTTATCATCATAGCCTTCTTCATCTGGTGGCTCAAACTCATCTCCAGTACCTGCTGCTGGCACCTGGTACGCTGCACCGTCTTCACCACTTGTGTCTGCATCATTCTCACCATCTGCAGCTTGGCTTGAATCATCGCCATCCGGAGTGTCTTCCACGGAGCCGTCAGTGTCTTCAGTGTCATCGTCTCCCTGGGCCGTGGCTTCATCGGCTTCACCTGCGTCATCTCGAGGCTCAGTGCGCGTGCCGTCTTCATCCTTGTCATCTCCGTCGTCCTCAGGCTCCGGGTCACCTTGCGGATCCAGACCATCTGCGTCATCTTCTGGTGAAGGTGGCGCGCCAGGCTCCTCCGGCTCCTCCGGCTCCGGGTCTTCGCCGTCTGCGCCTGCGGCTCCCGTTCCCTCAGCTGCTTCCGAGTCTTCGGTGCTGGCAGGATCTTCTGCATCGGGAGGGGAAGTTGCCTCTTCCTCTTCTCCTTCAGCAGGCAAAGAAGCTTCATCACCTGTGCCTGTATCCAATAATACCGGCTCCGCTGTCCCTGTGCTAATGTCCCTCTCCGGGTCCTCTGTGCCCGGATCATCCGAATCTCCAAGAACGTCGCCATCGCTCGGAGCCGACATTCCCTCCTCTTGCTCTGGCTCTGCCTCTGGATCTTCTTCTTCCTCTCGCGGCTCTTCTGCCGGCTCGTCTTCTCCCACTTCTGGCAGTGCCTGTCTTTGAGCAGCTGCCTCTGCCTCTGCTGCTGCCTCCGATTCCTCTTCCATATGATCTGAAACGCCGTCATGAACATCTTCCGCTCCTGTCTGTGCATCTGCAGCAGATACCTCTGCCTCTTCTGTCTCTCCCACGTCTCCTGCGTCTGCTTCCTCCGGTTCCTCTGAAGCTCGGTCCTCCAGATCCTCCCTAAGCTGGCGCCAGCTTTGGACGCCGACAGGAGGCCGCAGTGATCCGAGTTGCTGGTCTTCCTGTACAGGGGTCTCGGGTCTAGGGGGTCAGTTTGACATTCTAGAGACCTGCGTTTGAACCTGCTCTAACTTTGTCCGATGGCCTCCTTGAGGTACCTCTCCTCACTCGCACTCGGCTCATCGAAGTCGCCACCCTTACAGACGAGATACATGGGAGGGCACTCTCTCGGAAGGTGGGGGCCTTCAAGCTGCGGCCCATAGCCATCCCAAACTGCCGGTGCCAGGCAGTCAACGGTCATCTTGGGATCTGTCTCAGGCCCTGCAGGATAGCAAATCGATGGGTCACACTTCGCAAACCAGATCTCGGCCGCATCGCTGCTTGTGTACATGAAGTTCAGGAAGGCTGCGGATCCCAGCAGCGTGCCGACAGTGAGAACACAACAGCACATGTTGCAGCAGCAGTAGCAGCAAGCGCAGCACTGATTGTTTGCCCTTGCACCACAGAGGCCACACAAAACGAAAAAGCCGCCAATTACCAGTGCATTGATGATGGCCGGCACGGCAGACGTCAGAAGCAGCTGAGGTGCCAAGTTCAGAAAAGTGCTCAATTCAGGGATGGCTTCAACTTGCGCCAAGTATTCGAGCTTCTGCTGCATACTTTGCCAACTGAGAAAGCCGAAGAAGAGTTGAACGGCAGCTGAGACCACAAAGCACCCCACAGTCAACACTGACAAGGCGACAACGCGGCTTCGAAGCTTTCCGATGTATGCATTGTAGCTGAGAACTTCTTCGCCTGGCGCAACCACGTACGGAGTTGTTGGCACCTGCTCTTGAGAGCGCGATGGCAGAGAGATCAGCTCTCTAGCCTCGCCACCCTCGCCGCTTTGCATCATGTTCTGCGGCAAGGAAACCGCCCAGCGGCAGCGGCGCCCGCTGGCAGCCGCAAGTCAAAGCTACCTTCTCATTTGAGCCCCGCCTATTTTGTTCATCATCTCTGTTTTGAAATGATAGCTGTCTGACACCTTTCGCAAAAACTTGAAGAGTTCCACAGCCAATATGAGAGGAACCCTCATGGAATATTCAGTTCCAGTGACTGCAGTGAAGGGCCAAGCCTCTTGAGACATTGAATTCATCGTTTAAAGTGCCAGGGACCATGCCATGGAGTTCGCTGGTTTCAAGAGCGAAAGTTGGTAGCAATTCTGTGATGATGCCTTCAACATTCATGGCTCTCGCCGGTACTCTGACTCAAATTCTTGATCCCACAAGGAATTTCTCTTGATGCCGAGCCCTTCCACGTGGATTTACAGCCCTCATTCTGGCTCCGCTAGGTTTCCGACAACGTGCAAAAAGGTTGGGTCCATCATCAGATGCTGAAGGTTCGGTTGGCGGATTCCTGCGCCTGTTTTGGGGGACCGCCATTTGGTGGCCTGAAGCAAGGCCACGAGAATCCAGACGAATGCAGCTTTGCTGCTCTCGTGCCGCGGAGGTCGAAGCAAAAAAGCAGATCCCCGTCAGCCGATCAGTCGACTCAAATAACTTAGGTGCTTGGAACATGTGTTCCTGGTTCTGCTGTGTCATTGCATCACAACACAAACGTGCTTCTTGCAACCACTGCTCGGCCAGCGAGTAAATCCTAAAGATTAACCCGCTGTCCGACACGCTTCTTCGCACGCTTCGCACGCTTCGCACGCTTCGCAGGCTTCGCAGGCTTCGCACGCTCCACAGAGGCTACTTCGGTTTCTTCAGCTCCAGGGCCAAGGTAGCAGTGGAGACCCTGCCCGACTTCAAGTCGCTCACAGGAGGCATTCTTTTCATGCGCATGAGCTCTCCGACCACCACCGCCACAGGGTCTCTGGACATGGTCGCAACCGCCTTTACTTCGTTTTTCAAGCAGTAGTACGCGACAAACTTGAGCTTTTTCAGATCACCGTCAACCACCAGCTCGTCATACTCCGTGCAATGACCAACGTATCTCAGATTCTTACCGAATAGAGATGTCCAGAAGAAGGGGGTCTGATCGAACTTTTCGGCCTTACCGAGCATGTTCTTCGCAGCAATGCGTCCCTGGCTGGTCGCCACATCCCAGTGCTCTACCCGCATGGATCCGCCCGGGGTCTCGTAAGTGCAAACGTCTCCAGCAGCGAAGAGGCCCTCTGCAGTGGTCTTTAGGCAATCGTCCGTCACCAGCGAGCCGTCCCGCGCACGACGCACGCCGTCTACGAAATCTGCATTAGGGACCACCCCTACCCCGACAACAATAGAGTCACAGGTCAACACCTCTCCGGTCTTTAGTGTGACTTGTAGTGAGGAGCCGCTTTGCTTGATCTCTGCTGCCACGTTGCCGCCCATGAACTTGACCCCTTTTGACTCGAAGAAATCCTGGCACATTCCGACTCGACCGTGCATGGGACATCATGGGACAGCATTCGCACTATGGCTCCAGCAGAATGAAAACCTCTGCATCCCTCGAAGTGTCTCCCTCAGCCGCGCCCAAGCGCCTTCAAAACAATGCCCAGGCGGGTCCCCAGCACACGCTCGAAGGGCACCTAGCACAGTGGATCGTGGGCCTTACACCGACGTACATTGACATGAATACAAACGTGATGCCAACGGAGCTCACAGAGGCAAGAAGTGCCTGTTCCATCCCAAGCACGGTGACTTCGCAGCCCCGCCGCCGCAAGGTAGCGGCCAGTTCCATTCCTGTGTACCGACTACTGGCTATTGACGCCCTGGCTCTGATAGAACATACATGACAGGGCCAGTCAAAACCCGTAACACTGCACCAATCTCTATGACCCTTTGTGGCTGGTGCAGCATGAGCTCTCCGAAGGATCAAACGGGTACGAGAAGCCAGGCCGTCACACACTGCTGCAGACAGGGGGGGGTGGGGGCTGGGCTGGCATCCATTTGTCGACAAGACTCCGATGAAGGATGACCCGATGACAACCTGGCAAGAGACTCACTGCTGGCAGTGGACTTTCGGTGGATCAACAGTGAAGCAACAGCCAAGCAACGGTCTTCTTGTCGGAAGAGCAGGCGGCAGCAATGCTTTGCGCATCTTCCGGAGTCCGTAGCCCGAGCACTCCCGGCAGATCGCCACCCTTGATCGGAAGCTCTCGAGGCCTGGCACCCGTCGCCACAACGGCAGCGTCGTAGTGTAGAGTCTGCCCGCTCGAAAGGCGGAGCGTCTTCGTCGCAGCATCGAGTTTCTCCACCTTGGCGGAGCGTCTTATCTCAATCTCGTGCTTGTCGAAATACTCTTGGTCCCTCAAACTCAGAGAGCCGGGGTCCGAGGCTTTGCCCAGGTTTTTGGAGAGCACCGGTCTGTCGTAGGGCAGGTGTCTCTCTTCGGTTATCATCACGATGCGCCCCGTGTATCCTTCTTGTCGTAAGGCATCCGCTGCAGCTACCCCCGCGGCTCCACCACCCACAACCAGGAAAACCCGAGAGTCTTGGCTGTCTCGCTGCGCCATGACGGGCGCAACAAAATCATCCATATTCCGTGGTAGGTCCACAATAACCTCGTCTGACTCTACCGCGACGGTGTAAGTAGGTATAGCCTGCAAGCCAGCACCGCGGACAGGCTGTCCGGTCCGAATATCGAAGGCTGCGTTGTGCCATGGGCATACCACGTGCATCTTGTCTCGCGCTGCAACTCCTTCAGCTAGCGGTGCACTGTAGTGGCTGCAGGATGCACCAGTTGCCTCAGTTGCAACACGAAACTCAGCCCACACCCTGATCTTGCACTTCAAGGGCCAGTCGAGGCTGAACTCTGTTCCTTGGACCACAAGGCCCACTCCTTGAGGAAACACAGAGTGCACCACAACACAGATCCTTATGCTGACAAACCTAGACTGGGCCGAAGCGTTCCCTGAAAGAGCCTGAAAATCTGATTCGCATCCGCCAAAGGACGTAGAACTTGCCGTCCACCTTGGTCAAGAGGATGGCACCTTCACCAGCCCCGTCGCTTGTAGGAGCGATTCGGATCTGCCGAAGCTCTCCCTCTGGAAAATCGGCTGCACGAGCAACTTTGACTCTGCGCACAGTTGGAGGTCTGCTAGCCTCTTCGGAAGAACAACTGACGGAGGATTTCTGCCAATAGCACGCTGCAGCGAGACTTCCTGTAAGAGCACTCAGTGCAGGAAGCACACTGCGTTTCCTCGCTGTGCATACAGGGACGCAAGCCTTGGATAGACCCGACCCTCAGGACAGCAAGGTAGTAGTTTGCCCTGGACCGGCCACCGATGTTGGTTCCTAGTGCATCCACGGAGCAAGTGAGTGAATCTGCCAAGACCGGCTGGTAACATGCAGGCATCGACGGAGGTGCAGCATGGTGATCAGATCAGTCAGTTCCGAGTCAACCGTTTGAATTAAAAGCTCCCGATGTCGTGAAGAGGCAAAGGGATTCCAAAAACAGCATACACTAGAGACGGTTGTGCACAGCGTGCCGTGGATCGGTTTGTGTTCTCAAACACATTGCTTGTGCACATCAAGCCAAAGCTGAGATCCGTTCAGGCCGATTGCTGTGTCGCTGCGCATGCGCATGCCTGGTCCAGAGCTTCTGCAGGTAGGCCCGAATGCCATCTGCGGCTTTACCTAAGGGCCTCTATCTTGGTTCAACCGCTTCCGCAGCAACCTTTGTCGTAGCCGAAGTGAAACCACGCTTCAGGAACTCTGCCTGTAGCGCGTGTCGCGCAGTCGGTGAGTAAGCAGGAAAATAGATCTGGCAGAGCAACCGAATATCGGAAGCCACGGGGCCACAAAAGTCAACAAATCCTAGGGGCCTTGCTTCAAGGGCCATGCCGCGCCTGGATGAAACGGAACTAAGACATTGTGAAACGACACATTCCAAAGCCTCTAACTTGGCGGAGATTAAAGACTTCGAATCCCTAGCTGCCAGGGATTTGCAGGGCCGAGTCATCAGAGCATTCGCACCACTGCGAAGCTCTCAGAGTGCTCAAGCATGCTTCCTCTGATCCTCGGCGGTCCACCAAGATGGCAGCCTCAAGTCATGAGCAGCGCTCTTTGTGAGCTTTTTGGTGGATTCCAGAGTTGATTGCAAGGTATCCCTTGTCAGGCAATGACATCTAACCAGCACTCTCATACGTTGATTGTAGCCGATTGCTGCCGAGAGATGCAAGTGAGAAAAGGCGGAATGAACTATGAACCATGAAAGACAGGACATGCGCGCTTTGTGTGGGGAGTAGAGGAAAGTCTAGGAAAGTATAGAACTCGTTTCAGTTTGTGTTTCTAATTTTTGCGTGCGTAGCTTTACTTCGAGGCTTACGGAACTGTTAGGTCCTCGTTGCTTTCAGAGTTGGAAAAAGCCCAGTTTTTCAAAAACTGCGTGGACTGCCATCCAGGACTGGGCACTGAGTGGAGTGGTCCGATGCCTTGCCCAGATTATCTGCTAGTTCTCTCTCTGCAAACGAGTGCTTTTCTGATCTGGCACCTATTACTAGCACAAATATTCAACGTGCAGTACAGCAAAAACCGCGACATTGTCGGCGGGACGGTCTGCGCATTGACAAGGCGGAGGGTAGTGCAGGGAAGCACTGGTCCAGTCCTAAGGGCAGCGCGTGCCGCCATAGATGCCTCTGCATGAGTGGCGATTTCGTTCGTACATGATCGCTGCACACCACAGAGCGCACAGGTGCAGTCACCGCCTGTCGCCGCCCGCTCCCTCAGCGACGGCTCGCCCAAGATCAGGCTCAGCCTAAGCCAAGGCCACAGGACCCCGCCATGTGCCGCATTGCGGCATCGCTTAACCAAGGCGAGGGCTTCTGGATCAACTCGTTCTGAAACTCCTGTCTGTTCCTCTCAGAGACATCGCGAAGCGGCCCCAAACTTCAAGCAAGTGCAAGTTTACTGCCTGTGGAACGTGGGATCCGCACTAGCCACGAACATTCTGACGCAATTTGCCTGCAAATCCAGTGGCGCTCATGCTCAGAAGAATGGTCCCTTTTCGCAAAATTCCACACCGCGCAGGACCTGCATGAAGTACTTTGGATGTGCCAGGACTCGCGCCTGAAGCAGCCAATATCCAAGATTGGTTGACTTTGCATGAGTCACACCAAGACTTTCAACACTTGCTGCGCAGCCTGCCCAATTTGGGTTGAACTGTTGCTGTCCATCCACTTTGAAATTGGCATTCGCCTGCATGGTCTAGAACATGCAAAGACGGCGCAACACAACACGAGAACACTGAGGCTCCGGACTCGTCGTCCACCGGTCCGTATGGTTTGGCAGCCTGTGTGGTCGGGGATACAGGCAGAGACAGGTTTGGCTCGAAAAATATCAACGTTAAGCTGCGTAGACAAGCTTGTCCACCAGGTGACCTTATACTGCAGTGATATGCTTTCTCCCCACTTCGCGGACGTCCGGTCAAAACTCGAAATTGCTGCCGAAGTGCGCTTGATAAAGAGCTGCATTAGGTGACCAGGCTTTCCGCTGTGACAAGCCTCCGACGGGATGATGGTCAGGACCGTGCACGGCAAGTGAAACCTTGTGGTCGTGGGCTGGCCGCTGGCCTTGCCACCGAACTGCGAAACGTCCAGCCCATGCTTCTCCGACCTGGCCCGTCCCGGAATCGCGGCCCAGTGTCAGAGTCCATACAGGCAGTGTTGCGGCCCCAGTCAACAAGGATGCATGACATGGCAATGATCTCGTCGGCGAGCTTCCGAACCTACCATGTCGTGGCTCCGCTGCCCCGCCGCGTTGCCGGAGCTTGAGCCGACCCGGCCTTCGCTTTGGGCACGTAGCAGCTCTCCAAGAGATTTTCCAGGACCTGGGAATCCGAGCACTTCCACGTATCAAGGTGTTCCACAGAACTCTGACACTGTGCCTTGGTGCTACCAAGACACACCTCTAAACGATAGGTCCTTGCAGCTGTAGCCTGGCAGAGGCATGGGAGGCTGAAGAGGCTGAAAGGACAGCATGTGCAAAGCGGGCCAGGCACCTGCGATAAAAACCATAGCAACCTTTGCTTTCTGGCTGTTTGGCTTATATAAAGACCACTGCTTTCCCACGGCATCTGGGAGCCAGACGCAAGCCTCTGGCCCCGTGGATGCCAACGAGCACATCACGGACCTTGCCAGAAAAGAGCTCAACTGCTTCGAGTGAGTCGCGCAGGCTCCCTGCAACCCAACTCTGCGAAAATCTGGGTGATGATCTCGCCTGCTACAGGTATGCACCACAGACGTGCTCCAGCGCCGAGCAATCAGCAATGCAGTCTCTGTGAACGCTGGGGATAGAGCTTGTTGGTTGCGAACTCCTCGTTGAACCTGCGGAGTTCAACTCAACCTGCGGCCTTGGCTCGGAGCGAATGCCCTGCCTCTTCTTCAGGGTTGCAGCATCCGGCGTTTCCTTGAATTCATGCCTTGCAGATCAGACGCTTTTCTCGGCTATCGTCGCAACACAGCACCACCAGAAGACGAGACCGAGGGTTGCACACTAGTATGCGCGGAAGCGTTGCGTACCTTCACGGTCGCTTCTTGCTGTCGACAAAAATGTGCAGCGCTTCCGGCAAGGAAGTAGGGCCACTGGAGTCACGCAGCACTACCCCGTAAACGTGAGACATCGCTGCTAGATGCTGCTAGAAGAGACTTTGTGCATGTGGGTGTCAGGCAGCACGATCTGCTGAGGCTGCAACTGCGACCGGAAGCGGAAGAGAACGCTCCCAACCGCGGCATGCACTTCGTAGATCAGTGCAGCAAAGGAGTACCTTGCGGACAGCTTCCAAATTTGACCTGACATGCTTGAGCGAAGTAGCAGAGCTGGGCGCACGAATGGTAGAATACTGCCCATTCGCCGCATAACCTCGCCTCGTTGGCTTCGAACTGGGCGAAGCATTTCTGGCGAGAGCCGATGATAATTTTTCGATATGTGCACTACTGACAAGAGGAGCCCCAAACAACTGTCCTTGGCGTGCTCATTCCCCTCCAAGACCCTGTACGGGTGCATGGAGGCGCCGCCACCTTCTTGCTTCGCTCTCAAAGTTTGTTGCGGCCCCATGAACGCAACAGTCCCGTGAGTTCCAGGCGCTTGCTTTGAGGTCCGTACCTGGCCAGATTCGGCGGTGCGCCAGGTGCTGTAAGGTATGGCACATACCGAATCTGAGTTCCAAGCGACCGCTGTAAAGAGACTTCTGGAGATGCTGGTGCCTATACTGGCACTGGTTACTTCATTGAGCAGTCTCACCCACCAGCAAGATCCTGCACTGCAGGACCGCTTCAGATGCAGACGCTCGCTGAAGAAGGATCTGCCGAACCACCGACGTCTTCCTGTAGAACAGTTGGCGTCAGTGACAATCACTTTGCGGATTTGTCCACCAACCGATGCCTCCGCGACTGGTTCGTCTTCTTCCTTGTCCAGTATTCGAAGCTTGCGCCTGAGTTTCACCAGGCTTTCCAGAGAGGCGACACTAAGCCAAGCGCAGATCTACAAAGAGTCTTAGAGATCGATCAAGCGGCTTCTTGCCCGTGCTCACGTTTGCTTGAATGCCACCCTCATCGGGACCTTTCTGTGTCGAGATGAAGCACTGCCCAAGAAGTCATATTGCAAGATGGGCCGCTCTGAGATATCGGCGTGAAAAGTCTATGTAGTAGTTTTGTCCACGGGCGTGAATCCTGACAGCCCCCACTGGGAAGCCCAGGCCAGCCCAGCGCATCGGAACCGCAGCTGAGGGAGAATCTGAAACGCCGTCTCCCCCTTCGCTAAGTGTTGACAGATTGCTCGCGTCCTCGGTGTACAGATTTGCAATGGCCCCTGCTAGGTCGGGAAACATCTCGGGCTGAGGTCAGCTCTCTTCCGTCGAACAATCGCGCCATCCACCTTCCAGCTCTATTTGGACAACGACCTGCAGAGCCAAGCTTCGTGAAGACGTCGAAGTTACAAGAGCTCTTGCTGCTGGCCGCCTTGAGCACTGCTATGGTAACAGGTGAGGCCCCAGCATCGAGAGGTGCGTCTGCCAAGTACCCTGCATTCCTCCATGCCAAGACACTGCTGAAACAAAAAGCACGTGCATGCTTGTATCACGAAGCCGGCTGGCACGTTGCAATTGTGTGGAAGCTGTGCTTCAGAGCGTCTTCCGAAAGTTCCCAAGTGCAACAGAAAGGAAAGGTGAAGCGTGCCTCTCAGAGGTAGCCAATGCTCGGGCAGGTGTCACCTCGACCCGAGCAAAAATGTACCCTCGTCTTTGTCCTACATGATCTGGGGAATGAGCTGGAGATTTGTCACCAGTAATCCAGTCCAAGTCGTCGTCCATGACACCCTCGTGATACTGGTGAACAATGCAAGAAGCTAAGCCGCGGCACAGCTGGCGCGCAGCCTCTGTTGGCTTGGGGACTGCCCTGCCGACATCATGCACCTTGCCGGCAGCCTGTCACATGATTTCCAATTTCCGGAATCCGTTGCCCCGCTTTGCTTCACATCCCTCCTCCGGTGCCGATGTTCTCGATTCGAAGCAGCCCATGACCTGCAGAGTCATCATTAATCCCGCAGTTCCTGGGTGGCTCCGCAACTTCCGCCTCCTGGCACCAAGACTGCTGTAAGTTCCTACATTGGGCCTGACCGTCACTGCATCTACGTAGCAGAAATGAAGCGCTGACCCTTGGGTAGCAGTCTCACGTGGTTGAGTTCTTTTGCATCAGTGGGACATGTTGCACATGGTCCTTGCATATGCATCGCTCACATGCACTGAGCCAGCATTCTGCAAAGGCATCACAAACCACGGCAAGCCATAGACATGACCGGCAAGTGCAGTGGGCGTACCACAATAACCCTGCTCTGCCTGAGCGCTTTTGCACCATGTGCCGAAAATTCGCAGGCGACTCGCTTGCATACGAGATCATATGAGAGAGCCAACACTGCGGAGGGCCGTGGGGGTCGGGGACTTGGGGCAGCTGGGCCTCCAGGACAGGCTCTGATCAGAGCCTCGGAAGGCGAAAAGGAAAGCGAGCAGGATATTTTAAACAGTAATTTTGCCGCATGCGACGGCATAGTTTTGCCCAAGCTCCTCAGAGTAGACCGTTGTGGCCTTAGCCAGGAGATGCGATACGCTGCGAACGGGGTGGTAGAATCAAGACGACATGAAACCCGCTTGCCAGGCAAAACAGCACGTCTGTTTCTCGAAATGAGGAAGCCCGCTCTGAGCAACATTTAGAATCTAGAGCAACACTGGCAACACTTATTGACTTGTTGCATCGCCTGCCGGAAAACTGCCTAGGCAATGGAGCACATTGATGAACGAGTGTGGTACTGATATTGATCTCCTGCTCCCACTTCTGCTATCAGTCAGTATCCGCAGCCTTGCACGCAGGCTCATGTCCTCCGAAAGCACGAAACAGTTCAAAACGCCCTGCATGTCATCAGGTGCCCTGCGCAACAAAGCATCGACGGTCGCATCCTCCCAGGGATGATCGTAAATGTCTCGTTGGTGTGGTGGTCGCATGTCCACTTCACTTTCTGGGGGCCAACTACAGCGTCCTTGCCACGGAAATCACGGTAGACCTGCATTCAAGTTTAAACATCGGTCTCACCGACAGCGAAACACGAAGAGATGATGCAAAATGGGAACAGCATCGCTTTGCCAACTCTTCTCTTTGTGCCAGTCATCCCGGTCTGCAGCTCCGAGCGCCGGAGCAGTGAGAGCGAGACCGTCGCATTCTGTCTGCTTGGTTGTAGTGTACAGACAAAAGTCAAAGCTTCTCACAGCACTTCGATGATGCATTGAATATGAATTGCATAGTATCCCGGCATCTTTGTACCACATCTTCTTCACAAACTACTGACGAGCAGAAGTTGCAAGGCCAGCTAAGTGCCAAGCTTTCAAGCCTCAAGCTGTGCCGCAATGGCTCATTGCTTTCTGGATCATTCCGAAAGCTTCCTGGCAAAACATTCGTCAACCGGAAAGTGCGGAGCATCAGCCAGCCTGTTCAAGTTATAAACACATCGCTGTCATTCATGGTCCACTGTGTCCTTGCGAGTCTTCCTCTCCATCTCCAACTCTTGTCGCAGCTTCGCATGGTCCTCAGAGCATCCGAGTCCCGCACTACTAGCCTTACTAGCGCTTGCTAGCACTAGCTATTCATAATGGCTTCGACGGCTCCTGAAGACGAGACCGCACTTCACGCTGGATGGATTCTCGGCAGTCCTCGCTCAGAGACGGCTGCTGTCAGGTTCCTGTACGTCTTTGCAGCGGACCTCGCGGAGCTGCTGCAGGGCCTCCTCACGGCGCCGAGTCTCCACCGCGACAGCATCGGCCATCCTCCGATGGGCTTAATCACCCCAAGAGGAGCAGGGAAGGCTCTCCCCCTCTCACCCTGCCACACGCATGGGAGGCGTAGCACATGAGAAAACCAGGCAACAGCCTCCCTCTCACGCTCCTACGGGTATGCTTCCTTTGAGAATTGGGACCGACCCAAACAGAGGAACTGGGCCGGCTTTGCAAGCTTCCGCTCACAGACTCCCAAAGAACGCTTTGTAGGCAACAGAGCTCTCTTTGACATAGCCTTGCTTTCACGTGCTTCTTCTGAGCTCTACTTGGTGGATCGGACATCCTGTAATCAGATTTGCTGCTTCTCCAAATTTTCGGCCACTGGTGCTCTTGTTCTGCCACTCTCCTTCGCTTCGTCTGCTGAACTTGAGTGACCCCTGGCGCCTTCTGGACTGATCCTCCAAGAGCTGGTTGAGCTCTTGCTCCTGCACGGAAGCTTCGTGCCAGAATCGGCAATGGCATGTCTACTCAAAGTATCTCAAAGTAAGGTCAACATGCTTGCGTCGCACGCACATACCCCAGGCAGGCAGGCACGCAGGCAGGCGCGCAAGTATGCACGTGCACGCAACCCAATGTTGGTTTATTGACTTTATTGACATTGAGTAACATTGCTGCTATTGCCAGCACCGTCATCCTACATACCTTTACACGTATTAGGGCGTCTCCTCTCTTGCGACCTGAACTTCCTCAGGAGCCGTGACGGGTGGAGTCTCCCCAGAGTCGGGACCACAAGCCTGCCGTCGCGTACTAAATCAGAGCAGGATCGGCAAGCTGCCTCCGCACTCTCCGCATCTCTTCAGCATTATGTCACCTAAGGCTTTCTGCCAAGTAGCTTCTTTGGCAACCGCAGCTGCTTGCATGTGATCCTGCATAGAAGGTCCAAGGTAAGAAGCAAGCAGGAAGACTATAGATTTGTGGCTGTCCTCAATTCGTCGCAGTGCCTCGTTTCGACACTGCGCCTCACCACGCAGTGCTGCCTTCCGCCAGAATGCCCGACTGAGTCTGTTGACTTTGAGCCGTTGCCGTACTATGTCTCACTGTGCGAAGCGATCCGATCCTCAAAGCCGGCCAAACGTTGATCGACGAAGGCTTCGCCCTCCGTCCTGAAAACTCCAAGCTGCACATGCAAGAGCCCGTTCGCGTGGATTCGGCGAATAGCATGCCACTCAGTCAGGCGCTACAGGCCAAGCAAAGCAGCAGATGTGCAAATTTGTGATCATTCTGATGCATTACCTGGCTTTGCTCCTGGAAGCAGCTTCCTGTGCCAGGCCATGTCGCAAGTCACTGCTGGCCGCCTGGCACACCCAAGTGGACCTTGACCGGACTGCCTTCACCTCGCCCATCCCAACCCCGAAAGCTGGAGCGCATCAGAGACTCGTTGTGACATGACTCTCAGGACTCTTCGGAGCCTCCAATCGGCGGGACATATCACCTGTGGCGAATATATGCGAATATCGTGAACTCGGCTTCTGATTGCTTGCTGTCAGAATTGCTTGCACCGTTTCGCTGTAGATCTGGCAGGCCGCAAGTGACATGCCCCGGTACTAAGAGCAGTCACTCGGATCAGGGAAGCGCGAATTCGTACTTCGAAGAGCGTGTGTCTACGCTTGGGCAGTCTCAGTGGACACGCTTTCGTCTCCTGACCTTAACCTCTCCCAGAGCCGCGAGCTGTTCCCCGGCATGTCTCCGACTTGGCGTGTCTTTCTTTCTGGTATTCACTGTATCTTTTCTTGTTGAGTTTTCTGGAGCCACTCTATGCCCATGCAGCCTTTGAAGAATCGTGTTACTGTATCTGTGTTTGTTCCCTTCAACACGCTTCTTGTCGATTGCTGCAGGACCATCTCGCTCAGCCCTCGCAAAACACCTAAATCCCAAACCCCAGGCAGCAGACCCCAACTCCCATAACTCTTTCACACCCAAACCGCTGACTGAGGAGCAAATCCTAAACTCCTAAACCTAAACCCACAGCACTAACACTTCATGTCCTCACGTACACCTCGAACCCCATCCGAAACCCCAAACCCAAAACCCTAAAACTGCAAACCCCTAGCCCCGAACAAAAAAACAAACCGAAAGGCCTAAACCCTAAAATGGAAACCGAAAACCCCAACCCGGAAGCCCCAAACCCTGAACCCTAAAACCCCCCAAAAAAGTCCCAAACCACACACCTGAAGCCCAAAGCTGCATCCCAAACCCTCGAAGCCGTCAACCCCAAACCCAAGGCCCCAAACCCCAAACCCTAAACAGTAGACCCCAAACATCCCCAAACCCTAGCCTCTCGACACCTAAACACCCGTAATCGAAAAGCCCAAACCCTAACCCCTCTATCCCAAAACAAGGAACGCTACCCCAAAGCAAACTCCAACCTCTAATCCGAGACCCCATGCCCTAAACCCTAAACCTTAGACGAACTGAAAGCGGTGTGCTCAGACAGAAAAGATTAGTTTAGGGAACAGACACGGCCACTTTGAAAAAGAAACACGCGGCTGACAGAAAAAGAGTGACACTTTGATATGTTGCGCGCGCTGGACTGGTTCGAGTGCATGCGAGGTGCAGCTTCAGACACCTTCTGCATTCAAGATGGTGTGCTTTGCGGAAATGTTGGGGAAGGTCTCTACGGTCAGGGAGACAGACTCGAGAGTGGCACACGAGGATGCAGCGCATTTTGGCTGCGAGCCCCCGTGGCGATGCTAGATTCTAGATCTGTGAGGTGGTCAATGCTCTGGCAGTCGTGAAGACGCTCCACTCCGGTGAGGGGACTCGGACGTAAGTTCTGATTTGTCATGACGAGTCACCAAACTTCAACTCCAAGTCGGCTGCGGACTCTTCCGCGAGGTGTCGCCTCAACAGCCAGGGGAGTCCCACAAGGAGGTTCGGCAGAAAGGCGAACTTTACCGGGAGCCCCACAGCTCCTCACAGGCCTGCTTCAGCGCCGTGAAGGCCGAGACATCTGGGCAGTCCTGAAAAAAACAGGTGCAAGAGCATGTCCCAGGCCATGCCTGGGATACCAAATCCGCACTTGAAGAAGGCACCTGCTGCAACTGCCCCCGCTGCCTTAGTTCTCGGAGAACCGTCAAGGAGATGGTGCGATCATGAAGCCTTGCCAGGCCGCAGTGTTGCCATGGCGGCGTGAAGCTCCTCTCCAAAGTCGCGGAGAGACTCCGTGCGCTCGTCACGCTTCAGCAACCTAGCGCTTGTGTACCACTAGATGCATGGCATTCACAGTGCGAAACGTAAAAACCAGACTGCATTGCGCTGCCTCATCCGGATAAACATCATCCCATGAATCCCATGCTACGTGTCTACACCATTCTTCATTCAAGGGGCTCTGAACGAAGGTGCTGAGTTTCGGCGGTTCTATCCTGAACCTCGGCTCGAAAGGTTCATTGCTTGTAGGCATTGTAAGTGCCGCACATGTCCACAAACTATCGGACTGGCCTCTTTCACCATGGAATCGCAGAGGTCATCGATGCGGGCTGAAAGCTTTGAATACGCTGGTGGCGTCCGCGCCTCCCGAACGTCACGACACGCTGGCTGCATAGTTATGCTGCCCAAGCACAACAGCAATTGGTTTGCGGTTGCAGGTTGAGTCGCAAAAAAGGTGACCGGCGCTTCACAGTTGAGCTAGTTCTTGGGTAGGCCAGCACGTGCATCGTACATAACGTCCAGCATGCGCAGTCCAGCAACTTGACAAAGGCGCTATGTTTCTCCGACTGCAGAGAAATTGCGTAGTAAAATTGTGAAAACTGATCGACTAGTCCAGCATGGGCAAACATGATCGCTCTGGCGCTCCCTGACGAAAATTCTGACCATTTCGACCTTGGCCCTCATGCGGCTTCCTGCCACGATCCCGAAAGATCCCGAAAGCATTCAGGTGCTTTCGGAAATGGTCTTATTCATTCCTCTCCAGCTTTGCTGAAACGAGATATGAATTGCAGCACGTTGCCCGAGAAACACGGGCCTGAGAGATGCGGGGCCTTTCCAAAACCGACCTTACCTTGTGTTTGCTGCTTTGATGTTGCATCGATGTACCTGCTGATGGTTGCCTAAGCGTAAACTGATTTTTTCGGACTCGTATGTTTACTCCAAACTTGTTTTTGTTGGCAGCTTGTGGGGATGTGCGGCGCCAGACTACGAACAATGGCCTGCCTCTGTCCTCATCGCCGACACCTGCCGCATGCGACGCACTGGACTCCATCTTCCCCAGCAAACTCCGAAAACACAAGAACGGACAAGCGATTGCCTGCCTTCTCTTCAAGCTCCTTGTGGCCGTCGGTGGTTTTACGACATTCCTCGTTTGTCCACTGCCACAGGTCCTTCGGAGTCGGATGCCGACTCGTCAAGCGCTTGGAGAACACGGCTTCAGCAGGGCGCTCTCAAACGGCAATCACCGCGATTCAGCCACAAAGGTGACTGGCCGAACCACAAACAAATAAACTACGTCAAAGCCGGCCACCATTGGCGCACGTAGCACAAACACAATGGTTGCACTCGTGCACGGCTTGATAATGTTGATGATGATTGTGTTAGCGAAAATGAGACGACAAGTTCTGAGTATGCCAAACACAAGGAAGGGCATGCACACCAGGATAAAATGACCCGTAAGCGGTACGATTTCTGCCCTGCTACGGCAAACGCAAAGGAATGACGTCGCACGAAAATGAAGTGGACAATGACAGAAGATGAAGAAGTATCCCCCAGCTGCCAACGCCAGGAGGAGAGCTTCGATTGGCGGATCTCCCCCACATACCCTGCATCAACAACGCGACGCGCAAGAGAAAGGCTGAAATGAACATGTTGCAAAAAAACTTGTCAAAACTTCCAGCGTCCAACATGTTTGTATTTTTCAAAATTGCGAAGCTCGGTGACATGCGATATCGAGCATGTGTCTGTGCCATGAGATGTTGCCAATGTGATCTTTTCCGGATGGATCTTCACGTTTTCGTCAATGCTGTTGCATGCTGCAGGGTTTACACAGACTGCTGCACTTCGAAGAGTCGCATCATTGTCCTGGAAATCCTGCACAACGCGCGACTCGAGCGAGTGCAAAGCATCTTCGAAGTGGCCGCAAAGCTTCTTCTCCAGGGTCTCAAGCCACTTCTTCACTTGGGCACCCAGGCCGCCGCTCTCCTTGATAAAGGCAGATTCTGATTCTACATCTGAAGAGTACTTGAGGCTACAAGGTGCATGCAAGTTGCGTGCTTGATTTCGCCTCGCACTGCCTGCTCGAACTCTTGTCGAAAGGCCTGCTCTTCGATCAGAGCATCCGTCAAGCCTGCAGATGCTCATCCATCGTGTTCTTTGAACGGAAGCCGCAAGGCATTGTGAGATCTGTTAATCTGACAACCTGCCTGCAATGGAAGCCTGTGCCGTTACCAGCTCCTCTGCCACCGATGCGAGTCTTTCCTCCAGGCACATCCAAACCCTTCCAAGACCACTGGCGTCTCCGCAGCAAGGTAAACACAGGAACGTCTTAGCACAGCATCTGACGGGAGAGCGAGACTGAGAGCGAGGATGAGTGGAGAGTGACAAAGAGAATCAGAGTGGGGGGCGAGGGTGAGAGTGAGAGTGGGAGTGGAGGGTGGCGGGTGAGAGAGCGTGGAGAGTTTGGATGAGAGTGACCGTGAGCATGGAGAGTGAGCGTGGAGAACTGAGAGTGGTGATCAAAATCAAAATCACGCACTGCACGATCCTGCACTGCACACTCCTACACAATGAAAGCCGCGTTGCACACCCTCCACTGATCACAGCTCTTAATTGTACCCAGGCTCGGATAGGTAGCTGACCTGGCAAACGCCACCAGGCTGGAAACTCTATACATGCTCGAGAAGCTTCGCATCCTATGCCCTGTGCATATCCCTGCTGACTGGCAAAGCAAGGCCTGCATGTGCTGCAGCTGATCCTCGGCAAATCCGGCGTCAACTGCTGCCACTGAGCTGGGGGACGCGAATGCTGCTGGGCGTCGATTCTTTGCTCGAGGTCGTGCAGCCCACCGTCAGGCAGCTCCAAGTAAACCTCAAGCTTGCTGGAAACTGCGTCAGTGTGGGCAGCAACCCCTGCAATGTAAGCCTCGACCCTCCAATTGTGCTGCACTGGAGCTGACTCGAGATTCCGCAAGGCGTCCTCCGAGTCTGGGCACTGGCCGTCTGGGCCTGGAGGGCAAGTCAAGGGCAAATCCACGGGACTCTACCCTAAAGGCCCGAAACACGAGCGCTCTAAACTCTCTTCAGTTCCCTGGCCTTTGATAAGCACATCTGCATTTGGCAGATCAAAGGCATGTCCTCAACTCATCACGCTGGGAGCACGAAGGAGTCACTCGAAGCTTGACTTTCAAAACACTCAAATGCTAGCGAAGACAACACGCTCCCGCTCTGACAAAGCCCGAGTCCGGTGTTTTTGGCTGGGTTGCGGAGGGCATCGCCAATACATGCTGCTTGCAAGCCACGTCTCGCGCTTCTCGCCGAAGAGCTGGCAAGGTCAGCGGCTTGACAGTAACCTCCTCCAAACGGCCGTATGCCTGCACAGGGCACATGCAGCAAAGCCTTGTGAGGATGAAGCGTCACTGAGCCCCTCACGTGCACACAAATCTGAGTCGCTCCGTCCTCCATTACTGATCCAAGACAGCATCCACAATCTACGCCAGACTCAAGTGCCTGTGCTAGCAAGTGTCCTTCTCGGCTGGCTGTGGCCTCTGCAAAGTGTTGTCCTGAGAAGGACAGGCATATGCAAGACCTGGAAGAAGCACAAGGGCTGTCAGGGACAGGGAGAAGGCAGATCAGAAAGGAAACTAAGAAATCGAACACAGCAGTCCGCTCCTGCCAAGTCTCCTCCATGTCCGACATGACATTGGGTCATGAACGTGGGCTTGGGCGAATGCAAACCCCTCGATGAGTGCCACGTGATCGTTGATTGAGGCGACTGAGACAAAGATGTCAGCTGCTTACCGACCAATGCTTTGTTCTACTTGGCTCTGAAAGCAGAACTCCAAAGCACCAGTCTGCAAGGTTCAAGTTCCATTCGGGCACGTTCAAACGAAACCGCACAGGTTCTCTTGGGCCACATCGTGCAGACATGAGACATGCCGGCATGCAGCTGCCACTCTGACAAAGTAGGAAAGAGTCGAGCATCGGGATGTGGAAGAGAGTGGCGAGCAGCATTCAAACTGCCTTGCTGGGATGCCTCCCACCGCCGCAGCCCAGCACCTGCATGTCGCCACATTGGACATGTCTTGTCGCATTCGTTAAAGTCCTCAACCAACCCAAGCAGCTCCGCCAATCTTTTACTTGGCTTCAATGAAATCCATTATGCAGATGTTAAACCATTGCCTGTTGTGACCGGTTTGCGCATCCTTTCTTCAGCGATGCTGAGGCTGAACAATGCTTCGCGATTTCATCGTGTGACATGCGTCTTATCCTTGGAGCACATCAGTGCGCATCACCTTGATCGGCTCCCACGGTGCTTGCAAACCTGCTGAAGAATGTGCCCGTCATGTCTTCACATGGATCTCAGGGCACGACAACTTGTTAGTGGCCGAAGCCGGTTTATGCCGGGAATTGTCTTGCTGCTTGCATTTCGAAACTCAACGGGCCTAGCTGCCCACACGCCACGACAGAAGTACTGACTGCTGATCGTTGTTGCCACAAGACGTCGGGCGGCGGCTGGAGTCAGCCCGTGAATCGGGCTACCCGGTCCCTCGCCCGGGCTATTCATGCGCATCACGCACGCCGCCGATCATGCGCTCTGTATGGTCCATCGGACGGGCTGCTGATGCTCGTAATGTGTGCTGCATCACCTTGGTTTTTTTGTTGCAGGCGTTGTATCCTGCGGTTCTGGCACGAGGCAGAGGTGCAGCTGAAACTGATTGATCGGATGACAACACAATGATCGCTTGAGACGGTGATTCGGATAGGCATTGTGGGGCCGAGGCAACCCTCTGCAGCTTTGCGCTCCTACTGGCCAGTGCTCGCCGAGGGGCCGTCTCTCGAAAGCGGCGTCCCACGGAGCGCAGGGCCTCCTGGATGGTGAGAGGCAGAGGCGAAAACTCAGCGGATGCTTGTCTTAAGCTGGCGGTGGCCTCGTCATCGAGGCCGGCCTACGGGCTGGAACTCAGAAAAAGCATCTTCCCGTGACCTCCGATGGACCTTCTTAGACAGATTTCCTGCCTCCTCGAAGGCAGCAAAGGCATCGGCAGACAGAACCTGCGGGGATCAAAGCATGCTTCGTTTCGACAGAGCTTGCAGTAGTGACTAGTGCTTCGCTTCACTTGCCACCTCGGCCCATTTGTACGAGTAGTATCCGGCGGCATAGCCACCGGCAAAGATGTGGCTAAAGGAGCCTGTCACGAACCATGCAGCTCATAGATTCGGATTGGCCCTTCAGAGTTTGTAAGCACCCGGCACAAGAAGCGATCTTCCTCGAGAGGCGGAAGGATCCTCAACCAAGGCTTCAACGTTCTTTATTGCTCTAGAGCCCGTGTTCAACTCAGCACACTTGCAAAGCAGCTGGAAAAGCCAGAAATTGCAGATTCATCCGGGGCGCTGGTACTTGGCAGCCAGTCGCCTCTGTACATCCAAGAAGGTTTCTGTTCCGTCCTGCAAAGGATTTGCAGCCGCGGCATAGCCCGTTACGCTCTCTGCTTCAATCCGAGTGGCTGGATCATACTCAGAATGAAGCTTCATGTCCAGATCCCCGAACCTGAAACATCCAAGAGCGAGCACCCAGCAAGTGCTCCGACAGAGCAGCTGCAGTGTTTCAAGACCAGGGCATTGGGATATGCGCATTTCTGTTGCCAAGAGACTGCAGCTGCCGAAGCATCATGGAGGCGGCCATGAAGATGCGGCTGCCTCCAAAGTCACTTCTTGAAAGAGCGCACCACTTCCAGAGATGCAGATGCTCGAACAGCCCAGTCCTTTGATCTTCTCAAAGATGTCTGCAGGAAGTGGTTCCCCGGTTTCGTAGTGCACCGCAAACGAATCCACAGTTGGCTTGTGGTACAGCCAGTTCTCCATGAACTGCGAGGGAAGCTCCTAAGTCTGCAGGTTCAGCAGCTAGTTGCGGAAAGGGAGGCAGCATGAGGCCATGCTTCCACCGCATCCCACTCGACGTTGTTGATGCCAGCACAGTCACCATCCTGGTGAACTCGGCGGTTCGCTTACAATACAACGGGAGGAGGACCGACACGGCTCCTCCACATGAGTCAGCATGTGCTGGAGACCGTGCCCGAACTCATGGAACAGGGTCTCAGCTTCGGAGAACGTCATCCTTAGATATCCCACGGAACGCGTGCAGAAGGCCAGAAAGTCTGAGCTCTTCTGCCGGGGCACAGAGATGGCTTTGAACCCACTGGCGGGGAGCCTCTTCCCAGACGGAGAAGGCGACGCAAAAAGACTGCTTAAGGACATACAGCCAAGAAACCATTGCAGGTCAGGTATGCCACTGGCTTGGTGCCCACAGCCTGCCACATGGCTTTGGAAGGACTAGCAGAAGGTGTCATGCGCGGCCTTGGAGCGGCCGAGGCAGTCGTCCATCCAGGCACCTCCGCGTTTCCTGAGCTTCGTGTCACTTACGGTGTCGGGGCTGGCAATGGATTTCTTGCCAGCGGCTCCCCCGGCCGTGCATAGGGATCCAAGAAGAACGAAGCCTGAGTTGCGACAGGCACCAGGGTGCGCCACTTCAGCAGATTTCGAAACGACACATTGACCTAGGCAGCAATCTCAAGCAAGAAGCGATGTGGTTGCCTGTGCTAGCATCTTGCACCTTGAAGAACATGACATCAGGATGCCATCCTTATCGTCTTGGCAAACCAACTTACGACATCACATTCAGGAAAGATGCCAGGCGCCACTTCCGATCACTTTACAAGGCTCCCAGTGCAGGCAGGATGCGCTCCGCTGCATCATCGTCTTGAACGATGTCTACCGCGAAGAGCTTCGAGGCAATACCAAACCTTTGTCGGTGAATATCAAGAGCAAGCGTGAAGTCATGATGCGGTCTTTCTGGGTTTGGTGCAACGCAGATTTGCTGGCTTGAGTCACGAAACCCGAAAACATCCAGTGCTCGCCAAGCTGCATGCCTTCTAGCACTTTCGGAAGCGAGAAGTACGGTCTCAAGGCCTCCTCGTCATAGGCATACCTGGACATCGCAGGACGTGGGGTTCCGGAATTTTCGTGCTGTATAACTGCGCATCTACCTAAGGCATGCAACTCTCTTTTCGTTCATAGATTCCTCTTGCTGCTTCTAGGTCACTTCTCCTCTTTCAGGCGCTCCGTCCAGAAGGTCACATCCCAGAGCCTCGAGTGACTTCGGGAAAGGCTGGCAACTTGGGCGGGACAGAGCTTGGTCTCGTTTCTTTCCGTTGGTGGGGGCAAAAGCCCGACGTATCCCTGAGCCCGACACTTTTGCTATTGCCTGTGATCCTTTCGCAGGCCAAAGCTCCGTGTTCCTACTTCACCTGCTTGGCAGGGCCACTCTGAGGCGTTTAGTTTTGCAGAAGTGTGTGGCTGGACCAGATCCAGTGCTTCCTTGTTGTCCCTGCTTGTTCTTGCCGGGCCAAAGCCTAGCATTCCTGTGATTTGTCCTGTTACGTAGGATCGTTCCGAGTCTCCCACAGCGGGCCATGACAGAACTCGCTTGCTGTGTCCTGTACGGTAGCTGAATCAGAGTCTGCCATTGCTGTCTTGTGTCCGTTTCAATGGGAGACTTGTTGAAACCAATATTCCTTCTGCATCTGTTTTGCTTGGCCAGAGCCTGTTCTTCCTCCCTAAATCCGATGAAACCACACGTGCATCAGGTAGCTCACCAGCACAGCGCAAGTTCAGGTCTGAGGTCTGCGCTGCAATTTGCCTGCGTAACCTGCAAGCCGGAACTTTTGCCGTAATGCAGAAAGCTGATGGTTGCCTTGTACAGGGGCTTCGCCTCTCCCATTCCCTCCACACAGTACTTTGGTGCTGTGATTTTAGCGGCTCTGTCCCGACCACCGACACATGACATGAGCTGTTTCCGCCATTTGGCTGTTGCATCCGGACAATTCGCAGCAACGAGAGAGATTCTTGGCAAACATAGCACCACGAAGCACTCCGCAAGTGCTCACTGCTTCCCTGAGCGCTGAGCGCGCCTTTAGCATTGGCGAATTCCTGCTCCCGAGCAGTGAGGGTTCGAATTCGAAGCCCTGCATAGCCAAGATCAGCCAAGAACCAGAACACACACCCCCGGATCCGTGTCCTGCAGCTCGTCGAGCTCCTTCTCGGCAGCGGGCCGCGCCACTGCGAACAAGTCCTCTGCAACTTTTGCTGTGCTGTTCTGGGCTCAGAGGACCCGCCGAGATGAGGGGCCTCCGTCAGTTTGCTCACCGCCTCGATGTTCGGAGCCATCCTTTGGAGAACTTCAGAGAGCAGCAATTCATCGGGATTTGGGAAAGAACGCCAATGCTCCGCAAAGCTGCTTCGAGGCCAGGGATTCGGAAGCGTAATTCTCGAAGCCCAGCATGGCCGAGGCTTTCTTCCCTCATCGACGGGCAGAGGGCTGAGAGCGTGGAGCGGGCAGGGTTGCAGAGCTGAATTCAGTTTGTGTCGTGTCACATTCATCTGCAACACCGAGGCCACCACGCAATTGCAAGATCTCCGTGATAAGAGGCCCGTTATCCGTCTTGTTGGAAGAAGCCTTCAGCTTGTCCCGTGCGGTTGGCGTCTAAATTCCAGTCACCCCTTCACAGCTCAAACCCTCAGCTGTCCACGCGCGAGATGAAAGCACGGTAAAGCCTGGCTGCAGCACAGGTGTTCAAAGAGCACGTGACAAGTTCCAGCAGGAATGGGAGATGGGGCTGAGCCTGGGTACGGGGGAAAGGGGAGATGGGAGCCCCAAAGCGAACAGAGCCAGAACACAGCGGAGCTCAGACAAATCCGAGCAGCTTCTCACGCAGCTCGGAGGACTTCAGGTGCTTCATGGCGGGAAGGTAGGACGGCCTTGTCGGCGACAGCAGGGGCGTCAGCACTGGCAAATTCTTCTATCCTCCTCCAGTAAATGGCCCTACTACCTTTTCACACCGAGCAGCATGTCCAGCGTCAGCCGCCAAGGACCGGACTCTGGAGTGGCCTCAGGGTTGTTCTCACAGACATGTGTAGAGCAACAACGGCGTTTGTTTTCAGGTTTCCCAGTTGAAACAGCGGCCTCGGCTGCTGCCTCTTCCTCTTTCTCGGATTTGCCACTCTGCGCTTGATTGTAGGACTGCGCCGCTGCCTCGAATGCAGAGATGCGACGACTCCTTTCTCCATTTTCCACTGCCACTGCCAGCCAAAGCGGCCGCTAGAGCGCTAGCCGGGAGCCCTTCCACATCCTGCACACATCGTGCCACAAAGCGCCACACACTGCTCTGAAAACAATCGCGATCTTTGAAGTCCTTGACTTCTGTAAGAACGAGTTCGAAGGCCTCGCATGCCAAAGCAAACTCCAAGACTTCCCTGGAGCGTTGCCTTTTTGCGTCTCTGCTCTGCCTTCGTTGAATCCAGCAGATTGTTCTGGAAAGTTGTACCTGCGATCACCGCACATGCAACAACCCAGCCGGTTGCGGGTTAGATTGTATGTAACATGCGACAATCGGCTGTCCAGCTCTGTCGAAATTCCTTTTCGCCACACAAGCCTGTGAATTGCCAGGGATCTCGCTTGCCTTGTAGCAGGGCCAGAAGGCAAGAATCCGCGAGCACCTTGTAACATATTAAAGCGAAGTTGTTCCCTCAGCGTCACTGGCATTAGCTCGAACGTCGACCTGAAGGAACGGCGTGCACTAGCGCACCTTCAACCGCATCGTGATTGAAGTCCAAAGCAGGCTGCAGATTGCCGAGTAACATCATAATCTGGAACTGCGTGCTCGAACGCTTGGTCGGCAATCTGGCTTCAACACATTCCGATCTTTTAAGAAACAACTTGGACGACTCCTTGGTAGAGCCATCCTTCAGCAGAACCATCTCCTGCAGAAGACACCACAGGAGGTCAAGACCTCGAAACTTGAGGCAGCCCTCTGGCTGCTTCCTTGAGCTTGTGCAAAGTCTAAAACTTGCTGTTAATTCGAAGGGGGGGCAGCTCCACTGCGACGCGGATGAAAGCACAGCAGCCAGGCAATCAGTGAATCCGTTGTCTGTGGGTCGGTTCGGTGCAGGCTTCGATGCAAGAGCCAAGACTGCAGGGGCTTGAGGCTCGATGCAGGGTTCATTGTCTGAGCTGCATCTTTCATCCGCCAAAACTTTAAGGGTGTTGTTGGCACCCCGTCCCCCGGAATCTGCAACAGAACCATCTTGCCTTTGTGCCAAGCGACTGCTCAAGACACACCAAACTAACAACAAGAAACTTCCTTCTGACGCCCAGGCACGTTCAAACCACCGAGTCGTCATCCGATCCTTTCTTGGGTTCTTGAATGTACTGGCGGACCGGGCTGTGGTATGCCATCTCACCGTGCTCGGTGAGATCAAGTCCTGGTCCACTCTCGTTCTGAATGTCTCTCCACCGCCCTACACAAGATCCGATGTCCTCCTGTACCAATCGGCTTCAAGGGCATGCACACATTGATTGCCTCGTTGAGATGCTTCCACACTCTCATCTGGTCTTTCGGAACTCTAAACTCTAAGCCTTCCTGTGCACCTCTGCCCCGAGTTCAGGTGCGGACGTTGCCGGTGCTATGTTGCTGATGAAATCTACAGTAACACCCGGCCAACTCACGCAACAGCATCACTTTATCTGAACACCTCTCACGTTGCTAGCAGCTAGCACCTTCTCGCTTCCTCGATGCTGTCCTTTGCATCCGTTTGGAGCTCTGTCCTTTTGACCCGTTTGGACCTCCGTCCAAGCCAGCCCGGTTCCCTTGCGGCCTTCAGCAGCACGAGGGTCACGAGTACAGAGTACACAGCCGCAAGAAGAGCCGCGGCAAGCTGCTTGCCTCAGGAAAGACTGATGTTTAAATTTTACATGGGAAAGCAACTAACCAAGGCCGGTGGGTAGGTGGCTGTTGGTGGGGGTAGGTGGATAGGTGATAAGGCGGGGTAGGTAGGGCCACGCTTGCGTAAGAGAAGGCTGCAGACCAACGATGGCATGGACGTACGGATGAACAGGCGGCTGGTCAGGCACTTGTTTGGGTGGATAGCTACAAGTGGCACGTGAAAAGATACAGGAGGATATGTGCAACCAGAGCATCGAGCAAAAAAGTTGACAATTTGATGTTGCAAGCACGTTCATGATATGTTACAACATGTACTCTGGCTTTCTGTGCGTATCTATGTGCTGTCATGCATGTGGGCTTGAAACTTTGCAGCTCAAGCCACCAACCTGCTCGATACTGGCTGTCACCTGCAATGAAACACAAAGCCACCTACTCCGATCAGGCGACATGACTGCTTCAAAATGCCTGCATGCCGCAGCTTCATAACCCTCCCTGCCTGGCCAGGATTCACGCCTTGGCTGTTGAACATCCATTTGCAGAAACTGGTTCGAGTGAAGCTCTGCGTGTGCTCTTTGAGTCTGGCCACAATAGCTCGGGGCCGCTTCCAGACCGCCACACTCTTCCGGATCGGCCAGCACTCCGAGCCTTGGACATAAGCTTGGCCTAAAAGTCTCGGGTCTCGGAGTCTCGGGGTGCACTTCAGGAATGCCGAAACCTTCGTACTAGAGGCCCATAAGGCTCCTTCGCAGTCCCCAGAGCACGTAATTGCCAAAGAAACTTCATAAGACCTTCCTAAGCTAGAACAGCCATCAGCAGGGATGTCTTCAGCCTCTGGATTCGGTGCCTGCACTCTCTGGAACTGCCAACAAACGATCTTGCTTTTGAACCTCTGGGAGAAAGGGCATGGGCTAGGCGGTTAGACTCATCCCAGGCAAGCGATCCCTAAAGCTCTCCCAATGCCAAAACTCTCAACGCTGGCAGGACAGGAATGATGCGGCAAAGAGATTTTTCTTCGCGGGGCTGAGTCATCCCGCAGAGCAATATGCTGCTTCAGCTACTCCTCTCGGCCATAACACCCTCATCTCGATGTGCCTGCCGGTACTTGTTGAATGTCTGAATAATCCCCAAAATGCTCACACTGAATCTCTCAATCCCCATGCCTAACCGTGCGCGTATGCATGGAGTCATGCAGGTCTCATGCATGCATTTATGCTTGTGTCTGTGTCTGTCTGTGTTTCATGCCGCGCGTACATTAATATGTGAAGGTTGACCTGTAGACGTGCCCTTACCTGTATGCACATCAAGCCCATGGCGTGGAATGTCAAGCAACAACCAGGCAAATTCAGGTAAAGCAAGGTCCGGGAGGTCATTTGCCTCAACGTATGTATGCATATAGCATGCACAGATGTGCGAACAGCAATGTGACCGTGTGTGCTCATTTCAGAGTTCATCGGCCAGGCAGCAAAACCGTGCCCATGAAGCCACCCATACCATGGACGCCCCACACATCGAGAGCATCGTCAAAGCCCAGCCGCTTTCCTTTCGACACGTGCGACAAAGCCAAATAAACCCCCCGATACTTGTATGGCTTGCAAGTCTCAGTAACACCACGCCAAGCTTCGAAGTTCGCAGCACGCGTAGCAGAAGAAGGTGGCAATGACACCGAGGATGAATCTGACAGTCCAATGAGTAACATGACAAAGACGAATACAGAGAGAACGATGGAGCAACATGTGCTTGACAGTCTTGGCTACTCTGCAAACCCGGACGATTTCAGATTCTGGTTGCTTCCCCTAGTCGCGCTAGTTATGTCTTCAGCATTGTTGGCTAAAGTAAAAACCCCTGTGCCAGAATGTGCTCAATAGATTTCGAGACCACACGGATAGCACGAATTCGAGACCCGGACGCCTTTCGGTTCATGATATCACTTCAAGCAGTTGGCGAAACAGTTTCCACCCGACATGGCGTTGTAAAAACAGGCACGCAAAGGAGCAAGAGCGACTGAAATGCAGGCGACGTACGCACCCCAGGGCTGGATGAAGCCAGCAGCCGGCGTGATGGTTGCAAGGCCGGCGATGGCACCCACACAGAGTCCGACCAAGCCAGGGCGACCGTTGCGAACCCAGTCAATGAGGAGCCAGAGGAACAAAGCTACGGAAGCTGAAATTTCAGAGTTTACAGCTGCGCCCACAGCCACTGATCCGGTTGCCAATGCTGATCCTGAACCGAGGGGCACTGGATTTGCTGCTGGGCACTGCCACGTTGCACACAACGCATGTAAACAGGGCAGGCGAGGCACCAGCATTGAAGCCGAACCAACCAAACCAGAGCATGGCCGTTCCGAGGGCAACAAAGGGGACGTTGTGTGGACGGTCGTGGTCCTCGTGCGCCCGTGGTTCGCTGTCTACCCATTAGAATTAGAACACAAGACACAAGAGAGCACAGACTATCAAAGCAAGCACAGACTATCAAAGCAGTCCTCCAAATCCTCTTCTGAGACTTGGCGCTTGCCCACAACAATGAGGCTTGCCAGTGCAGAGAATCCCGCGGTGACGTGCACCACAATGCCTGCACGGCCGTGCGACATGTTCAGGCCGGATGCAGGTCAGCTTCATCTTTGCCACGAAAATCCCTGCACACAGAAGGCCGTAATGCGAGTGCACCTCCGGCAAAATCCTTCACACCCCACTGCGCCAGCCATCCTCCGCCCCACACCCAGTGGCACCACGGCGCATAAACACACCTGCAGCGTTCTCACTGGCAGATATTGCTGATTCTTCCAGAAATATGCTCAGTGATCGCTCATGCGACAGTCTGCAACTACAGAGAGGCGCCGAGGCACACCAACCAGAGGGCAATGAATGCCAGGTACGGCTTAAAGCGGAAGCGGTCCGCAAATGCACCGGTCATCAGTGCCGGTGTGATAACAGCGAACATGCCTCGACAGACTTACATCGACTTGCAGGTGCTGTGCTACGTGCTGTTACGATGGCGTTGCTGGTAGAACAGACCACCAAGATGCCCTGGTAGCCAGCGAACAGGAGGCCCGGAATGGCCATGTCCGGGAGTGCCTTGAAACGACGAAGCTCACATCTTCATCAGTTCTAGTGGCCATCGGTTCTCGCGAGCGAACCGCTGTAAGCTCTCCGAGCCTCGTTCACATTCAGTCCCCGGAGGCCAAAGTGTGTGAACGGGTTCCCAATCACGTAGAGACTCTCCCCGAAGCATAGGGAATAGCCGATAAGGAACCTCTGCAAGACGCAACTCTTTAAGATTCCATAGTTGCCACAGCTAAGACATGCCACCAGACACCCTGGTTCTGTCTGAGCAGTCGGCCAGATGATACTGGCAACTCCCATTGACACAAAGCTCTGCATCATCATGGTGAGAACCTTCGCAAGTCGAGAAAATGCGAAGCTGCGCTGCTGCGCTGCTGCTAGTCAATCACTGGGTCTGCCACGCTGGTGTCCTTGACCAGGCCTGGAGTCAGGCGAGTCAAAGCTCACTGGATGCGTTCTGACGATCCACTGCGCGTGCCTCCATAAAAGAACGCCAAGCCCGGTGTCATGAACTGCACCAACGCCATGCACACCATCATGAAGGCCTGGGAGATCAAACCCCGACATTCACCAAAGCTGTCTGCGTCCCATGCAAAGATGATCAACTTCGTCAGTCATACTCTATTCACCACCTCGCTTCAGAAAATGTCTTGGCTGTTGCAAAGCCCCGACTCCATAGCTGCCGCCACGTGACGGTGCTGGCAGCATCGATGTCCCCAACCGCCATCGCTGAAGCACCTGCGGGACGGAGCCGCTGATCCCTGCCACTTGCGATAGCAACGTTAGTCGCACAGTTGCCCCATGACCTCGACTCCAGGATCAAGCAACTCGTCGCAAGGGTTCAAAGCTCAAATGCTGCAGAAGAAAGCATACTCTGCAAAGGCTCGTGGTGACACAAACTCAACATGCTGTGAAATGAGGGTCATAGGGCAGTAAGTCTCATACCATGTTCGAAATCAGATGCTTCTGAACAGCTTCGCACATCGCGCCAATTGGTATCGCCGCATTCGTTTACATGCTCCGGTCAGCAGTCTCTCTGCTTTGCAGAGGCCTGGACTGGAGAGAGCTGGCTGCGAGGAAGAACGTCTCATGTCAGCTTCGAACATGATGGCCCTTCGGAGCAGAAAACGATGTCTGAGACCCACCGTGGGTCCAGCTCAATTGATGGAAAACAAACGTCGCTGCCCTCCTGTGATGGTGGCGACACTAATTTAACCCAACTACGACCGACTCTGTAGTCGTGAAAGGATCTAAGTAGCGGATCCCTTGAAGTGGATGCCGTGCTGTCTGTCACTGTGATGGCAGTATATTTGGCAGGCGCACTGTCTGCAGTGCCAGCATCCAATCATGCAGATTCAGAAGCGGAGGATTCGCCATCCCCGCTTTCAGTTTGACTCGCGCCTTCTTGCAGCTTGGCTTTGAGGGACTCGTCAAGGTAAGAACGAGTCGGGCTGTGATATGCCTTCTGCTCATGGTGCCTGAGCAGCAAGGCAAATAGGAGGCTCTCACAACTCAAAGTGCCCTCCCTTGTGCAGCTGAGTCACTCATGCAAATCCACGTGCAAGCTCTCCGGATTCAGAGGCATGCACAGGCTGATGCCCTCGAGCGTCGCACTAACTCACCACCAGTCACGTTTACTTGCTACATCTTGTTACGGGTTTGCCCCTGCCAACCTTGAGAATGATCACTGTGACGACCACAGAGTACGCAGCACAAAGCAGCACAGCCGCTGTCTGCTTACCTGACAGTCAACAATGAGGTGCAGCTGTGCCGTTGTCTTGGCATCCCTGGCCTGTCTGCGATATCGACGCGGTGACGGTCCCGGGATTGATGCAAAAGGCCGGCGCCGTGGCCTCCGAGAGTTGGATCACTCTGAGCGGAGCCGTTGCGCCTGTGCCTCTGCTTTTCTCTCTGTCTCTCTGTCTGTGGTGGTCTCCTTGTCGGCGCACTCGCTGCCATCTGCCAGGGCACCGAGCCTGGCCAAGAGTCTCTTTCTCTTTACAGAGCATCGGCGAAGCTTTCGCTCTTGAAAACCTCGGAGCCGGGAGGCACCTACCTTCTGCGGCTGGGGGACAGGATGGCTCCAATGAAACCACCCATGCCGTGCACTCCCCACACATCCAGGGCATCATCTAGCTCAAGCTGGTTGATCAGCTCAGTACAGGCGTAGCAGAAGAATGTCGCAATGACGCCCAGCACGAACCTTGTCTGACCAGTCTGAAACACTTGCGTCACTTGCATGAACAGTATTCTAGAACAGCCGGTTTGAGGCTGCTTGATGTCGATCAAAAGCGTTTCTATCTCCCTCACACACACAGAGACACACTTACTTCTTTGCAGCCCTGAAACGCCCCCCATGGTTGGACGTAGCCAGCTGCTGGGGTAATCGTTGCAAAGCCGGCAATAGCGCCAACACAGATTCCTGTCAAGGTGCCCACGAATCTATGGGAGCGGCAACGGCTGCAAACGACCTCTTGAAGTCCCAGCTTTTTGCAAGCAGAGACTCCAACAAGCGACGGCCTGCCGAATCGAATCCATTCGATGATCTCAGCTCGCGCAACATCGCGCAACCCCTCATGGTGCACCATGAGCTCCCAGACCCCCCTTGTTGCTGGGATGAACCCTTTGCAGCAAGGCGGCCAGCCAAAGAAAAAGTGCAACAGACGCCGAGATCTGAGAGTTCACCGCCTCGGATGGCAAAGTTCCCTTACTCTTGCTTTTTTCTCTGAAAGCCACAAAACCTGCATGCTTGCTGATGCCTTTATTAAGCCTTATACGGCATTAGCTATCAAGATGACAGGTGACAGCTCCTATCGCGACCCCGTTGGCCGCGCCTGCGGAGCCTTCGCGGAAAAAGCGATCACTCGGTCAGCTGCAGCACTCTTTTTGAAAAACCCGCCTCCGTTGAATCCAAACCATCCAAACCAGAGCAAGGCAGTACCCAAGGCCACAAAGGGAATATTGTGTGGAGTGTTGTGGATATGCTTCTCGTCTTCCGCAATCTCACGATGCCCGATCACTCTCAAACTCGCGAGTGCAGAGAAGCCGGCCGTAACGTGGACGACGATACCTGCGAACAGTGCAGGGTTCGGCCGACGCTGCGTCTTAACATCGAACTAGACGTGAAGTCTCGGAGCCCTGCACACTGCAAAAGGCGTGCCTCCTGCAAAGTCGACAACGCCCCACTGCGCAAGCCAACCACCACCCCAGATCCAGTGGACCCATGGGAAGTACACTAACCTGACAATTGCCATCACTTGCTCAGCGCCAGTGACAATCAAAACAGATGGTTCTTCGTCCGCGCGGTTTCACGAGCGAATGGCGACACGTAATCAGAGTAGAGATAGCCCAACTAAGGAATAGGCGAGGGCAGACAGCATATGATATTGCGAGTTCCAGTTTCATCTGAAAGCACGAACCTTCCGGAACTGTATCCAGCGACCTTCCCAGACCGACGGTATATCCGAAGGCAGCCGCAAAACAGAGGAAAGTGTGATAAACAGCAGAAACTAAAGTGCAAACCACAAAGATGCGAACAAAGAACACGCCGATTTTCACAGGAGCGACTGGGGCAGATGCAACTTTCTCACATTAGGGCAAATGACCTTGATACGCACAGATTAGTACCAGTAATTGCAAACGAGGATAAACAGGATCAGATGACAGCAACTAATCAACCTTGAAGCCTACATCAGTCCAAAAAACCTAACCAAGACGACAAGGAGGATCAAACAGTGGCAGCTAGGGGGCCAGGCAAAAGCGATTAAAGGCAAGCACCTATTCATAGCAAGCTTTGCCCGGGTCAACAAAGAGGAGGGCTTGGAGGCTTCGAGGCCCCGCTCCAATTCTGGCAAAGATAATGCTCAAATGAAGCATTCAATGGAGTGCTGCAGAAGGTTCTTCTTTTCAAGCTACGCAACGCGAAGGGCGTGCCCCGTCTGCCCCTCCCCAACTTGCACTCACAATCTCGAATGGCTTTGCGACAGCTTGATCATAGCAAGCTGCACAAGGCTTTAGAGGGAGTTGGCTTGATCTTTAGGGTGGCCCCTTCTTGTTTCCCCGTTCCCCCACTTACTTGAATCTCAATATTCGAGTCGCAGGATCGGCTTGGAAAAGATTCGGAAAGAATTCGTCGGGGCATTGCAGAAGAGTCGGGTATTCTTCTCCCAACTCTCTCTAGGGTTGTAAAGCGGACAAGAGAAAGCACGGTGGAAAACAGTAAGCAGGATCCGCAGAATTCAACAGCTGTTGAAAGAAGACGAAAAGCACAACACGGAAAGCAATCAACCAATCAAGGTGAAATCAAAAACGATGGAGTCCTTGAATAGTTGAGGAGAAACAAGTCGGTGCAAATAAAGGCAGACCCTAAGCAGCTCATGCACAGCACGCGCATTCTCCTCACGGCACCTGCATGAAACATCATGGACTCGCCTGTCCTACACGTGACCAAACCCAGGCACAGGAATGATAGGACTTCAAAACAGGATTACAATCAACTACGTGAACGCTGCCAGTGAAGCCCAGCAGCACTAGCCACAAGCACAGGAAAATGAGATAAGGCTTGAAGCGCATTCGATCCGCAAATGAGCCCGTCATCAAAGCAGGAGTGATAATCGCGAACATACCTGGCAGCATTTCCAACACCCTTGCAAGTTCTGGATGTGTTCAACATCCAGGACTTCCCATGTGACGATCTTGCAGCGGGCCTTGGTACGCCGCGAAGAGTTCACTCGGAATAACCTGCCCGGGAAGCGCCTGAAGGCGGTGTCGTGTTTCCGTGGACGCCGAGTGCAGCGAACGCTGTGCACGGGCCTCTCTCACGCTCAGATGGCGGAATCCGAAGTGTGTCCAGGGATTGCCGATGAAGCCCCAGCTCTCAGCAAAACACATTGAGAAGCCGAAGGCGAACCTGATGCCAGCAGCAGCACAGACAAGGAGTTAAAACCAGCGACTTCATGTCGGAGCAGACTTTGCTCATGTGGACATTGAGCCGAGAATGATGTCACGATATCGTGCATCGGGCAGCTCCCTAGACGGTCGTCCCTTGCCCTCTAGGATTGCCGACAACACTGCTCTGAGAGGGCAACCAGACGATCATGGCAACTCCCATGGAAACGTAATTCTGCATCATCATCGTCAACACCTCGGGCATGGACGCAACACTTGCAAGATGGTAAGCTTACAGGCAGTTTAGGTTTGCGGGGCAGAAGTTCGGAGTTCGGCTTGAGCCCGCAATAATGAGAAAGCACGGGATTGCCGCTGCATTCGCATCGTCAGAACACACAACTCCCACGCGGCTTTGGACAGCATCTCAGACTGCAACGTTGCAAGAAAAGCAATTGAGGAGCGTGCCCTGAAACAGTCAGCTGACCTTCAGATACGATTGGCTGAGCCCGGCACGCTGGTCTCCTTCACCAGCCCACCGTAGAAAAATGCCAAGCCCGGTGTCATCAGCATAACCAAGGCCATAGCAACTAACATCCACACCTCGAAAGGGCAGCACTAGTCGTGCACGCGTCGGATCGCAAGTTCAAGTAATTGAATAAACGATCGCGAAGCTTTCCGGCTCGAGGCGAAGAAACGATCTTCGACAAGGCGAGCATCTGTACTCGCGGTGTCGATGGTGTCGACGACCATGGCGCCTGGCACGAAACAACTTCTGGATGTAAGCTGCCCAGTCCGTCTTCCGGATTTCTCTGTGGGGAAGGAAATCACGGCACATCACAACTTACGACAGCCTCGGTCTTCCCCTTAAGGGGCCCACTACAGGCCCGAGCATGGCGACGACACATTCTCCCGAAAGGCTCAAGAAATTCGACAGCTCGAGGCTGAAGACATAGAAATCATTCGATAACTCACCTCGGCAAGACCTTCTCATGTCGGATTTCGTGGCACACAAACCGAGGCGCCTGGGTTGGCAGCCTGCTCTCAGAAGCGAAGAAGTACCGTGACAGCGCTCTCAGTCCCCGCCTCAAGGGTTTGGGCAACAACTCACACTGCACCATACCCATCCTGCATCCTGTAGATCACTAGAAGTATGGGGAAGGCCTGCCAGTTGCAGCCGGGACGCTTCGTCCGAATGCGGTGGGACGTCGCCAAGCTGCTAAGCCGAAACGGCTTACAACCGTCGCTTCTTGGAACTGTCATTCGGTCATCAAGTGCAACAACAAACCTGATCTTCTTGGCAGTTCTCAGCTGCAGGGGCGCACCGAGTTCGGAGAGGCGCAGTGCCATAGTCTTGGTGGCATGCATGCGAAACACGCAGCAGAACGGAAGACAAAAAGGGTACATTTGCAACCAAGCGGACAATGAGTTTGTTGAGGCCAGGGCATTGAACTCTTCCTTTGCACTCCCCTGCCGGGATTCAACGACTCACACAGGTCACACAGAAGCCCGAGGTACGTGAAGGTCATGAAGACACACAAGAAATGTCCGCATCTTACTGAAAGATATGCAATTGTGGCTGGAGTCTCCTTGTCTGCTGACGTTGGCCTGGATCTGGCTAAAGGACGTGCCTATCACGTCTACTTTTGGGTCGTGCTGAGACCCGCCCATTCATGATGGCACTACTCGCACCGCGGAATGTAGAAGCTCGCATCAGTAATCCTACTCCCTTCCCAAAGCGAGCTCGCATGAACCAGCCCGCGACCGTTCGTTCATTGGTGATTGAGATTCCCCTGGCCCGAGTCCTTCCGCGAGCATCATCTAGGACCTAGGAGGCCCACAGAGGCCCACCATCCTTCCCGCATCCCCCGCTCTCTTGGTCTGCTTCTACTCGACATCGAGTATATTCGGGAGCTTACACTGAGCCTTCCTTTCCCTATGCAGGGCTTAAGGTGGTGCCCCCGTCGGTGAACTTGCCGCCCAGGCCCTAGTAGATCCAAGAAGCGAGACACTTGCAAGTAAAAAAAGGGACCTACTTTAATCATGAGCGAAGACTGGGGTGCTACAATGTATTTTCCCACACATGTGACCTCTTTTTGCAGACTGGACTCAGGACAGGTACATGATGGATACAACTACGCTTTCGGGCTCTTGAGACAGCAGTTCGCAGCAGGCTTAGCACCTGAGATCGGGGCAACATGATCAACGGCAGACACAACAAGGACCATCACAACACAAAGACAGTCTGGAACGAAAGAAATTGGCCACCTGAGCCTCTGATATCCCATGCCCCCCTGCAGTGAGAGCTCTCTATCTGACTCTAAATGCCCGCAGCCTAAGATAATGTGACAACACCCTCGAAAGAAGGACGAAGAACGGTCGGGCTCGCAAGTTGGCAGGGACGGGGGCTATCAACAAATACATGGAGCCTCAGGAGTGGCATAGCAGCAATCGTCCGAGAAGACAGCATTGCCGTTGACTGTGTCTCTGGAACCCTTCAATTTTCCGTCCTCGAGGTCCACACCGCTCAGTCTCATGTCGCGCAGAGCCGATTCGACAATGCGCTGCCGGGACTCGGGAAGAGCACCTTGGGGGAAGCTGTGCCTCAAATACTGTATCGACTAGATTAGATTTGGATCTTAGTGAGAACATGTAAGTCTGCACGGCCAAGACTCTCTTCTCCAAGCTTCCCAGGGCATCGAAGACAACGCGGCTCTGTGATAGTTCCATGGACGCCTGCATCGCAGGAAACAAACGAGCCCAGCCGGTTTGCAGCTGCGAATATCTGCGAATGAAGCACTTGAGTTTGTACACGCGGCCAGCGGCCAGGGCACCTTGACTACCTCTGGCTGGACTGCTTGGTGGACTTCACGCAGCGCATCAGAGTTTTTTACCTGGAAAGTGTGGCAGTGTGGCCTGGTTTGGCCAACCAGCGTGCGCACAGTGTCTGCCAGGTCGCATTGTTCAGGTGACTGACAACACCCCAGCTGTAGGAGAGCGGGTGGCGCAGCTTCTCAAGCGATTCCACCACCCTTGGCTGCACCGGTGGTTCGGTGTCGTGGAAACAAGAGCGCACACATACACACTCACGACCTGCCATCCAAGAAGCCCCTCGTACTCAGGGTCCTTCTTCGGGAGCTCGTCCTCCAGGCTCTTGAAATCCTCAAAGGCCAAGGCTTTGACTGGGGAGCTCTTGGGCTGCGCAGCGACGTAGTCACACAGGAGCCTCACGCATCGACTTCAGGATGGCCTCCATGGCTGGCTCCACATGCTTCACCTCGCTACACGGCAGTCACACCGTATGTCCCGATACTTCGACCGCAAAAGTAGACAGGCTCCTGTGACAGCAAGTTCTCTTCAAGCCAGCAGGCGTCGATGGACTGAAATCGAGGCAGCCCCTTCGTCTCCAGCAGGGGGTTGATTTCAGCGACGGCAGAAGCTGAATTCCGCCTAGCTGACGTGTGCGCACGGTGGGATGGTCATCAGGAGACATGCATGAACAACTGAGTGTGATCTGAAAGCTGAGCTTACACACTGAGAAAACATCCCGCCTGGCATTGCGCAAATGCCGCTGTGGGGCAAGCTGCCGCACGGATCGCAGAAAGCCTCGGTGTCAAGTTGGTGTCTCCGACCATTGCATGCTGATGCCGAACTACCATACTGAAGTCCCGTCCCGATTGGTCAGATGAGCAGTGCTGCTTTCAGCGCTTTGCTGCTTCTACCACAGCCCAGCAGCAAAGCTGAGCCATCGAACAAGCCGACAGCACCACGGCCGCCTGTCGCGGCAAAGCCCTCAAGCTGCCAGTGGACAATCAACATGTTCTTTAGAGTAGCGAGAAAAATCTACTGAGCATGCTGTGACCCTTGCTGAAGCGGCCCAGCGCAGAAGGCCGCTGCCGGCGCGGTTGGCACGAGTGCGAACACGAGGCATCGCAGTGTCGCTGCGTTGCTAAGAAGTTTCACATGAGAGCTTCGGGCAGAGCTTCGAAGGCTTCAAGCATCAAATTACAGCAGCTTTGAGCTTTTGATCATGCGTAGGCCGTCTCAAAGCAAAGGTAGCTGCAAAAAGCCTTTGAGTCAGAACTTGGCAGCAGTGGGCTTCCAGGACACTGCCGCTGAATAGGCACTTCTTGGGTATCCAGGGCTCGCAGAGTCAGCTCGACTAATTGATGATGTCGATGTCTGCTATCCTGCTGCAGAAGGCGATGTCGATTTTCGCGCTGTGCCGCATCAAGATCGCGAGCCCGCCCAGCCTCAGCACTGTGGGTTTGAGAGTGAACCGTCGTCATGCTAGCATCGCTGGAAGCTCGTGTTGGCGATTTCTGGTATCGCTTTCATGACTGCGCACACCCTGGGTAGAGCAAAAGGATTGCTGGACCTGACGTGCATCATGCAAGTTCTGCAAAGACACAACTAGTTACCTGTTTGCAAGGAGGTCGTGCCAGCTATAGGACAATCATGTCAACCTTTGGAAACACAGAATCTCATGACAAGCCATACAACTCAAAGAGGTGCAGGTGCAGAGACGCACGGCAATCTGAAGTTGAAACAGCCACAGCAGGCAGATTCGACATAAAGGAGTTTCGTGCACCTTATCCACCACCAGCAGCAGTATGTTGCATGTCTAGCTGGCCCCGACTTTTTGCACATTCTTCAAAAACACACTCTTTCCGAGAACCTTGCCATCTAAAGCCTGCGAATGTTGTTTTTCACCACCTGACCGCTGACCGTGTTTTCAGCCGACTCTCGTCCGCAACAAGCTTGCCTGACGAAAACGACTTGCATTATCCTGCACAGAAAACGATAAACGAGAATCAGCTTGATTAAAGCAAGCTCGATGCCAACCCCTCGCTCTGATTCTTGAGTATGCGAGATCCAGCCCTCAAGGGGTCGGTGCTTTTGGCTTTCTTGCAATAAGGACCAGCGCGGTTCCTTGCAGTACGACTTGTCCGTCTGCTTCTGTCCAGTGATCCGACATGTACTTCTCTGCCGCCTCTTCGTCCCAGGGGCCCAAGTCGCTGGTGAGCGGATTCTTGTTCAGGCCTGCAGCCAGATGCCTTGGCAAGCACGTAGAAGAGCCGGAGAAGAATCTAGCTTCGAGGTCACGGTCCTTCCAAAGGGGTCCGTCCCCTAACTCTCCACGAAACAGGCGCCGCATGAAGCCCTCGCTTGAGAACTTCCGCAAGGCTACCGCCAGTGGCACTTCCTCGTAGCGACCGTGGCCTTTGAATACATGTACCAAGTCGGACAAAACCGACTCTGGAATGTTGTTGTAGTGCCAAGTCGTAACGATCGCGACCCCACCGGGCTTCAGCAATCGCCAGAATTCTCTTACGACTTTCTCCGGAGATGGCGGAAACATTATCCCAAACGAGCACGTGATCGCATCAAAAGCTCCCTCGGCAAAAGCAGAGAGGTCCTGGGCGTCTGCGACTTGGGAAGTGACCTTCAACAAACCTGCCTCTTCAGCTGCCTGCGTGGCCTTCACCTCCGGGTCCGCACTGGACGTTCTGAGCTTCTCTGCCAGCTGTTTCAACATGGCATCGCTGAAGTCCGTAGCAAGAACTTCCGCTGTCGACCCCTTTTGCTTGCAGTAGTCACTGAGTGCCTTGCACAAGGCAAAGGTGGATGCACCCGTCCCGGCTGCCACGTCCATGATCTGAAGCGTCCCGGAAATGTCTGGCAGCAAGGCCGGGAGCGCCGCGGCTGCTGCCCGGGTGAATTGGCCCGTATACGCTTCAAAGGGCGCATAC